GGTTTGGAGGTTGTTGTGGAGGTGGAAGGGGGTCGGAGTGGTGTTGGCGGGAGGGGAGGAGGCGGGTGAGGGTTACTTTTTGAGGGGAGGTTGGGGAGGTGGTGACGAGGCCGATGCAGTAGGATTTTGTGGTTGGGGATTCGATGGATGCGGTGAAGTACTGGGATGATGAGGATGGGTCTTGTGGTTTTTGGTGTTGGTGAGGGGTCGGTTTGGAGGTCGGGAGGAGGCGCAGGCCTCGAAGGATGATCTTCTCTTCTCCGGCGCCGAGGGTGATGGCCATAGAGGCGGAGTCGAGGTAGATGTGGTGGATGTTGTCGCGCCAGTATTGGAGATTTCGGCAACACCGGTAGGTGGAGGCGTCCTGCGGATTGCCCAGGTAGCGTACACGAGTCGGCTGGAAGGTGGTTGTATCATTGTCGATTGCGACACGGAGGAGTGTGTCGTCGTCGGTGAATTCTAAGGACTCGACGACGCCGTCGGTGTCTTCGTAGCCTGCATTTGGGGGACTTGCGAAAACGGTGTTGCTCTGGTTGATCGTGTATTCGGCCGGAGAGGAGATACCGTCCGCATCGCCGGAAAGACTGTAGATTTGAATTGTCTTGCCCAGTCCGACGGCGAGAAGGTGGCCTTGTGAGGAGATGGCGATGCGGTGTTTTGCGTAGTGTTGGTTGAGTGACATGCAGCCTGTACTACCTCCGTTCGTTAGGGCGCGGCATACCGAGGTCCAGAGCGGATAGAGTGACGAGGCCAAGGAGAACTCCCAGTGCCCGTGCTTGTTTGGATGGCTGTACACGGTTGCTCGTGACCCTTTCAGAGCCACGAGCTTTTGGCCATCATGAGATGCCGCTAGCACAGTAGTAGGGGTGCAATTCTCAGGAAGGTCACGCCTAGACTCTGTTTTGTCGATGTGCGTCCGGTGGCCCAGCAGGTTCAAACATGCAATTCGGTCAAAGTAAACATTCCACTCTTCATTTGTTAGGAGATCTGTTCGTGGAGGTATCGACACGGGGGTTTCCTTCAGAGCGCTTCGAAGGACAGAAGACATCGACGCTGCATTCCACCATAAACGACATGCCGACCGTGCAGCGACGTAGGTCTCGACGTCGACATTGTCGAGGATACCGTGGATGAGCTCGAGAGGAAGATTGACAGCCATTGATGGGTTGATTGTAGAGATTGGGTAAGAGGATTCACATATTCACCGGGTATTAATTGTCCCACGCACACATTCTTGGGATGGTGGACGGCCATTCTTATATGGCATGAAAAGGACGGCAGCGACAACATCCGCGAGACTAGATAGTAGACACCTGGTCAGGTAGGGCGAATAGGGTGGATCGTCATCAGGGGCCATGACAGGGACCAGGCAGGGACCAGGCAGGTAGTTCTTGTGTCATGTTGGGAGATTTGGGAGACAAACCTCCCCAACGGGGAGTTGCTGGCGTCATTCGGCCGATGCGCTGATGGTGTATACCGGATGGGTTAAGAGATGCCGTGCGAATAAAGCCAATTATCGACTCGGCAACCGCCCCATAGGCTGAGACGGGCCGCCGGAATCTGGCAACCGAGCCTGGAAGGATTCCTGCTCTTGCGCAACCTTAAGCGGCCGGGAAAGACGGAGGCTGCCCTGGACAGATCGCATCAGTGGCGTGATGCGTGGACGGTCTTCCATCGGATGATTCTCGGCGGCGATCCTACCGCAACGGGGCTGGTTGCACCAAAGCCTTGCCAGCAGTCGCCCTTTTAACTTCCCTCCGGCGCAAACCGGTGTTTAACCTTTCCTCTAAATTCAGGAATATCTAGAGAGGGCCCTCGCTGCAGGATCCCAGGCAGATAATATACAAGAGAAATGGTATGGTGGAGTGGGGAAACAGGGTCCTCCACCCCGTACGGTGTAGATATTGTGGACAACAACTGTCTAATTGGCGCCAGTGCTGGGTCCGACGGCATCATGGCACCGGGGGATACCGGCCAGCTTCAAAATCTTGTCACACCATGCAGGGATTGTGATGCACGGCCACGGTCACGGCCTTGCATCGCCTAGAAATCGGACAGCTGGTGTGGGGCCACCTGTCCTGCCTGAAAACGAATAGGTCGGAGGCAAAAAAAGAGGACCTGACGCAACCCAAAAGTGACCTCCTCGCGACCGCGCCTCAGAGGATGATGTTCTTCTCACGCTTGTACAGATCCCTGAGGAGCTTGAGTTGGTTGACGCTCATGCTTTGGCGAGGCAGACTGTTCGGTAACTCAACTATGGCTTTCCTCATCAACGCCAGTCCAACATGCCCGAAGAAACCGACAATTCGCTCGGCCGAGGACTTGAGCATGGCTGACAGAAGAGTGACATGGGTGTCCTGGATCTCCGCCGCGGGGATCGACAGGATCTTGTGCATGCTATACCAAAACATGGTGTTGGGGAAGGGGTTTTGACGCTTGGTCCGGCCAAAATTGCGTAGGGTCAGGGCCGCATAGCCGGCGCCCAGGGCTGTCATACGGTCTGCATGGGTCTGTTCGCTGACATAAGGCCCGTCCGAACCGCCGTCGCGCCACCAGCCCAGCGCTCGCCGGCCGCCTTCGGTCTTCTCACTGCCATAGAATCCCCACAACGCCGGGCACACGACACGGTACTTGGCCCAAAGGATGTCAACCAGGTGGCAGCCCTTGTAGATAAACGCATCAATGGAGAATATCTGCGCCGCGACAATCCCGACCGGCTCGGCGTGGCCCAGGTTGATTGAGGCCTCCGTGATGAGAGAGGAGATCAGGCACTTGGAGAAAATATTCAAGGCGTAGATCAGGAGGGCAGGCGCTTTGTTGTCGTCCGAACCAGCGATATTCTCGGGCGGAAAGGCGATAAACTGACGAATGTCCACCGATGGCTCTGGGATGGCGGCGGCTTTCGCAAGAGTCGCTTGGATCTGTCGAAGCTGTTTGGCGGTCGATGAGGTTAGCTCGCATGATTACCGGACGCGCAGTGCGACACCTACCTGGACTTGGTTGGCTCCAGTGCCTTCACGTAGCTGTCCAACACACTTCTTGATAGTGCGCCGCAAATCACCCATGTTCTGCTTGACGATGTCATTGGTTTTGGCCTCGTTTTTCAAATATTGTCGAAATTGCTTGAGATGCTGGTGCAATTCGACATAGCGTGCTTGGGTTTTGATTTCGGCTTCGTTAAGACGGCTGCCGCCAACTTGTCGCTGTCGCTCTGTCTGTGCCTTTTGCGCGGCCTCTGCCTGGCGTTGCGACGCCTCCTGTTCTGCCTTCTGCGCCTCGGCCTGGCGCTTGCGCTTCTCCTCTTCCACTCGCTCTCGTTCCTTTCTCTCCTGCTCTTCCTGTGCGGCCTTTCTCTTCCTCTCTGCCTCCTCCTCTGCCTTCTTCTTTGCCTCTTCTGCTGCTCGTCGTTCAGCCTCACGTCGTGCAGCCTCCTCCTGCTCTCGTCGTAACCTTTCTGCTTTTTCTCGCTCTATGCGCTCCGCTTCTTTCCGGGCTTCTTCTTCTTTCCGACGGTTTTCCTCCTCTACCGCTCTTTGGTGCGCGCGCAGCGTCTCCTCTGCCTCCTCTAGCACCTGGTCATGCAGAGCAGCGGCCTTGTCAAGGGCGGCATTGTGCTGGGCTTCGCGCTCGCTATCGATCCGATCAAGATTCTCATAAAAGGACCGGCGTTCGTAGGCCTTGACTTTTTTCAATTCGGTATTGTGTACTCGGAGCTGTTCAAGGTCCCGCGCTAGGTCCAAGACGAGTTGTCGAGACGGGCTGTCTAGCTGGGAGGGGTAGCTCAAGCGCCCCATCTTGTTTGTTCGGGAGAGAACGTCTGCTGACACTGGGGTGTTGCTGTAACGATAAAGAGTGGCTTGTTTGCGCTAAGGGGGTGGCAGCTTTTTCCGCGGTAGTTTCTCCAAAAGCAAATCAACCTTTCGTGTAGATCATAGCTCGCATCAGGCGGTCTCAGTGTGGTAGCGGCTTGTTCCAGCTGTGTCAACCAAGAGATTGTATTCAATGGTCCTCGAGAGATGCAGTAAACGCAACCATAATTTAGTCACGCACACAATTGAGAGCCAATTTCTGGTATCGGGGTAGGTGCCGACAAGTTAGAATCGCATTCCGTAAGATGGAAGGAATGTGTATAAAGCGTAGGTAACGTTCAATTATCGTTGCCTACACCGCACTGCAAGCTGGAGGGATTTCTGTTAGCAATTCCGCGCCTGAGACTAACACGCACTGGAACTAGTTGCCTCAGATCATTCACTTACAACCCGGGAAAGTGGGAGGATGATAATCCACGCGATATGGGCCCGGGTGGCCAAAAACAGTACTGACTGGACAGAGAGAGTGCTAGGGAATGATATCAAATAGGAACGGCGGCTGTCGGGCGATGAAGCGAAGGATTGGACTAAGAACCGCCGATTTACAGGCGATGGCTGGTATGCGATCTTCGAACGAGGCTCGAACGTTTTGCGGGAACAACACAGCTCCGGTGCTGAGTCAGCCGGACAGCTTCAGTGGTCTCAATGCGCGCCCGGAAGCCGTCTGAGGCTTGAAAGCCGGCAAGACAAACTTGGCAAACAGGCGAAACCAATGGGCCGGAGGGAAGCACCGCTTACCATATTTACGGTACGACGGGGCAGCTACTGCACCAGACCGACCAGCTAAACATGGATCGCTCGGTCACCCGTTCCTCGGTCGGAGGGGATGGCCTGGAGACCGGCAGCAGCCCTTTTGCATCATCATGAAGTTATGAACATCATGGGATGCGCACCACGCCGGGGAAGCTTGGGAAGCACATCCGAGACCTCGCGTATATTATTCCTGACTGACTAGTACTTCTAAAGACTAAGTAGGTCTCAGTGCCTCTGAATTAATTTGTCTCTCACACCCCAACACCTTTTCGCCCACCTCGGCCACCCTTGATACATGGTCTTGTCAGGAGCCCCGCCAAACATCGGCGGTGGATCCAATAGCGGGCCACTATTGGACCGGTCGCAGCATCAGGGAGGGTATCGATACCATTGGATACGTATCACGCCCGCACCAACAGAACATTATCTGCTATCTGGAAGAGTGAAGGCCAATGTCCCCCAATCCCAGCATTAAGGCCACCAATCCCAGCTGTCTGCATGTCATTTGACCCTAGAATCTAGAAGCTGGGGACAGTGCCCCATATCGATTGCGGACTCTTGGAGCCACGACATACTACTGAGAATGGAAAGCATGCAGGTTGCCTCTGAGAGGAATAGGCGGGCAGTGTGGATATCAAATAGCAGAAAGTTTCGATACAGCGATCGTACCAGATATAGCTCCACGGATACTTACCGCCTTCTACCTTCTCCGGAGTTGATCTTCGACCCGGCCGTTGAGCACGCAGTTCGTCATCTACAATGCCGAAGGATTGAGGGGTGATCTTCGCAGGGTGAAGACAAGCCCCAAATCAATGCCTCTTCCTCCAGGTCTGCGAAGCAAAAGCGGACTGTTCAGACAAGGGAATGTCAGTAGAGAGGCATTGCCATCCAGATGACATGCCGAGAGCCAAGATGCAATGAATCCCCCCGAGCCAGACCCTGTTGGTCCCCAAGTATGGTAACTTTGGTTTAGTGACAAGTTAAATGCACCACTCCCTCGGATTCGTCTGCGGGCGAAGCTCTTCTGGGAGGGCGTGTCATTCATCAGCAATGTGAATAGGTCAGGATGATCGGAAATGTGTCCAAACGGGTCAGTGAAGGTGGGAAGCTCCTGCGTGGTCTTCCCTGATGTTCATCGGCCTTTTCCCCCACATCTCTAGGTTGCTGCTATATTATTGTTGTATTAACCTGCGTATTGGTTGAACGTCCTTTCTTCGCTTTGGACCTATTAATTGTGAGTATTATATTAGGTATTTTTTTTGTCTGGTTGGAGTATTATTAGTACCCTGCTTCACCTACTAAGCAAGTAAGCTACTGCTGGATGCTGCAGTGCTGCTCACCACTACGACGTGCTGCTGCTACTAATAGACTAACTCAACTTCTTTCTCTCTCCTCCTCCTCCCTCTTCACCTTCACCTCATCCTCTTTCTTCCTTCTTCCTCCCCCTCCCCTCTTATCTCTTCTTCTTTTTTCACTGTCCCTCTCCTTTGGATTTCCCCTCCCCTCTTTCCTCCATCGCTCCTGATCATTCCTTCAGGTCGACGATCCCACCTCCCTGTATCATCACCTGGCTTATCTGTCATTCTCTCTCTGTCAGATATCTCTCTGCCTCGTGTCTTTTTTGGAACTACGAAACCCAAGAGAATCGTATCAGTCTCATCTGGTGACAGGAACTGTTCTTGTGTTCCCCCCGTTTTTCAACGGTTAAGCGCCAACTCAATAAGCCTTTCAATTCAGGACTGAGTTGCCCCCCCTTTTCTGCTACTGAGGAGACCTCCGTTCTCTTCCGTACCATCAATCCCACTTCGGTCGAAAGTCCCCATCATTGGAAAATTTGCAAATCGATTCGAAAAAAAAATTATTTGTCCCATAATCCCCAGAAATTCCAGCAAGAAAAGTCGGAAGGTAATAAAAAAAGGTCCTTCCTTTGAGTGAAGCTTGGGGAATCTACGCCGGTGGTCGCTTGACGAATGGCAGTTGGGGTCTACCGACAAGAGCTTCCATCCGCTTACTCGGTGCCTCCCCCCTCCTCTTCCTCCTAAACTCAGCTTCCCCCCGATTCGTCGAGCTTCATCCTCTCTTTCGGTCCCTGCTGTCTCCCAGAGGCTGTCTTTCAATCTCCCCGCCCGGTGTCCGTTTATCCCAATTTTTGCTTTCTGTTTGAATATATTGCCTTGGCTTCTTTTGATTTGGGGCTCGTGCAACCCCCATTTCTCTGAGACATCCACCGGTCACCGCTGCCTTCGCCATATAACCGGGACTATCCCGCTCCGTGCAAAAAGGAGAAGTCCGATAATCAGATCAACTTCAGATCCCTTCTGAGCCGGACGATCGTTTAGAGGTAAGATCAATTGGAGCCGCGTGCTTCCCATCGCCAATCTTTCTGTTTGCTGCTGGTTTCCTTACCCGGACTGTCTCTGTTGCCCCCCCCCCCCCCCCCCGCGCCTCCATTTGTTTCGCTTCCTGCCAGCTGTACCTTGGTTGATGTCACTTTTTGTATGGGGTAATCGCAGCTTCCGTTGCCCACAACCCCCCCCCCCCTCTTTCCCTATCTACCTCCCCCCTGTTATCGTGATACTCATCCTCATACTTTTCGATACTCGCTGCTCTCCTCTTATCGTCTTCGCGCTTACTGACCTATATTTCGTCTCCAGTATCCTACAGGTTCACCCCTCGTTGTTTCAGACTGCCTCCGATCGGCCTTCCTCAATCACAACCCACGACGAGTGTGACTTCCGTCATTTCTAACATTCTCTCACCCCCGAAGCGGACCGTTTGACCGCGTACACTTGACTCTATACCAAATACCCCTTCGATTCTTCATCTGAGAAGATGGATCAACAGGGACAGTCCGGGGTCCCCGGCCCCGCGGGGCGCAAGCTCCATATTGCCCACAGAAGAAGCCCGTCGGAATTAACTCCCCTTATGAGTATGTGGATACCAACGTAGCTTCATGCACGGCTTCATGTGAAGAGATGCTGACGGTTGTGGCAACAGTGGAACAGCTGGCAATCCAGCAACAGATCGAGCTTCTTCAGCAGCAGCAACAGCAAATCGCAGCAACACATCAGCAGTACGTTAACATGGGATTGTTACAACCACAGCAGCTAGGTCAGGTTTCGGCATTCTCGCCCTCTATCCAGGGCGGTGCTTCCATGGGGGGCGTTTCCCCTCAGTTGAATGCGTTTCAATTTCCACAGCTCGCCCAACAGCAGCTCGGTGTGCCTATGAACACCTCGACTCAACACTCGCACCGTCGCAATCAGTCCGCCCTCCCAGGCCTCGGTATGGGTCCCCCTCCGGCCCCGTCCTCGGGTGCTTCAGGTTATTCCGACTATGGCCAGCAGCAACAGGGTCACCAGCCAAAGAATGATAATGGAGGTCATGGGCGTGGACGCGGGGGTCCCCCTGGCGGTGGCCACCAGCGACGTCACTCGCTTGCACTTCCCGAAGCCAAAAAGGCCGCGGAACTCGCTCAGCAGAAGAGGACCGCCTCCGGCTTCCAGTTTCCCGCACCCAGTACCCCTGGTGGTGACTCTGACAATACTCCTGGCTCTGACGACAAAACAACCCCCATCTCGATGCAGGCTCCCCAAGGGTTGGGCCTTCACCGAGCAGGTAACATCAGGGCTGGCGGTCATGGTCGGAGTCAATCAATGGCTGTGGGCGGAAACCGCGGCTCTCTGTCTGGTCGTGGTGCTGGCGGCTTCCAGTTTCCTCAGGCTAGCGACGGCGAGAATCAACGTCGTGGCAGCCAGACGGGTCATGCGCGGTCTTCCTCCAGAAACTTTGATGGCAATTGGCGCCAACCCAACAATCAGACTCAGAACCAGGACCAGCCGAAGAGTTTTGGTCAGCAGAGCGGTGGTTTCCAGCCTGGCCACCGTACTCGTGCTTCGATGAACCAGTCCATTGGCTCCATTGGATCTTTCCAGTACCCAGGACAGCCCCAGCTCATTCAACTACCCCAAGGTCAGGTCGTCGTGGCCCCGCCACAGATGTTTGGCGGTAACCAGCAGCTCAATCCTCTACAGCTTGCACAGCTTCAAGCCCTGCAGCAGAATGGGCAGCTGAACGGCCAGGGACTCGGTCTTCAGGCTAGCCAACATGCCCCGCCGCAGTTGTCTGCCCAGCAGCAGCAACAGCAGCAGCAGCAGCGCAAGACCCTTTTCACTCCTTACTTGCCTCAGGCAAACTTGCCTGCGCTGCTGAGCAATGGTCAGTTGGTTGCCGGTATCCTTCGTGTGAACAAAAAGAACCGATCCGACGCATACGTAACGACTCCAGACTTGGACGCAGATATTTTTATTTGCGGTAGCAAAGATCGTAACCGTGCCCTTGAGGGTGATTACGTTGCTGTTGAACTTCTGGATGTAGACGAAGTGTGGTCGCAGAAGAAAGAGAAGGAGGAGAAGAAGAAGCGCAAGGATATCACGGAAGCTCGTGCCGGCAGCAGCGCCGGGACTGACAAGCTGTCTCGTTCGGACTCCGGCCCCAACGGGGACCGCCAGGAGGTTGGACCTGATGGTAGCATCCGTCGCCGTGGCAGTCTCCGTCAGCGACCAACCCAGAAGAAGAACGATGATGTCGAAGTTGAAGGTCAAAGCCTTCTCTTGGTTGAAGAAGATGAAATCAGCGATGAGCAAAAGCCACTATATGCGGGCCACATTGTGGCTGTTATCGAGCGCATTGCGGGGCAAATGTTCTCGGGAACCCTTGGTCTCCTCCGTCCCAGTAGCCAGGCGACGAAGGAGAAGCAGGAGGCCGAGAGGCTGGCCAGAGATGGTGGCCACGGCCGTCAGCAACAGGACCGCCAGCAGGAGAAGCCTAAGATTGTCTGGTTCAAGCCTACTGACAAGCGTGTTCCTTTGATTGCGATCCCAACCGAACAAGCTCCTCGAGATTTCGTTGAGAAGCACCAAGATTACGCCAACCGCATCTTTGTTGCCTGCATCAAGCGGTGGCCCATTACTTCCCTTCACCCCTTCGGTACCCTTGTCGAGCAACTTGGAGAGATGGGCGACTTGAAGGTGGAAACTGAGGCTCTTCTCAGGGATAACAACTTCGGCTCCGATGAGTTCTCTGATGCCGTGCTCAAGAGCATTGGCTGGGAGGACTGGTCCGTTTCCAATGAAAACGAGGCGCTTTTGGCCTCTCGTCAGGACTTCCGTCAGGAGACCACTTTCACCGTCACCCCTAGTGGCACCAAGGAACTCGACAATGCATTCCATATCAAACCTCTCGCCGACGGAAAAGTGGAGATTGGTATCCACGTTACCGACATTGCCCACTTTGTCAAGGGTAACTCGTTGGTTGACCGCGAGGCTAAGAAGCGGGGCACTGCTGTTTATCTCGTGGATCGCCTGGTGAACATGCTCCCCACACGTGTCTCCACTGAGCTTTGCGCCCTGCTGCCCGGGGAAGACCGTTTCACGGTCAGTGTTGTGTTCAAGGCCAACCCCGAAACAGGCGCCATTGACGACGATGTCTGGATCGGCAAGGCTATGATCAAGAGCTCTGCTAGGCTCAGCTACGAAGAGGTTGATGCCGCAATCCAGGGAACTTCGACCCTCGCTGCTCCTGGAATCACTGCCGACACCGTCAGGGCGTTGTATGCTGTTACCTCGAAGTTCAAGGAAGCCAGGCTCGGCAACCGGGTCTCCAACATCCCCCCTCTTCGCCTGCTGTATCAACTGGATGACGAGAATGTGCCCGTTGAGTACAATATCTTCAACTCGTCTCCGGTCCGGGAACTTGTGGAGGAACTGAGCTACAAGGCCAACTTCCTGGTGGCTCGTACGCTGGTCACTGCCCTGCCTGAGAAAGCCTTCCTGCGTCGCCAGATGTCGCCAAACGCTCGCCGCCTTCACCTCTTCGTTGAACGTATGAACAAGCTTGGCTATGGTCTGGATCTGACCAGTAGTGGAACCTTGCAGAGCAGTCTCTGCCAAGTTCAGGATGACGATTTGCGGAAGGTCAGTTTTGGATTCCTAATCAAGAAAGGCCCGGCTAACAATTATCACAGGGCATGGAAACGGTTCTTCACAAAGCCATGCAACGTGCCAAGTACTATCTCGCTGGCAGTGTACAGGATGATCAGCGTCAGCACTACACCCTGAACTTGCCTGTTTACACTCATTTCACGAACCCCTCTCGGCGATATGCAGATATTGTCGTCCATCGCCAGCTGGAAGCTGTTCTGTCGAATGGTGCGGTTGAGTTCTCGGATGACTTGGAGTCGTTGACCAAGACCGCCGATCTCTGTAACAACAAGAAGGATTCTGCCCACAATGCCCAGGAGCAGAGTGTTCACATCGAAGCTTGCAGGAACATGGACAAGGAGCGACAGGAACTCGGTGGTGATCTCATCAGCGAGGGCATTGTCATCTGTGTTTATGAGTCCGCCTTTGACGTTTTGATCCCAGAATACGGCTTCGAGAAACGTGTCCACTGCGATCAGTTGCCCTTGAAGAAGGCTGAATACCGCAAGGACTCGCGTGTGTTGGAGCTTTACTGGGAGAAGGGTGTGCCATCCTCCGCTTATATCCCTGAGGATGAACGGCCCAAGCCTGGGAACTCCCGTGCAGCTCAAGCTGCTGCGGCTGCACGCGAAGCAGAAGCTGCCAGAGAACGTGCCCGGGAGCGCGAAGAAGCCATGCGGAGACAGACAGAAACCAGCACCATGTCCGCTGACGATGCCAATGCTCTGTTTGATGACGATGATGACGATGTTTCCGAAGTTACTGAGATGGCTGCGGGCGTATCATTGAACTCGTCTGCTGATCGCTCAACCCAGAGCATGCCACCTTCACCCACTCGCAACGGCCATCTTCAGCAGGCTCCTCACCGGACGCGGTCTGACCCGAAGATCGCAACGCTCAGCGGGGATGCTCCCGAAGCCAAATTGACAAACAAGGAGAAGTACCTCCGGTTGTTCAAGCTCCGGGAAGAGGATGGAGAATACATCCAGGACGTCACCGAAATGACCCGTGTCCCTATTATCTTGAAGACTGACTTGAGCAAGAGCCCTCCGTAAGTGCTTTCATCCTGCTTACAGTCCATGTCAGTCCGTTCTGATAGCTAACGTGTGTTTGCAGATGCCTCACTATTCGCTCGGTCAACCCCTATGCACTGTAAAACGACCAAAAACAAATTCACTTCTTCGGATGTGTTCTATATGTTTGCGCTATGGATTTTGGTCTTTGCTTGGTGGATCATCAGGGTGGTCATATGATGGTGAACTTGCAGCTCTATTCTATCTATTATCACCACTGGTTCACACATGCATAGCAGCCAACCTCTCCTTGCTTTGCAGTAATTTTTCTTTAATCAGCTTAGCGTGTTGCTCGTTTATTTTATAATTGCCGGAGACCTCCCAAAGCAAACGGTGGATCTCTTGTTCCGAGTTTTTCCATATCCGTCCCGCAATATGGCCTCATGGAGACCAATTGGGGAGTACACCGATCTCGCAAGACGTCTGGATCTGAGCCCAGTGGTTCGGGGGAGAAGGAGTCGGGGTGACCCGGGAATAAGATGATACGAGAATAGTTGTGGTTTCATCGCTTGTATTGATTGCGAGGGGTGCCTCGGGAAAATTTGTCTATTCATTCTAGCTAGATATTTGCATAGCTTATTATTAACAGGTTGTTTCGGATGACCTTCCTTTTTGTAGACCAAGAAATCCGTCCGGTTCTAAATAAGCAAGTCGTCTAATCCAAACTTAGAACAATCACTACTAAACATGGTCTCGAGGCTTAAAAGGGCATCATACTAAAGATCACTACCTCGGATCTTACTGGTCTACAGAACCACATCGACTAAATACAGTCCCAAGGGATAACTTCACACATACGAAGCAAATAACTTTATACGACCAAATTACCCTGGAAGAGACGAAATGATTGTTTGTCTATTTAGTAACTGCTAGACGCAGTTCTTAATGAATCGAATCGAATCGAATCCGAAGCCAACCGGAGATATTCAATGAAAGTATCTCTGAAACCAGTACACCGTGGATATGCAAGAGTCGGGAATAGAAGAGCTATGCCTGAAAAGATGAAGAAAGAAAGAACCCCTCCGTATCCGAATCCGTATCCATTCATTTTCGTTGCACACGAGAACGCCGAGCCAGAGGCTGAGAATTCATTGTCGCGGACGGACATAAAGGAGAACTTGCAGTTGCAGTCGAGGTATTATAGGGTATGTGGTCGTGTGGTCGTGAAAGGTGAGAGGTGAGATGTGAGGGTGGGGGGTAAGTAGTCGAAAGAAATACGGGTAGATATGTACCGCGAAGGAGGGGGTAGGGGGATGTTTACAGTCTGCGAATGCCGATTCGAGGTTTGGCCTTTTTGGCTTTTGAACTTGAGACTTTCCGCGAGCCCATCACTGGTTTTGATAATTTCGAGCCCGATGGGACCGAGGTAGATGCAGATGGAGCGAGGATGGTGGGAGGATTGCTGGGATGAGACATCGTTATTGTTGGGTCGCTATCTTTGAGTCCGTTTAGAGCGCGAGGGTTCTCCTTGCCGTCGCCGCTGGCTCGACGCACAAAGCCTAATTCCGCAGGGTCGGGATCATCTTCGAAGATTTGCACATCTTCGCGTATCCGTCCTGACGAGTTAATCCCTTTGTCGAGGATAGAGAGCTTAGGAGATTTCCTTTGTGGGGAGTGGCCGCGGTGAGGAATGTCGCTGGGGTTATTCGCTGCGATATTCTTTTCGGATGCGGACATGCCATCTGCGGACATGCCATCTACAGTCATGTCCTCTGTGTCCACGGCAAAGGGGTCGTCCAGGTCCATTGGCATGGTCAGAACGGACAGCGGTCGTTTGCCAAAGACGTTTTTGCGAATGGTAGGTAGTGTAAGTCGTACGGGAGAGGGTGATAGAGAAGGGTCGTTTTCTTTGCTGGCGTTGGTGGATGTTTCCGATTCATCGTCGGAGATGGTCGTGTTAGGGGTATCGTGAGGTTCCTCTTCTGGTTGCCGCTCCTGGTATTCAATGGGTGTAGAGGGTTGATGAGAGAATGCTCGTGAGCTAGAGCTTTCTTCCTCACTATACCGGGTAATTCGCTTTTTCATTGTGACTGAGGCAATTCTGGTCCCCTTCCGTGGTCGTAGGGAGCGAGAATCCTCCTGCTCTGTTGGGATGACCGCTCCGGCGTCCTCGCCTCTCATTTTTGCCTCAGATACTGCTGAGGCTAGCTCTGTTGGGACAGGGGCGTGGATCGAAGTCATCAATTTTGCTTGGCGAGCAAAAGCATCGTAATTCTCTTGGAGCAGTGCGCCGGCTGCGGAGTTTAATGCGGAGTCGGGATTGGGATATATCAGGAGGCATGAGATAGTCTAGTAATTTTCCGCTGTCAGGTCATGTCCCGGGCCATCGCAAGTTTTGTTTGTTGGAGATGGGGTACATACGATCAAGACATCCTTCAAGGTCAGATTGGACTTCCAGTCTCGCTTCAGTGTATCCACACAGACCGCCCCTGTCGATTCCTCCACATTCGGATGCCATATGCGTGTTCTGAAAGTCGCCTTTGGCGGGCTCTTAGGGTAATCCTCCGGCATCTTCAAGTGTAATCGCCATAGGCCCTGGGAGTATGGCGTACCCTGTGGTCCGGCCAGGAGGGTGGTGAGCTGGGTCAGGTCGTCCGAAGCATCTTCGGAGGGAAAGAGATAGTTGGGAGGGAGTTCTTCATGCAATGCTGCATGGTCCGCTGCGAGACGTCGCAAAGATAACACCTGAAGAGGAGCACAAGAACTTTTAGCGATCGTCACTCAAGAGGGGAAGTCAATTGGCATCGGGCACCAATAAACTCACCATATTTGCTTCTCCCAAGCAACATTGACCTCAAAATCGAGGCCGAATGGGTTTGGAATGCGAGTAAAAGTCCGTCTGGATTCAATGACTGCGCCGATGTCTGTTCGGCGGACTACCCCTGTCGATCCAGGCAAGTGACACAGACGAGGATCCCTTTGTGGATATGGTTAGATCGCAGCAAGGTGAGGATGGTTCGGTCCCGATCCGTTGCCCCCGACGGCCGCTGTTGCCCGCTCTTTGTTTTGATGATCGAACTGGCCGCCCTAGCCCCGTTCGGGACCCAAACAACGCGCGCGGCTCGGTCACGTGCATTTCGCGTCACTCTCACGCGTTTTAGGAAATGTAATTGATTACGGAGTACTTCACCGTCGACGGAGCCAGATCTGGCAGATGTCAACCCCCAATATCTGGGATCTTCGAGTGGAACTCTGCGAATTTCAATGAACGGTCCTTCGTACGACTCAGGGCTATCCCATTAACATCGTGGGGTCCAGGAGCCCTATCGCCAAACCCACCTTCTACACCGTTGGACCGAACCTGACAGTGACACAGTAACACTATACTACCATATATTTACGGATGTATAAGCTTAAAGTTAAGATGGGCTCGCAGCGAATTCTCAGTGTATTTACCATGTCCTCATTAAGCGATTAAAAATTACTAAAGAAGAGAACTCGTATGTGCGCCGCGTTATGCATCTTTTGTGAACAAGCGGTGAACGTTGAAAGGAAGAACAGGAAAGAAAATCCTTCCCAGCAATGTTACATATGTCAGAAGAAAACTGTAAAATACCCATCCCCTTCACATCATAGCACCACGCTTCCTGCGGCCCAAATGGAAAGTTCGATCGCCATGGGTATCAGATATTTCCCAGGAGACTGGGTTCGAGACGGTCGAGACTCAACTCCATCAAGGCGCAGGTAGGAAGATCGCCCTCTCCATTTACAGGAAAGCAGCGAGAGCAGCACCAGCCACGACGGACAGACCGACGGGGCCGGCGGTGGCGAGAGGAACACCAGCACCAGAGGAAGTGCTGGTGCTGGAGCTCTTGCTCGATGAGCTACCAGTCGAGGTGGAGGAGTCGGAGCTGGAAGTCTTGGTGGAGGTCTTGGTGGAGGTGGTGGCAGAAGCGCTCTTCGACCTCACGAGGGAAGAAGGAACACCGCTAGAGCCGACGACGATGCTAGAGGCTCCAGCAGGCAGGGATCCCTGGGTGGGGATGACAGGAGTCGAGGTGACAGCAGCGGAGGGCTCACCCTGGGGCTATACTTGGGTCAGTATGGTACTCTCAGACATCATTAAATAGCATATCAAGCAGGGTTGTTCTTACAACCGCAACAGAAGACTGGGCAGCAGCGAAAGCCGCGAAAGCAACGAGGAGGATAGAAGAACGCATCTTGCTAGCGAGTGGTAGTCTAGATCTGATTGACCGGGTAGATTGAGTGGATCGTTGCGGAGGCGATCGGTAGACTAGCGAGTGTCTTGAAGCGAGAAGATGAAGCGAAAGTAGGTAGAGGTTCGTGGAACGACCGTGGGGGTTGCTTTATATGACTTGGGCAAGGGAAAGGGACGCAGAGGTGACAGGCGCAGGGGAAGCCTTTAAATAGAGTCAGGGTAGGGGAAAAAAGTAAGTGGCTCACCACAGGTGCCATTCATCCCTCTCCATCAGCCCTGTCTGCAGCTGCTCCTCCCTCCTCCTAGTGGCAATGGAAGGAGGGATCCACCGGACAAAGGGCAACATCAGCAGCCCCAGTCCACGGCCAGCATTTTCTAGGCCATTCTAAGTCGCATCCCGTGGCTAAGAGGCGGGACGACGAGACTCAGCGTGCAAGGCGATGCTGGAGAGTGGCTGCCAAGACCCGGCAACAATCAGCAGATGGCGCAACTAAAACGCCTAGAGTCGTACTAAGCTCTCCCGCGACGGGACAATGGCCAGTTAGTCAGCATTCTAAAGGCCTCCTCCGCACAGGTTTGCGTATGCCCTGGCTATTTTTGGTGCCCATCGGAGCACAGCGTCAGCGGCCGCGCTCCACTTGCGTGCGGGCGCCCCGCCAATGATGGTCCTGTTCTTATAGATCTGCTGCTGGGTGTGCGAATAATGTTGAATGTAACCGGCTTGGGAGGGGAGGGAAAAAAATTAAATGAGCGGGAAAAAAAGAAAAGGAAAAAAAAGAAAAATAGAAAACAGCCGAAATTTCCCTCTTTCATCTCATTTGACTTTGATGGCCCACCGATCCATTACACAGTACTCTGTAAATTCCCTCCACTATCTAGATAGATGACAGTAATTTGTAGTAGTTACACATCAATCCTTCCTGGCATGCCCACCACCAGTGCCCATGGGCCAGGCCACCGACTCGTCAGTTCATCGGAGGGAGCATGCCTGCCACTGCATGAATGCCTGGTCTTGCCCAGCCACGCATTCAAAGCTTGTCATACGAGGTACGTCCGAACAGTCTAGCCTCCCATGGCCATCGTCGCAAGCCACCCGGGGAGGGTCACTGACGGGTTCGACCGACTGGCTGGTCGGTCGCCTTGGTGGTGAGATGGTTGTAGTCACTAGCAACGGCAATACTTAACCGTCTGCGCGCCTCTTTTACTGCCACATCCTGCTGTCCACGTAACAAACCACCGCGACGCATCATCCTTCCAACCCTCGCTCTCGCTCTTGACGTAAGATCATGACGAGCCCTCGGCATCACATTCACAGCACACTAGAACGTGATTCGGTTCCTGCAGGGGTCAAAGGGGACTCGTATGCTCTTAGGTACATACACTGGACTAATAGTCATAGGAATTGTCTCTCGGCGTGTCAATCCTCAATAATAGCCGATCCGGAAAAAAAATATTAATCTGAACCATAAGATGATCATCGATGCGGATGGGCTGCCAGATGCCAAGATGGTAGTTGCTATCCGGCCTGTACCTACTTAGTACCTACATGAGAGCGTACGTATGCAAAACTGGAGGTGCATGGACGTGTCGATCAACCAAGTTCCAACCCTCGCACTGTAAGACAGTGCGCACCGGCCAGACCAGTCCACCGTAAGGTACACAGGGTATCAGGGGTCTCAAATCTCCGGACAAGAAGGGTTGGCAACGGGCATTTTACCTATCTAATTGCCACTCGAGTAATGCAAGGGAAAGGACGAGGCCATGAGAGCAATGGATTCGTTCCCCCCCCCCATACATATTACATAGTAAAGGGATAAACAAAGGGTGGTTGATGAAGGCGGGCCAAGATTCCAGAGAAGAGGAAAGCGGGTTCTCGCCGACCCTGCCAATCCCACCCCCTCCCGCCCTTGTCTCAACTCGCAGGTCTCCGTCGCCCGTTGATTGATACTGAGACCCTCCCAAGGCCTCCAGTGGGGAGACGCCACCAAATTGAGCAATAAATCAGATGGTCAATGAACGTCGCCCGTTTTGAACTGCCATGTCCTTTTGGTAAAGGACTCACGTATGGGGTTGTACATAAGAGGCGACATGGCACGGAGGATTCCCTGGGGTCGCTAAATATTACCCCCGTGAAGGCAGGCAGAGAGAGACCTGTCGCCTGTCGGAGTGATGGTTGGTTACGTTGCTTTTCCTCATTATTGGCTATTATTGCCCACCGATCCCCTCGTCTAGACCCAGTCCGAAGGAGAGAACCGAACAGAAAAGGGCGTGCTTGCTCTGCAATGGATCTCGATCCCCACTTAGGGCATCCATCATCCATTCACTTCCATCGCCATTTGATAGTAGTCTCTCTTTATATTTACCGCATTGCTTTTTCGCCCAACCCCGACACCACTCTGGAGCCCGTCCTTCCCATGTCATCGTGATATGTCTTAGACCCAGGGGGGGCCTGACATGGAGTCTGTCGTGTCTTGCTTAGACGTGCGCTTGTTTCTCTTCCAGTCACGTCTCACGAGCGTATCCCCCACATAACCGCCCAGATAGACCCCTATTGGACATGTTCCTCCTTCCCGTTCTTGGGGATACGAGCAATAGTGGCTCAGGGTTTGCGACATAGCACCTTAAATAGAAATGCGAGGACCAATTTTGAGTCACCGGATTGTCCGCCAGGCAGGAGGGTCCGAGGGAGGTTTGGTTTACCATCAAACCCTCTAGATAAAGACGACGATTCAATGGCAGACACTACAGCGATACTGACCAAAGTGTACCCAGCAGCCATTCGCGCTAGTCAACTTATACGTGGCAATGCCATCGTCGCAACTACCAACCAGCCGGACGGAACAAGAAACTGAAGCTGAAGGCCACAAGTATGCAAACACTCCGGCTACTCAACAAATGTCAATTCATCTCTGCCGCGCATTTACGCGCCACCCGAAGTGCAACCTTACCATTCAATCTTTCCCGTTTGGGGTCGGTGTACCAGACTGGGCCACGGCAGTATCAACGGACAACGTTTTGATTAATACCTGCCGCGTCATCACGCGCAGACTATAAAAGTCTGGAGTATCTGGTCCCGGCCGCAAAGTCCGAGGTGCTGATGACGTTGCTCGAGAGTATGGAGGGTAGATGGGCATGTGCAGCTCATGAATGCATCGGTGCTCTAGCCTCCGAACCCATGAAATCGACTTTGATAGACACATTCCGGTGGACATGACGGATAAGGTCCGCGGAATCTGGGACGCGAAGAACTCATGCGAATACCTACATGACAGCATGGGTCGTCATAACCTCCCTTATATACGCGTTGTCGGGAGTTGACTGCAGGCTGTTCGACTAACAGAGAGGCTGGGGGTTGTTTGAGCGTTCTTGGACACTGAAGTGAGTATCTGGTATGATGATGCCACCACAGGCACTTGTCTTGAAGATTAGTAGTCTGCAGGTAAGATTGTCAAGGCCGTCAACTACTAGTCAAGGTACCGATTCGTATGGTAGACCAGCACCCATCTCTCTTACCCCTCTCCCCTCCTTTGCACCATAACCAGCTAACTATAATTCGGGCAACTGCAATACAATACCACGTGCCATCCATGCTCCATTCAACCCGAATAATGATATACTCACCACGTATATGGAGTAGCAAGTCCCCAAACGCAACTACTTCGCGCTTTATAGACCTCACTCCAACATCCCAATATATCCATCACAAACATAACCAGACATACTTCCACCTCCGACCTCAACCCAACTAATCTCACCAATCCATTCCATTCATTCACATCTAAATATCATACAAACACCCCCCTCCCCAATCTATCCCCATAGACCCACCATTCCCATAACCATAACCATAACCAAACCCATCACTTCTCAGGAACCGGAACCTCTCCCCGCATCCAATCCGCGAATTCCTTCCTCTTAGTCTACAGCAACAAAGACACATCAGCAAGATTCAAACATATACACATATACCCATCCCTCCACCCCCTCAGTCTACCCCGGGAAAGAAATCAAGATGGAAGAAAAAAAAAGAAACCACTCACCCTAACATCCCAAAACCCATACCGTTCCTCCAACCTAAGGAAGGGATTCCGACCACCACCTTCCCTCTCAATCTCGCCAGCCCATTCACTCCAACTAATCGGCTTCAGTTTCTCAGCGCCGAGGACAAGGCCCGCAGAGACGAGGACTAGGGATGCGAGGGCCTCGATGATGATGTCGAGGGGGAGGGCGGTGGGGTTGGTCGTGGAGGAGTTGCTGTATAGGAGGGTGTGTTCGTGGGCGGAGTAGCCTCTATGTTTTTTGTTTCGTTAGTATCAATGGTGTTTGTGGTTGTGTTTGTGTTTGGGGTTAGAGAGAGAGTATGGGGGACTAGATGGGGGAATGGAGAGATAGATAGGTGGGTAGCCACGTACGCGTGAGCGAGAAGGATGAGGCCGAAGAAGGCCACGAGGCGGGATAGGAATCCCATTTTGGGTGCGGTGTATGTGTGTATCTGGGTGTGCAGTGTTGTAGGTGACTATTGCCTCGTCGAGATTGACTGGTCGGGATGGACTGACTCGTGAGCTTGGAGCTGTATGTAATCTGCGCTACTTGCTTCTACGGGAGACCAATGGGCCCTCTTCTGCACTGCACCGGGCTGGATCTGTTCTGTCGGACCCCGCCAAAGGCCCAACTAATTGAGATTGGGCAGCACCCCCAGGTCTTCATGCCACTTGGTGCAGTTGCTAGGAGGGGTTGGAGGGGTCTGTCTACCAATTTACGACGGGAATGGCTACATGTGCATCATAGTGTATTAAATGGGTATTTATTTGATTTTGGTATTCGTTATGTCGCCGGGATCATCCTCGGTCGACGGGGGTTATTCAAGTTCATGACAGTATATTTCCGTGGAATAACATAAAATAATCCATCACACCATAGCTCTTCATTAAACAACATTCCATTTACAGCTTCTGCATAGCGGCCTGTGGGGATTCCGTTAGCACCGTTGCAACGGTGTAGAGGGGTTGATCCTTGACTTACAACATCGGTGGACTGGACGTGGTCCTCGTCCTCCTCGATCTGCTGCTGGAGCTCGTCAAGAGAGATCTTCTCGTCCTCAACGACAAGGTTGATCTGGAGCTTCTTGATACCGAAACCAACGGTGACGAACTTGCTGGCACCCCAGACAAGACCCTCCTTCTCGATAGCACGGACGTTGGCCTCGAGCTCCTCGAGGTTGGTCTCATCATCTGTAAACAGTTAGTATCAGGGAAAGTAGAATAGAGAGTGATGGACACATACCCCAAGGCTTAACCTCAAGAGTCACGATAGACTTGGCAACGGGCTTGGGCTTGGCCTCCTTCTTCTTCTTGTACTCAGCAAGACGAGCCTCACGCTCCTTGACGACCTCGGGGTCCTCCTCCTCCTCGTCGGAGCCGAAGAGGTCCATGTCGTCGTCCTCCTCAGCGGCCTTGGGGTTGGTGGGCAGCTCAGTGGACTCGGGGCCGTAGGCAGTGTAGGGCTTGGAGGCATCGCCGGGGAGAGTGGCGTGCTCAGCCTCGTGGGAGGCGATGTGCTTGTACCAGCGAGCAACGTGGGGGTACTTCTCGGCGTCAGGGGCGCCGGAGAAGGCCTTGAAGCTCACGACATCGGCCTGGGAAGGAGCATCGCTTTAATCCAGTTAGCTTGGGTGATCATCTTCTCCACCGAGAAAAAATGGTTAAATGAAGAAAAACAGAAAGCAAAAAGGATTTTCCAAGTAATCAGAAGCGCGATTGCTCGCATTGTGTTTAATCTTGCAGCGGGGTCTTAAGCCGCCTCATAAACACGGACCAATTTCTTTTCATCATGCAAACAAGGAAGAATCTTTCAAGGCACCAATGCTAGAGGGGAAAAGGGGGTGCCTTACCCAACAATGTAGCTCCTGGTAGCCAAGTAGTTGTTGGCAACTGAGGGGTACCATTAGTTACTGCTGAGAGCAGACAGGAAAGGAAAATAATGAGCAAGAAAGAAAAAGGAAGACATACTGGTAAGGCCGGCGTCGGAAGCGAAGTCAGTGAAACCCATTGTGAATGTGTGTGTGGGAGAGATGTGGTGAGTGAAAAGGAAAGAGAAGAAAGGAGGAAGAAATAGGAGGGGAAAGGTGTTCTGAAGTATTTTTTCAACGGAGGGTCCGAGTAGTGAAATTTTTCGGCGGCACCAACAGAGCCCCTCATTCCGGCCTGCACGTGACTCGACGGTGACGGAGTGACGGAGCTATCTGGCCTTTGGGGGGAGCTTCCGCCACTCACCGGCCAGCTCGCAGTGGAGCCTTCGAGAAGCCTCGCGACGCTTGGAGGCAAGCGGATGGTCGCCTGGCCCGGCTATATAGGCCCCTAGCTATACTCGAGCTATACCAGAGCTGCAGAGACCACCGACAGGCTTGAACTGACCCTCCACGCTTGCATTTTTGACCATGTCGTCAAGGTTGCACCTCGCTCGTGGTCGGCTTTTCCGACCGTCCACCCTTCCGTCATCGACTCGGATCCTTCAACCTTCACAAGCATTGCATCTACTACCGCGCTCTCGGCTAAGCAATGTCCCCCAGATTCTGTCAGTATCGCCCATACGCACGTACGCCAATGGCCGACCTCATCCTCCTGGAGGTACCCATCGTATGAACCTGGGGGGTGAGCCCGAGAAATCGGCTTTGGAACAGTTCGGTGTCGACCTCACAGCCAGGGCTAAAGCTGGCAAATTGGACCCCGTCATCGGACGAGATGCCGAAATCCATCGCACCATTCAGGTCCTGTCTAGGCGAACGAAAAACAACCCCGTTCTGATTGGAGCAGCGGGTACTGGAAAGACGGCAGTCTTGGAGGGTCTGGCGCAGAGAATTGTTCAGGGAGACGTTCCGGAAAGCATCAAGGAGAAGCGTGTGATTTCCTTGGATCTGGGGTCTCTCATCGCCGGTGCTAAGTTCAGAGGCGATTTTGAGGAGCGGCTGAAGTCGGTCCTTAAAGAAGTCGAGGATGCGCAAGGGGGTGTGATCCTATTCATCGATGAACTTCATACCTTGCTTGGCTTGGGAAAGGCAGAGGGCAGTATCGACGCCAGCAATCTCTTGAAACCGGCATTGTCCCGCGGTGAGCTTCAATGCTGCGGTGCTACGACTTTGAACGAGTACAGATTGATTGAAAAGGACGTGGCTTTGGCAAGACGGTTCCAGCCGATCCAAGTCGGCGAACCTTCAGTTGCGGCTACGATTTCCATCTTGCGTGGTATCAAGAACAAGTATGAAGTCCACCATGGTGTCCGAATCACGGATGGTGCTTTGGTGGCAGCAGCAACTTACAGCAACCGTTACATCACGGACCGCTTTCTTCCAGATAAGGCGATTGATCTGGTCGACGAGGCGGCGTCTGCCTTACGCCTACAGCAAGAATCCAAGCCCGACGTGATTAGAGAGCTGGACCGCGATATCACCACCATCCAGATCGAGCTCGAGTCTCTTCGCAAGGAAACCGATGTCAGCAGCCGTGAACGACGAGAAAAACTTCAAGGAGATCTGAAAGTCAAGCAAGAAGAGGCGGCGAAATTAACCGAGGTCTGGGAGAAGGAGAAGGCTGAAATCGAAGGACTCAAGCGCGCAAAGGAGGAGCTGGAGAAAGCTCGCTTCGAATTAGAACAGGCACAAAGAGAAGGAAACTTCGCCAAGGCTGGTGAGCTGAGATATGCCACCATCCCAAGCCTCGAAGCCAAGTTGCCCAAGGAGGGTGAAGAGCCAACCGCAGGTACCCAAACCAGTCTAATTCACGACTCGGTTACTCCTGATGACATTGGCAATGTGGTTTCTCGGACTACTGGCATCCCTGTCAACAAGCTGATGGCCGGTGAGGTGGAGAAACTCATCAAGATGGAAGACACATTGCGCCAATCCGTTCGTGGGCAAGATGAGGCTCTCTCCGCAGTCGCCAATGCGGTCCGGATGCAAAGGGCAGGCCTTAGCGGAGAGAATAGGCCACTTGCTTCGTTCATGTTCCTTGGTCCTACTGGTGTTGGAAAGACAGAACTTTGCAAGAAGATGGCCGAATTTCTGTTCTCCACCGAAACGGCTGTTGTCCGATTTGATATGAGCGAGTTCCAAGAGAAGCACACGATCAGTCGCTTGATCGGCTCCCCGGCCGGCTACGTTGGGTACGACGACGCTGGTCAACTCACAGAGGCTGTAAGGAGGAAGCCGTACGCGGTGCTATTGTTTGATGAGTTTGAGAAAGCACATCGCGACATCTCCGCTTTGCTGTTGCAGGTCCTTGATGAGGGTTTCCTTACAGATTCTCAGGGCCACAAAGTGGACTTCAGAAACACTCTCATCGTGCTTACATCAAACCTCGGAGCCGACATACTTGTTGGTGCCGACCCTCTGCATCCTTACAAGGAGGTTGGAGATGAGATATCGCCTGAGATCAAGAAGTCTGTCATGGATGTTGTACAATCAGCCTATCCGCCAGAGTTCCTCAACCGCCTCGATGAATTCATCATCTTCAAGCGGCTGTCTCGCGATGCTCTGAGGGATATTGTCGACATCAGAGTCAAAGAGCTGCAATCACGACTCGACGATCGACGGATGACTCTGCGGGTAGATGACGAGATCAAGGATTGGCTCTGTGCAAAGGGCTATGATCCTAAGTACGGTGCTCGGCCCCTTAACCGCTTGATTGCGAAGGAAATTGGCAACAAGCTGGCTGATAAGATCATTCGCGGCGAGGTTACAGCCGGGCAGACTGCTCGCGTCACATTCAATGCCGATAAGAGTGGACTTGCAGTCATTGCGGAAATCGCTGAAGAAACTGAGCTCGAATCCGCGTGAAACAAAAGTTCATTTCGCATTTCATGTTCCTGCCATTTGGTAATGGGCGCCATTTTCCGGTGTTTCAGTGTGTTAAGATGATGACCTTGGATGACTTGATCTCTACTCTTTGACATTGTATTATAGCATTGTATATCTATTGTATGCCTTATGTCACTAATGAACTGTATATATCTTATGAAATACATCATTGTATTCGCTTCCTGAACTTCGGTTCTTTCTTTCGGTTTGCGAACTGTCACTTGATCTGACGAAGTAGTGCCGCTTTGGGCATCCCACTCGACCCGGAGATACCCCCCTAACAGTTACTTCTACACACAGGAATACACCATCTATTGTCATGGAGTCGCGAGTTAAGAGAAGAAGGACTACACAGCATCCTTACATCGAGTCCCCTAATACCAGATCTACTCATGACGACCGTCCACGACCAAGAACATCGAACAATTTGCGTCTCAGTTCACAAGAGACATTGAGGTCAAGGCCACCTACTTTTAATAATGCTGGGGACTATCGAATCAATAGTGGGCTATATGAACAATCCATCGATGACGAACTTGAACAGGTCATAGTGGCAGTCGACATGAGAGACTCAGGTACCGTCGGCTGTTCCTATTATTCTGCGCAGGAAGAGAAACTCTATCTACTAGGCGACCTACGCCATTCCAGTACAGAGATAATTGACAGCTGTTCGTCTGAACTTCCTTACTCACATACCCAGAAGCTAACAAGGTCGAAGTGGTCCTTCAGACTAAGCCTACAGTTCTCTTGATCTCACCTCGGGTTGATCCCAATAACCTCCAGGAGAAACCATGGGCTGAACAGGACAGTGGTACGTGGGAAACGATATCTTTGCTACACCCTTTTAACGATCTCACAGACACGCATTCCTACCTTCCCTACCAGCTCGATATACGCCCATCGCAAGAATTCAACTATTCGAATGCGAAAAACAAGTTAGTGGCTTTGGAGATATCCTCAAGACATGAGCAGCGTATCAAATTCTTAGTGCCACATAATGGATTGGTTGACGGGGAACAATTAGATGCCGAGAATCTGGACCTCACATTGCAAGAAGGCAAGCTTCTACATATGTCCGGCTCGATCGAGATGGAAAACACAGTGACTATTGGATGTGCCGGTGTTATTCTTGCTTATCTGCAAAGGCGTCGAGCTTCAATGTCAACGACCAACAACAGGGCCCTGGGAGCGTTGCAAGTCTCTTCTGTGGAAATTTTCAGTCTGAAGGGAACTATGTAGACATTTTCATCGATACGAATCAAGAGGGAACGAGACTGACAACGGATTAGGTTCGTCAATGGCAGGACCCTACTGTCACTCCAAATTATGGAATCCGAATCTCATCCTAGTATGGTGAATCAGGGGCCAGGAAGAAAATCTTCCTCATCAAAAGAAGGTCTCTCGGTTTATGGCCTGTTTCAGCGCTTCTCATATACACCCCAGGGAAGAAACAGGTTAAAGCAGATGTTTCTTCGCCCTAGTGTAGAATCCGGTGTTATACACGAGCGACATTCTTTCATCGGCGTATATCTCAGGGCCGACAACTATAATCCATTGGACAAGATGGTCAAAGGCTTAAAGCATATCAAGAACCTCCACTATGTGATGATCAACCTTCGAAAGGGAATCAGCACTGGAAGCGGGAAGATTATGGGGTTTAAGACAACAGTATGGGCGACTTTACTGGCTGTATGTCATCGCAGTTGACCTTGTGAAGTAAAACGTGGTTAACGTTTACCGTCAGTTTGCCTTTTATGGGATTGACATTCATGACGCCCTGAGGGAGACAGCAGGTGGAACTCTTCTGGCTCTGCATAGCAAGGTACTGTTCGAAAGGGATTATTTCATGCAAACTAAACATGATACAGGCACTCCGTGCCTTCGAAGCAGCTCAGTTATACAAAGTTGGGAGGATGATACAAGAGATTGTAGGTATTGCTCAACCTCCTTACGGAATGGATCCTGAATACGACAGGTCGACATCGATTGTTCAGAGGAGCAAGGCAGAGCCGTTGTGAAGCCAGGGATAGACAGAGAACTGGATCGGATGAAAGACAGGTATGACGGTTTAAACAGCCTTTTGAAACAGGTTGCGATAGAAATTGCGACGACTATCCCAGAAAGCTACGACATTGACGTGAATGTAATTTACTTCCCTCAACTAGGTTTCAACATAGCGATTCCACTCAACGAGGCCGGTGACGCTGCTTATCGGGGTGCGGAAGATGATTGGGATCTTATGTTCCTTACAGAGAATAGAGCATACTTCAAGGATTTCAGAATGAAGGAGATGGACGATAAATTGGGTGATATCTACGGGCTTATATGTGGTGTGTCCTCAGTTCTTCACGGTGGCGTGCTCCTATGGCCAATTCTACTAATTTTTGATAGAGAAGGAGATTGACATTGTTTACGACCTCGCACAAAGAGTGCTCCAATATGAGAAAGTGCTTCTGGAAGCATCGGATATATGTGGACAAATAGATAGGTAAGACCTAAGTCAAATATTGAGGAAGCTACTCAACATAGTTAACAGTCTTCTTGCAATGGCCCAAGCTGCAAGCTTTTACAAGCTGGTACGTCCCAAGATGGTGCAAGAAGATGTTATCAGAATCAAGGGTGGCAGGTAGAGCAACTGGAGCACGAACCCTTCGCATAAAGCTAATAATAGAATAGGCATATCCTGCAAGAACTTACAGTCTCGTCCTATGTACCCAATGATGCCATTCTTGTCAGCAGAAGGGTACAGATGGAGGCATCAGGACCTCTTCGTTCAGCTCCAGGAGCAAGCAAGATTGAGTGTGATCCGAGTATGTTGCTGCTAACAGGGCCAAATTATTCTGGAAAGAGTGTATACATGAAGCAGGTAAGCTTGTCTCTTCTGCTACAAATGAATACTGGCTTACATATTGCTATATAGGTTGCTCTTATCGCCTACCTAGCACAGGTGGGAAGGTATACCACCCTGACACCCATGAATTTGCTAGTCACAAGACTTAGAGTTACAGTTTCGTCCCAGCTGAAAGTGCAGAACTTGGGATCATCGACAAAATCCTGGTCAAGTCTAATACTCAAGACAGTGTCTCCCAGGTAGGTAAAGAATCCGACTACTACGGTATGCAAACTAAGCTGTTGCACTTGAACTCAGATCCAGAGCACCTTCATGAACGATCTGCAACAAATATCCTTCGATTTGAAGCAAATAACAGGCCATAGTCTGCTTCTAATAGATGAGTTCGGCAAAGGCACCAACGAGAACGGTCCGTATACTCAGAACCCCCAACTGCTTGACTGAAATCTGACATTCGATCGCTCCACAGACGGCATCGGACTAGCATGCGGAGTTCTTGAGCACCTCCTCAACCTTGATAATGCGCCCAAAGTCATCGCTGTAACACATTTCCATGAAATCCTCGAGAACGGATTTCTCAAACCTAGGCCGCAATTACAACTTGGCCATATGGAGGTTCGGGTGCGCGAAGATCCCACCGAAACCGAAGACCAGATCACCTATCTCTATAAGTATGGCCCCAAATCTAAATCATATACTTCAAGAAGCAAGTACTAAGAAACATGACTATAGTTTCCGTCTTGGACGAAGCGACCAAAGCTTCGGAACAATGTGCGATCCCGAGAATCTATATCATCTTCTCAGGCCCCGGCCACTAACACGGAACAGATGCGCTGCAATGAACGGTATCAGCCAGGCTATTGTTGATCGGGCAGACGAAATCGCCTCACTTTCCGCTCGTGGTGAGAATTTGATTGCTGCTTGCGCTATGCTCTCTGCTGAAGAGACGCAGGCTCTGGAAGATGCGGTACGGGTATCCCCATCCGCCTCATAGTTTTGTGTTGAAGAGCTGGGGGGCGCTAATGATTATTTACTTTTAGGACAAGTTGGCAAGGGAGTTTCTGTCGTTAGATCTCTCTGGGGCTGATAGGATGAACTGCACAAGGGACAAGTTGGAGAAGCTGTTTGATGGAGCCGATATGGATGTTTAGTAGTGGTTCGGTTATATATTTTCCATGCGGAAGTCTTTTCCGATATGTTATCAACCTGCATCACCTCTCTTTACGATGCTTTCGGTCTCAAGTCGACATTCTACACAATTATCAATAGAGCTAGTAGCCCCAACTTGAGAAGGCGAATTGTAGTCAGACAAAAGTTTGTATCATCGGGAAAATTATCTATGTACACACAAAGTCCCATTTTCGCACACATTGAACGCCGGTGATGTATGTCTCCAATTGTGCTGTAGCAGTGACAAGAAAAAAGAGTAGGACTAAAGTTAGAGCTTGACACTCTTGACCAAGTTCTTCTTGATACCCGTAAGTTCACCACCATATCCACCACGGCCTTCACCACCCTTGTATACCTGGCGAATACTACCCAACTTCTTCTTCTTCTCCTCGAACTTCTTTCTCTTCTTGACACGAGGGTTGCGAGAGTCCTTGCTGCGCTTGGGTGCGAGACCCTTGTTCTTTTCGATTTGGTAGGTGATTGCACGCTTGCCATCGGGTCCGACCTCTTCCTGGATTTCAACATGACCACCTTCACGAGCTGCGGCTGCGTAAGCATCTGAGCGCGCCTTCTTGTCGTCCTTCCGCTGCTTGCCGCGAGCTGCAACCATGTCGTAGTAATCATCGTCGTCAGACTTGTCGCCTCTGAGTTGATTGGCGACCCGGTGATCCTCCTCGTCACTATCGCCACCCAGCTGCTCCGAGTCCTTCAGTCTCTGTTTACCACGCTTTTCGGCTTCCGCGTTCAAGCGAGCTTGGCGGTCCCTCAAGCGCTCACGGTAAGGAAGATCTGCGTCACCACCTGCGACCCGACCGGCTGCATTACGTTTGTTGGCCTTCTGTGCAAGCTGGGAAGTGTAGAACCGGAGAGAGCGCTTCTGCTTGGCCTTCTCCTCTGCCTCCTTGGCAGTGAGAGCGTCTTCATCACCAAAGTCAGAGTCATCCTCCTTGGATGACTTCGTTTTCTGACTGACACGTTTCTTGCTGGATCCAGAAACAAGCTTCGAAAGGTCTGCAAGGTTGGCTTCAGTCTGTCGGAGTCTCTCTGCTCTTCGTGCCTCTGCCTCTGCTTGCGCTGCCTCGGCTGCGCGCTGTGCTTTGGAAACCTTATCCTTCTTCTTCTTGGAGGCTTGCGTTTCCTTGCCCTTGCCCTTTTGCTTGGGCGCGGGTGCATCTGATAGAATATCGTCGATCTCCTCGGAGTCGCTCGGGTCTTCAAATGTCGCCGGTTCGGGTTCGCTGAGGTCTTTGACAGTTTCCCAGAGTTTCCTGAATTTGACAAGGGATCCCATGACAGGATGAGCTCGTAGCTGGGCTGGCGGTAGCGGGGCAGGATTTCCGGAGGCATCATTAGAAGAGGTCAAGAGCATGAAGTAAATGCCGATGGCACCGAGGTAAGCGGACAAAGCGCGGAACTTGACGACGGAAAGAGGCGCAAATTCTGGGGCATCTTCGGAGTCATCGTCGACCTTGAAAGGTTGGGCGGCTTTAGCGAGGGCCTCATGCGTGGACTGTAGATCGGCAAAGTCTTTCGCTAGCGGCTCGAACTCGGGATATCTGGACTTGAGTATCTTTAGCTTCTCTTCTGCGCTCATATCTTCCGTGACTTCCATCTGGGGAAGAACTTCTGTCACCACGCCGCCATCTGCATCTTCTTGTCCCTTGCCGGATTCAACCCATTCAGTCTCATCAAAGCCGAAATCTTCTTCATTCATTGCCTGCAAGTGCTTCTGTTGAAGTCGCTTAGCTTCCTCCTCTTCCTCAAGAGCGTCTGCTTCCGTTTCGATCTGATCCGCGTTGTAAAGATCCTTTTTCGAGGATCCCCAAGCGGCGATACCCTCCTCCTCGTCTTCAGACGCTTCGGATGCTGGACTGCCACCGCGCTTCGACTTGGATTTCGACATAGCATGATCCATGTCGTCCTCGTCATAGTCGTCGTCTTCGTCGAATTCTTCCTCATCGTCGAGATCGTCGTCGTCGTCTGCGGAATCGTACCCCATAATTTCTTCGTCCGACGCCTGGAGGAGTTCCTCTACAGCAGTATTCGGTTAGTCAGACACACCAACAGTATAAAAATGCATGCGCTATTGGGTAACCAACCATCCTCAGCTAGCTTCCGACGTCTCTTGGCTTCCGGCGCCTCTTCCAGCAGGATATGGTCGCGGCCGGCCTGGAACTCATCTTCCGAATCGTCGAATCTCTCCTCGATGTCGAATTTAGATGGACCCAAGTTGTCCGATTTGGGAGCGGCAGGGCGACCGCCGGCCTTTCTTTTCTTACCCATGATAGGTTGTGGATGAGTGAATGAGGGAGAGAATACTGAACCGGACCAAATCCTCCGCACCGAATCGATAACTTTTGCGATAAAATTTTGGGAGGGGACGCTCACCGCCCGGCAGGTACTAGTCCGCAATGGGTGTTTGTACTGTTTGGCTGCTCACTACGGCTGGGCTCCGCGGCCGGGAAAGTCAGCCGAGGGATGCGCCTTCCCTTTTATCTTCTATCTTGTATCAGCACCCTCATCCTCCCCGACCAGGAAGCCGCAGCTCTCGCGCCATTGCCCCAACTGGAAGCCTCGCCCCGTCTCATAAACCCCCTCTTCTCCCTCCCCCGATTCCTTTCTCCTTTCTTCTCTCCCATGCATCCACTGTTACCCATCATCTCTTATAACGCCTCTCCGACGACGTTGAGCATTTATACTATTCTTTGCGGTCTAATCCTATACACTGCTAGCAAGATGTTCGGCTTTGGTTCTCGCAATCAGTTCGTTGTTGCGGGCAGGGTATGTACTTCGTCCCCATCTCCATCGGCGCTTTCACTGACTTAAGCTTCGTCTACCAGACTGCCGTTATCACCGGAGGTTCTGAGGGGATGGGCAAGGCAGTCGCTTGCCAGCTTTCTGAGAAGGGGGCCAACATTGTTCTTGTTGCACGCACTGTCTCCAAGCTTCAGGAGGCCCTTGAGGCTGCCAAGGTAAGCAGAACATCAACCTGGGCAAGGAAATCTGGCTGATCTTCTCGATGTTCGTGAAGGGTTCGGCGACTCATACCGACCGGCAGAGGTTCCACTACATCAGTGCGGACCTGACCGACGCTGCGGAGTGCGAGCGTGTCATGGCAGAAGTCACCGAATGGAACGATGGACAAGCTCCCGATATTGTGTGGTGCTGTGCTGGATACTGCAATCCCGGATTTTTTGCCGAGACACCCGTGCAAACCTTGAGGGACCAAATGGATACCGTGTATTGGACAGCTGCCAATACAGCCCATGCAATTTTGAGACGGTGGCTGGTACCTATTAGCCCCAGCCAGCAGATGCCGCTACCTCCAAGGCACCTCATCTTCACATGCTCCACCCTCGCCTTCGTGCCCATTGCCGGCTATGCACCCTACTCGCCTGCCAAAGCTGCGATTCGCTCATTGTCCGATACGCTCAGTCAAGAAATTGAGATCTACAATGGTTCTCGCGCATTCAAGTGTCGGACGGAGGCTCCAGCTACGGACGTCAAGATACACACCGTCTTCCCAATGGGCATTCTCAGCCCTGGCTTCGACAACGAACAGAAGCTCAAGCCTGACCTCACCAAGAAATTGGAGGCCGCCGACAAGCCACAGACACCGAGAGAGGTTGCAAGCATCGCGATCAGAGCCCTGGAGAGGGGCGAGTACATGATCACGACGATGTTTGTGGGCGACGTCATGAAGGGATCGGCTCTCGGAGGCAGCCAAAGGAACTCGTTCATTCGTGATACCTTTACCGGCTGGCTTAGCAACTTGTTGTTCCTTCACGTGAGTCCCGATCTCCGGCGGCAGGCCTGGCACTGGGGAGAGAAGCACGGCGTTCCGTCTCGCCCGAGGGCGTAGTTAATGGGGGGTTCTTGCTATGCTTTGTGTCGGATTAGATACCCTGAGCGCGTCCTCTCTTTATTCTTATGGTCATCATTATGTTCGCCTTGAATATTATGTACAGAAAAAGCCGGATTGATCATTAATCGAAGACTCATTGTTCCACTACCTTCTCCTTTTCTTGGCTCGATGGCCGGCTCCTATCTTGTGTACCTAAGCCCTCCGCGGGGAGTTGAAAGATGTATTCCCGGAGAGGGGTGGGCCAATTGGGAAGCTCTTGCGGCGGACGAGGCCTTTGAAGCTTTTCTGGAACCCCGAGCAAGTCACCTGGTCGTTTGCATGGTTCCTTTGTCCATGAGACCCGAAAATAGGTCCAATTGCGCGACAACAAAGCGAGGGCTCCAGATTAGGGCAAGTGGGCGGGTCGGCGGAGTTCGTCGTGACGTCGGGCGGCCGCCGCAGGCGCGTCGCTCTTCCATTATTCTTCATTCTTTCACCTCGAGGCCGACCAATATCTCCCTTCCTTTGTGGCCCTATTTTGCCCCGCCTATATAATATGTGCCGGGGAGAGCGTGCAGGGGGACGTCAGATACCGTGACCCTTTTGTCGAGTCGTATATCTCCAGTCCTTTCAACGTACACGATGGCGTCGTCGATCTTGGCTTTCCCCGTCGTTCTCTCTTTTCTCGTCTTTTCAAGTCCCTCCTACACGACTCTTAACTTGATCTTCTTTTACATGACATGGACGACCCTCATCCTCTCGCATTCGCCATTTAAGGTTGAGGTCGTTGGCACCATAGCCATACGACTGTTGTTCTATGTCCTCCCATCGGCGCTTTTCTTTCTGTTCGACATCCTCGTCCCTTCCGCGGCTGTGCTGCTAAAGGCGCAAGGCGAACTGGGCCTGCCAACGAGAAGCAAACGATTCAGAATCTGGGCCCAGGATTTTAAAGTTATAGGGTGGGCGCTATTTAACCTCTCCCTGAGCATCCTCGTGCAAGCCATCATTGAGAGCGTCCGGATAGGGTACTTTAATACACGAAGTGCCCTCAAAGTATCGTTCTCGATACCTTTCTTACCTTGGAGCATTGGTCTCCATCTCCTTTATGTTTTGCTACTCAGAGAGGTAAGTCCTATTGAGGTCCTTGCATTAGCGCTCAAAACTTAACCGCGCTCAACAATTCAGGTCCTCGCATACTGCATCCATCGCTTCATCCTCCATAGTACGAAATATCGCATCACGCGCTACATTACTGGCCTCCACTATACCTGGTATCATGAACTCCATGCGCCCTATCCCGCCACGGCCCACTACGACCACCCGCTCCCGTACTTTCTGCGAAATACCATCCCCACCTTAATCCCTGCGGTGCTCTTTCGCCTTCACATGATCACATACGCCATATACCTGGCAATTGTCTCTCTGGAAGAGACTCTCGCTTACTCCGGGTACTCGGTTATGCCGGTGGACTTCCTCCTTCTGGGTGGGATTGCCCGCAGAGTGGATAGACATTTGCTTAGTTGGCCGGAAGGCAATTTTGGTCCATGGGGCATCCTGGATTGGATATTACAGACTACGATCGCAGATGAGGGAGGCGAGGATGATACCGGGTCGGCTAGGGGCAGTAGACACTCGCTGTCAGAGGAAGAGGAGTTCCAGGCGAAGGTGCATGAGGCTTTGGATGACCATGCGAAACGAACGCAGCGCAAGCACAAGAAGAAGATGAAGGCCGGTCATTGAAGAATTGGATATATGTCTCATGGGTTAACAATGTTGGTATATTAAGCTGTGGGGGCTTTTTGGTGTAGTGGCATGCGTAGTTGCGGAGATGCCCTGGGACGTTGGATATGTGTTATGTTGGATATGTGTTATGTTGGATATGTGTTATGTTGGATGTGTATATGTTGTCATGATATAGAATGAGATTGTCCTGCGTCACTCGGAGGGTTTGGGAGTACTATGTTGCAGGGCGTTCGTTGGGCTAAGTTATCTGCGCTGCGTGAGGCTCATAGATCGATCATCATTTACCTATTAGGTATCCTTATTGCTATCATGATTATTATTATTATAATTATTATGTGTCATGATACTCCGTACTCCGTATTATATAAATTGTATGTGGGGCCGGGGGCGGGCGTTCGTATCCAGGGGGATGAAAGTCGCAATCGGAACCAGTATCGCAAGAAATCGTATATACTCCGTACTATATGCAGCAGCAGTAGTAGAGATACCTGGAAGAATTGATAGTAACCTAAAACCCAAAAATTTAAGATTCCCAAATATTTTGAGATTTCCGCCCGAACCTGGAACTTGGAGATGAATAATATCGTAGTGAACATGAATGAAAAAGTCTCCCAGCCCTCACCCGGGAGGACAAAGTAAACAGCTGGAAAGGTATTCTTCTTTTTTTCTTTTCATTTCGGCTCAGTTATCAACTGCTGCAAGACGGCCACGCTGGAGGGACTGATCGTGAAATAAGAGATAACAACCGGTTTTTTCTTTTTTTCCGCATTAAAAAAACCGCAATCCTAAGCAAACATGAGGCCCGAATCGAGTTACATATACTTCATGAGCTGTTCCTCCGGCGCTGCAAACGCCCTCCCAATGAATTGGGAATGCCGAGTTGCATCTAGCCGCCCCTCGCAGGATTCCTCCACAATAACTACCGAACCCGCGGCCGCCGCGTCACACATCTACCACTTCATCTCGTGGGGCTTGTCACCGTTCCGGAGGCTAAAAGTGGTGGCGAGGTAGCTGCCAAGGAAGTTCTCCTTCTTGACGGAGGCCAGGATGGTCTGGTCAATGGCCTTCTGGTCGCTGGCGCGAGCGCTAGCAACGACCTTCTTCTGTTGATGGGTCTCTACATCAGTATCCGATCATTCCGCATAGTCCGGCCCTCTCACGTGGAGAGTCCGACCACGGGTTGCACATACCTGGGGCTTCTCTCCCTGCTTGAAGAAAGCCTCCTCGGTCTTCTTCTCAGCCTTCTTCTCCTTGGTGAAGTAGTCGGCAGCGGAAACCTTCTCGAGGGTCTGGGCGTCAACACCGGTGATATCCACGCGGGTGCTGGTGGCGATCACGTAGCGGGCGTTGACACGGCGGAGGGGGACACCGTTGATCTTGAAGGGACCGGTGACGAGGAGAACACCCTGCTCGAGGTGCTTGAGGAGAACGACACGCTTACCACGGAAGCGGCCGGCGAGGAGGATCAGAACGGTACCGGGCTGAAGGCTCTCGCGGAGCTTGGCGGGACGCAGAGTCTTGCGGACCTGTATGCATAAAAACAAACATCATGTCAGAACTGTCTGTTCTAGTCTTCTGGTGTCTTGTGTGCCATTGTAAGACGAATTTCGGGCCAAATTGCACAATTCCGAGGTCGGCCGAAGATGCGATTTCCTTATCAACTCATGGTCTTTCGAGACTGGCCCTTATTCCAACCTCCCGCTAATAGGAGTCACCTTCGCTGACCAGCGCAATCCGTCGCATTTGTTCATAGTGAAACCGCATCTTCGTCCACCTCGTTTTCTGGCTCTGATGTAGGGTGTGGTACTGACTTTCTTGGGCTGCGACTCGTCATCAACGGGGTACCATTTCTGGGCCTTCTGAGCCGGGTGAGGCACGGTCCTCTGGCCCTTTCCAAACTGCTTCGTCTGGCCAACAGTAGAGTCCGACATATTGGCTGCTGGGGACGAAGGTGGTCTGAAAAGAATGTAGGGGGAGGGTGGTGGTTGTCGACGGCGGGTGGTTGTTGGAGTTGATGTGTGACTTGCTACTTGCGCCCCAGGACGGGAAAGTGTGAGTTTGTGTGAACGCGAGCCCTAGCCGAAAGGCGCTAGTGCCGATTCGGAGCGGCCTGATAGCGATAGCCCGATAGCGCTCTCTACGAGCCTAAGGCACCCGCTTCCCGCCTTCCCTTCGGTCGTCCGCAGACACCCACCGCGCAAACCCAAGCTATCCATTCACATTGTTGCGGGTACCACCCAACTGACGTACATTGCTGGATCAGCTTCTGCCGTCAATCCTCAAACCACCTCTCGCCCGCTGCCTTAGAAGTGCCATCATCCTCTAACTCCAACCAGCAGGGATCTGTACATACTCACAAATACCTTGCCACTCTCCTTCACTTAGACGACTACACCATCATGTCTATAGCTCCGATCATTACCTTCAAAGCGGGTATCTGTGACCTGGAGGTGAGTCGAGTCTGAAGCTCTCCCCAGTTGAATCTATTCTCCCGTTGCTCATCGCATCTCTTCCTGATGATAGGCGTCCGGTGAACCTCCCGTTGTCAGACCCAAGTCGACCCCCGGATACATCTATCTTTACTCCGAAGATGAGCTGGTACACTTCTGTTGGCGTCCCAGGTCTGCTCCCCACACGGAGCCCGAGCTCGACCTGGTCATGGTCCCCTCCGACGGAAGCTTCGTTCCCTACAAGCCTGCCGGTAATGCGGTGCCTACCAATGGTCGCATTTACGTCTTGAAGTTCTCCTCGAGCTCCCAACGGTACCTCTTCTGGCTACAGTCCAAGACGCAACACGAGGATGGAAACCCGAGCTGGTTCAGCCAGAGGGATCTTAGACTGGGAGAGATTGTCAACGGGCTGCTCCAAGGTGAAGAGCTGGATGTGGAGCATGAAATTGCCAACCTTCCCCGGGGCGGTCCTTCGGGCGGCGATGATGACGAGACAATGGAGGATGTCGAAGGTGTGGACCATGACCCGAACCACAATCACGGAGGCAACAGCGGAGGGGCAGGCCCGGATGCCACGGGCGGTGATATCCGGGAGGAAGGCCAAGGATCGAGGGAGGGTGGTGCCGATGGTGGAAGAGCGTAGGTACATATCTCGACAGTTTTTTGTCTCTAGTCTTGAACTCTCCTAGCCGAGTTATTACTTCAATACGCTCGGATACTTTGGTCATGATTAGGCTTCTTTTCCCATGAATACAGGCTGACTGGCTTTGGTTCACAGGGCGGCTGCTGACTCGAATCCTTCATCTGTCGTGCAGAGCTTCCTGCAGTCTTTGGGGGGCCCACGGCAATCCCAAGACCCCGAGAGGCATTTCACTACTCTGCAAGATCTCCTTTCCCCTTCGACTACAGTGGCCTTCTTGGGGTCTGCGGACGAGAAAACCGTTGACAATATGTTGAGCTTCTTGCCCCCGTCGTTGCTGCTCCTGGCACAGGAAAACGATCCAGAAGAGGCGGCGGCGGCAGACCAGGACCCTGACATCGCTCAAGCAGCTCTGGGATCCCTCGATCTCACGCAAAAGAAAGAAATTCTTCGCAAAGTTCTACACTCGCCTCAATTTGCGCAGAGTCTAGCAAGCTTGACGGTGGCGATAAGAGATGGCGGATTACCGAGCATCAGCGAAGCCCTAAAGATTCCGGTTGCAAATGGAGGATTTATGCGGAGGGGAGGAGTTCCATTGGGTGGTGGTGATGCCGTCGAGGCATTTCTCCAAGGCGTTCGGGATCATGTCAAGGATCCAGCTCAAGGAAACCGTATGGACACTGATTGATTGGTCGAAATAGCAAGCAGTGATTATATTTTTTTTTCTTTTATTTTTTTTTTTTTTCGGATCCTGGACAGGCAGCCTTCCTGTGACTATCCAGCCGTGTTTTAAAATCCATTAGCGGCCTTGCATGGATGTCTCATCCCTCCGTAGAGACAGGACTTGTCATGGGTTATTTTTGGATGCGGTGGGTGGGGTCAACTGCATTGGTAGGCAGCATGATAATAATAATAATAATAATAACGCTCTGGTGTGGCGCACGGCGGCGGGCGCCCGTTAATTTCGAACCCAATAGAGCCGGAGGGAAAATTCCGACAGAAAGAAGATAGGCTAGATACACCATTTAATTATTGTACTCCGTAGAGTGGCCGGAAATCCCAGGGAAATACCGAATTAGGCGTATGACAAGTGATCCTGTCAGGGACCAAAGCAGGTCGTACATGATGATTTCCCCCCCTCCTGCCGGGGAACAGGGAATAATTTATTGGCTTGTCCACCCATAAGGCTCGGACGATTCGAAGATCAAAAGTCGAGCAATCGCTGGGCCCTCGAATTGAGGGCTGGAATGGACCATACAGAAGCCGCCGCTGCCGAAGCCGCCCCAGTTTTTGGCCGCTTTGGCGCCATCCAGGCAAAGCTCCGCTGCGCATACCGAGCAATAATAATCATCACCGCGGTCTGGAAGACGACACGTTTGGGCTCCCTTCCCCATCATGCCCGCTGCCTTTGACGGCCGCTTGGCTTGATTGGATCCTTGCCCACAGTTCCGCTCGGGGTGCCACCGCTAACTTAACCAGAGTTCGTCAGCCCTTTCGTACTAGACCCAAGTCCTGGCTAGGAGTCTTCCCCAAGCGCGCTTTCACTTGCCCTTGGTCGACGACGCTCCAGAGCTGAGCCTTTCTAATCTTTCCTTTCTTGCAGCCTGCGATGTCTGCCTTCGGTTAGCACTTTGAGACTGCCCACCATGGCTTCGAATAGCCATGACCGCGGCGCCAATAACCCCGACTTCTCTACCGATCACTCAATCCCCTTGCAGGATCTCTCCGCGCCGTCGGAACCGGACCATGAACGTGGAGGCCCAGGTGGTGTTGCGAGCAGGCTGGGTCGCTCTTTGACCGGCAGGGGCCGAACAGGAAGGAATTACGAACGTATAGCGGAGGATTCCCCCATCGATGCCGTCAATGCCGCGCGCAATGCGCGCCCGCATCCTCATGTCGCCGATGAAGAAGATGACGACGTCCCGATCGAGGACCCCGGGGCGTTTGCTCAAGCAATGTCGTCGGTCGGACTCAGTTTTCACCCCTCGTCCAGTACCTCACTCGCACCATCACATAGCCGGGCAGGCTCCAGCATTGACCTAGACACTGTGCCGCTGGATGGAACCGACCCGTACCTCTCCCGCGTTAATACCTACAATGACACTGCACCGTTGACGGACACTCATAACGTCCAGCCGATAAGTGGAGCTTCCGGCTCGGAGAATGTTCATCAGGATGATCAGAGCGGTGCACGTACACTTCAGCTCCCCGCCGCCAGCCATCCGGGGTCACGATTAGGCGATGATCTACACAATCTGGAGGGGGGTTTCATTGGTAGACCCCGCACAGGAAGCAGTGGGATGGAAAGATCTCGATCGCTGTCCCCTTCGGGTTCTGGGTCAGCCTTGCAGCGGGCCAGCTCGATGATGAAGTCTATGTCCCAGCGTATCGTCAACCTCAGTAATGAACCTGAAGTTGTGGAGCAATCGATCCTCAGGGAGGAATCGCATAGGAATGCGCGGATGGAAGAGCCACCGATACTCCCATCTTTACCGGATTATGCACACGATGCGCCGTCTACCAGTTCGTTGCACAGTTCAGCTCCCGGAGAGAAACTGCCATCGGACAATAAAGCCTGGCGCGGCATTAGCAACCCTTTGAAAGGGAAATCCCTGGGCATCCTCGGCCCAGATAATGCTTTTCGGATGTGGTTATGTGATATACTGGTTCATCCATTTACGGAGCCCTTTATATTGGTTGTGATTATGGTCCAGACGATTCTGTTGACTATTGAGTCCTCACGCTCGGTCTGGAAATACCCCCGAGCTGTCAAATGGGGGGCAAATGCCATGGACTATCCGTACTTTGCTATCTTCATCATCTATACGCTCGAAATTATCGCCAAGATCCTCGTGTCAGGGCTGATCATCAACCCTGCCGAATACAGCACCATAGACCGGTCGATGGGGTTCCGGAAAGCGGTAGTGGAGAAGGGAAAGAATCTCATCATACCGCAGCGACAATTCTCGGTGCGAAAGTCATCAGTCATGTCAGAGCAACCGCAAGCCTCTATCATACGCACTTTTACGGGCGGCTTGAATCAGTTGGAACGTCAACTCGCCGATGATCCGCTTCAGAAAAGCCGCGTGAGACTTGCTCACCGTGCGTTTCTCCGCCACTCATTCAACCGTCTCGACTTTGTCGCCTTAGTGTCGTACTGGGTTTCCTTCTTTCTCTCTATATATGGAGTGGAGACTCGCCAGCAGCTCTATGTGTTCAGCATGCTCAGCTGTCTTCGGATCCTTCGTCTCCTTAATTTGACTAATGGTACTTCTGTGAGTGCGAGGCAGATGGCGATTCTTAGCGGCGTGATTTACTGACTTCAACCCAGGTTATCATCCGGAGTTTAAAGAAGGCTGCGCCTTTGCTTGCGCATGTAGCGTTCCTCGTCGGCTTTTTCTGGCTCCTCTTTGCCATTGTTGGCATCCAAAGCTTCAAGTCCAGTCTTCGAAGGACCTGTGTTTGGCGTGGTGTAGACGGTCAAAGCGATTATGACCAAAACGATCCAAACGGCAATATACAATTTTGCGGAGGTTATATCAATGCGACCACTGGGCAAGAAATGTCTTGGATCCAGTCAAACAACATCTCGAGTACGTCTAGTCCGAAGGGCTATCTCTGCCCAGCAGGATCGGTTTGTCTTGAAGGTGGCAATCCCTTTAACGGGACGATGAGTTTTGACAACATCCTGAACTCGCTGGAGCTCGTGTTCGTTATCATGACCTCCAACACCTTCACTGACATCCTCTACTATACTGCTGACAGTGATTACCTCGCGTCCTCTATCTTCTTCGTATGTGGGCTTGTCATTCTGAGTTTGTGGATGGTCAACCTGCTAGTTGCGGTGATCACTCACTCTTTTCAAGTCATCCGAGAGGAAAGCAAGCGCAGTGCCTTTGCCGTTCAGAAAATCGACACAACTGAGAGGGAGGACATGTCCTCCCGAAAGGCTAGTACAATCAAACGTCTCTATGACAAGACTGAATGGCTTTGGGTCTGCATTATCATTTTCGATCTTACTATTCAAGCCCTGAGGAGCGCTTCTATGGGTGACAGCCGGGAGCGGTTGATTAGCACCACGGAATTCATCGTCACATTCATCTTCCTTTTTGAAATTATTCTACGGTTTGCCTCTGATTGGCGCACGTTTCACAAAAAGGCTCGAAACTGGGTTGATCTAGGACTCGTTGTGATAACCTGCATCATCCAGGCTCCAGCGATCAAGCGGGAACGGGCATATGATGTCCTCACACTCTTTCAGATTCTTCGAGTATATCGAGTTGTGCTCGCATTTAAGGTGACCAGGGACCTCATCATGGTTGTCTTCCGTAATTCAGTCGGTCTACTGAATCTTATTTTCTTCGTCTTCCTGATTACATTCCTGGCTTCCATCTTCGCAACACAGCTCTTCCGCGGTCAGATTCCGGAAGAAGATGACGACGGCGATCTCATTTATATCACCTTCTCGGACATATACAATTCTTTCCTCGGAATGTATCAACTCCTATCCAGTGAGAACTGGACAGACATTCTGTACGACGCCACGACATATACTTATGGATACAACACAGCTTGGATCTCAGCGACCTTTTTGATACTATGGTTTATCGTGGCAAATTTTATTGTCCTGAACATGTTCATTGCTGTCATTCAGGAGAGCTTTGATGTCTCAGAGGACGAGAAACGGCTTCAGCAGGTCAAGGCATTCTTACAGCAGAAGCAGGTCAACATGTCCTCTCAGGGAAATTTGTCTCTTTCCAAGATCTTCAAGCTAGGCAAAGATTCCAGCCGCTACAAAGATCCTCTTGATCATGGCCCAGCGGCGTTGGAAATGTTGCTCAAGGATGCTGTTGTCCAGGAGTTCCTTGATGATAATGAATCGCCAGAGAACCGGCAAGGAGATAGCGTGCCACTGGAGACATCGGCCACCGCGGAGACAGCCCAGCCAGGCTTTTTCTCGCGCTTCGGGTCGAAATTTACCACGTCAATCATGCGTCGAGAACCGAATCCCTTCTATTCCAAGCTAGAGATCCCGCGGGCGTTCGATGAGCTAGACCCAAGAACTATGGCCAAGGAGTTTGTCTCGGCCGCTGAGCAAAGGAAAAGAGCTCAGCGAGAGTACCTCATGCGCCACCCCAATTACAATAAGTCCCTCTTCATGTTCGCGCCCAGTCATCCTGTTCGAAAGCTATGCCAACGCATCGTGGGACCGGGACGTGGAGTCCAGCGAGTGGAAGGTGTAGATCCCTATAAGCCGGTCTGGTATACGTTTTCCGCCTTTATCTATGCGGCCATTGTCGCCATGGTTCTGCTGGCTTGCATAACCACGCCAATTTACCAGAAAACCCACTTCACGTCTAACCGGGACTGGTTTACGTATACTGATATGGGTTTCGCGGTCTTGTTCTCCATCGAAGCTATAATCAAAGTCATTGCAGATGGATTTTTCTGGACCCCGAATGCGTACTTTCGTGGCTCCTGGGGATTTCTCGACGGAGTTGTTTTGATAACGCTTTGGATCAGTGTCGGTGGTTCCTTGTACCAGGATTGGGGCGTCACTCGGGCCATTGGAGCCTTCAAGGCTCTTAGGGCCCTCAGACTCTTGAATGTCAGCGACAGTGCCAAGAATACTTTCCATTCAGTCATCATTGTTGGTGGATGGAAGGTCATCGCTGTAAGTCCCTTTTCTCATTCGTATCCCAAGCATGCAGAAGCTGATGCACCTGACAGGCTGCGGCCGTTTCGATGAGCTTTTTGATCCCTTTCGCTATCTACGGAGTCAACCTTTTCGCTGGACGGATGGTGCTTTGTAATGATGGCGACATTTCAGGAAGCTTGGACCAATGCATCGATGAGTACCAGAGCTCGCCTTACAATTGGGACGTCCTCGCCCCGCGAGCAGCAGCCAATCCGTACTATGACTTTGACAACTTCGGCGATTCCCTCTTCATACTGTTCCAAATTGTCTCCCAAGAAGGGTGGATCGACGTACAGGACAGTGCAATGAGCATTACTGGAGTTGGTATGCAGCCACAGGACTACGTCGCGCCGGAGAATGGACTTTTCTTCATTGTTTTCAACTTGCTCGGTGCCGTCTTTGTCCTGACGCTCTTCGTGTCTGTGTTCATGCGAAACTATACCGAAGAGACCGGGGTTGCCTACCTCACTGCTGAGCAGCGATCGTGGCTAGAATTGAGGAAACTTCTCCGGCAGATATCCCCTTCCAAGCGCTCGTTGGACAAGAAGAGCCGACAGTGGAAGATGTGGTGCTATCGGGTGGCCGTCAAAAAGCACGGCCCTTGGTCAAGATGCGTGACTCTCGTTCTTACACTCCACCTTTTGTTGCTGGTCTTGGAATACTATCCCGAGCCGGCTCTCTGGGATCAGATCAGAGGTCAGTTGTCCTCTCGTGCCTTGTATCGGCGTTGTTCCTGCTAACCACTCATCTTCTCACAGAGATAATCTTCTTCGCGTTTAACTTCATCTACATTGTGAATGTTGCAATCCGGATGATTGGGTTAGGCTGGCATCGCTTTAGTCGTAGTTCATGGGACATTTATTCATTACTCTCTGTCTCCGGGACGTTTATCACGACAATTCTGAGGTTCTTGTCATCGAGCCAGGTCATCAATGAGCTGAACAAGCTCTTTCTTGTCTCGATCACTCTTCTCATTATTCCCCGGAACAATCAGCTTGACCAGCTTTTCAAAACCGCTGCGGCTAGTCTGACATCTATCGGCAATCTCCTCGCCACGTGGTTCGTCCTCTTCCTTGTGTTCGCGATCGCCATGAACCAAGCATTTGGTCTTACGAAGTTCGGGTCGCAAGAGACCAACAACCTCAATTTCCGGGACGTTCCGAAGGCCCTCATTCTACTGTTCCGGATGAGTGCCGGAGAAGGATGGAACCAAATCATGGAGGACTATGCCACGATGGATCCGCCGTACTGCACGTATAGAGGCCAATTTTTCGAAGATGATTGTGGCAGTGCGCCGTGGGCCCGCTCGCTCTTCATTGCGTGGAACATCATCAGCATGTATCTCTTTGTCTCGCTGTTTACGTCCTTGATCTTTGAGAGCTTCTCATATGTGTACCAGAAGAGCAGTGGGCTGTACGCGATCAGTCGGGAGGATGTGCGCCGCTTCAAGCATGCGTGGGCTACATATGATCCGGATGGAACGGGATTTATTACCAAAGAGCAGTTCCCGCGGCTGTTGGGAGAGTTGTCGGGGGTGTTCTCGATGCGGATCTATGACGGCGAGTTTACGATTGGACAGATCATGGAAGAGTGTCGAGTGGACAAGCGAGACTCGCTTATGGCGCATCGGAGAGTGGTCGACGGGCTGGACCTGGATAAAATGACCAAAATCCTTCGACGCATCCCAGTCGACACTGTGCGCACGCGCCGGCAACGGCTGAATGCGTTCTACGAAGAGGTCCTCGTCTCGGCGGACCCGGTGCGTGGCATATCGTTTCATTCGTGCCTCATGATCCTGGCGCATTACAACGTGATCAGCGATAGCAAGAGCCTGAGGCTCGAAGAGTTCTTGCGAAGACGGGCGCGACTGCAGCGAGTTGAGGAAACCATTCGCCGCCAAACGGTGATCGGCTTCTTCGACACGCTGTACTGGTCTCGCGAATTCCGGCGACGGGTCGAGCACAAGAAATCGGCCCGGATGAGCGGCGTTCCCCAGTTCTCGGTTCCCGAGATCTTTGTGGACGATGGATCTCACGATGAGCCCTCGACTACAGAAGAGGCTCCTGAAAGCACACGCGACCCGCTGACCGGGGCAGACCTGTCGCAGCCGATGCTGTCCCCGACGTCGCCCACAGGGAGAGCAGCACGGCCGTATCAGCTTCCGCCCATCGACACGAGTCCACTGGGCCGCATATCTGTGTTGAACTCGCCCTCGACGGAATGGTCGAGCATCAGTCCATCCCTGTCGCCCCTTCGGGAGCGGGCCAACACGACGTCGTCCTACGGCAGCGGACCGGACTTGCACGATGAACTGCAGGCAGCCAGCGCAGCGCATTCGCGAGAGAACAGCACGATGAACGTCAACGATGTGATGCAGTCGCTGGGCGAATCGGCGTGGGGCGAGAGTATCCGGCGCAGCTTTACGCAGCGACGTCGATCGGGGGAGTAGAAGGATGACGAGTGAAGTGGATAGATATATGAGCGATGTTGCCACGATCTCCCAGAATAAATGTTGAATCATGGGAATGGGGCCTGTTTTTTTTTTTTCTTGGGGGTTTACTGTTTGTTTACAGTTTCTTTGTTCTTTTGGGCTGCTCCTGTTTTTGGCGTGTCTTGCTTGCCCCTTCCCCGTGCCTTGTTTTTGCCCAATCTTACCCTGCATCATCTACTTAGTACTGTCTGTTCGGGATCCATTTGCTGGTCGGAGTGATCTGGGCATGAACTAGTCATCTCTGTGCCGGCTGGGGAGACGCTTGGGATGTTCTTTATTGTTCTGGGGATGTTCTTGATCGCTAGAGACTTGATGTTTGCATAGCGGTGGCGTGTGGGAGGGATACACCGCGTCGATTGGTTCGAGGCACATGTTCTGCATGGCCGGTCTGTACAGTTTAGCTTGGGGAGGAGACGAGATGATTGGTGTTTGAATAGTCATGATGATAGATCGAACTATACAGTACTGTTGTAAATTGTGACCTTGAATCCTGTGATTTCCGGGGGGTCTGCTTGGCATTGCCGGATTGGGCAACCGTGAGGGCACTGGGGGGGGGGGGGGGGGGGGATGGAAGGGGAAGCCAATAGTCAACCACCCTGGCGAGAACACGTCGACGAAAGAACCCGTCATGGGATATGGATGGAGTCGATTGACAGGTGGTTGACTGCGGTCGGAAAGAAGGGCGCGCGTGGGAAAGTCGAATGGGTAAGAATGGATCGGAAACGGAGGGGCCCAGATGGCCGGATGCAGCAGCAGCGAACGAGGGGGCCTGCGTTCGTTCGGTCGTGTCTTCCCTCCTTGCAGCTGGGATCGAAGGTATTCTCCTCGACTCCCTCAGGCCTATAAGGCAGGGTGCCTCACGGTGCCTGTTTGTACCTGTCGGAGCCATCGGATCTTCTTCTCGCCTCTTGTCTCCGGTCGAGAACCGGCTTCTTCCACGCGGCCTGGAACTACTACTAGATACTAACTACTACGGAGGCACCTGACTACTATATCTACTCTCTAAATCCTCCCGATGGTTAACTGTTTTCCTCGCCAACCTTTTCCTCGGCTTTGACATCATCACCCTCATCCTCATCCTCCTCATTAGGGACATCCCGTTAAGCCACCCTCATACCGATTCTTTGGCTTATTCACTTCCCTGCCCCCCTCTGAGTCGTCATTGATCGCTATTCACCACACCTCACCTCACCTCACCTCATCTCCATCGATCAATTTAAAATCCACCCACGATGCGCTCCAATCAACCCTCATCACACGGGCTCTCCTTGCACACTTCGTTTCCTTCCGAACGAGCCTGCACCGCCGACTGTTGCTCCATGTCGATAACCTCCACCACCGCTTCGACGGTGCCTCCCCATCCTCCCGTCGGTCCGTCGTCCTCGTCTACGACACCGACTCCGCTCAGCTCCACTACCGTCAGTCCCACTTCATCGCCCACTTCGTCTCCTTATCCCTTCCGCCGCTTTCACCACCGCCTCAGTCTCACTCGCGACCCCATCAATCTGAATGGCCACCACCACTACCCCAACAGTACTTCCTCCCCTTCCAGTCGCAGCCAAAGCCCCTTCCGACTCTCCTACTCGTCCCTCCTTCGTCGTCCCTCGTTGATGCTCCTCCGCCGTCGCCCCTCCAAAGTCGACTTAGCCTTGTGCGAGGAACGGTCTCGATGCGACGAAGACTCCATCGAGCGGCAGGGTCTAGATCTTATGGAGCCGCGCCCGGTGGATCCACTCGGCTTTTCCATGGATAGTATGGACGCGAGTGTCTTCTCCTCGGGCTCGTCGATGGTTGGCGATCGATCCTCAACACAAAGTTTGACCGTTGCGCAACCGCGCTTCGTCATGGGTGGCATTTTCGAGGTCTTGGAAGGAAGTGGCTAGCCTTTTCGACTACATAGTTTTTTCCCTCCCTTGCTTTGCTTTGTCACTTGGGTTTAAATTATGGTGGTTATTCCTGGTGTTTTGCTTTGCCTTGCTTTACTTTGCTCTGCTTGGTGGGAGCTTCTGGCGCTTTGCTTGATGTCTGCTTATCTACCAGGGTGCAACGCTCCACACCTGGGTTGTTTATGATCTGAGCGAATTGGAACAGGCGTAATACTTGGTTTGATTTGGACGGAGTTTGGGTGATGGGCAATGGCGTCTTTAGAGTTGGTTGCCTTTTTCTTTTCTTTTTTCAAATATTTTTTATCTTTTGATAAATATGATTCTCAATGGAATCCACTCATCTACCCTCCTGCTTCTGGATTTATGGGCCGAAAATACAAATGAATACTCTCATCTGCTTATACTGTCAGTTGATTTCAGCGTTGGATAATTGCGGTTAATGCTAAATACTAGATACACCGAATAATCACAGAGATAATAAGTGACAGTTGACAGTAAATAGAATTCAATGGTAACCAGTGCAGTACCCACAATTCAATAAGACAAAGCTTCCGCGCCAGCGCCTAAGCATGCAATGAAATGAATGACTAATTGGGTAAATGCACCATCTGGGGTATCGTGTCGGAGTGAAAGAAGAGGTGGGAGAATAAAAGAAGACAACCGAACCCAATCCAATCCAATCTAATCCATCCATGATGAATGAACCAGAGATAGTGGAATGAAAAGTAGTGAAGTAAGGCAATGTAATGCATGACACGTGATCATTCCCAATGCAATGCAACAAGAATCAAGGCTTAGGCTTTTGCTTTCTCTCGCCATGCTGAACAAACCAATACCGTTGAAATAATAGATTAATTGAACGCGCTTGCGCCAATCCTGGTGTAAACTAACCAATCAGCTAACTCTCACAGCGCCATGCAATGCAAGCATATGGTATCATGATTGGAAAGAATATGTGCAGATGTAAAACAGGTGGAGGTAGTAGGTGAGATTGAAGATTATCTCATCCCTTTCGCCTTTCGTTGATTCGGCCATAGCTGACCGCGGCAGCTACTCTCCCCGCATAGACATTGCACTGCGTTGGGGTCAACCTTGTTGACTTCTTCCCAGGCGGGGTTGTAGTCGAAGGTCAATTCCGTCATGGGGGGTACATCCTTGAGAGCGAAGAAGGCAAGGTCATACAGATAGTCGTCTGCGTGGTTCCGAGACACAGGGAACATCCGACAATTCGGGTTACAGGAATGGTTCATGAATCTGGTGGGACCACCGAACTTGTGGCCATCCACGACGTACTTGCTGTCTTCTTCAGTGATAAGAAAATCCAGACTGAAGAGATACGAGTGGCCATTTTGTGAGGTGGCGATGTCTTCACGGATGTCGGCGACTTCCTTGGTGATGGCCTCGCCCAGGTAGCAGTCAATGAACTGACCAGCGCGGATTCGGTCCGGAGAGCGGAGACCTTCACTTTGATCAGTACAGTACTTGATCACGTGCCACATGAGAACCATCGGGGGACATACCGAACCCTCTATTGCCCGTGTTGAATATCTCCAACCGCACCGTCCGTCCACTCTGCACGACCCGGTTCCAGCACCGCTCATCACACCCACACCGCGAACTACACTCGTAGATCATCGCTTTCCGTTTTAAAAACTCCGGAGTAAGAACCAGCAATCGCGCATCATCCTCGGCCCGTTTGTACGGCACCATTGAATCATTGGTCTCTTCCTCTTTACTAAGACAGAGGCATCTTGCCGGATCGCAGAATCCGACACAGGTACACCCCGCATTAAATTCCTCGGGCACGGGTGTGACCCCCTGGCGAATCTTGTACTCATTCACAAACTCAAAGTTGGCCGCAAATCGCGCCAGCAGATGCTCATCTCCCGGTGCAAAGGTCACTTTTGGGCCCCGGATCTTCCCCAGCTTCCGCTGCAGAGTCTGACGCAGCTGTGCAGTGATGTCCGGCTTGGAAGTGAGTAGGGGTCCAACAGTGCCAACTTCAAAGGAAATCTCGGCCCGCTTGACCTTTCGAACGGTCGGGTAGGCACCCTTCACTGCACGCTTCTCGTAGGCGTCAGTCGGGTAGAATGTCTCCGAGAGCCCAATGGGAGAAGGAGCGGGGATAAAGTTAGCGGAAGCGAGTTCTAATATCTGGCGTTGCGAAGGTGAAGGAACCACCACGCTCAGGGTATTATGGGGGAAGCCGGACCCAGGGCTGGGGGTGTGGTATGTGAATGGCTTCCTGATCAGGACAGATTTGGTTTCTTCATTCTTCTCCTGGTGGCGGAGAATCTGTTTGGTGGCGGCCACATTAAATGGGGATGATCGACGGGTGCTCATGAGGGGGTGTTGGATGTGCATGGCTTTCTTTGGTCCATCCTGACCATAGGAGGTGTGGTGGTTTGGGGTCTGCTTAGTGAGGCTATTTGCCTGTTGTGGCTGAGATGAAGACCGCTGCTGTGAATTTGGCCGTGGAGCTTGAAATGCGGCGAGCAGTGACTCTACATCTTCACTTTTCCTCTTCGATGGCACTGAAGAAGCGGTGCGGTGAGTAAGAGTAGAGAGAAAGCTGGATCTGTTGTGTTGCAGAGGAGGTGCAGGTGGAGAAGGAGAAGGGGGATGAGAAACAGTAGCAGCAGCAGCAGCAGCAGCAGCAGGAGCAAGAGCTGATGCTATTGGTCCCGATAGGGAAGGCGCGTGCTGGATGTATCAAGTCAGCTGATCTCCATGGCAGAAACATGGCACAAAATGCTGCAGGTGACAGAAAGGAAATCAAAAAGAAAAAAAAAGAAAAATAAAAGTGTTGGAACCACCCCCAGCAAAAAAAGGTAGACTGATAATGCAGCATGGCACTGCTTATGGCTGCTACCTCATCCAAAAAAAGGTACGTAGGTAGATAGACAGATTGATAGCCGCCAACCACCATTAAAAGAACCAAAACAAGACCAACAACACGCAAACAGCCTTTATCTAGGGGGGGGTGGAAGATAGGTAGGCCCCAACTCACCTCCTCGATCCTGTCCTCCGAATCCGAATCCTGGGTTAGATCGATTACCATCTCTTTGGAAAGTAAAGACATCCAGACAAATCACAAAAAATCAAAACACTGGCTTTACAAATGAAACGGGTCGTTTAGGAGAACAACATGAGTGTGGTTGCTGAAAAAGATTAGGATCAATTCGACCCTAGAGTTAGAAGGGGGAAACTAACACTTAGACTAGCCTATTTAGGAAATTATTAGTCAGCTGATTTATAAATTAACTAATCTGAGAGGTTGAGTTCTTTAATTATAATGTGATTTCGATTGAAATGACATTCACTACAAACTGGATCGGTCTTTTTATATCAGTTGAAAGAGAAAGTCGAGACTTGTTTATTAGGTGCGTGTGTTGTACTGGGTTTTTGTTATCAGCAGCGTAGGTGCCGCAGGCCATTCTGATCTGGCCAATAGGGATGCAGTCTGGGGAGGATAGATTGGACTGGAAAGTCATTGCTTATCTTTGCTCGGTCACGGGTAGCTGTGAGAGTCAAACAAGCAGATCAAAATCAGTGACTGGTCATAGAGTGAGTAATTCACAACTTCTAGAAATCAGACCTCAAAAAGAGACAAACATATAGAATCAATTATTCTAAATCTAAATCAATAACTAGAATTTGAATAAATACTGTAGCTGAGACAGGAGAGCATCTCAAACTTTCTTTATCTATCTCTTTATTCAAATGGTGGCTTTCTTGGCGCGATATCCGCACTGGTGACTAAGCGTATCACGATGATAGTTAGTTAGTTATCAGTTGTGTTGTTCGTAAGTTGGGTCGATGCCTTGTTGTTGATGACATTTGACAATTCTATTTCTTGTAGAGTCAGATTAAACTGCTTACAATCTGTATCTTCTGACGGTGGTGTAATATGAATAATCTCGCAAGTTTTGCGGTGTGATACTGGTAAGAACTAACGGAGAGCAGAGTATCATCCTACGCCCTATACTGCGGCGGCCCTTTAGCGTCAGGATGTCCCCCTTAGCTTACCCGAGGACGCCCCCGGCGGCGCATTGCGCTAAGGGGCCAACTGGCTAACTAGTAACTACTCGGATATCGAGGCTTATACAGTTATCTTGAATATCAGCTATAAGCTTTGAGAGATTCAATTAGATCAAACAGTCCAGACTACTTAAAGTATTGATGTTGATATGTATTGAATCAACGCTCGTAGTCAACCTAGGACGGACAGTTTTGACTTGCTATGTAGTAACAAAAAACAAAATTTGTAGTCATACTCAGTTCCAAGGAGCATGTGTCGCTCTCTACGCCGCATAGCTAGACTTTCTTGTCTAATTACATGCACCAGTTAGCAGAACATGCATTTCTTCGCACTTGATCTCTTTGTAAGTACTCCATAGGAAAAGTGGACCTGCTGACTTGTCTCTCAGCTTGATTTGTTGCAGCACATATCTCCTAAACCATGCTGCCATGTACATAGTCTGTGGTGTGAGTATAATTAGTCGCACGAGATTTGAGTTGTGTGACTGTGTCGAGTAATTCAACGGTAACATTACAATATCTAGGTCTAACATAAGAGCTAAACTTTGATCTTGAATTCAAGGATCTATGTATATGAAATACTCATAAACTATGTGGCGTGGCTCTAAACTGATTGGTAATTGATTGACTAACTAGTAAGTCTGTCCTATTGTCTACTTGGACAGGTCCGTAATCATGACTCGCACGGGCTGATGTTGTGTAACCAAGCTCGGGGACTAGCACAGGCTAGGGTCTGCATTCAGGGGGCTAGTCTACTGGGACAGACTAAGGATCTCCAGCCGGGGACTCTTTTGAAGGTTCGTAGGCCTAGACATGAAGTGAAAGCCAACGGTTCGTAGGGATACGATGTGTTCTCAAATCCACCTATATAAAATGACCTTCATAATATGACCTGGAGAGGGCCAACATTCCTACGCAATAGTAACTCTCCGTAGCCTTTCGGACCAGCAGAAATAGAACTAACATAATGAAACGGCCCAGGAGAGTATACAACAGGCCAATAATCACACGAATCGGAAAGAACTGACTGAAATCCATGATGCAACCTTGCTCGGTTCTAATGTACACCATGACAAACCGGTACCGGGGACGATGAGCCAGCTCAGGGATACTGCAGACCGAAAGTGGACATAAAAGAAAAGAAACAAAAGAAACACGTGATGCTCATGCAAATGCTCATGGTTCGAACCGACCGGCCCGAGTAAATGAAACCAAACCCGCACACAGGCGCCCCCATCCTCCAAAAGAACCTTAGAGTCTTAAGGCGTCCAGAATTTTCTTGGCCATTTCGCGGTATTGCCACATGCCACCTGCAACCTTCTTGAATTGAATACCATGCAGCGAAAACAGCGGCACCTTGACAATCAAAATCTCAAACCGGAGGACCAGGTTCTCGCCGGTATCACTCTGCACACGGGTCGTGGTCTCTCCCATGACACGCTCGCCCACCATCAAATTATCACGGTGGTCCCGAGAGCCATCATCCTCATCAGAGCCTTCGGAGTTGGTCACAAAACTCTGATCCGGTGCTGCCCGAGTTCGACGTTGGGGCCGCGGGGTGTGATGCCGTGAATCATCTCGATCCTCGTGGTTCAAGAACCCTCCGAAGCTGATACGGCGGCGGTGGCCGGACATGTGTCCTTGGCGGTCTGGGCTCGGGGGCCCGACATCCACGACTTTGTCCAAATCGATACTCGGTGCATGACGGCAACTGAATCCCCCCTTGATCTCGACATAATCCACAGAAAGCTGCTTCAGAACTCGGATGATATCTGCTCGAATAACGGGCAGAGGCTTGCTACTTGTTGTTGAAACACTGAAGAGACCTTTGAGATATACGGGCTTGGAAAGGTCCTCTCCTTCGTTGGCACTTTCCAGTGCCGTTCCTGCGCCCGTTATGTCCGCATCGGTCTCTTCGGGAACGTTAGCCTCCCGAGTGGCGTCCCGTCTAGCCCTCCGGGCCTGGATACTCTCACGACGAGCGTGGCCGAGCGACATTGTCCGAGCTGTGTGTGTCTGCGTGCGAGTCAATTTAGCCTCTTTCCCGGGCGTGGAATCTTTCTGCACATTCGCATAGTCCGAACCGCTAGTCGGAGGTGGTTGGGCCGCTGCTTCCGCTTCCTGCCTGCGAGCGCGGCGAGCCCGGTAGTCAGCCGAGTTCACACTTGCCGATCTCTCCAAGAACTTATTGGACCGCGAGGCCGGCTCGGTCGATCCTGGAGCCTTGAGAAGATCCTGGTGTTGTGGTTGGCTACTCCCAGAATGGACGGCCGTCGGCGACGGGTCCGCACGTCTGGTTCTCTTGACACTGAAGCCCCTGGATAGAGGGGATGCCGAGTCGGCTGGTGGTTGGACATTCAAGGACGGCGTGTGGGGGCTTCCAATTCTGCCACGTTCCGGATCGCGGCTACGCTCCTTGGTTCTTCGTGTGCTGAATCGCCTTAGAATACCTGCCGCAGTGCTCTCCTTCTTCACCGGAGTCTCAGGTTGCGATGCAGGAGGCGCAGGTGAGTGCCCCGTTTGCGGGCCCAGGTGAAGGTTTTTGATCCCATCTGCAATATCGTCGTCGCCATGGGTCCTTGCCCTAGGACGAGATCTTCTCCCAGTATCCTTCTCGCCGGGCACGTGGTATTGGTTCGTGTGAGCCGCTTCTGGCGCGGGAAGATCAGGCATCTGGAGCATCGAGTCTCCGGTGGCGTGTGGAACACCAAGTGCACCGGGGTTCGTCTCAACCCTCTCCCTATCAAGTTTCTCTTTCACGAGATAGTAGACGGACAGGAGGGGACTGTAGGCGTTCACAGGGTCATTGCCTAATTGAACAGCCTCTGCGGAGGGAGTGGACAGCGTGTCCCTGCTGGCCGAATTTCGTCGCTTGTAGAAGTCGAACACTCCGCGCTTTTTCTCAGTGTGACTGGGAGGAAGTTGTTCGCGGGCCATGGCCTTAACAGCATGCTGATAATCCTCCGACTCGACGATTTTGGTAAGTTGGGCCGAGATGTAATCCGGCGGTCCGAAATCGAATCCAGTCATTTTCTCAATGACCTCCGGGTCCAGGGGAAGTTGTATTGGTTCACGGTATGGGAGGTAGTTGTCCGGTGACCCATTGAAGCCTTTGTTCATCCATGGATGGTTCATAATCTCAGATAAACTAGCACGTTGCTTGGGGTCGGTCACCAACATGCGAGAAATGATATGGCGACACTCTGGTATTGAAAAATTAGTACTACGTCCGTAATCATATTGAGCAATGCTGGGAAAACGGGAAGCCAACCTGTTGTGAGTCCTGGTGGGTACTCAAAGACACCCTGCTTGATCTTCGCGTGAAGCTTGGGCATGCTTTGGTCGTCAAATGGCACTTTACCGCAGACCAGGACATACAGAACAATTCCAAAACTCCAGACATCTACTTCCGGTCCAGTATATTGCCGAGCCTGGAGCAGTTCCGGAGCCGCGAAGTAGAGACTGCCACAAAATGTCTTCAGAAGGCTCCTCGGGGAGAAAAGGTTGCTGAGGCCAAAGTCAATAATTTTAATGTCTCCGGTCTTGCTGATCAGAATATTTTCGATCTTCAGGTCGCGGTGAACGATGCTATTGCGGTGGCAATAGTCTAACGCACTGGCGATCTGGCGGGCAAATTTTCGGGCCTGCTTCTCTTTCAACTTCCCATGAGAGATGATATAGTCCAACATCTGGCCCCCATTTACAAGCTCGAACAACATATACCAATGGTAATTGGTCCGCACCACGTCTCGCATCCCACAGATGTACGGATGGTTTACGAGACTAACAATGGCTGCTTCGCGGGCAGTTCGGATCTCTTTGGAGCGATCAGCTCTCTCGGCTTCGCGCGAGCTTCGATGTTCCTCGGTGGACTGCCGGGGGACAATTTTAACGGCCACCTGAAAGCCATCAGTGTTGATTCGGGCATCGAGGGGACAGATCAACCACTCACCTGTTCTCCAGTCTCCATGTTCTTCCCCACTTTTACCTTGCCCATACTACCAGCTCCCAGCGTTTTACCCAAAGCCCACTGACCCGACGGGGTTGTGATCATCGTGCGACGTTTCGCTTGCACCGAGTTAGCCGGATGCAGATGGGGGGCGGCGGCCTGCGAATGTCCTGCAACGCCCTCCGCTATGACGGGCCCGGCGGTAGCCATGTCTATGCTGTCCCGTTGATGACCTTGTACCGACAAATTGCGGTGGTGTTTGTTTGAGGGTTGTTCGGTGCGATAGGAGGTGGAGGGGCGCTCCTGGGAACGCTCCCTGGAGGAATCCCGACGGGAGGGAACGGGCTGGGCACCGCGAGAGGCTTCGTAATCGCGACGGGCTATGTTGTCGAACACGGCTTGATTCGACGGAGGGCGGCGGTCATAGGACTGGGATTTGGAGTAAGAGTGCGAGTACCGATTCTGCGAGTGGTGGTGATGGTGATGGTGATGTTGCGGAGAGGGCTGAGAGGCAGTCGCGGGACGGACCGCGACACTTCGGGTTCGGTGAGGAAGATCAGATGAAGGAGGACGATAGGAGGAAGGCCGGGAGGAGGTGGACTGGCTGCGGACGACGGAGGGTGACGCAGTGGGAGGAGCAGCAGTGGACATCACGATGGGCACGAAATTGACGAGAAGTTCCGAGCCAACCACAATTCAGAGCGCCTCATTCACCCTAAGACCACCTGCTGATCGAGGGGGGTTCGCGTGAGGGCGGACGCAGCCCAAAGGGAGGCCAAATGACCGGTCGGGGAGCGAGTGGGGGAGATGGCGTTGGCTGACGGAGCGCTCGAGGGAAGCGACAGCCAGCGTGGATCCGTTCCAGCAGAACGACTTCAACAATCCCCCATATACGGAAGATCCAGCAGATGGATAGCGACCCAAAAAAAGGGGTGGGGAAAATGAAACCTCGAGTCGAGAGGAGAAAAGGAGAGGCAGAGTTAAAAAAAGAGCGAAAGGGGGAAGGGAAGAAGAAGAGAGGAGAGGAATTTGCGATTGCAGAGAGAAATGTGGGAACGGACTGGGTCGTGAGGGAGGGAGGGAAAGAGTTGAATTGACGCTGGGATGCGGCTGCGGAGAAAGGCAGAAACCAGACCAGGCCAGGACCGGACAAGCCAGCCAGGAATAGTACCAGAAAGAGGGGATGGCGGGCGACACTATCCGATGGTTTGACGTTGTCTCCGCTGCGGTTGCTTAGCAGGAATGTTGGTGGATTGGATACGCTGTTTTGGATGCTCTCGGGAGGAGGAGGGGGGAGAGGGGGGAAGTAGATCGAGACAGAAATACTAATAATAATCTCCTTCAAAGGTCTCCTGTCTTAGCTGCGCCTTTTTCTTTTTCTTTTTTTTTATATGAGAGTCCTCTATTGTCGTCTCCTGAATCCCGAGAGAGTGGAAGAGTGTGTGAGAGGGTGGGAGAAGGAAATTATGTCCCATGCGACCTCTCGTATTGCTGCTGCATGGGTTCTGGCGGAATCACCAGGCAGGGCCTTTGCATCAAGTTACGCAGGGGAAAAGAAACCGCAATCTCCATCCAGCCATTTTTCAATTCAGCAGTGTATCTTACCGCAGGAAATGGTTACCTTGCTTCAATTCTTTCCCATCATCCGGGATCTCTTTCTCCCTCCCCCCGGGATATGCATGTCTGTACGGAGTACTCCGTAGATACCCTGTACGCTGTACCTTCACTAGTACCTTCATGTCGCGGTTGATACATAGTAAGCAGGCAGTTGCCTCCCCGGCAATTCCCTCGGTCAACCTACAGGTCGAATGGAGCCTTTGGCCCTGCTGCCAGGTGGAACGAGGACCGTTGATACGTCGGACTTTCGGTGTTTTGGGCACGGATGGGCATGATCAGCTGGCCGAGGGACTCATCATCACCACTCCGGGTCCTGCCAATTTCCTGCTGGACGGTCCAAATTAAGTTGGTCGGATGAGCCCAGATTTCCTGCCAAGCACGTTCGGTCGCAGGGTGGACATCAGATGCTCGTCTGGTTCTGGGTGGTGGTGTTGGATCTGTCACCCGCCCCGTAGTCCTTGGATTTGCGGAGCGTCGCAGCGGACCTTCCGAGAACAGCCAGACCAGAGCAACTATAGTAGTAATATATACTAGTTATAGTTTCACCTTTCCACTGGGAGCCATCAGCCAACCCAACCATGAGTAACGTGATTTGCCGATGGGATTATCCATTATCCACACAAGTACAGCACGTGGCTCTTCGATTTGGTTACCTCCCTATGTTCGACGGAATAATAATGCAAATTGCTATGTGTACTAGTAGTGGTTAAGTAGGCACACCCGCCGACTCCGTTTTCAGCCACAACGAGGTGGCGGTGCGCGCCAATTGTCTGGTCGGTCCGCCTTGTCACATGTCTTCCGCTCGACTCCTCTGCCATGCATCATCCCTCTACACTAGTCCCGCTGCCTCATCCATCCGCATTCTACTTGACGTTCCACCGGAACTTCTTGTCTACATATCGGCGGTACATTCCTGTGTTCTAGAGGTATGTCCATCATTACGCGTGTAGCTTTGAAATCACAGACACTGATGGTACAGCAACAGCCATGCTGCCTCCTTGAGCGAGCCGCACCTCCGTTATGGCCAGTAAAAGGAACCGTGCCGCCTTCGAGGCGGACCTGCAGGCTCACCAATCCCCTTATGCCTTCTACGGAACCCCCCTGCCTCCATTGGATGACAGCGTCCGAGATGATGGATCATACGCGCCGATCTGGAAGCAGGAGGTAACCGATGACCGGGGAAGGAAACGCTTACACGGCGCCTTCACCGGTGGATTCAGTGCCGGGTGAGCTCACGATTCATGGATAGCGTTGGACAGCACACTAAAGGTGGCCCGTCTTCAGGTACTTCAACACCGTCGGGTCGAAGGAAGGATGGACCCCAGCAACCTTTGTATCCTCGCGCCAGAATCGCGCCAAAGAAGTTCGGCAGCAACGACCGGAGGACTTTATGGATGAGGAGGACGTTCGAGAGGCTGAAGAGGCCAAGAGACTACATACCACCGATGAGTTCTCCGGCTTTGGTTCTACGGATGCCGACATGGCGCACCGAGGAGGGTTGATGGACCTTCTGAAAACGAGCGGGGAAACGATGGGGGTGAAACTTCTGAAGAAGATGGGTTGGCGAGAGGGCCAGGGTATTGGGCCTAAGGTGCGGCGTAGAGCCAACCTCGGTGAAGGCCTGGTCCAACGTGACGGAGACACCGACAAAACATACCTTTTCGCACCTGAGAATCCACCAATGGTTGCCTTCGTCCACAAAACCGATCACAAAGGACTCGGGTTTGAAGGAGAGTCTCGTCTTGACTCCCAACAAGCAAAAGGGAACGACTCCGATGAGGAGGATGCCGATTCCTTTTTCGGAAAGCGGCTAATGGCCCCGGGTAAGCCGAAACAACCCAAGGCGAAAGAGACCCGCCGCGGAGGGTTTGGGGTCGGGGTGTTGAATGATACCGGTTCAGATGACGAGGATCCCTATTCCCTGGGTCCGCAGATATCTTACAACCGAGTCATTGGAGGGGATAAAAAGAAGAAAAGGAAGACGAAACCTACCGAGGATGTGAGATCCCTGACAGGCGCGTCTAATCCCCTCATCGGCAACAAACCGGTATATATCCCCAAAAGAGTCATTGCTGCCAAGGGCTCTGCCGGCTTTCGGAAGTGTACCGATGGCCGTTTGCCTTTGGAAGGATTCTTGCTGGCGGAGGGCATCTCGAGCCTCTCCATATCTTCACAGGAGAAGAAATATGCGCCACCGGAGATACCCAAAGACTGGAAATCCAGCAAAACGCCAATAGAGAAGAGAGAGGTTTCGAGTTATGTCTCCACGGCAGAGGCGGCCAAGGCTTCCACCTTGGATCCTACGGCGAGAGCAGCACTCTTGGGAGAAACACAGCTTCCGGGGAAATCTATATTTGATTGGATGACCCCCGAGGCTCGGGAAAGGATCATGAAGCTCACAGGGAAGACTGATCTACCGCCAGCCTTAAGTGAGAAGGCCCCCAAGGGCTACGAGCTCTCGGAGGCGCAGAAGCGGAGGGATTTGTGGGACCTAGTACCCAAGCTAGACAAGCAGGTGGCTGTTCAGGCACTCACGCGAGCAGCCAGTGGTTGGATGCCGTACGCGGATGACCCAGGCAAACGGGATCGCTACCGAACATTCCTCCAAGTACGTGCCGGGCTTAGGGACAGCCTTCCGGACCGGGTGCCCGGCTCCACTACGGACGAATGGGCGGCGGAACTACATGAGTTCACACGAGCTGCAGAAGTCTTCAAGCCAATGTCCGGAGTCATGGCCTCGCGATTTACATCTGCGAGTTCCGGGCCCAAGGGGTCTTCCGACAAACCTGACGGATCGCCTTCAGCCGAGCCTCTCCTTAGCAAGCCGGCCGCAAGACCCGAGGACCCCGCAGTGGAGGCTGCTAAGATTGGTATGTTTGGCCCGATGACTCGGAGCAGCCTTTCTTTCTACCCGACGCGGCTGCTGTGCAAACGGTTCAATGTTCAACCCCCAGACCATGTCCAACTGGATCCCGGTGAGCCATCGGGGCGCACCGAGGCCTCAACGGCTGGGGGGCGCTTCCAGTCGGCTGGCTACCAGACCGCTTCTGGGCCCAAGGAATTGGTGTCGCGGGATGTTATGAATCAACTCATGCTTGCGGCTGGTGGTGGATCTCTTGCACCTGCAGACTCGGCATCACCGACGCAATCGACGCCTGCCGGCAGTCGTGCGCCCATTGTGGTTGAGCCGGAGCGCAACGAAGCATTGGAGGCGGAGCGGCCGGGCGAGGCGGTGTTCAAAGCCATCTTTGGCAGTGACGATGAAGATGAGGACGAGGAGATAAGCTGAATGTTATAGATCTGGGGATGCTTCTACTAGATGGGCCGTGGATCGTGGACAGCTACGCTCTCGTATTTCTGCAGGCAAAGCCAATATTGACCTTGAAACGTAATGATCGTCTGGAATGTCCCACTCTTTCCACGTACCTGACCGCTTAAACTTTTCTCTACCTAGAAGAAAAATCAAATCAAATAAAAAAGGCTAAAAAAAGAGGCTAAAAAAAAGGAGGGGATCCACCTGACATTATTGGCTGCATGAAAATGCAGTAGAGTATAAGTAGTTGTTATTTCTGCTGGGTGGTTGAAGTTAGAGATGCTTCCTTCCGTTGGATTGGAGTCGGAATCTAAAGCCTCCTTCAGCATCCAGGACTCTCACACCCACTCTCGACCCTCTCAAGGAACGGTCTGGACAGGGTGACACGACAGGGGAACGGACGGTGAGGATCTCGACCAAGAAGCGCGGGCAGCCGTTGCGACGAACAAAGCGAACAATACTTACTACTACTAATAATAAGGTACGAACCTTGGGCTGATCCCCTCACGTCGGTGCGCCGTCATCGTCATTCTTCCCTCCCCTCACCACGCTCCAATTTCTCTCCATTCAATCTCCCGTCACCGTCTCTCTGCCCTTCTTCCTCTTCTTCCTCTTCTTCCTCTTCATCCTCTTCATCCTCTTCATCTTCATCTTCATCACCTTCTTCTTCTGCATCGTGGATTGTCAGGCCATTGCGCTGCAGCTGTCCGCATTGCCTTGCTAGACGTGGGATTCCACTGCGTCGGGTCATACGACCGATGGCGATAACTGGATGGAAGGATTCCTGATCCATGATTGATTGATTGATTGATTGATTGACCCGTTCCTTCACCGTTGCTAGGAACGGCACATTCGGCCTATCTCATAAGCTCAGCTCAACCCCCGTCATCACTTCCAAACCGCTTTATTCCCCTCCCCCTCTCGTCGTCGCCAACTGCGATCCTGCTGTGCTCGCAGTGACCCCCCGTCCCTTCTCGCGGCTTGCTGTCTTTGGCTGATGGAGCTAGTTCTTTCAACATTCCAACATGGTGAGCCCTGAAACCTCCCCCTGTTCCCCTGATTCTTCACTTCCTTCCCCCCACACATTCCCCGGAAGCGGAGTCGCATGCCTTGCACGGTTGCACCCTGTCGTGCGATCCATCATTCCCAAAGATGATCTGCCCCATCCCTGCAGATCCCACCCCCCCCCCCCCCCCCCTCTTTTCTACAAACTCCGTGAGCACTGAGCACAGCATTCTGGATCCATAATGCTCACCTCATCCATAATCAGGGTTGCTGCTTGTCCTTATCGCGCGACAATGACCGCCCTTCCTATGCCGCCCAGGTAGTCACTGAAGAGCGCCGCCCCGAAGACTCTCATCCCCGAGCCGTCGCAACCAGCAATGCGCTCTCTTCCGCCAACTCGCCCGCCACTGCGCGCGCATCCCGCACAAGATCAAATCACTTCCCACTGAGCCAGCATTACAACTCTCCTATCCGCCGTCATGTCTGGTATAGCAAACGTCGCATGTGGACCCGCGCGCAGCTGGACCAAGAGCGCACCGAGTTTTTTGAAACGAGGGTGACGGGTCGTCCGGAAGTCTGGGCGGCTTTGTCTGCGGCCGTCTCATTGCTGCGCACCGGCGACCTCGAAACGGCACAAAGTTTCGTTGACGCAGCTGGTATCACCGTGCCCACGGGCGACCTCTGTCAAGGCTGCTATGACGAACAGGGTGTCCTGTACCGGTTACCGCAGTGCATCGTGAGCGACCCAGAGAATATCGTACGGTCAGACCAGGACCAGGGCGACTTCGACACGGACGATGGCAAGCTGTCTTCGGACGAAGCCTCGGGAGACGAATTAATTGCCGACGACGTCGAACGCCGCCGGGACGAGAAGGGTAAGGCCAGTGAGCGCGATTTGATTCGGGTCCGCGCACGGCTGAGCGATAGAGGCGGTCCCGACATGACTCTGTCAGTCGTGAAAACAATGAATGTCGGTTTGATCGCCCGAAAGCTGCAGCAAGAGGCGGGGGTACGTCATCCTGCGCGTATTTTTCATTCCCTCGGATATGCAATCTAACAAAAATATGTATAGATACCTCGCACTCACCGCGTGAGAATGGCCTATCTAGGCAGGATGCTCAAGGAACATGTGCCCCTGGTCGACCAAGGATGGAATTCCGCCCACGTAATCAACGCCCTCGTTGTCCCTCGGCCATCGATGTCATGACAGTCTGTGCCGCGACTGCATCGTGATAGCTCACATGCACACAGCCCGCGGACTTGCATGAAACCCGCGCACCAGCCACCTAATCCGATGGACGGTCTGATTCAACAAACACACCCCGACTGACTGACTGACTAACTGACTTATGCTAATGATGATCCCGTTACGTACCTAACCAGCCACTCCTGCATTGCCACCGACCACCTACCTACTTACATTGACCGGTTTGCCTGCGTGTTATGGCGTTGCGTCTATCTATTTCTTGTCCTTGTCCTTGTCCTTGTCCTTGTCCCGTCCGTTTGGTTTGCATAATACCCCAACTAGTGATTTCATTTCGTTTCATTTCATTTCCCTCATTCATTCCGTCTCTCTATTGATCAACTTACAGTAATGTCCTGTCTATTAACGGCCACGCATTTCCTATCTAATTAAGAACCTGCCATGAATCCTTCTTAACTACCCTCCGATATCCACTCCATATTTATTCCATTTCCTATAACCAACCGCAATCAGAACACTTCCCCCCACTTACCCACCCAAACCTAAATACCATACATACAGAATCATCATGACCCATGGAGATGAACAAGTAATATACCTTATACTTAATCTAACTACATCAACTAAAGCGAACACACCCAACACTGCCTATCGTTTACGATATACTGAATAAATATAAACCGACGCTCCTAGTAATTACTTACCACCTGGAAAAAAAGAACTTCACCGGACTAAGATGAATGAATGAGTGAAAAGGGCCCTCTTCTCTTACATTTTGAATTATGCTTGAGCAAACTGAACAATATAGTAAGGAAGGAGGAAAGAGAACGAAGTGGGAAGAGGGAAGAGGGAAGAAAAAAAGAATTAGAGTGCATCATCCGTGAATCGAACACGGGCCTCATCGATGGCAACGATGAATTCTACCACTAGACCAATGATGCTTAGGCTGCTGACCAGTACGTTATCTGATTCGCTGCTTATTTTTCAATTCTAAATTGTGCTATATGAGGGGACGGGGTAGAATGGAGAAGAATGTACTCAATACATACAACTAGGCACAGGTGTAATTTGACGGATTGGTAGCAAGAAGTATATTAATTTACCATTACATACGAAAGATACTAATTATAACATTATAAAGTTCCAGCGACGTGCTGGAATAACCACATAGCCATAATATCGCAGGACAGCCATGTCAATGATACAGACCCCTAGTACAATCTGCCGTTCTCGGCTTCTCTTCCCTTTGGCGTCTGTCCGGATCGCCTCTTGAACACGCGGCAGACCACCCTTGCACCCTGCACCGCTCCTCTCACCAAGCTGGTGGGGTTGTAGTGCTTCACCCGGAACATGTAGTACAGGGCGACGGTGCCCAGAATGTTGAACCCCACGTACGCCCATCCAATGCCGAAGTTACGCCAGCGTTGGCTGTAGTCTTCAAACCCGTCAGTATGTGTAGGAGAAGTGGAAAGGGTTAACAGGCACGAAACTTACAAATTTCACTGGATGCCAAGTATTGGTCGGCATTCTGCAATTGACAGTATTGGCAATCCTGGGTTGCTGTTGGGTTATACAGTTGTCCCGGAGCAACTTGCAAGTATTGCGACATATATTGGCCACAAGTCTGACCAGAAGGGGGGTTGAATACGCTCATCTCCTCGTTGGAACATTGAATTCCTCTTCCGTGTAACCCTGTCGCTGTGATGCCCGCAATCAGGTAGGTCAGTGGAGAGACCCGGTACATGAAGATCCAGAAGCCTGGCAGGGCCTGGGGTGGTTGCATGACACCATTGAATGTCAGAGCCATGATGAACAACAGCGTTGCAATGGAACCTCCTGTTTCGGCGTCGGGCAGAGCGGAGATTACCAAAGCGGCAAACGTTGAGGTGAACACGTAGAACTGTACGACGAAGAGTAACATGAGCCCTTGTCGATGGGAGGCTTGATTGGCTCCATATGTAGGGTAGTAGTAACACGCGTAGGCGATGATTCCGGCGAGAACTTGGTACGGGATCTCAACGAGAACATTGGCGACAAGGAATGCTGCCCATGAATAAGCTTTCGATGGCCGTTCTCGAACTTCGTAAAGTGACCGCTGAACCACGAACTTTGGCATGATCCTAGTACCTTGTTAGTCTGGAATGGAGGTAAGTAACATGCCACCTACTGTTGCACCAAAGTCGAGAAAATTGAACAGAGCATGAAGGCACTGAACAAAACATCCTGGAACCCCTGCAAGTTGTTGTCAGGTTTAAAAAATGTGAACCCGATGAATAAAGAGGAAGCCGTAGCTAGAATCAGCTTAGCCCACACGTAAGAGGGTTCGCGCCAATACTGCTGGAAGACACGATGGGTTACGTGCCACAACTGGCTGGGGAAAGGCATGGCATATTCTCCCTTCTGGGCGTTATCGTCGCCAGTATCAGGGTTCGATGCCCTTTCCTGATGAATCTTGTCGATTGCTGTCTGGATATCCCGGGCTTGTTGACTATCGTTCCACACACCTGGCCAGTCCTTAGTCGCCCTTCCAGAGGCACCGGCTCCAATAATCTCAAGCATATATTCCGCCGGCTAATTTGTATCAGCTGAAGCTATCAATACTGAATCGGGGTACTCACGTTTTCTGATGGCCCACAAGCCCTTGCTCCGTTTGCTTGGAAATAGTCCAGTAAGGTGCGCGACTGGTCACCGATATCGCCAAAGTAAACCGTCCGTCCTCCTTTTGCCAGAAAGAGAAGGCGATCAAACTGTTGAAACAAGAGAGCGCTGGGTTGGTGAATCGTTGAGAGCACTGCTTGGCCATGATCTGCAAGTTTCCTGAGGAAAGAACAAATGGCCCAGGAACTCTGTGAGTCTAATCCACTTGTTGGCTCATCAAGAAAGATAAGCAATGCGGGTTTAGCAGCAAGCTCAACCCCAATTGTCAGTAACTTCCTCTGCTCAACGTTTAGCCCTTCGCCTGGTGTTCCAACAATAGCACTGGCAAAGTCTTGCATGTTAAGCATTTCGATAACTTCCTCAACATATTCATGCTTTTCTCTCGTAGAAACCGACTTAGGCTGGCGCAGAAGCGCACTGAAGCGTAGGGCTTCTCTCACAGTTGTTGTGGAAAGGTGAAGGTCCTGCTGCTGCACATATCCCGTCTTCCTTTGGAAGCTACTGTCAAGTGCCCTCCCATCCACCAACATGTCACCTGTAACGACACCTACCGATACACGCTTGGCTAGAACGTCAAGCAATGTGGTTTTCCCTGCGCCTGAGACACCCATCAGCGCTGTGAGTGTTCCGGGTTTGACCCATCCGGAGACGTTATCCAAGAGACGCCGTTGACCCCCCTTGACTGGTATATCGTAGCAAACGTTTCTCCATGTGAATATACTACTCTGTTTAGGAAGAGCAGATGTGTCCTTTTCTGCCTCAGCAGCCCTGTGGGCTAAGGCGACATCAGTGGTTCCGGCGTCTCCTCCAGGCTGTTTGTCGAGGTTGCGCATTTGCGGGGGTACATGGCCTCGCCGAAAGACAAGGAATTCGGCTTTGGACGAAGTGGCAGAGTTGACTTCGGTTGCAACCAGGTAAAGAGCAGTGAAAAATATCCAGAATCCTATAAGAATGCCGAGATTCCTCCACTCATGTGCATATGTGTAGCTGTACTGTGTTTGGATATAAGCATCTCCGGACACGCTCCTTTCTCCAGCTACACTGCCTCGGACAGAACAAATGAAAGAGTCTCCACTCAAGCTTGGATATCCTGGTATGAACTGTGAACATGTAAAGCGCCGGCCGTGAAATTCATTGGCAATCAAAGCCTCGAACGTATAGTAGATGGGGTTTATCCACCGTATCCAGCTGAACCACGGGATAGCGGACATCTGAGGAGTAGGGATTACAAAGCCTGTGTAGATGACAATGGCCAATACTATGACTCCAGCCATGGCCATTGCTTGCGCAAGAGTTTTCGTTGAGGCTGCAAGGGTCCGAAAAATCCCAGACATTGCAAGAGTGCTTAGGAACGTGAACAGAAAGAATATGAAGAATTGGGATGGTTCATATCGCTATCAATCTTGTTAGTACTATGCAGATCATGTTAATACCAGTATATACTTACCAAACCAGCTAGAAAATAGAAGATGATATTGAACACCACAGCAGAGACAAATTTGACGGGGATATCAGACACAACGCCACCGAAGGCTTCAGTGAAAGGATGAACAAAGGCGTATGATGCTTGCTTCTCAATGATTGGGCGCTGGTCGTAAAGGGAGTTTATCTCTGTAATGCTAATGAGAGCGTTCATCCTGAGCAGAGATGTCAGCACAACCTTACCCCCCATGCAAACTTATCATTCGACGGCTTGCTTATACTGAACCCGTTGCATTGATAGGATGGATATTTGATGTCTTTGAGCGACTTACAATACGGCGAAGAAAAGAGCGGCTCCTTTACTTTGGAAGCCCGCAGTGGCATTTGGTGTTCTGGGCGTTTTAGTGAAAGCTGAAACGTTAGAGGAGAGGACTTACCCATAGTACATCGAGCCGATAATAAGGGACATTGCGATCCGTCCAATGACATTCGTCAGTGTAGAGGGTTTATCGTTCCATATTCTGAGATTGTTAGCAGGTATACAGAAGTTGACGAGCAGCAGACTAGATACCTTTGATATGCCCTGATTGTGCAGAGCTTCACTTGCATGGGAATAGAAATTATGTATGGACTCTTCTGCCAAACGTGATTCGCTTGTTTCAGTCGCTTCATTTCACCGAATCTCTGTTCATGCTGTCCACCCAAAGGAAACTCCTTCAAGTGCTGCTCGATTTCCTGTTGAAGCCTGGCATACTGCGAACTGGTCTTCCAATATCTTTCAAAATCATCAGGAGTTCGAGGAACCTTGTTCTCCATTCCTTCACGTGCCTGACGCTCTTGAGGATTGGTGACTGATGTCAGAAAATCCCCAGTCGTCTGGCGTGGGGGACAGTACCAGCCCATGTTGACGAAGTATTCTTTGGCCTCGCTGCAAGGCCCGAAGTATATCTCCCGGCCTTCGTACAAAACGATTGCCTTATCAAAAACATCGTAGATTGCCTGTGATGCCTGGTAGATAGCAACTGCATGGCATTTACCACCTAGGTTTGATGAAACTCGAAGGGCCTTAACAAATTCCAGTGCACTTGCAGAGTCAAGGCCCCTGGTGCTGTTATCCCACGCACCAACAGGGGCCCCGGAGACTGTCAAAAAAGTCAACCCAAATGTCAGTGATACATAATAAGTGATATGACAACTCACCCGCCATTTCGGCAATACTATATACGAGGTAGAGCAATTAGAGACAGGAATTAGAAAGGAATGATTAAGAACAAACCTGACTCGCTTTCGTTCACCGCCCGAAACACCCCTGATGTAATCATCACCAACTGTGAATTATGTTAGCAATCAGAGAATGATTCCAGCTTCACATTGATCAAGTATAGACACGAACCCTTTGTGTTATGCGTATGCGACAGACCAAAAATGGTCATCACTACCTGGGTGATATACTTGGCATACTGCTGGCGACTGATGCCCTGCAATCGAGTCTCAGGGGCCCTCGCAGCAGCAGCAAATTCCAATGTTTGGCCAACAGTCAGATGTGGGAAATGTTTATCCACCTCCTGGTTGTATAACACCTCTCCCTTGAACTCCCTGTGCATCTTCTCCATAGAGATTCCATTGAACTGGATCTCGGAGCTCTTACGGAGCTTCAAACCATGCAGTTCTCCGCATAATGACTTTAGAAACGTCGAGCAGCCACTTCCCGGACGTCCCAGCACTATCAACAGCTCGCCACTCCTGAGGAGCCCATCAAAGTCACGCAAGATATGCTTTTCCGGGGTGTGTTGTACACAAGGCAGGTATTCTTGTGGTCTGAACGGCGCCAGCAGAATCGAGGACACGTTGTTCTGGTATTGTAAGGCCGAGCCTGAGCCACAGACATTGAGATGCTGAAAGACGACGCCGGTCGAAGGTGGTCGGGGAATGCCCTCTCTGTCCAACATTTTCAGCACCATTCGAACCCACTTATAATGATCAAATTGATCACTGGTAGGATCGAGGACCGGGTCGCCAATCTCCAGCCCTTCAAGTGTGTCCTTTCTTTCAATTCCCCCATCGACGCCCGGGTCGAGAGTGCTCTGGCGCCTAGGAAAATTCGAAGCTAAGCGGGTCAATTCGGCTTTTTGTTCAGGCTCCATCGCGTCGAAGAACGAGCTATCCTCGCGCTCTATTCTCAATGGTCTTTGGGGATTACCCTCTGCAGCTTCCACCTCCTCTTGCTTAGAGGAGCTGGGCTGCGAGCTCCCGACCCCGTCGCGCTGGGCCATCTCGAGATCAGACCCAAAGGTAGCGCCAGAGAGTCAAGAACGGGACTTGGTAGCAGGTGAACTAAAGCTCAGGGAAGGAGTGAGAAAAAAGGGACCCAAGGAGCCCGGTGAGGGATGGTAAAGCAGTCAAGTAGATCCAAACGAACAGCTGACTTCCCTCAGAATTTGCGCACCGCGTGCCTCCCACCCATCATGTTCTTGCCTCGAATGGAAACGGATCTACCCCCCGACATCATTCACTGACCTAAAGTTCTGTGGGCGCGAAATAAAATTCAGGACACTCAGCCTTCCCATTTGTTCACGTAGCAAGTGATGATGTCACCGTCTACCTGTGTGACGACGGGAAACCTAAGGACAGGATGCCACCATTGAGTACCTACCAGTACTAGGGCCATTGATTCTGTCAATGGAACCAACCGGATCCCTGCGAGTAGCTGGAAAAGCCAGTCGGGGGTAGTGGTTGCGTGCCTGGAGGGGCCGCCATGGGGGATCGTCCGGATGCGGAACATCCGTGGTCTTTGTTTCCTCGTACGGTTTGGGTTTGCGTCGGGCAGAACTTCTCGTGCAACCTTTACATGGATTGGCCGGGTGGCTACTCCGTACGGCCTGGAAGTACGGAGTACTTATGGGTTGGAAATTGGATTCAATAGTAGTTGGATAGCATGTTTTGAGTGCCGTGCCTGCGTCAATGCAGGCCAAGCTGTATATTCGGAGCACAGCAGTTCTAGGAACAAAGACGCAGACACAGCATTGAATCCATGCTCGTAGTTGCAGTGAAACCCGATTAACAAGCATCGGAGTATCTCAGAGCCCAAGCTAATGGAGCCCTTCTGACGTGTTTGTTGCTTTCCTACATAGTGACTATCTGCCTAAGAACTAGTATGTAGGAAAAGATGCAGATCATGGGGGGAGCTCCTTAGTAAGCGGATGTCCAGCTGCCGCAGATCCGCCAGGCTCATTTATGCACCTCATGAAGTAGGATCCGGATATTTTTTACTGCCGATGCAGCTGGCGTGTTGTAGACTGTATAAATCGGAGGCCTGCATGTGTCTAATTGAGGTTCTCCCATTGGCTTTCAGTGGAGTTCGTGTATGCAGGGCAAACAGGATCCTATATGGCCGTGTTAGGCTTCCGACACAGCCTAATTGGTCTCTCGGGTTGTACATATGGTTGCTGGCCTTCAGATAAGGGCTGCAGCTGGTGAAGAGCCACACGCTGCAGTTGTAGTTCTGACGGGATGCTTCGAAGGAATCTGTTTCATTGCAGTGCGTCCATTAGATTCACCCAAACCAGAGAGAATCTGCATTCTCCCTTGTGTTCTTCTTCCCACTAGATGAAACTAAATGTAAGTCCCGGCGACTTGCTGTCTGGCTCTCAAACATAAGGCGTATATACACATGGGTCCAAAGCGCTTCTCATAGATAGATAGTATCGAGAGAGGGTGAAAACATATGACAGCCCTCTATAGACCTAGAAAAGCACCTTCTCAGCCTCTGATCCTTGTTAAGTATAGTAACACACAAACTAAGGACTCAAACACCACTTAACCCTCCGTACCATAGCAAAACTTCCCCATATTGTAACTAAGGTTGTTATCGTAGTCGAAGTTCAACCAGCTTTACCCGATCGACATTAGACTCCCCCACAGCCGCCCCACCGTAACAAGACCCAGAACCACCATCCAATCAAACCACATCAGAGTCAAACCATGCAAACAGAAAATATCTCCAGAAAAAAAAAGTACGAATAGCTTCATTGATTTCCACCAAAAATTACCAATACACCACCTGCTCAGGCACCATTGGATACCCCACACCACGGAAAGGACGGACTCATCAATCGCGTCGTTTCTGCGAACACTACTACTCCTAAAACAACACTTCCACCGCACTCCGTCCCATATCGGGGTTCAATCACAGCCATGTCCGACATTACCAAAACTCCTTTTGTTCGGGACCTCGCCTCGAGCGGTACATACTACCTTCTTCCTTCTTATATATCTGAGAGCTAATGAGTATTTTCGCTGGTAACAGACAAGAAACTCCGCGATAAGGCCACCGACTCCCTCACGCTTTTCCTCCGATCCAAGACCGACCTCACCCTCATCGAACTCCTCAAACTTTGGAAGGGCCTTTTCTTCTGTACGCCCGCGACCTATCCCTAATTCGCGCAACTCAATTACATAAACTAATTACTTGCAAACGCAGGCTTCTACCACTCCGACCGACCCCTCACCCAGCAAGCCCTCGCCCGCACCCTCAGCTACAGCCTCGTCCCGACTCTCCCCCGCTCCACACTCCACCGCTTCCTCCGCGCCTTCTGGATCACCATCGGCCGGGACTTCCATTCTCTCGACCGTCTCCGCCTCGACAAATACCTTCACTTGATTCGTTGCTACGTGGGCGTTGCATTCGAGGTTTTCCTGAAACCCACCGCTTCCGCCTCCGCAGCAACGGCAAACGGCAAGCGCAAGAGAGAGGATACGTCGTCATCATCGAAGAAGCGCAACAACAACAAGAAGAACAAGAAGCAGTCTCGCCAGGAAGAGGAGGAGGAAACATCGCGGGCCGAAAACGCTGCCAACGGGGAGAAGTGGGCGGCACTGGAATCCTACATCACCATCTTGGAAGAGGGTCCGCTTTGCCCCGTGAACTTTGACCCGGATCAACCGGCCGCGAATGAGAAGGAGGACTACATCCCCATGCCGCATGGGCCAGATGGACTGCGGTATCATGTAATGGATATCTGGGTGGATGAGCTGGAGAAGGTTCTGGAGTTTGAGGGAGAGGAAGGGGCAAGAAAGCCGAAGGGAGAGGTGCCAATGGAGCTTCTGTTGAGACCCATTGAGAAGTTGAAGGCGGACAGTCCGTACAAGCCTGTGAGGACTCGGGCTGCAGAGTCTCTGGATGACGACCGGTTGGTTGAGTGGGGCTTCAAGACAAGGAAGGTGGAGAGTGATGATGAAGAGAGCGATGAGGAGTGGGGTGGTTTCGATTGAGCTGTGTCTAATTGTTCCTGTTGACAAAAAGTGTATAGATTGCGAGTTCGACTGCAAAGTGCTCTATCGCCTGGCCTGGAAAGCGCCGGCTATATTGGAACAATGTATAGTATTTGTAAGACTCTATGGGCTATCCGCCATGCCTGTGGACTGCTGTCTACCAACACATCAACTATACAGAGAGCACCACCCGAACTAAACGACAACAAAGCAAGGCGATACAAAAGTCTTGCGCCAGGGTATCATCACAGAGTGCGAAGACTGCAATAAAGAGAATGGAAAAACAACATCCAAAATGAGAGTCCATACCTGCCCTCAACTTTTCCTCTTGATCAACTCAGTGTCTAAGGCTTAGGCCCTTCTGCTTCATAGAGGTGTCCTGACTTCGAAAGTACTGTGCCCAAGCCCTTGTGGATTTCCGCCTGGAAGGCTTCAAAGGGTACGCTTTCACCGTCGATGCTGATGTATCCCTCCTTTTCACGAGGAACAAGCCGGTACGCAAGGGCTTTGCGGATTTTGACGTCGGGCATATCGAAGAATGCGTTTTCAGGAATCGCAGTCATCATCTTGAGCGTTGTTAGGCGACTGAGAGTCCCATCGATGGTGACGATATCCATCAACCCATCATTAGGCAAAGAGGCTGGGAAGAAGTTCGTGTCCTTGGACACAATGGCCATGTTGCCTGCGTAGAAATTGCCAAGCGTCTCGGCTGGGATAACCTCCCAATCCTCAGGCAATTCGTCCAGCACGGTACCGTAGACGAGCTCGGGCAGTCCGTCAGGATGTCGTGCAGTAGCTTCAGTAGGACGACTGGGAGGCTGGCTCTGCGCGTATGCACTATAATGATTTTTGATCGTTTGTTTATCATCCATCACCACTTTGATTGCAAGATCGCACGGATACGTTGCGCGGTGCATGATCCGCTTCAGGAAACCATATGTAAAACGGTGGGCGCCCATCCAGCGGATATCATCGGTCCCAAGGTCAGCCTCTGCAATGATGCCAAAAGATTGTGATAGGAAGGAGAGCGTGCGAGACTTCCCCTGAGTGATCGAAACCAGATCGATGGGGGTTCGGACACCCTTCACAATTTCCAAAGCCGCGACCGAAACACTGCCTGTTCCGCACAGATTCCAAGCCATAGCATTTCCAGACCCGCAAGGTATATTTGCAACGGCGATCTTCGCCAAAGCTTCGCGGGCATTAGGCTTCTTAGCCAGGCCATTGAAGACTTCGTACGGCAAACCATCTCCGGAGCAGCATATAATGGCATCATACGCATTGATATCGAGTTGCTCCACAATTTCCCCCGCGTGGCCCCCGTGCGTTGTTTCCTGCACATCCACCTGACAACGCGCCGCAGCAAAGACTGGTGCTGCATACGTCGAGTACAACTTGACAGCGTGACCTTGACCGCCGAAGGGGTTGACCAGGACTTTGAGTTTCTTGTACCGCTTTGCGGAGCCATAGACTACGTCTAGGAAGCGATTCGTCCATGATTCAACCGCCGCCCTTTCTTCTGGGGCGAACGGGTATCGCAGGGCGGTCACACGGACATCCTGTTTAGATGCAGACTCCGCATAGGTGATAGTCAGGCCTTCCGGGGAGAGGTCGGCGTCCAGGATATTGTACAATCCAATGGAGTGCGTGGGCTTGGCTGTTTTGTTGGCGAGACCGCAACATCCACGCTCGGATTTGCGCATGGAGCGTTCGTCTGCGCGAATCCCGAAACTGCGTCAACACGGGAAGGAGGCCCGACCCCGACTCGGGATCAGCGATTGAGTACTGAGACTTACCGACAATCAGAAGAGAGTCGCCTCCCAAGGTCAAGGAGACCGAGTTGGCGACTATCAGGGTCGCGTCATGCTCTAGCAGCTGGTCGCGGGTTTCCGGAAGATCCGCGTTGTTGAACGACGGGCGAGAAGGGCCATTGGGGGTGGTCATAGTGCCCGGCAGAGGGGGCACGGCGTGGACGGGGAAATTTAGCGGTGACTCCAGCGACGGGGAGGCAAAGTGAAATGAGGAGAGAAAGTGAAGTAGGAGCTAAGAATAAACCATAAGAATAAGAGCACTAAGAATGAGAAGAAAAACGGGGAAGGGGAGAAGTCGAGGAAGGTGTTGGGGGAATGAAACGGGCAACTTCTCTCACTTCAGGACGAGCGGAGAAAGAACGGAGAATAAAGCCTTGGGAAGCCAATTAATGGAGGAGAATCCGCGGCCAACTTTTATGGCTGGCGGGCTCCACTTCTTCCTTTCTTCACTTAAATAGGTTCCTCCCCCCCCCCCCCCACACCACACACCGATAAGAGCCATTGTCAGTTGTCACTAAGTCGTTAGTAGGCCCTTCATTCATTATTATTATTCCATGACAGGGCCCCCCCCTTCCTTGCCATCAACGGATCGGGTGGGTTCCGATCCTCATTCCTGGGGATGCGGCAGGTATTTCCGAGATCACCGCAAGCATCCACCTCGCCCTGACTGCACTCAGCCTTTCTGCACATCTACCCACCCCTCATAGAATAGGTTGATTGATGGCCGATCACGGGATCTCAAAGGACCGACCTTCCCTGACTCTGAACTTGCTCTCCCGTCGTCAATCCTTTTGCCGTCTAGCGATCCCAAGGGAGACCCTTTGCCCCCTGCATCAGGATCGGGATCGGGATCGGGCCAGGGCATCAATCAGCTGTCAGAACAGCCGAGGCATCGCATCGACTGCGGGGGGCTGCGGGGATGCAGGGATGCAGGGACGTGCTTGGCCAACGTGTTACAAAATGGATCGTGCAGTCAATGACGGCATCAAAAGAAAGCCCGACCACCGCCGGGGATGGATTGCCATGGCAGTGTAGTACATACAAGAAAGCGTCATTCAAATTTGGGTTCTTCCATTGAAAGATAGTCTTTTCTCATCCAGAACAAAAGAGTAAGAGGTGCATATAGTCAACAAATTCGTTCATTAGAAGAACACAGAAGAGGTAAGAAGCGCAGTGGAAAATTGAACGGGAGGGTCATGTAACAATAAGGGTACTGGTAGTGGCTATTCAAATACGGCTCAAAGGGGATACTCTATTCATGCTGCGGTCGCCTTGAGGCCCTTCAAAGACCCCAGGCTCAAGGCCAGACCCTGAGAACGGCTTCTTATCCGTACAAAGCCGGTGATCGGCCCGTCATCTCCCTCCTTCTCAATGCTCAGGTTCGCAAGGGCGTCCTCGCCTGTAACATTCCAAGTTAGCAGCCACCCGCACACATGAATCCGGTCGGGTACTTACCAAATACGCTCCGGGCATATAGATTGGCACTCAGGAACCGACAGTCGCCCTTGAGAGATGCCTCGGGCGTCAAGCAGGCCATGTTGGTGCTCTCCATCAGCTGTTTGAGGAATTCGCGCAGGCTCTTCGCCTTAGAGTTAATGTTAACCTTGTTCTCCCATTCGAATTCGGTCCACATCGTCCGGAACTGCGTCTCGGTGCAATGGGCAGGCTGAATGTAGTCCATGATGTCGGCGTGGATGTCATTCAGGATAACAACATGCGACTCTGTCGAGCTCGCGCCGTCGTACACAATGTTGCCGAAAATCACACCCGTGTCCGTCGACGACACCTTGACTGTAGCCTGCACATTCAAGAAGTCGCGGGGTCCTAGGTTGTGCGTTGTGGGCCGCTCAACTACCTTGAGGTCTCCCAGAGTCGCAAACTCGACGCTAAGGTTCTGCAAGGTCTCGAGAGTCTGGTTAACTAGGAGGACATCCAAGACAATGTCGAATTGGTGAACGGTAACATAGGCCTCGGCGTAGACTGGATCCGAGAAGCCAGTGAGCTGGACAACTCGGCTCAGCTTCGAGGACACGGTCTCCACGGTTGAGTCGCCGCCGGTGGCCTTGGCCAGATCCAACTCGATCTCCTCGGCACCTTCCAGAGCTGCCTTCTTAGTGAATTGCCGAATGGGAATGGCATCATCAACTTGTACGGCAGTCTTTGCCTTTTCAACGGCCTCCTTAGCAGCCCTCTTCTTGTCTTCAACTTGGACCATGGCACGGAAGGCTGTGCGGGTGTCTTCCAGGAAGGTAGTCTCCAGCTCCTTCTTCTGGGAGAATTCAGCAAGCGACCGCACGCAGCACATAATGCGGTCTACGGAATCTTCGTCGATGGGGGCCTTGACGAAGTGCGACTGGCCGACACGGATGATAGAGATCATGATCAGCATAGCCTCAGCACGCAGGGCGTTGGTCCGAGCAACATCTTCAGAAACCTCTGAATGGCGCATCACCAGCTTGGTAAGGGTAGACGAAAGGACGGTAGCAAGGTAGTAGTCGCCATCCAAGATCAATTGACGAAGGGGTGGCTTCTGAGCAGCCTTGACAGCCTCAAGCCGGGCAGCAGCAGCAGACTGGCTGGTCAGAGCGCTTTCCGTGGCATAGGTGCCGTCAGCCAGCACCTTTCGTGATCCGGTTGGAGCCGACGGCTTAGAATGACCGTTAATCTGCTCCTTAAGCGCCGCGTCTTCAGGTACTTCATCGAGAAGCCGCTGCTCCGAAGCGAGGATGGGGATTTCTCCGAGGCTTGCTCTGATGCGCTTCCAGGCCTCACGAATGTCCCTCTCCTCCAAAGAGTACTCTCCGACAACCCACAGGACGCCCCGATAGACCTTGCCAGCACGGACCTCACTCAAAGTAGAAACCAAGCGATCGACAATAGAAGTTCTGAGGGCAGGGAACTTCTCAACAACCTCCTTAACAAACGAGATCACATCAACGGCCGAGTTGTTGTTGAAATCGGCGATGAAGTCCATCAGAAGATCGACAACGCTAGCCGCGATCTCTGAAAACTTGATGGCGCAGTTATGTATCGACTGGATCAACAATTGACGGTACTCACTGTTCTGGGTGATGGTCAGTATTTTGTGCCACTGGCATATAGACGAACTTACCTTCTCGTATTGTTCATCAACGGTCTTAGCCAGCTCCTTCTTAAGCAGCATGACGATCTCCTCCACATTCTTGCTCGAGACCATCTCCAAGGCAATACCAAGGGCTTTCCGGCGAACATCGATGTCCGGGCTAGAGAGAACACGCAGAATCTCCATAGTAAGATCGTCCAAGACACCCTCATTGCGGATACGTAGCTGGTCAACTCTGTCGAGGACGATAAGCTTGACATTGTTGTCAGCCTCTTTGATGCAAAGCTCGATCAACTTGCTCGCCGCAGCCTTTACGGCCACGGGGTTGCTGGTGAGCGCCGTGAGAGATGTCGCAGCTTCATAGATGACAGTGCTCGTTGACGCATCAAGGAGGTCAAAGATCAACCGCAGATACCGTGCCTACTGGTCATTAGCAGACGGCCGAACGGTGTTGGTCTCCGGAAACCCACCTTGTTCTGGGCATTTTGCACAGCGTCCTTTCTGATAAACTCGAGTTCGGCCAGTTGGAGCAGTTCGTCCGTGTTTGGAATGCTGTCGAACGTAGAGGACAGGTACTCGAGGGACTTTTGGTGACTGATAGACATGAGGGCCGCGAATGCATTGCGCTTGCAGGTGCCATCGGTCTCCGTGTCGAGGAAGGCCTGGATGAGCTCCGGAGCATCTGGGATGAGCGACTCCGAGTGCTGGAAGATGGAAGCGACAGCCCAGACAGCGTTCTTTCTAACATATGCGTGGCGGTGATCCAAACAGGAGCGGGCGGACGAGAGGAGGGGTTCGATGAGTTCCGGTTCGCGGAGCTTGCACAAGAATCGCAGTGTGTTTCCTCGAATGTACTCGTTGGCATGCTGGAGATCATTACGGATACCGTTGCTGCGCAAAAGGTCGCCTGTTAGAGCGGATGGAATACAAGGTCGGGGTGCGCCGTGTTCCTTACCAAACCAGGATCATCTCTTGCTTGAGCTTGCCATTCGCGTCGAGTTTCGGGCAGATCTCATAGTAGAAGTATAGGAGTTTCTTGAGTGGCTTGCTTTTGGACGGCATGACGAAGCGAATGATATGCATGAGCAGCTGGGGCATCGGGTCGCCATTGAGCATAATCGTGATGATCCGCCTCATTGTCTCCATCTTGGTCTCATCGGTACCCTTTTCCAACTGCATTTTCAGCTCCTGCAGAGAGGGTTGATCAGCAGTATTGTCCTGGTGGACCAAGCTGTATGCATTTTCGAGAAAGGACGCCATGGTGATCGAGCGGTGCGAACGAATGGCCGGTATATGGAAGGGTTCAGGAGGGAGGAGAGCTGGACCAAGTGGTCAGTACAGGTGGTTGGTTGGGCCGGTCAGGGGAAGGGCGGGGAGGACGGACTGGAACGACTCTCCCCAGGATGTTTCGAAGGAAGTAGAGGGTATAGGAATAGTGCAATTCGACGCCCCTCACCTGCCTAGCATTCATCAGAGCGAATGTTGACAATCCGGGGACATTGAGTATCAACCTGGCCATTTGCGCGGCGGAGCAAGCTGTCCGGAGTGTGTGGATGACTAAGCCCGCCTGGATCAACCCAACCCTGCAAACCGGGCAATTCCATCCAAGGACGCGCTACGATCACTCAGTCCTCCCATTCATTCCCCCTTCTCGTAGGCCCGGCGCACGCATCATGACGACTCCAGGTGATCCCTTCTACCTCCGCTACTAGTAAGGACGACCCGTGTGTAGCCCAGGTTTCCTCAGCTGCTGACAGTCCCGCAGCTCAGGTCACTCTGGGCGGTTTGGACATGAGTTCCTAGGTTAGTCCCCGGTGGTGATGCTATCTCTTGAGTCTGCTATTAACGGCCTCAGAATTCGACTTCCGCACCATTGGCGATGGCCGCAGCGCAGCCGTACGATATGCGAACAACTCCAACTACCGCAATGACTCCCTGATCCGCAAAGAAAGTGAGTGCTAGACAAGGAACCCCCGATTACACATCGTCGCTGATCGGCAATACTACAGTGTGCGTAAGTGCGTCGATGATCCAAGAAGTGAAGCGCATTATTAAAGAGAGCGAGATCATGAAGTGAGTCGTCCGCTGAGTTTCAAGGGCGATTTGAGGGGTGGTCGTGCTGATACGGAGCAGGGAGGATGATTCCAAGTGGCCTCAGAAGAACAAGGATGGGCGTCAGGAACTCGAAATACGGCTTGGGAACGAGCATATCTCCTTCGAGGTGCGTCAATTGCTCCACTAACATAGCTGGCGACGCGCAGGTCCTGACACATGGCACAGACCGCGAAAATCGGCTCATTGGTAGATGTGACTGAGTCTGCGGACCCGGAAGGCCTGCGAGTCTTCTACTATCTGGTCCAGGACCTGAAGGCTCTCATCTTCTCACTTATTTCGCTGCATTTCAAGGTAAATCCGGCTCACTCATTGCTTTGGGAGCTCCGCGTCTAATTTGCTCCGACTTCAGATCAAACCTATCTAAATTATTGCGGTTATGGATTATCGAAAACATGCAGTTATTCTCGGAAGATAACAGGCGTTCGCTATTGGATTGCTGCCGCGGTGGATATACAACTTTTTTTCCCCCTTTCCCATTAAATTCTCAGGCAGTTGGAATGCTGAGATGCCAGATGGCAAGCGACTACCTAGCATAGCAGAAGGCGATGACGCAATTAGTGCTCGCCACCAGGGCCAAGGTAGCGAGGAATCGAAATACCCAACGACGTGTGTGTGCGTGAACTGTGAAGTACATAATAAAGAATTAAAAAGAAAAAAGAAAAAAAGAAAAAAAGAAAAAAAGAAGCAAGAAGCAAGTACCGGTACGATGAAAACGGAAATAAGAATAGCGGGCCTGCAGGGCCCTCATGGGAGGAAGGAAATAATGTAGCGGGCCACGTCCGTCGGGAGACAAGAGTCGGACTGCAAGGGAGGGCGTGCCAGTGGGAAACCTGCAAAAATGCTCGAATAACCGCCCGAGGCGCCGTTTGCCCCATTTGCCTCCCCCGCGCTCGCATGATCAGTCGGCCGATTCCTCTTTGGGCAGTGCCTCGCCCGCCCCGGACTACGCAGCACCACCACCGAGGCCATCTCAGCGCCATCTTCCGCTGCTTTCTTCAACTTCTCTCTCCTCTGCTCTTCCCGTCCCCTACCAGGAGATCTTCTGTTGCTTCTGACTTTGGTCACATTCATCTCATCCCCTCCCCCCGATACGCTGTCCGGTTCCTGTTTCATCCTAGCCCCTCCGCCCTGTGTGCTCCTCCCACCCCCCCTTTTCCTTGAGCCACCCCTGTTGTGGTTGTATCAGGCTTGCCTTTTCCGCCTGACCTTTTTTTCTCCCTCCTCGTCTTATCGGTGGGAACTGCAATTTAATCGGATCCGATGTCATTCCTTCCTTAATCCGCCTCCAATGCCGACCCCGAGTGACAACACACCACTCTTGACTGCTTCCTCAATCGTTGAAGAAATCTCCGCTCGCTCTACCTGCCCCCCCGAAGTTGAGAGATTATCTTCCTTGAGAGACTCGCGGGAATCATCCACGACAATCGCGGAGAGTGATGCTCCCGATAGCACGTTCTCGCCAACCGTCGCATCAACACAGACCGCCTTGACTCCATCCGACGATGCAATCCCTTCTTCAAATGCGGACCCCGTGAGGGGTGAGTCAGTAACTAGTGTCCCCATGAAAGGCGTGGGAATACCTGAAGAGGAACCAGCTGCGAGGAGACTGAGCCCTGCTGCGGAGCCGTCATGCTCTGTCGCCCCATCGTCATCAGTCCCTTCCCCGTCGGCTACTTCCTTGTTAAGCTATGAATTCTCCAACATTCGGGTATGTGAGATCTAATATATTCATTCTCTCATCTGATCTCCCTTGCTAATTGCGATAGCTTCTTCCTAATTACACGTCTTCCTTTTTGCGCCCGGGGAGCAAGTTTACTGGCACACAGCAATCAGACAGTCATGTATATAGTGTTGATGTGGAGATCAAGCACGTTGATATACTCGAGTCCTATCTCTGTGGATATCTCCGCATACAGGGTTCGTGAACGCCCCCACACATCCGGCTGGGACCAATTCTAATTGTGTTACCTTCAGGTCTCACTGAGGATCACCCGACTCTAACAACATTTTTCGAGGGGGAAATTATCGGACCTAAGCATTCCTTCATAACCAGAAATGAAGCATGGGGTGCGACAGAAAAATCCGATATGCAACATTGGGCCAAGTTTCCTCCTTGGAGGTCGCATGTGAAGCAGAACAAGCGGCAGGAATTCACACTGTGGAACTATGCCCAGCGTGACCACATATTCATGCGGTGGAAAGAGTACTTCCTCGTCCCTGATCATCGTGTACGATCGATTTCCGGGGCGAGTTTCGAAGGCTTCTACTATATCTGCTTCAATCAAGTGGAAGGAACGGTAGCTGGGATATACTTTCACGCAAAAAGCGAGAAGTACGTATTCCTGCCTAGTTTCGGGGAGTTTCCGATGGTTGACGCTGACCCTTTGTCTTTAGATTTCAACAACTCGAACTCCGGCATGTCCAAGATCATGGTTGCGCGCCTGCCATGGAGTTCCGTTGATTTTTGTGCGATATTCCCCGGCGGTTGACCCCACCAAGACTCTTCTTACTTCCTGCTGATTTCGCATGCTTCTACTCCTTTCTAATGGCTATTACATGGTTATGTTCACTTCTCGCCTCCCTGGCTGCGATGGCTTCTGTCTACGGCGGGTTCAATTTCACGGTATCACTATTCTCTATGTCAAAATTACCGACTTATTACCCCGCTCTGTTGTTTTCATGTCGCGATGACGATTTTTCTTTCCTTCTTCCGGATGGCGCAGGTTTGGTTGACATGATATGGATTTCGATTCGGCCCACGGCACTCTCCCTCTTCTCTCATTCAGGTGACACTTACTCATGCTTGCGGTGGGGTTCATTTATCGATACAGGCAGCGGTATCGGGACGAGCACGGGCTCGTCACATCTGGACTTTTGCTCTTGTTTGATTTAGTACCTTTGCTTTGTTCTCTCTCTTTTTTTCTCTCTCATAATCATGATCGGTCTATCTGGTAGCGGTAGCGTTCCCCTTTGATGTGCAGGGGTTATATCACAGGGACTTCCTGAACGAGGATATATTCATATATTTATCCATTCGATGTCTTCGTTCTGCCACGCATTCGCATTCATTCCCCTCCTCGTACTTGACTTTTCTTCCCCGAAAAGAAAACAAAAGTATTTTGCATTTCCCTGATAGTTTCAAAGTGAGCTTTATCATTGAAGGAATTACTGCGCGTCTGCTGATATGAATAGTATGTACTAATCTGGCAAGCGTGCGTGTTTAAAGTTACAACTATAGTATTTTGGTATAGCAAAATTATAGATGTATATATAGTGGAACTATGTATGCTCTTGCGTTTTCTTGAGCATCATTACAATCAATAGATGTTAGTAGTTGAACCAAGCCCATCCTGGACTACAGCAATGTTATATAGCTATCGAGGGAACTTCCACGAGCAAAGAAGTAAAGAGCAAAGTTGAACAGTACAACTGAGATATGTGAGCGGGACAGGTAGTAATGAATGTATAAGGAGGGGTATCAAATGCAATCTTCTCGTGTATGAATGGCTGATCGCAAGCAGGGAAACTTCGGGTGAAGGCAGCAAATGGGGAAGATCATGAAGCTTTTGTAATGGAATGAGAAAAGAAGGGGTGGCATCATGCTATATCGAAATCCTGGAAAATCCGGGTTCATAGATATGCCGAATTTTGACGACTGCCCGAAGTAGAGCTACCGCCACTGTTGTCACTGCCAGGGGTTGGTGGCTCAAGCACGACCTGTTGGCGGATTGATACGATCCATTCATGTTGAAGGAGTTCGGCTGCAGTGGATCTCTTCAATGGATCGCATTCGAAGCATCGACGGAGGAAGTCGATGCCTAGATCGCTGAGCTGATCTCGTGGTGGCAGTTGGGGCTGGTTCCCTTGGGCAATGTTGTACATGATGGCCCATTCGTTATCCAGGGTGGACCAAGGGCGACGACCTGTAGCCATCTCCAGGATCACACATCCTAATGACCAGATGTCGACTGCTCCCTGGCGATGGATAAGCTTGGTAGTATCTCCGCGGATCACCTCGGGAGACATATACATAGGGGTGCCGGTCATAGTCTTCTGGTTTTTGCCCCAATTGTTGTGAGCCAGCTGGGGTTCCTTGGGAACAATAGCGTCCTTATGACCTGCACCAGCGAAGGCATCCAAGGGGGCAACAGTTCTACCCTGACGGGCAATGATCTTGGCAGCTCCAAAATCGACATATTTGATAATACCGTTATGATCAAGCAGGATATTCTCGGGCTTAATATCGCGGTGAATAATGCCAGCCTGATGCAGGTACGCCAAACCCTCCAGCAATTGAAGAGCGTAGACCATGATGACTGTTTCATCCTCAACGCGCCCATGCTCAAGCAAGCTGGCGAGGGATCCGCCGGAGCAGTATTCCATGAAAATGTAGACCTTGTCGCGGTGCACTTCGATTCCGTGGTAAGAGACGATGTTGGGGTGGTCCAACACTTCCAGAACACCCATTTCATCGCGAATTTGCTGGGCAATCTTGGGAATGAGTTGGGGATCCTGCAGACGAATCTCCTTGACAGCCATGAGATAATTACTGTCAAGGTTAATCGCAGCGTACACGGATCCAAACGTTCCACCACCAATGAATTGACCCTGTTGCCACCGTAGATTGACATTCGTAGCCGAAGACGAAAGTACCGTAAGAGACCTATCCGCTTCATTGGAGCCCTCCAAGACCCGTCCCAATGCCTGGCGCTTCGCGTCTTCGTCGACACGTCTTTCCTCGATCTCGATCAGGTGAGCCACACGCTGCTCTTGAACCAGCTTGGTCGCCTCTTCATCTGTCAAGATCCGACCTGCACCCATCCGCCTGGAGCCACCGCGCTCTTCCAAGCGTTGCTTTTCGGCTTGAGCCGCACGAGACGATCGGGCACCCATAATGTCAAAGTGGGATATAAGAAGCGACATGCACCCGGCCACCTTCTGCCTCAGTCGACTAAACTGCGCATCATCCATCGACAGCAGGTGTCTGCTGGAGGTGATGGCCATCGCAAACTCTAAAGCAGCGACAGCCCACTTGAAAGTCTTCCGATCAGCAGCATCACAGTCATCACAGATGAAGGACACCCAATCGAGGGATAATTCGACGAGTCTCGCGCTGTTCATTGCCCGTCTGTTGGGATCAACATTTGAAGAACGCTTTCCAAACTCGGTTGCAAAGGCATAGCATGCTTGAATCAAATCATGGTTTTCCACGCCTATCTGTTTTAGCTGATCCCTGATGGTGGCCACGCTATCCATGATAGTCATTGACAGCTTGAACGAAATTTTCTTGATCTTGTTAAGTTCCACATTCACTCGGCCAAGATTCGCACGTTGTTCAATGGCCATATCGAGCTGGATGCCAGTTAGATGTGCCAGCTCATGTCTAGCATTAGACAAACGCTGCTGCGTCCCCTCAACGACGAGACGCAATTTGCCCAATCGCAAGTCCGTGGGTTGTTCCATGATACCCAATTGCATCTCCTTGCCAGCCCAGGACAGGGGCTTTTCCGGACGAACCACTAGGATATAAGGTGCATGCGGTGTATCCTTGATTGTATCATCCTCACGGAAAGATGTGCCTAAGATAGCTTGGATGTCGGCAGGGCGGTCCCACAATGCGGGATGCGCAAAAAGATAGACGCCTTTCTGACCAACAGAGACATTTGATTTGATCATGAAATGATCCGAAATAAGTAATGACTCCAAGAAATCGTATGCAATATCAGCCGGCAAATTATATTCGGTAGCATTTTCGAACAACTGGCGCAGAAACCGAGAAAACCGATAAAGTTTTCGTTGGCGAATTCGGGTTGAGTCCAAAACACTCTTGTATCGCTTGTCCATGTCGGCTGGATCCTCGTTATGGCGGATCGTCAATTCCCGCTCGAAGTGGATCATTAGGCGTTGGATTGACTTTGCAGTCAGTGCACTGGTTCAGATTAGCCATGTAGATCATCTTGAAATGGAGGATCCACCTTCGTACCTGAACTGCTCAGCAACCTCGATATCTCCACCCTCAAGTTGACGGCCAACCTCGTTGGAAAACTCCCAATCCTGTTCCAAGATTTCAGCTTCTTTGAAAGTGTTCTTGTTCGCATTCAACTTCCAATTTAGAAGCCGGAAATAATACTTCATGGCATCCAGAACAACTGCGTCGAAACCTTCGTCAATGCAAGGAGGTAGATCCCACCCCGGCTCGGGCCTGGCGATATCCAAGTAATGTTGTTTTATATCCACCGCTACCTTCATCAGAATCTGAAACTGCGATATCATTTGATCAACCAAGATGGGTGATTGTTGAGCTGGGTCTTTCATATTCTTAGCATAAGATAGTCGAACGCGTATGATCTCCTGTATGAGGCGCGACGGGAAGTTGATTAAAGTAAGAAGCTCTTCAATATAGGGAGGCAAATGCCGTTTAGCGAAGGAATTCGCGTTCTCGATCAGTGTGTTCTTGGCTTTTTGAATAACCTCCCCAATGCCATGGAGCATGTTATGCTTTCCTTGAAGCGTCTTTAGACCATCTTCCTTCATGATACGATCAAGAAAAAAAGATTCGTCAGAAAGATCGCTGTTGATAGATTTGGTCCTCGGCTTGCTGAAATCCAGCTCATCGTTCCCAACCCATTTTTGCAGAATAGCGAGCTCGGTGTTGATTAAGATCGTCGTGTTATGCCAGGCAAAGACAGCATCGCGACTCGAACAAAACTCCTCCGAAGCAACCCGAGGGTTTGCGGTTTCTAACTCTTTGTGAGTAGAGTACAGGCTTTCACACCTTTCGATTTGTCTGACGATGTCCTCAACCTGCTTGATGGGTGGCTTTCCGATCTCTGTTTCACCTTTGATCTCAAACTTGATGATTTCTTCAATAACGGGGCCAAGCCCAGCCCTTGATTCCTCAATGAGCTTTCTTTGTAGAGCAACGCTCCTTCCGCACATCCTAGCTCTGACACCCAACCATATTGCATTATTCTGAGCCGACGATCGCTTCGATTCGGCGGATCCGAGCAGTCGCTGCTTTTCCTGTTTTACCACGTCTCCCTTCAATACGGAGGAAAGCATAGAATGCCACTCCAGCCTTTCTTGATTTCTTGGGCTCTTGAGTTCCTCGATCGTCGGTTGATTGTCGTCAGTGAGGAAGAGTTGGATGTCCGGGTCGTAAGCATCGTCTTCGAAGGGGACCTCTGAAGACGGCGACGGTTCTTCCAGATCTGAGTCCCCAACCGCCACGCCCATGCTTTGGGCCTCGTCGAAATGACTGTACCAAGCCTGTGGGTCGGCGCGGATGCGCTGGACATACGCCTTCTCCTGGGCTCGGTACTGTGCATTAGGGTCGCGTCTAGAGTTCCGTTTCGTTGAAGAGCTTCGCTGACGGTCATTCTGGAAGCTTATATACTGAGGTGGGCGTCGTTGGGGCGCGTAGGTGTTGGAGGGCGTCCGGGCGGGGCCGGACGGACGCTGCGGCCTCAGTTCACGTTCGGTGACGGGAAGGCCATCAATCGGTGGGGTCTTATCGAGAGCGGCCGAAGCACCGATGCTGGCACCTCGCGGGCGTGTGGGTGTACCGGTTGCCCATGCTGGAAGACCGGGAGGAATGGATGAGGGAGGTGAGGAGGAGATGGTGGTCGCTGGGGTTTGGATTTGGCCGTCGAAATTCTCTGGAAAACCGGGGGTCGATCTCACAGCGTAGGGCTGTTGCAGAAGCTCGTCCGAGGACCCCGAGCCATCTGAATCATGGTTGTTCATATCGGGATGCTCCATGATCAGGAATCCACGGTCCTGCTGAGATTCCATATCGCATGTCCGAGGTTGGGAAGCGGATTGGAAGGGAAGCCTCAAGCGGAGTCTAGATAGGGGCTGTGGCGGTGCATGCTACTTATCGCTGCTGAGTTCCGAGCCAATCCCTGCCAGGGTGCCTTGGGTTTTCCACGCTTGGAACGTGTCGAGGGGAAATAAAATGAACAATAGCAGAGAATAAGAGAAGATACGGTTGATCAGTCGGGTTTATGATCCAAATAGCGAGCCCTTCCAGGCGTGAAAATAGTGGTATGCTCCAGAAGACTGACAGGACGGAGCTTCAGCCGGAGGTGGCTCTACCGCGCCCATACCGGATCGGGAGGCGGCGACCCTGGGGTGACTAAGCGCCCAGTGCCATTTAACTAGTTAATTGCCCAAGGCAGAGAACATGCATATGCTCGAGCTCAGATTCTATGGCAAAAGCGGGGATTCTGGATTTGCTCATTTGCTCTATCAAGAAGAAACCTTACCGACTAGCCTGGTTACAGTACTAGGTATACTACAAGAGTCATGCGGTGGCGACAAGCAGTGTATGACATGGACTCCTTACTCACTGCAGGGGCTCCTACGGAGTACTTAAGTATAGTAGTACGGAGTAGCAAATTGACAGATCACACGGCTACAATCTCATTGTTTTGTGAGCAAATATGCCACCACCCGGGAATGGTCCAAGGCGGATTGCCGGGACTCATTGTATTCCCTGTCTCTCCGCCTTTTCTTCATGCTTCACGATCAGGGGCATCCGTATCTGGTAGATAGATCTTCGTGCGGATGCCTCGAGCTCATGAGAGCCGCGTTCCGCGCCCTAGAATGTATCGTTAGGCCCCCCAAATGAACATTACAAAAAGCAAAAAGCTACCATCGACATGTTTTTCAAATCGACAAAGGCAGATGTCCCAGATGTTGATGTGAAACTCTAGATCGTACGGAGACTTGCCGGGCCTATATGCATTCTCCTTTTCGGGAATCAGGAAATGTCCGTTCAACGCCAAATCCCACGTCCTATTCCTGGATAATCGCGGAAGTCGATCAAGTGATGCTCTGGAGATCGCCTTGAGACGTGAATAGTAGCATGCAGCTGATCACCATGGCTTGTTGATCAGTGGAACCGACTGTCCTGACTTGGCGCGGCGGGTCTCCAGGAGATCCCTTTTGGAATTTCTGGGGAAGCTTAAGTAGGTAATGGAGCAGAGTGGGCAGTTAATTCACTGGCGCAGTGTTAGCCTTGTTATGACATCATAGGAGAGAAAAAGCCATAGCGAGTGCGACGGCCACTTCCTTTTCGATCAGTCCAGTGTGGTGAGCAAAGAGTTGGGAATTGAGCATAGTTACTAGTAGTACGAAAATCCTCCGAAGGCTTGGTACTAATTAGTATGTCACTGCACAAAATATCGGTGACGGTTGTATGCAATCCTTTGTCCATCTGGGCGTGAGAGTGAATATTGGTAAATAGCAGAAGCAGAGGGAGATGATATAATAACCAGGACCATCTCCATCGTACCTACATCGTAGTACAAAGGATTCCTCCATGCTCGCGTAGCAGTTGGATTCATCGTTGAAAGAGACGACAGGTGCCAAGTCCGCTAGTCCGAGCCAGTCGGGATTCCGACACGTCCTGACCAATGGGGGTTGATGAGCTTATCTCTCCCCACTAGTACACAGTAGAGGCCGGAGTGGTACGTAGTCCCTCCGGCAGCTTACAGTCCCAACTTACCTACTACATAGTATGTACAACAGGCCCCTATTATTATGGATCAAGGGATGTTGGTTCATGGTTGCGGTGGTTCTCCACGGAGACTGGCTATGACGCAGCGGAGGTGTTGATCCAACCAAGTGACCAGCCCTACGTCCCGTGTTGGAGCACGACCGCTTGATCTGGTCGGATATGGATCTTTGTACCTTAAGCCAGGAGTTACTTGGAGTCATAGGCTCATTGCGTCTCTTTGGAATCCTGGGATCGAGTGCAGCTCTCGCCTGCCATTATCCTACTGTGTGCCCAGGATGGACCGTCGTGTCCGAGCTGGTATCACCCGTACAGTGCAGCGTGCCATCGGGTGTGACAACGCAGGCACCGCCCGACTGGGATAATGAGACGGAGTTCTTGGCTTCATCAAAATCTTCATGATAGCCTGACAGGCTAGCAATGCACAGTAATCATCAGGTAACGAGAACCCACGGGGTGTCTGGGGGAATCAGGAGGTCTGATAAGCCGGCTGGCCCACTGCTGATTGGCGGCCGGGATTTAGATAAGGAGGCACTGCGAGACCGGCTGAAGGGATTCTTCACGAGTCAGTCAGTCAGGACAGTGGACAGTGGACACGCCCCCATCAAACTGAAAGAACGATGGAATTCCCTGATCACCTCGTGGTGATTGCTGACCGGGGTAGCTGGACTAGCAATGGAACTTCAAGAATCACGGATGCTTGCCCGATGGGTCGAAGCCACGAACCCAAACCCAAACCCAAACCCGAGGGCCGTGGGCTGATAAGAGAACGGCTCTGATGGCTGAGCATTGATAAAGTGCCTGCGGCGAGGAAACCAACGACTAAGGTAATGCTTCCTTCAGGCTCTGTGATTGGACGGTGGGGTGCTATCTCCCGCCAGAGGAATTGAAGGTCCTTCCGTTCCATCCCAAAATTCCCCAATAAACTTTCAATCTATCCTTGCATGAATCCGTCACCGCGGGCCCTTATCCTGCGCAGGCACAAATCTATTATTTACGCCGATCTGTCACTGAAATTTCCAATCTCAGGGTCTCTATCCCTATCGATGCATGTCTGGTCAGGCTGACAGTAGTCCCTATCAATGGTGGTGTCAGCCTCCTTGACTGTCACCGCTGCATGGCTGTTAGGCTGCCATGCACCACCACCACCATGTCGGTGTCACAAACAAAAAAACGGCACGTCCACGTTCTGGTCGGATAACCTGGGGTATATTAATGTAAGGTGATAGGTAAGTAACTAGATATTCCGTATGTAATCAAGATGCAGGTCAAAGGGGAGGCGACGCACTGGCCCACCCATGCTTCCTCCGGCCACCTCCACGCCCTTATCCGCCGCCATGGCTTGCTGCTGATATCTAACTAATCACTGTTTAGGACTCCGTCGTATCCACTTGTCGATATCTCTCGGTCGTATTGATTGCGACTAACCGTGGCCAGGGCTGCGCCTAGTGTCCGGTGGTGGAACCGGCCGTGATCGAAGCCAAGTGAGACAATGGCGTCTTGTATTCTGACTGGTATCATCGCCTGGTTCCGACTATTTCCAGTACTATTTATCCCTCCTGCATCTCCCCCCCTCCCCCCCTGCAGTGGCTTTTTGCTTTTTGGTTTTTCGATCGCCTTCTTTTCTTCGTCCCATAATTCCTTTTGCTCGATCAGCAGTGCCTAGAGCCCCCAACTTGCGGCCACCTTCCACTGCTCTAGCCCATTAAAGGACTCTGGGTCTACACGTCGACCACTACTCGCGCCCTTAGCATCCTAAAAGGTTGCTGGTCTTGGTGTGTACGGCCTGCGAGTCATCCTCACTCAGTTCCCGGCCGTACTTTGGCAGAAACCTCCGTGCGATTGTGGGATTCACAATGGCGGAATATCCTGTCACCTACAATGGGACCGACAATGGCACTGGTGGTAACTCTCTGACAGAGGATCTCAACATCTACTACAGTGTATGACTCTCGATCTGTGATATATGTTCTGTTCTACCTGGATCTAGCCCCACTAACTGATCCCAGTCTGGAGATATTGCTTGGGTTATCACCTCTACTGCTTTGGTGTTACTGATGATTCCTGGTGTCGGGTAGGTCACCACAGTTACCCCCAATGCTAACGGGCTATCTAGCTAACTGCAACAGCTTCTTCTACTCAGGTCTTGCCCGTCGGAAATCTGCATTGTCGCTAATATGGCTTTCGATCATGTCGGTTGGGGTGGTGTCTTTCCAGTGGTTCTTTTGGGGATACTCATTGGCCTTCTCTCACACAGCTGGAAAGTACATTGGTGATCTGAACAACTTTGGAATGAAGGGGGTTTTGGCGGCTCCATCGGTCGGCAGTGACAAGGTTCCCGATATCCTCTTCGCTGTCTTCCAGGGAATGTTCGCCGCCATTACGTGAGTGGACCCGATGAGAAGCATCTCTAGATCGCTTGGCTGATAATGGAGACAGTGTTGCCCTTGCAGTGGGTGCAGTAGCCGAGCGTGGTCGCATGCTGCCTTGCATGGTCTTTAGCTTTGTCTGGACCACCATCATCTACGATCCGCTTGCCTGTTGGACATGGAATTCGTCGGGCTGGGTTTACCTGTTGGGAGGTCTCGACTTCGCTGGTGGTACCCCCGTCCACATCGCCTCCGGATCCGCCGCGTTGGCATACTCTCTGATGCTCGGAAAGCGTCGCGGACATGGCACCCATGAGCTCAACTACCGCCCTCACAACGTCACCCATGTGGTTATCGGTACTGTCTTCCTCTGGGTTGGATGGTTTGGATTCAATGCAGGATCCGCCTTGGCCGCCAACCTGCGTGCTGTGATGGCAGCTGTTGTCACGAACCTGGCCGCGTCCGTGGGTGGAGTCACCTGGTGCATCATGGACTACAGACTGGAGAGGAAGTGGTCTACTGTCGGCTTCTGCTCTGGTGTGATCGCAGGTCTTGTTGCCATTACTCCAGGCTCGGGCTTTGTGACCCCATGGGCTGCCTTCATCTTCGGAGTGGTCGGTGCCGCTGCTTGCAACTATGCGACGAAGCTCAAATACGTGCTTCGTGTCGACGACGCCCTGGATATCTTCGCTGTGCACGCCATCGGAGGTCTTGTGGGCAACCTCTTGACTGGACTTTTTGCTGCGTAAGTCAACACCATATTTGGTCAATCCAATGGATCTGAACAGAACATCAACTAACGTTGACTCCTTTCCAGTGATTACATTGCCCACCTCGACGGTTCCACGACCATTGCTGGAGGTTGGATCAACCACCACTACATTCAGCTTGGGTACCAGCTGGCCGACTCCATTTCTGGCATGGCCTACTCCTTCTTCGGCAGCTGCATCATCCTCTTTGTCATCAACCTGATCCCTGGTCTGCACCTGCGCATTCCTGAAGAAGACGAGATCCTTGGTGTCGATGATGCCGAGATTGGTGAATTTGCCGTAAGTCCCCCATTGCCTCATATGAGAATATTCAATCTGACCAGACACAGTATGACTACGTCGAAATCACCCGCGATGTCATTGGCGGCACTGCCCCCGAGAGCGGCGAGGTTGCCTCCAAGCGCACCATGACTCCCCCCAACGGCAACGAAGAGTCTGTGGAGACCAAGGCTTAATGGGTGTAACTAGGAGTGACGACCTTTCATTCCTACCTACCACTCATTCTATGCCATCACACCGTGATCACGAAAAACAATTACTTAATTCCTTTTGGATCTCTTGATACCTATTTCATTTATTGTTACCAATTTTCGATGCCTTTACTATTATTATGTATATACATTTCCTTCGTCTATCCCTACTATTTATCTACATATTCTTTTCACATATATCCATTCTTTATTTTGGCTTGGACTTGCCTGAAGAACAAACACTCCACGTGGGATCAAAGCTACGATACAACTGATCATTCATTCCCTCCTACCTTTCTTTTTTTCCATCGTCTCATCCCAACTACATTCATTGCAAACATACATACCATGTACTAATCCCATCATCATATCTAAAAATTAAATACCTTACCTAGCTATTAATAACCCTCATACATATAGACTAACCAAGATATAAATAAGTACCCCAGCATATACACAAGCAAAACAAAAGCCCTCACACAAATCTGATGCATCATCAAATGATGTAAATAGATATGTTTCCACGCTCTCCATAGCAAGTATATCTGAGCCTGTCATTCGAAATTTGTAGATTGACTCTTCCAATTCAATCTTTTTTTTTTTTTTTTCTCACATTGAACTCCGATTCGATGCCTTAGAGAAGATGTTATATTATTGATATATGGATATATGACTTCAAGTTGAAAATGCTGACTGGCTACTGCGGGATGGAATAGGACAGGACAAAATTGTGGGATTGGAGAAGTATCTGGGGTAGTATGTGCAAATATATAATATTTCATAGCATAATACCTACTTCAAAACAATGTCGGATAGTGATACACTATACGTGATACCAGCGACTGGCTTCTACATTGTCCGACAGGGCTCGGCCAATTAACCATACGGACTTTGAAAATGATACAAGGCTAGCCATTGGCATCAAGGAGTGATTGTACCCGTAAACTGCTTTTAAAACTATGTGCGATTGGTTTAAAAGGTCCAGGCTTTGACGAGCCTAAGTAATTAAAAACAGGAAGGGAAATTAAGAGCGCTCAAACAAAATAATTCACTGACCAAGACCAGTAGGTCTAGGTCGAAGAGAATGTAGGCTTATCGGGGTATTACAGAGCTGGTCTCAATTCGGGTAACTGTCGATTTCAGACATTTACTCCTCTTGCTCAAGGACCTCCTCCTCGGCGCTGCAAAAATGGTCAGCAAACATCCATGGTCAACAGGGCTTGGTTGACACTTACTATTCCTCCTCACCCTCGGAGATCGAGGCATCCTGGTACTGCTGGTACTCGGAGACAAGGTCGTTCATGTTGCTCTCAGCCTCAGTGAACTCCATCTCGTCCATACCCTCACCAGTGTACCAGTGCAAGAAAGCCTTACGACGGAACATAGCAGTGAACTGATCACCGACACGCTTGAAGAGCTCCTGGATGGAGGTGGAGTTACCGATGAAGGTGGAGGACATCTTGAGACCACGGGGAGGAATGGAGCACAGGGCGGTCTGGATGTTGTTGGGGATCCACTCGACGAAGTAGGACTGGTTCTTGCTCTGGATGTTGCGCATCTGATCCTCAACCTCCTTCATAGAGACGCGTCCACGGCTGGATACATGTTAGCTGACGCACGTACTGGAAATCGATATAAAGAAAACTCACAAGATGGCGGAGCAGGTGAGGTAGCGGCCGTTGCGGAAGTCAGAGGCAGCCATCATGTTCTTGGGGTCGAACATCTGCTGGGTCAATTCGGGAACGGAGACGGCACGGAAGGAGTAGGCGCCACGGCTGGTCAGAGGAGCGAAGCCGACCATGAAGAAGTGGAGACGAGGGAAGGGAACCATGTTGACAGCCAGCTTGCGGAGGTCGGAGTTGAGCTGACCAGGGAAACGGAGGCAAGTGGTCACACCGGACATGACGGCGGAGACCAGGTGGTTCAGGTCACCGTAAGAGGGGTTGGACAGCTTGAGGGTGCGCATGCAGATGTCGTACAGAGCCTACAGTGCTCAATTCGTTAGTTTTCGAGCGCAATCGCTCACAAGATTGTTTCCCCAACATACCTCGTTGTCGATACAGAAGGTCTCGTCGGAGTGCTCAACGAGCTGGTGGACGGAGAGGGTGGCGTTGTAAGGCTCAACAACGGTGTCGGAGACCTTGGGGGAGGGGACGACGGAGAAGGTGGCCATCATACGGTCGGGGAACTCCTCACGGATCTTGGAGATCAGGAGAGTACCCATACCGGCACCGGTACCACCACCGAGGGAGTGGGTGATCTGGAAACCCTGGAGGCAGTCGCAACCTTCGGCCTCACGACGGACGACATCGACAACCTGGTCGACCAACTCGGCACCCTCAGTGTAGTGACCCTTGGCCCAGTTGTTACCAGCACCGGACTGGCCGAAGACGAAGTTGTCGGGGCGGAAGAGCTGTCCGAAAGGACCGGCACGGACGGCATCCATGGTACCGGGCTCAAGGTCGACAAGGACGGCACGAGGAACATACTTGTTGCCGCTAGCCTGGTGAAGGGGTCAGGAATCGAGACACCACACGTACACGTGGTATAGCCTAGGATTGGGTGAGACCCACCTCGTTGAAGTAGACGTTCATGCGCTCCAGCTGGAGATCGGAGGTGCCATTGTAACTATCCTCCACGTCAGGAACCCGGTTCTTCCATCATGTTGACCGATTGAGACGTAAAAAGGGTGTACTTACACACCGGAGCCGTCGAGGCCGTGCTCACCAGAGATGGTCTGCCTGTTGGTTTGTTAGACGAGTTCCAAAGTAAGAGTAACAATGGGCATCTAGACTCATGCTACAAAGCCTGAGATAGATCCCATCCCAAGTCCAGGGACAGTGAGACATACCAGAAAGCAGCACCAATTTGGTTACCCTATTCGCCATCATTGTTTAGCTCACTGGACGCCAAGCATGGTACTTGGACAACAACCCCAAGACATGGTCGATGGTCGCACTTACACACTGGCCGGTTTGGAGGTGAACCTATGAAGTCAAGAAGAATGCAGTTAGCAAAATTGAGTTGGTCAAGAAAACCGGTGGGGTCCCCATCAGGAGAGATGCCAGCCAACGACGACGCGTCTCCTGAGGGACCAGGGGACCGAGGAACAACATACAATCTCACGCATTGTGGCGGGGATAGTGATAGTATTGACGGGACGGGAGGTGACAGAGAGGAGGCCGGGGGGCGGATGGATCGAAGTTGTTGGGAGGAGACCGGGGAAGACAGTCGACTGGAGGAGAAGGGGGGAGGGAGGAGGGAGGAGAAAACGAGGAATGGGAGGAAGTTAGTTTGGCCTAGTGGAGAGTTGGGTAGAAGGAGAGCGGTGAAGCGGGAAGGCCAACGTTGTGCGGGCGCCGTCGGGATCAACAACAAAGCCAACAAACACGGGCTTTTGGGCAGGTAAATAGGGGCTTCGCCCGATCCGGTTTGGCGCCGTCACGGGGGGTTCCTACGGGCCACTGACAACCCGCCGGTCCCTCCAGTCCCCAACTATAGGTTGGTTAGGTTACCTCCTTGTCCACACGCGAACCAGACTTGCAGTGGAGGTGGCCTGACATTACTTCTACACATAGTAAGTCGTCACCTCCCCGTACATAAACAATGGCGTTTGGATCAGGATGAGGAGCTCCGAACCAATCACCAATGTGACACCCGACCACTACTTACTCCGTATAATACATACATACATATCTACATCCACGGGATCCCCAAAGTGATCAACCAACCTCAGTTGTTATGCCCATCCAGAGATCCGCCAATGGGTACATGCCATTAACCCTCGCTCACTTGGCGGTATTCTCAACCGTGTGAGAGCTTTCCAACCACGTGCCAAACTCATCCAACCGCTGCTCCTCTTCCTCGTCCGAAGCATCCAGTCCCCGCTCAGCTAGATCTTCCAGTGCCGCGCGCTTCTCATTGGTCTTCTTAAACCTCTCGCTGCCATCCGCAATATATGCATCAACACGGGTGCCCGCAAAGAACCGCCCATCCATCATCTAGGGCGCAATAGTTTTAGCACTGAACTATCCCTTCAGCGTATCGTCACGCCATGATTAAGCTTACCTTGACACACTGCCTGGCTGGCTCGGGGTCAGAAAAGCGAACGCTCACCACCCCCTCGGGCTCCTTGTCATATAGGACCACGTTGGTCACCTCGCCAAGCTTCGAGCACTCGTCGCGAATATCTTCCTTGATATCGAGAATAGCCGCCGGATCCTCCTGCATGAGATGTCAACTTCCCTAACAGCTAGCCGTAGTTCAGAAAGTATCCCGTACCTCCAATTCCTTCAGCGTGAACATATGCTTCAAGATGACAACCTTATCGAAACGGGAAGTCGTCTCCGCCATGGCCGACGGATCATCATCGTCCCAGTCAGCGAGTTTGCTACCAATTGTCATTAGCAAAGCCCCAACACTCCCGTCATGAGCAAATTTCCTCCATACCTGTTCAGCTTCTGAGTCCGTCGCATGATCTTCTTCTTGTCCCTCATGCTAGTTTTCGTCGGTGCCTCCTGTTGGCTCTTGAACGAGAAGTCTGCATGCTGGACTCGCATGGGTCCCTGCGGTCCTGTTACTCCTAGCCTAAAGTCCGAATCATCCAGCATCTGTATCGCGAGATTGACGGATTCCGGTCGGAAATACACGACGAGAGCTTCACCCTTGAATTTGCCATTGTCATCGGTGTACATCTTGATGCGTGGTCGGCCGCTGTCAATTTCCTCGGCGATAACACCGCATTTAGAAAAGACGTCTCGGATTTCATCGAACTCGGCATCCAGAGGAATCGATGTGACGAAGATCGCCGTGTTGACGCGCTGTTTCTTGGGCTTTTGTCCGTTGCCCTGTGCGATTACCATTGCCTTAGTTTTTGGCGCTTCGTAATGATCGTAAGGGAGAAAAGACATAAGAGCTGATCAACTAACCTCGTCCGCAGTCCCTTGCTTGCGCTTCTTCTTCAGTTGAGCTGCAGTGATCATTTCGTCCTCATCCACGCCCTGGACTCTGTATGCTTCTTGCTGTTGTTGTAGCAAGTCTTCATCGACCTGGAGGCACCCCGGGCGCGCAAGCGGCGCCAACCAAGCAATCAGTGTCACGAACCAATCAATATCCCTGCAATAATAGACATTCCTGTCTACTTGCAACAGAAGAAGGTTCATAGATACAATGTTGCATGGTCGTAAAAGAGAAACGGGAAACGAGGGGGGAGATAGCAGGAAATGCAGGACTTCAACAGCTGGAAACAGTAGGAATCACCCAGCTGGAGAAAGAGCGCGCACACACCGTCGGAATCCATCGCTTTAGCACCGTATCGTAAACGTACTCCTGTCCATCCTCTGTTTCTAGGATGAACTTGTTGTCCAACTTGGAGAAGGAGATTCGCGGATCGCTGTCGAACTCCGCAGGATCCTGAGGAAAGCTGCCGAGCTGGGGAGGGTTGGAGGCGCCGTCGTTAGGTGTAGGCGACGCCATTGTAAACAGTGTATTTCAAGAGAACGACAGCAATTGAATTTGAAATAGACTATTTACCAAGAAGGGGGAGATTTGGCCGGACGAAATTAATTTCAGCTCAGCCGGATTTGCGGGGAGAGGTCGGTTTATGTAAGCGCGACGGCCATTCACGTCATGGGCGCGCTTAGTGACCAGCTGACGATCCTCACAGCGTTACTTCACGAGATAATGCTTCGATGGGCGGGTCCAACGCGCTTATTGGGTGGAGCAAGGCTATAGCTCCCCTGTCTATGCAGTATTTCTTATGGTTTGTATGAGGGATTCCCTACATATGAAGCATAGCACGGAAGTTTTAGCAGTGAGTGCATAGACTTTCACTTTCTTCAATATTCACTGTTCAATTGTGGGTGGATTCCCAATTAGGATGGGAAACAGATATGCTGTCACTTCAAGACAAACTGCGCCAGGCAGCCATCATAATGGCGCCAGTATATAACAATCTGGTCCTTTTGGAAGTGGCTGACGAGGGAGGCTGCTGAGATCTGTGAGAAGGCCTGATATGCTGCAGCGTTCGACAACTTTATCCCACTGAATTCTTGTCTGCAGCATACCACGCCCATTGAGCTACTCAAAAAGTAGGACACATCTCAGCGCATCTTATGCAAAGGCGTCTCGGGTCTTCTGCCATATATGTGCTCATCACATGGTACCCGATCTCAACTCGTGCGCAGCGCCTAAAGAAAAGGGCATTGGCCCCGTCGTGTGGTCTCCAATTCTTTCATGATCTCATCCATACCCCGACGGCCCTTACCCTCGAAATACGTGGGACCGACATTAGGGGTATAATATCCTTGCGGATAATACTTGCTACCTTCGTCTCCCGGCAAAGGTCGGCCAAGCGCCCAAGTTAGCCAAGCAACTGGACCCCAGCGGTTCCGGAAAGTTGGCTTCACATAGTAGGGTGCAGCATCCCAGTTGACCATGAAGATGCGATCGTTCTCATCCAGTTCATCGGTATAACTGTTATACCGCAGAAAGTATGGGCGGGGAAGCGCAAGGTACCGCATGGCGAACCGACGAGCGGATAACAAGAACGAAAATAACTTGGCATTCAACGCCGGAGGAGCCTCAAACCTAGAATATCAATGAGCGGCTAGTCAATTTCTTGAAGCAGTTACACGGATTGTGCATCTCGGCATTCGCTCGTTGTCACTTACAGCATGGCCCTCCGCAGACGATCATCCATCATGAACGTAACGAAGGTCAATCCAAATTGTTGCAGCGGCTTCGGAACCATATACAGCAACATTGCAATCGTCTGGTCGGCAATTTCGCGGTTCTTAACATGGGGAGCCATGCAACGAGCCTCGTAATTGTTGCTCCAGACCATGATTTCCTCCAACCATTGGAGGCCATCACGAAATCCCGTCTTGCCTGACGGGAGAGCATCATAGCTAATTTGTAAGCTATCGCCTAGACTTTTCCAAAAGGTACCAATGGCACACTTCTCAAGGTCACTTAGGTTCCGCCATTCATACTTCTCGACGAATTCGACGGGCTGAGTGGCGAAGAGGCCAAGTGTGTATAGCATGTCATCTTCTAGAATTTTGCCGGAAGCGCGATAGCTGCTATGGATCCAGCGGGTGCGTGCAATAGAAGTGCAAGCACGACTGGAGGTCGGTGCGTGACCTATAAACTCCTGGACCAAGGCGACGGTATCGGCGTAGCGTTTCAGGGCTGTCTCGGGCTTAGTGAACTGGGTCGTGTTTGTGAGCGCTCCCGAGATGCTCGGAATTCCATAAGTCTGGCCGATGGTCAATTAGCAAGTAAACGTCTACGAGGAAGTTGGCGTTCATACCCTGAAGAGAGCAAATTGGAGCGACTTGAGGTAGAAAAAGGGAAATTCCAGCTGAACCAGGGTTTTCTGTATTTCGCAAGCGTCATCGTCGGTCATACGAGAAAAGGACTCCCGAGTGGGATAGTGGTATTTCTGGCGCAGCCACCGTGCATGACGAAATCGAAGCAGGGATACGAGAATCAAGTATGCTGGGAGCAACAGGCAAATGTAGGTGACAATTCGCTGTGATCCCCAGAGAGCTTGAGGAACCTTTTCTGGGGTATACCCTCCCGCCGTGTTTAGGGTGCGGTTCTCCATAGGTCGCTTATTATTGCCTACTCAATCCCTCTGTCTGGTAGAGGCTGAGCAGTTGTGTGACGTCTAGACTTGGCGATGGTGAAAAAGGTGGTTGTTGCAGTACAGCTGCATCACATGGCAAGGGGTGGCTGGTACATTCAACCCCTCAGTTAAATCTGCCGCATTAGTAATAAATGGGGCTTCAACAAGAAAAAGCAACTCTGACCCATCCGTAGATCCTGTCAAAAGTGAACCTCGATTTCGAAAACCGAAGTAGGTAGCCGATTCACTCGAGGATTGCTCGGAGAACAGTCGGGGGCTTTGTAACTTTGTATAGTTTGGGCTCTGTATCTAGTATCGGTTCAAGGGTCGGTCACGGGGACCAGCCCGTATTTCCTTTGGATACTCCCACCTTAGCTTTCCCCCTCACTACTCCTTACACGTACCATGGTCCACTTCTCGTTGACCTGCTCAGTCCTCGATAATTTTGACTTGAGCCGGTCAGTTATCTTGTGCTACATGGTCGCCCATCTTACTCAGAGCCCACATGTTACCCTTCATTCATCACGCTGAACATGGCCCTGATCGTCTCTTAAGAGTCAAGACCCAAAAAAAGATAGATGAGAATGGGTATACCGAAGGAGGCATTTCTGCAAGGCTTTACTCGGCCACTCAGCATCTGTTGGGTCCGTTCAACTCATGAGAGCTTTTATTCATTCAACTGACATAGCAAGCAGCCGAGTCATGAGGAGATAACAATGAGAAATGGTAGCTCTCTACCCAAGACTTCTATTCACGCAAAGCAAGCGGACAGCAAGACGGCTCAATAAACGACACATCAACCGATTCATGACATAAGCTCATAGTCATTCAGGAGAACTAACCCGCCGGGAAACCCGTCATCCATGCCACCTAGGATGATACTGTCCCAGTTGACAAAAGTACCGCTCAACGGCCAATTAATTTCAATTCCAGCAATCTGAATGGCGGAAAGGCGAAGGCTGTGAAGCTCAACCCCAGCCAAATTCCCAAATCACACCCTCCCGGAATCGCCCTGGCAACTGGACCTGTATAATAGGCTTGATCCTATCAAATGGCAAGATACAATGGTCAGCAACTGTCGTGTAACAAGCATATGTTGGCGGGGCTGCGTACCATGCCAACGATGGCTCCTACCCAACCGACCAGAAAGGCTATGCTAGCTGCAACTCCCACCGGGAGTTTCAACCAATTGTTCCACAACGACCAGTCGTAAGGTCGCCCTCGATTGAAGAGGACATCTTGTTCCACCACGATGGTGAACCAGATGATGACCCAGTATCCAATGAGCGGTATGAAATTCTTGGAGATCTCATACAGAGAGTTCCGGCCCCCAATGGCACATGCTGTGTAGATGAGAGTGCTGATACTTGTGAATACAGGACGTGGAACCCGAAGCCATACATTTCCGAGCATCTGAAAGTTCAATCCTGTCGAGTACGAGCTCGGTGCGTTGTTGGACACAATGGTCAAAACGTTGATGAAGGCACATAGCTTTCCCAGAGGGCCGAGCCGATCATAGCCGGCCATTAATAGACTCCCTGGCGTACCGTCATAGAGAGAAGCCCATTTTGGGGTAATTGCGACCCCGCTGCCGAGTCCAACACCAAGAAGAAGCGTGATGGCTATTGAAACGCTTAATCCAAGCGTGGTCACAGTCCATACCTTCCAACGCCTGATCTCGGGAGAGTAGTAAACATGGTAATCTGCACCTACTGGGATCCACGACAAGGGAATGGATAGGCAAAGTGAGAAGAATGTCAGACGCTTCGCATTGAGCTGATTTGAAGGAACAGTCGAAGGACTATGGAAATCAAACTGCGGCCCAGCCGAGCCAGTAAGCACGCAAAAGATCAACAGCTGCGGAAACCAGGCATATCTAAATGGTCAGTATACGGCTCTGAATATGAAGACGACGAATCATACCTTTCATAGAACTGGAAGATCTTCATGCCAAATGTAGCCATCACCCAAGTCACCAACGCGACGATGACTATGCCAACGATGACAGATACTGCTCCTCCTGATAGCTTGGAAAGCAACTGACCTCCTACTGTGGCACTCATCATGCCAGTGCCCAAGTTGGTTAACACATTCAATATACAGCAGATTTTACTGGGATAATATCCCATGAAATACCGGGCCACGATCTATGAAGACATGAGCGGTAAGTCATTGCCACAAGTGCGCTAATAAAGGATGTGCAGACGCGGGGATCAGACAATAAGAGACACAGAATAGCAAAAGGGTGGGCATACAAGTGTGCGGTTCCCGCTTATGGGACCCCAGGTACTCATATACCCAACTCCCAGACCTCCCAGAAGTGTTCCGAATAACGCACACAGCGCAGCATCGGTGAAACTCAGCTTCATGACCAACGTTCCTAAGGATCCAGTCACGATGTTGTTGATTGCCATACCCATGCTAAACCACGTAAGCAGCATTCGGAAAGAAGTTGACTCTGTGTTCTTCAAACGTTCTTCAATAGGCACGGGCTCGATCCCCCGGGTCTCTAAGCCCTTGATGTTCTTCGTCCATCGTTCATATCTTGATCGACGCGTTGAAGGCGAGATTCCTAGAGATTCTCGCTGTTCCTGTGTCACACTCCGCAACGAAGGGGTTCTTTGTCTTTTCTCGAGGTCGGCTTCCATACTGGCTCAGGCGATGCCTCTAGGGAGAACTGCGTGTGCGATCTGGTATGACCAGCTGGGCATGAATTGGCCTATAAATGGGCAAAGGCAGGGAGTCAGTCGCCTCACCGGGATATACGGCAGGAAAGGAGCCGGAAGGTGAGGATTCCAGTGAAGCGACCACTTGTTACTCGGTGATACTGCACTGACATCACCTTGTTTTCCTGAGCGTGACACCCGCGCAGCTCTGAGGATGGCATTCCACAACCGAAGAACACTAATCGGGGCCCTACCGATCCCAAGCTTGATTGAAAATGCTATTCTCGCACTGGATCGGGCCTAGTCGCACAAATCTACAACCCCGGAAGACGAGGGGGTTGGTACCCGGATAATGGCCGGGAGACATCCGATTCATCAGGGCCTTTGCGTTGATAGTGTCACAGTGTCACTTGAGAGAAATTCTTTTGCCTCTGCAAAAATGGCCAATATGCCTTTCGTCCTGGGAGTCATGTGAGACCGTGTACCACATACCAGACAGATACTACCGTATTAAGCTCTACGATACATTCCTCTGGTATGCACCAACCATGCAAGGAGAGGAAATGCTGTTCAGGGCGCGGCAACCTGATTCCTCAACAGATCAGTTCCATGTGTGGTGTGGGGGAAGGAACACACCGTACGGAGTACAGAAACAAGATTATCAGGTATGGGATGAACTCATGAACCGTTTACGAGGCCATGGTCCCCGCTTCAAGCTTTCTAGAGAGTGGTCACCGACATTAGAACAAGGTATATGGATACTGTACCTTGTGATGATGATTCTATGACTGGACAAACGAATTGCCTATCTTGATCGGTTTGAAAGGGATGACGTGTTCGAAACGAAGCCTACCGGCGACCTCCTTGATGGATTCTAGCAGCCTGCTACATGCCTCCAAATGAACCACAAGCGAACCGAGCGACCTTGTTGGGCGACTACGGAGTATTCTAGGAGCGAATGACCCCAATGAATGGCATAAGCTAAGCAACTGCAACCGAGGTCGATAGTATTCCCAGGCTGGCTTGATTGAATAAGCCCTAATTCATGCCGCCCGAGTTTTATGAGTAGGATTCACGGCCCATATTCGCCTCGCCTGAGTGACTAGCCACTTCATAGCAGTGACTTGTCTGGCTCCCTAGTATTAATAGACCAAGTAGCTTCCACTTCCCCGCCTAATTGTACCACATTTCTTACCAATCTCAACATCATCATCTCGAATTCCTTGCCATTATACAAACCTAAACCGGCTTATCAACCGATTAGATAAACCAAGACATGGTAGGACGGACTATAAGGAATCTCAGAAATTATATTCCACATTTAATCCTCTACAAGAGGACCAAATACCTACCGCCAAGAAATACTCCTCAAATAATCCAGCACTTGAGTGATTTATCTCCGACCAGCTTACTTAAAGCATCTACACACCACCTCAGACAGCCCACTCAAACCCTACTCGCCTCAAGTCTCAAGCATCCAATTAAACCAAGAGACGCGATCGAAGATCGACAACCGAGCTTAAAGATATTTCTCCAGCACTGAAACCAAGCCTCGCGAATAGCCAAGGTGCCAATGCATACAAACAATCAATACTAGACGGGAGTGTCTCAAGAATAAGATTCCTATCTTGGTGCTAACCTTCGACACTCCACGCGGTTTTGTTTCTTGGATTAAGACCAGCGGCTCTATTGCAATATAAGACAACATATCACTGAGCTCAACAGCTTCCAGAAGATGGATATAATCTCCCAAGAGATTATCTACAGCAACTATGCCCATCCTTTATAACTAATCGATACGGCTCGACCACAGAAATGTCATGTGGTGTCTCTTATTTCCACTGCTTTTTGGGTTTGTGATGCTCGGCGGAAGAAGTTCCTATCATGGACCAGACACTATAGCAGCAGATCAAAAGCAATTTATTTTTGCTAACAAGGTCATATTTGGTATTGAGGTTTCGCAACTTTGGTACCCATTGATGAAGACATATTCCGGTATTATGTTACTTTTGCCCGGATGGATATGTGGATTTAATGTCTGTGTCGATGTTTCAATTTCCGGCATTGAGGTGTTGGAAAACCATGTTCCGAAACCTTCATACTTCCATTCATGGCGTGACGCACACATCAACGAAAATATACCCCTTATGGTATCTAAAAGAGCCAAGAAGGCCAAAAGCGAAATGTGGCCCAGATCTTCCACGTCAGTCACCACATTCAACGATGATAAGAAAAGGATCAAGATCAACATGCAACAATCCATCTCTGCTCCTATTGCCTGCGTGCTCGCCTGCCTTCATCCAAAAGAATGGAAACAGTGGATTCTTGGATTTTTGGTCTTTGGGTCCTGAGAATGGGTGGTGAAGCCCTAGACATCAGTTTCAACATTTGTCGTCGTGATCGAAACAGTTTAGTCTGGTATCGAAACAGGCAGTTAATATTATAGGATCGGATACGATGCTACAAATGCACATATACTCCTCGATATTTCGATCTACTTGCATGCACTCGAGGGGGAATCTTCTATGACAAGTACACAAAACAACAGGCAGGAAATACACGACAAAAACACAAGCCTCATTCTATCTCTGCTGAGAAAACTACACTATGTCGTGATGAGTGTCATCAGAACTTGGGATTGAACATGATAAGGTACATCTACCGCACGGCCGATCACCTTTGCTATATCTGGTAGAGATATCTTGCGGTTGTCTGTTTCGGTGACAAATCTTGTGGTTGTTCTAGTTGTTGTTTATAGCAAGGGATCTATAAGCATCATATAGTGTGTATGGAATAGGATGCTTCACTTGTGCGCCTCCAGGGCGCTTTTTTTCTTTTCTGTGACGTACGGACTGCTGGTTGAATAGCTTTGTATTCGTCATGTTTGTTCCTTGTCTCTGTTTTTGATGGGTTCTGTTGAGGGAAGGCGATAGCTGTATTGCATGGGTGTGGGGGTTGGGTTGGGTTGGGTTAGTAGTTGGTAGGTGGTGTGGTCATTTGATTTGTTATGTAGATATGGTGTAGTTAAGAATTTTTCTGTGTATGATATAGTTATCTTGTTTGGATTAGGAGATGGGGAATTCGCATCATATGTATGTATAATGGAGCTTTGGTAATACATTGTATTGGCTTACACTAGATCAGCATGCTCCAAAGTAGGAACATGCTCCGATTTCCTCCCTGCACCAACGCCGTCACACCTACCTCGTCCTGGATGGCTGCGAAAGTAGCCGTGTCTTCACTGCTCGTGGTAGAACTGAGAAAGGCAGATGGGTTAAATCACCAGTGAACGGCATGGCCGCAATCAAATGACGGTTCAATGGATGGGAATACTGACCACAGACCTTTTCCACCCCAGTCTCGCATGGCCATCAGCATCGTGCAGGTGGAAGCCCGCGAATACCCCGCAATGGGTGATCGGGCCCCACTCAAGCTAGCTAGCTTCCGACCACCTCGAGTGACAATTCCATTGTTTAGCTTCAAGAACTCATCGTGTCTCTAGACAATATTGAGAACAAGCAAATCTTAACAAGAACCACAATGTCTTCACCGCAAAGATTATCCGTAGGCATTATCGGAGCCGGGGTAGGCACTTCACTTCCATAACTTCCTTCAAGCCCACTTCTCCAAGACTAACAACCCCCCAGGAAGTCTTCCAAGTCTGCCACGGTCCATGCCTGCTACTCCTCTCGCATCTCTTCAAAATCGAGTCAATCTGCGACCTATCCCCCAAGACCGTCGACCACTGCGCCGCCAAGTTCTTCATTCCCCACAAAACCGCCACCCCCCAAGAAGTAATCGACAACCCCAACGTACAAGTCATCTTCATCCTCACCTCCGACGACAGCCACGCCCCACTCGCCATCGCCAGCCTCAAGGCCGGCAAAAACGTCTTCATCGAAAAGCCCGTCTCTCTATCTCTCCCTTCCGTGGAATCCATCATCGCCGCCGAGAAGGCCGCCCCCGGCAACGCTCGCGTCTTCGTAGGTTACATGCGCCGCTATGCCCCAAGTTACCTACAAGCCTTCAAGCGCGAAATCGCCACCATCCCCAAGATCCTGTATGCCCGGATCCGCGACTTCAGCGGCCCCAACGCCCAGTTCGTCAACCAGAGCGGCACCTTCCAGGTCAAACACTCCGACTACCCTCCCCATGCAACCGAGGAGCGCAATCGCTGTCTGGACACACTCTTCGCCGAGGTGTTCCCGGACCAGGACATCACTGACGAGAAGAAAAACTACTGTCGCTTTCTGGGAAGTCTGGGCTCCCACGATATCTCCCTTATGCGTGAAACCCTCGGATTCCCGGAAGAGGTCGTCGGCGTGTCGGTTCATGATCCCTTTTATAGCGCTATTATGACGTTCCGGAATGAGGATGGTTCGACTTACGCGGCTACTTATGAGAGTGGTATTGATCAGGTTCCTCTCTTTGATGCTCATATTGCGGTATATGGGGCCCAGAAGAGGGTGACTATCAAGGTAAACCTGCCTACATTCCTGTCTGCTTTGTTTGTGGGTAGAGAGCCGGGCTTACGCATATTGAATGCATATAGTATGATAGCCCGTACGTCAAGGGCTTGCCTATCTATGTCGAGGTGGATGAGCTTAATGAGCAGGGCGAGATTCAACGACGGACTATGTTGTCGTCGTATGAGGACGCCTACACGACCGAGCTCCAGGACATGTACGAGGCATTCGCTAATGGGAAGGCCATCAAGACGACGGTCGAGGACGCTAAGCAGGATCTCCAGATCTTTGATATGATGTATAAGAAATGGGGTGTGAACTAGTTAGATTAAGATACTGAGACACGGAGGAGCAGTTATGATAGAGAAACCTCTGATACTACACTTGCATCGTTACTTCCCTGTCGAAAGAGATGTACCCCTTTCGTTGTATCTCACTTATGCAACAGGATTGTCGCTTAACAGTATCATACGGGTCATAATTTCTAAGAGCCCACGGCTCTTAGCAACACCCTTTAGAATAATACCCGTCACTCAGATGAGATTCCAAGGTACGAGAGGTTAATATCATATTAGCCACCGAATAAATCCTTCAAGAACAAATACCGACTGTCCCCCACACAATATAACAGAAAGCACCAGAAAGAGCCAGCCATTGTCCTCGAGAGCAATCCGATTCCTATCCTAATATCAGCTACTCCTTCCAAACGCCGGACCCTATCGTTGACGCCCTCATTCCATCGTTCCAACGAGGAATCAGCATCCACAGCCACGACTGGGAGGAGTACTACCGTCTTCGCGGTGTTCCAGAGGCCAGCACGAGTACAAAGCCTCCTCACTTCGCAGTCGAACACGGCGAGCGAGTCCTACGTTGACATAGACGGGGGATTCGACGTTGATATCTTTTCCAACTACGACGGTGCAGAGTATTGGTCGTCGATTTCAATCTAGACGTGGCGGGGAAATATCTTCGGCATTGAGCAATTGGGTGGCGTGTTGTAGATTCTGTAGCTACATAGCGATTGGTTAAGATTGTGACGACTCGAGTGTGCACGACGGCTCTCGATAGCCATCCAATGTGCTGAGACTCTACAAGTCACTCACCCCGAGACTCGGACATGTCGGGATAAGAACATTCAAGCTAGCGTCCGCGTCGGGATGGTCCCAAAAGGGACAAACAATAACAATGTGGGGTTCAAGAACGAGGATCAGGATCAGGATCAGGATCAGGATCCTGTCGGTAAGCGTAACCCGTGACGTCTTGGGTGAGCCCTTTTATCCACTAGTATCCTCGTAGAATAGTCACAAATCTAGTCATTGACTGTATTGTCCACACGAGTCTACCTCGGCGAAAGCATGGCGTGCTATGTACAGGGAAGTTAAGAAATAAAGCAGAGCAACCGGCCTTTTTTTGCCCAGGTCCGTATCCCATGCGAGAAGTGTCTAGAAAGCAACCGCGAGCGATACCCCTTTTCAATCACGTACGCCGAACCCACCCCAGGATATTAGAAACAGTATTCCACACGAGGCTAAACGAGTCCCACAAAAACAAGCAAGCCAGCAATTAAACCGCAACGCGCAGCAACATCTAGCATGAGAGAGAACCTAAGTCACAAGTGCGCAATTGATGAACGGGATTATCAAAGCAATTCATAAGTATACAAGGTCGGAGAGGATCAGGGTATGAAGAGAGTCATTTGCGATCACGCCTGGCTTTGGCTAGAACGTGACAGGCGAGACGTGGACCTCCTGCTGCGGCTGGATGGAGCCCGCTCGGGAGGTGCGTATTCGAAGAAAGGAAGGAGTCCGGGGTTTTGGCTAGGAGGCGTCTTGGATGTAGTCTGGTACTCGCCAAGGATACGGTCATCCGCAGCGGTGTCAGGGTGAATTTCAATGCCCTTCTGTTTATCCAGTCCCCCATGAGGGCTGTCGGTCTGGACCTTGAAAGCCTCTCCATGATCAGATGGCCGCTCGATCGGAGACCAGCCTGCAATACTGCCCGCAACAACACCGGCCATAGCCGCAGCTGGTCCGAAGGCCGAATTCGAACGGGACCGAGTGCGGCGTCGGGACCGTGACTCCGGAGTCGGCGGCTGGGTCGGAGTACTGTCGCTATGTTCGCCAACAGGGGTGCCAGGGATCGAGTTTTCTCGGGACCTCGACCCACTGCGTGATCTTGGGAGGAGCTCTTCTGGATGCTGCAGCTTGTGTTTGAGATGTCTGAGTCGACCTCCGCGAACCGTCTTGAGGAACTTCAACTGATCCCGGATCTCCTCGAGAGCAGGGTTCCACTCGAACCGCCGGTCCTCGTCGGACACCAGAAGCTCGGGACCCTTCTTACGCTGCCAGAACCGAGGAATAAGCCTGCTGATGAACTCATCAGGAATCAGTCGGATGATCACGGCTACCGGCAGTGAGATCACGCCCAGAACCAGCGAAACACCCCACTGCGCGCCATTCAGCCGCTTGACGGAAAAGGCTTGTCCACCAACGAAGATGATCAGGATTTGGCCGCCGATGATAATCAGCTGGATACCAAGGAACCACACGTTCCGCCACATGCCCTCGAAGATGTTGAAGTTGTTGTCCAGTCGGCGACAATTCCACTGGTTGAAGATTTGCATCCAGACGAACGTGTTGAACACCATTGTTTCGAGCCGGTCGAGCTCGTCGGCCGATCTGTAGTGGAAGATCGACTTCCCGGCAAAGTTCAGAACCAGGGTGACAACCAACTGATAGATGCTCTGTCCGATGATCATCTTCCACATGGTCAAATTGATCAGCGGGGCTGACTTGGGTTCAGGTCGACGGTCGAGAACGTGAGGGGAGGGAGGATCGGTCGCCAGGGCGAGGGCAGCAAAGGTGTCCATAATAAGGTTGACCCAGAGAAGTTGAACAGCTGTCAGAACAGATTCCTCATCGCCGCTAGCTACCGCAGAAACGAAGGTGAGAACAACAGCCGTGACGTTGACAGTAAGTTGGAACTACAAATTGATTAGCTTTGGCAATATGTTTTAAGTGTCCACGAACACCATACCTGCAGGAACTTCTTGACAGCATCATTGACTGTCCTACCCCAAGCCATAGCTTTGATGATGGAGGTGAAGTTGTCGTCCATAAGAATAATGTCGGATGCCTCCTTGGCGACTTCGGTGCCCGAAATGCCCATAGAGAAGCCAACATCCGCAGTCTTGAGAGCCTGGGCATCGTTGGTGCCGTCGCCCGTCACTGCCACCGTTTCACCTAACTTCTTGAGCTGAGAAACCAAGATCCGCTTGTCGTCGGGGCTGGACCTGGCCAGAACCTGCAGCCGAGGGATAATTTGCGTCATCTGGCGACTGCTCAACTGACGAAACTTGGGGCCCTCGATGGCAATACCTCCAGGAGTGAAGATGCCGCATTCTTGGGCGATAGCTTTGGCCGTATTGATGTTGTCGCCAGTAACCATACGCACAAAGACACCTGCGCGCTGGCATTGGTGGACAGACTCAGTTACGCCCGGTCGCAGGGGATCCTGGATACCGAAGACGCCCAGCAAGATCATATCCTTGAAGATTGCATCAAATACAGCAATAGAACGATCCTCCTCATGTGTAGGGGCACCACGAGGTGGCCATTGGTCGAAATCCCGGTAAACCAGGCCGATGGTTCGCAATGAATGAGACGCGTAATGGTCGATCACATTATCCAAGCTCGACCGGTCCTGGTCCGACATAGGGCCCTCCGACAGATCCTGAGTAGCATTATGGACGATGCGCGTGGATCTCGCAACCAAGATTTCCGATGCACCTTTGACCAGCATCCGATATTTACCATTGTCCATCTTGATGATGACTGCCATGCACTTGCGTCCCGAGTCGAATGGCACCATCTGGACAAGGTTGGCATTATCCCGTGCCTCACTAAGAGACCCGAGCCCAAGATACGTACGCGCAAAGCCCAGGAGAGCAGTCTCAGTCTTCGATCCGATAAAGGTCATTGTGCCGTCCTGCTCCCCCTCGAATGCGGTAGAGTTCAGTACAATCGACTTGGTCAATAGATCTTTGGCTGAAGCAGAAAGACTCGAGGCAAACTCGGATGGGGAAAGGGTGGTCGCAGGATCACGACCCCGGTCGCCGTCAGGACGACTCGAGGCTCCCGTGGATTTGCCTCCAAATCGGAGATTCTTTCCCAGGGTGGCTGCCACGGCCGTCATTTTATTCTCGGTCAGTGTGCCGGTTTTATCGGAGCAGATGGTCGTCGCGTTCCCCATGGTTTCACAGGCTCGAAGCAGGCGTACGAGGTTATTGTCCTTAAGCATCCGTGTCGTTGCAAATGCGAGCGCCAGAGTGACAGCCAAAGGCAATCCTTCCGGGACAGCAACAACAATAACGGTGACAGCCACAATGAAGATCTGTAGAAAAGCCTGGCCTTTCTCGGAGGCACCGCCCATGCCTTTCAATTGAGCGAGGAACTTGATGAACAGGACGATAAACAGAAGTAATCCGGATGCAAGGCCGAGTTTCGCGATGTATTCTGCGAGGACGTTCAACTTCGATTGCAGCGGAGTTGTCTGGCCTTCATCCTGGAGAGACATCATTGTTTTTCCGTATGTCGAATTGACTCCAACTGCAGTGACCAAAAACGTTCCCACACCTTCGGATACCTTGGCGCCAGACACAATGAAGGGGTCATGCTTCGAGATGCTCTCATGTTGCTCGATCGCTCGGTAGACATCGTTGGCGGGGGTCTTGCGCAACACGTCTGACTCACCAGTGGCAGAGGATTCATCACATTTGACATTATGGCCGTCAATGAAGATGCCATCAACAGGAATCAGGTCACCGGGTTCGAGGTGCATAACATCACCGACGAGGAGATCGTGGATGGAGATTTCCGCAGTTTTTCCCGAGCGAACCACCTTCACCATCCGGTCATCTTTCTTCTTGTTCAATTTGACAAATTGGCGTTCCTTTTGCCAGTCGTTGGCAGCACCCACAACGACCACGATTAGAATAGCCACAATGATAGCCACACCTTCGACCCATTGCACACGTGCCTCATCCCCTGTTGCTGTGACAGACTGGTAGATACCGAGAGCGAGAGAGATAATCGCAGCTATCGTTAGCAGAATGAGGACCTTGTCATTATACGCAATCCAAGCCAGCTCCAGGAAGCTCTTGGCTTTCCTCTCGGGAAGCTGGTTCCTCCCATAAACCCGGCTTCGGTCCGTAAAGGTATGCTCAACGTGCTTCGATGAGCTTGTGTCGGACCTAGGAGGGGTCTGGGGTACCGGAGAAGCGGATTTTGGCAGGTTTTCGGACGTCTGCGTCGATGTTGCATCCTCGAAGCTCACGGTACCATCCAAATCCCCCTCATCCAAGCTCAAGCCACTCCGCGTGTCGGTCCGAAGCCCCTTTTCGATTCCACGCAGCCCACCGAGGGCATGAAAGGCACCCAGACTCTTGGGGTTCAACAGTTTATTCAGGTGGCCAGGCGAGAACGCAAATTTGTTGTCTGCCACCTCGAACTCCGCCTCTCGTCCCGGATCCGGCTTGAGGGCATCCTCGTCAGGAACAATGGTGTTCTGGGTCAAATCCGTGTGCGATCCGTGGGATGCAGTGGGTACGTAAGTATCCCCCCCGTATGAGCTGGCTGAATGGTTTGAGTCTTCGGATTCTAGCGAGTTGCCGCGAGATCTCGTGCCCGGGACCGCTAGATAATTCGAATTCGACATGGCCTCGGTGGTTTTCGATGCAGGAGATGAGATATTGTGAGGAGAGGTGGGTCGACTCTCGTAGTCCCGGGGTTCGGATGAAGCAAAAGAGCGGACTGAAGACGGAGAGACACCCCCACTACTCAGGAGCGCGCTCATATCATTCGCATCAACATTTTCGGTTGACACTTGCAAAGAAGGCTGTGATGGCGTGGGAAGGATCTGTTGCGGTGGTGCGTGCTGGTCAGTCGAGGCCGTTACAGCCGACGTGTCGATAGTTATGGTCGGGGCCCGCTCCCGTCGTAGGGGAGTCGACCCTGATTGCTTAGCATCGTGGCCATCTGGTCTGGAATCCGGCATGATATTCCAAGGGGTGAAACGACCAGAGATGAGTGGGTCTTGGAAGCGATGGCAACCGGCAGGTAAAGACTAGGATATTTGACGTCAATAAGAATGCGGCTCCAACAGGAGCAGATCAATCGGATTCCGTCGTATCATAAACCCAAGCCAGAGTTAAGAGAAGTGGATATCATTCCAGAGAGAGCAGCACTGATTAAGCTCAATAGTGGACGCTGGATTGGAATGCGCGTGTATTATATCCCATGTGTTCTAGCTACAATAGAATCGCCGATGCAGCTCAAAGTGAAGAATGCGCGAGACTGGCTTTGAGGGAAAGAAACGTTCACATCGATCGAACAGTCGAAGGCTGGGAAGCGCGATAGTACGGAGGACAGGCGAGTGGTGAGGCGAAAAGGAGGGATGGACGTCGACAAGATTGCCAGGACCAGAGGACCACACCACGTAGCGCACGTATCAGGAGCGCATTCAGGCGTGAAAGTTGTCGAACGACGGCCCGATACTGAGACCAATCGAGAAGACTGCCGTCGGATTAAAAGCACTGGCAGTGCTAGTAGAGCTTATCAGCGACGAGATGTGTTACTCCAAAGGCTGGATAGTTTGCGAGGATGGGCGAATGAAGCGAATCCACAACCAAGCGACCGACGAAGCGAGCACAGGGCCAATTGGGGGAGGATACGGGATGAAGCGAGGACCCAGTAGGTTAAGGACAGAGGAGCCGAGAAGAGGAGAGGGGAGTGGAGGGGGTAGTCGGGAGTCAAGCGCAACGACACATCATGATGTTGGGTCGACAGATACAAGATAGGAAGATAGTCTAGTAGATGGAGGGACAAAACGGAGAGAAAGTCAAGTCCATCTACACGTACTGTCACAGTAAGGTACCGATTACGCCAGGCCCAGCAACCATTCGGTAGACCCTGCACTGGGTCTGCTGGTCAGCCAATGAGCAACAACCTTCGCCCCACCGGTGGGTCTACGGCGAGGTCCAGATCGAGTGGTGTGGTAAGTTCGGTATCGAATGAAGCTGTTTGCAGAAGGTGCCGCTGGCCAGATGCACTACGCATTACCCCATGTTTGACGGGGGGGCGTGGACGATATAAAGACAGGGCACCGTAGCTACCTCATTATTATTTTTCCTCCTCTTTATCTGCTTCGACCTCGATCTTTGTGGGTTGTCGCCAAAGGGCAAGTGCTTTGCCACCAATCCAGGGCGCTGGGGCATTGATTTGCTTCTGGGGGTTAGCAAAGTGACCTAATGACCTCTGCAGAGCTCCGACTCGCCCCAAGCTGTAACGTAACTCGTCGGTTCAGTTGCACTGCCTCAATTTCCCCCCGTCATCGAAGTCTTTTGGTCTGGATTTGATTTTTCCCCCCTCCTTTTTCGGGGAGGGCTAATTAATTTATTTTGCCTTTGTAATTATCCGCCTTTATTATTGATTCGACTGTCTTTCATGCCGGCTCCCTGTTTACATTCCCAAACCGGTTTGAGGAAGCCCTTCAGTGCAAACCAAGAAAGTCTCAGTCTGGAGAGCTAAAGCAGACCTAAAAAGTGGTGACGGAAGAGAAAACATCCACTTCGTTAGTGCTTCTCTAGTCTTCGACTAACGGCCGAGCTAGAATTAAGGGGAATGGCATCCATCGCAGTGAGGCAACGACACTAGATACTAACCGTAACCATAATTCATGCCGCTGTCCGCCCATGTTATCAATTATTTATCATGTTGTGAACTGTGATTGATGTTCATGATGGACCTGCCTCTGAAGTGTTGATCAGAAAGGGGCTCCACCCGATCCACGTACTATGCGGATTGCTATCTACACGACGAAGGATATCTAGCTATCTCTTTTTGCATGCAGTCTCTAATAACGACGATGCATTAATGTTTGGACTAGTTGGGCTAATGCACGCTATCCATCAGGTCTAACCGCCGGGATTGCAAGGGAAAAGAACCTTCCATATTCACCCTTCGTCCATCTATACAATAAATTCTCCTCCACCTCAAGTCAGGGACGGCCTGATCCATCATCCAGCATCCCGTGTGCAAGCAGAAACCTTGGCCACCCTCAGAATGATGCTGCCAACGACCCAAGGGCAACAGTCTAGGCCTGTGGGCACCCGACCCAGCTGGTAGTAGCTGGCTTGGAGACCAGGAGAAACAACAGACTTGGCGGAAGGGGGCGGTGCAAAAGCCCCATCCATATTATTCCATCCACGTATGGGAACTTGCGAAGAACCTGACTAGTACTAAGGTTAGCGTTTAGCTTGGCCAGCTGTGTTATCTTCCTCGTCTGGAAGAATGTTCCTCTCTCTCCTTTTACCACTTTGACTTTGGACTGCTCCATTCCGGCGCATCCCATTGCCACTCATGTTGGGTCCCCCGGTGACATCAACATCGAGCAACATCCGATCCCTCCACCAGCACATCCTAACAAACTCCCCATTCGTACTCCGTACTCCGTATTATTCTCCGGATGGAGCACTCTTCCCGGTTTGCCGTTGCACCATCATCGTGATTCATCGGGAGCTGGATAGGACCGGTCTGGCAGTCTGCATTGGACCCCAACCACCGCCAAACAATCATCCTGACTTGTCAATCGTTCATGCTAAGCTCTCCTTAGCCGAGAGGTTACATGCGCATAGCATAGCCACCACAATGGCGAGATCCGGTGATACTAATGTCGTCAGCTTGAAGCTGGCCCCTCTCACCATGGATTCCACAAGCCATCCTCAAAGCATCACACCTGCCTGAATTGGAAAGACTTCCTCTCCCAACAGAACCTCCGACCCGGACTCCATGAGCTGTCTCCATCACACAACAAACGATGCGTAGGTAACACGCAAATGCAAGATGATATGATCTTGCCATCAACAAATCTAACCCATCCCATGCCAGTCTTGAAAGAATCCTCCACCCATTGATCAGAACAATAGGATATCAAAATATCAAAAATTGAACATAAAATCCTCCAAATGCAAGAATGTTGTGTCTCACAGCAAACGCCCTCCCCGCCAATTCATCCCACAAAACAAATGTCTCATCCCGATTTGACTTTCCATAGTACTGTACCGTACAGAGCTGAAGAGGGAAAGTTCCACGGAGATACTACCTACCTACCTACCTACCTACCTACTAGTAGTAGTAAAGCCCGAGTACCTAGCAGGACCTACTTATCCAGTACTTAGTAGTACCACAGTTTAAACCAAAATATCAGTATTTTTGCTCGATTACATTGTACTAATTACACGTTGGGGTCTAGATACTACTAGTCGAGAACTTCCAACAATCATTAATTACATAGTAAGTTAGTGCCAAGGGTCTGGGCTATCAGCCATACGTAGATACTTTGTACTTTATTGTTTATCTAGATGAATAGATAGATAGGTAGGAAATGCTCAGAAAAAAGCATATCATATTGTCTCATATGTATCATTGAGGGATTTCTACAAAAGTACTTCCTAGCAGCCATTCATGCACTATTGCTTCGGCGAAAGTATGACCCCCAAATAAACGAATAATAACAGGTCAGAGATTGGGTAATCAAGTCCACTCTAGTATCACGATAGATTGCACCATGTCTTAGTATATGACTTTATTTGATGATGGCAATGAGGCAGTGCTAGACACTAAAGCAATCAATCCATCAAGACTATCTGCAGGCAAGAGCAGCTTGAAAGAAAAGGTTCCGCTTATGCAAGAGAACCACACCGCAAATTGGCCAAAGCCCCGAGTGTCCATCTCCGTCCACTGTACTTCGTAAATCCAGCAGTCCAATAAAGTAAGATTCTGTTCATTTTCATGTCGAGGTAAACCCTGGAAATGCGCCGGAAATGTTCACCCTCCGAGCCCGTCACATGCAAAATCCCCGGAATCCTTCCGGCCAGAAGAGATTCGGAAAATCGTAGAAATATGAAAAAAAAAATATGAGGGTAATATACACGCCGGTCCTCCCTTCGTCAAAATACACTTCATTGCGCCTGCGTCGTGCCATTCTCCTCTTCAGGCGCTTCGGCGGTCCAGATTCCCAACGACTCGCCCCCCAGAAGCCTCACCCCTGGTTTAGCGCGAGTGTTCACCATGGCTTTGCTGGACAGTGCCAGCGCATTCACCAGCTCCCCGACCCGGCGCGACGCCACAAAGCTACTCGTCAGGTGCTCCACCTCAGCCACTTGGGTGGCCAGGTTCATGCATTGTACCAGGAGCTCGCTGGTAAGCACATGCGCCGAGTAGTACATCGCACTGTGGTAGTCCAGGAACACCTCCGGGAGGTAGGTGTTTCGAATCTGTTCCAATTCCGCCTGGTCCGCTTCTGTAACAATCCGGCCTGTCAGCAATTCGCTTGGCCGTCCCGCAGAGAGAAGTTCGCTTACCATTCTCGTAGTTAACTAGCCACTCATCTAACATAGCATCAATTTGTAAGCTAGTGTCGTCCAATGCTTCCTGCAGCTCTCCCCTCAAGTCCTTGAGAGTGCCAGCATCCCGTCGGCGTTTAGTCCTGTGCCAGTGGTCAGTATCATCCGGCCTCCTCTAGATCATTATCACGTACTTTTCGAGTTTCTCAAACACGGTGGCGAATCTTTCCAGCGAGTCAAATGCCAAGATCAGGACTTCCAGGTCACGCATGGTCTGCGATTGCTGAATCAAGATGCTCGTCTGGCTACCCGATGCAACCCCGTTTGTTTTCGACCGAGAACGCTTGTGCGGGGAGCTGAGCAGCCTCGATTTGCTTGGACTGGAAGGTTCCGGGGTGTTGAACTCTTGTCCAGCCTCGACCTCGAGGGTGAATTCGGAAATATCAAACCCGAAGGCTTCTCGCGAAAGGTCCGAGAGTCTCATCCGCCGACTCAACTCCCGAGCGGCAGAAAGTCTACCAGAAACTGTGGTGATGTTAGCCCTGCATCTCGCATATCGCACTTGCATGGATATGGACATACTATAGAATTTCCGGTACAACAGCGCCCCGAGCTGACAGATCCGGCCCCATTGCCCGTCGACGTAGCGCAGCCATTCGAGACTACGGATAACTTGCTCATCGGTCTCAGAAACCTCGGTCCCGATGAAGTCCTTCTTCACGGGCACCAATTCATAGTTGCCGTCCTTGCGGGTTACAACCTTCGGGTACCGCTTGACCGTCCTGGAGTGGTCAATGGCAGAGACATTGGCGCTCACCCACTCCCACTGAGTTTGCAGAACAGCTTCGACATCGATGCCATGTTTCTCCATGAGCCTAACCAGCAGCCTCCTCTCTCTAGGGTCAACGATCTCGATCAATACCTGAGCCAGAACAGACTGCGCCAACTCTTCGGGAAGAAGGGACGCATAAATAGGGATGATATCCACGACGCCCGCTTCTTCCAGATTAGCGATATATCCAATCACATTGACGCAAGCGGTGTTGTAGAACTGGGTGTCGGCGCGAACGTATCCAATGGAACAAGTGACGATGTAGAGATGAGTGGCAATCCGCAGCGCATCGCCATCTTCTGCCGTGATGACAAGGCTGTCATCAACGGATGTCGGTGATACATCAGGCACGAAGGATGACCGATCCGATTTGCTGTTTGCGACCTGCGACACGGCTTGGGCCAGCGAATAGAAGAAAGAGTCGTATCCTTTGCCCAGGATGGTGGCCTGGATGGTGCGGTATGGGTTCCGTGCCTCGCTTCCGACACGATCGTTGCCTCTAGTATACTGCACGAATTTGTTCACCTCGGCATATCCAGCCGGTTCCGGCACGAACGATACAGGCGCAGTGGGCGAATGGCTTAGCTTGCGCTGGAATTGCTTGCAGAATCCTTGGTACCGGGAGAGTAGGACGCTATTGAAGTAGACGTAGAGGTAGTCATCCCAGGTATGACAGACCTTGAAGGCTGCTTCCGTTTCACCGCAGAGCAATGAATAAACCGCCCGCTCGAAATCTTCCGTATGTGGGCTCCGTGTCAGAGCAGCGCAGGCCGCGCGCCAGGATTCCTGGGAGCGCCAGTTCATCATGCGTGTGTGTCCATCATAAACAGGCGTCCTACCCGTGTGGGCCTCGACGTCCACGCTAGAACCACAGATGCTGACTGCTCGCCAATTCTCCAGCCGCTCTGCGCACCACTCCCGGATCTTGGACCAACTCTCTCCGTGCCTGAGCATCTTCCAGCAAGTCATCCAGGTCGCGCGTTCGTAAAACTGGTCCTGTGTCTGGAGGCTGTGCTTCTGTCGCGTAACGGCGTCCGGATCTAACTGAGTGACTAGGGGCTCTGATTTATCCGAGCTCAGCAGCGAGTCGGAGATTCCTGGATTGTTGGGGTCGAGGGGTTGAGGCCAGGCTCGAAGACGTTTTTGTCCCTTGATTGCTTCCTTGGTGTAAAGCCAGCCATGAGACCACAGTCCCTGTCCTCTTTCGGCCTGCGTTTCCAACTCGGTGATCAGCAAGTCCATATCTTTGCTGCTCGTCTTTGCGGTGTTTTCCAGCCATTTCAAGACGATGACGCATTCAGTCGCATAATGATCCGCAGACAAGAATTGTTCCCAAACCTCGCGATCAGATGAGTACCGGTGGAGGTTTTGAAAGACAGTTTCTTGTGCTTTTTTGGCGCTGGCTCTGCGAGGCGGGTCGTCAATGCTGATGAGGTTGAGGAGAAGCCGCCAAGTATCGGCTTCCAACTGCAGTCGCTGGAGCTCCTCCTCGGTCTTGGGATCCAGTGACGCGGTTCCGTTGTTTCGAGCAGCACTCAATCCCAGCTTGGCCCGCTTCAATGTGTTTTGTTTCGAGATGTCGCTGATGGCGTCCTGCGCGAGAGTCTGGTAGCTCTTCACCAATTGGTAGGCAGCTTGGTAGTTCACAAACTCATCGGAGCGGTTTCCCTTTTGCTTGAAACGATCCAGTTTTTCGGCAAAGGCCTCGATCTGGCGCGTCACTCGATCTGCGGTGCGGCGAAGGGGGTGCAACGCCTCCTGCGCGCCTGCCGAAGTAAATAGGTCCGGAGTTGCGATATCTAGTCCGTCTAGCATGCGATCAGCCTTCGCAGCTACGCCAGGGGTCGTAAACAGCATACTGTGTCCATTTGGGGCGAATCCCAGGTCCAGCGGTGATTCACTTCCATTCATAACGTCGGCGGATTCGTCCTCGGACTCTTCATCTTCGTCGACGTAATCATCTTCCATGTCCTCCTCCTCCTCGTCATCGTTGGGGTCGAGCGCATCGCCCTCATCGTCCATTGATTCATCATCGTCGTCCTCGATCTCGATGACTTCCGACTCGTGTGTGGATTGTTGGGAGGGCTGGAGAATGAAGCCCCGGTCGGTCAGCGCAGCGCCTTGAACAGGCCAAAACAAAGGATACTTACATTAATGGACGTGAAACCAGCAGGGGCGCCCGTACCCGTGGCCCTGGTTAAGGGAGCCATGAGCGCGAGGAGATGCCGGGGGGACTAGTCGGGAGGAGGGTGAGTCGGGGTGGGTGATGGGAGGATGAGGGAGTGTTTCGCGAGGGACCTTAAGCTTCCCAGGAGGGTTTGGGGAAGAACTGGAACTTCCAATCTTCTTCCTACTCTTTTTGGCCGTGTTTTGGGCCGACGGGCCACTAGCCCGCATCGGGGCTAGCGCCAGCACACACCGATAGAAAAACTCGCGCATTTCGACTTTTTCCTCTTTTTCTTTTTCTTTTCTTCTTCATGTCTTATAGGCAATCATTAGAGTCTCGGAACGAGCGTCTTCAATCTTCGTTCAGGTCAAAACGGCCTCTTTGCGTGCTCAAGATTGTCTTAGAACAATCTGGCAATTCTCATATATCCTGGTTCCTACTTTGAATGGGGGCTCAGACTGAAAGGGAATTGTCACATCCAGCTTCAAGCTTCAGGTTTGGTCTGGAATGAACTGAGGCTATCTTCGTAACCGCTATGTTGCTCCTCGGAGTTTATCTCTATTCTATGCTCGACATTGGTAGTATGTACATGGTCCGTAGACTTCAAGGAAGCCCCGATGCAGGCTAGGAAGATACCTGGCCCCGTTGCTTCATCCTCAATCGAAGCAAATTGGGCTTGGGGCAGCTGGGAGTTCGGGCGTCCTCCCCTCGCTCTTTGTAGAAGGCATTGCAGCATTCATAAAGCGCATTGATCTGGGATTGGCATCTCTCTTCTTGATAAGAGTTCTTGGTTAGACATGCTGCAAGAATCAGTGACGTCCTACCTGCACCTGGATATGGTATCTAGTCACCTTGAATGGCACACTGTGGACGGTTAGTCATGCCCCCAACAGAGTGTATCAGGGACCTACAGCTCGTGGATGGCAAGGCGGGTCAAATGATATGTCTTCTTTAAGTCCGCCCTGCTGTCTGTCACTTTAAGCTCACATAGAAGTTAACGGTCCATCATACCATGACGCAATATATAGTAGCACAGCCTGAGAAGGCAATGAGCCAGAAATGAGATCACAAGTGAATAATTCGGAACCTGTATCCCCAAACAAATATACAAAGACACCTAGAAAGAACGAGTATGAATCTTAGATCCAGAGTGGAAAGTAACGAACAAATATCATTCACGACGACCTCATTCCCTGCCGACAAACAGCGGGAAGGGCAAGCAACCTGCGCCGCAAAATAGATTTTCCGTTGTTCATGGCTGGCGGGGGTTGCCTTCTTCATCGCCTCCAACTTCCTAACACCCATTCATTTCTTCCCTAATCCTTCTCGCCTTCGCCTCCTCTCTCATCCATCTGTCCTCCTGCAGGCCTTCATCGCGCAGAAACCCCCCACAGCGACAACGAGGTAAGTCACCCAAGCGGCTACTCTTCCGATCTGATCTGCGCCAAAAAGTCTCCCAAAGCTGACATCTTTCCCCTCCAATCCACATCACAAGCTTCCTTTCCACTCTACCAACAATCATGGCCGATTCCGGAGCCCCCGCCGGCGACGCCCCCGCGTCCGTCGAGCACCTGAACATCAAAGTCACCGATAACAACAACGAGGTGTTCTTCAAGATCAAGCGCTCAACACAACTGAGGAAGTTGATGGACGCTTTCTGCGAGAGACAGGGCAGACAAGCCTCGACTGTGCGTTTCCTATTCGATGGAACTCGCGTGCGTCCCGAGGACACCCCTGATACGGTACGTTCTGACCGAAAAAACCCCCCTCTGTTTGTTTTGCGCAAGCACCGCGGGGCGGCCTCCCCCGCACGAAAGTCCCTCGTACGACATGAAGAGAGAGAAGAAGTATACAGCTAACTTGTCTTGACTCGCAGCTTGAAATGACCGACGGTGACACCCTGGAGGTCCACCAAGAGCAGATTGGTGGCTAGATAGATATCCTCTCGATGAATGATGATTATGTCTTTAAATACATCCAGCCGTTGTCTAGCCGCGATTACGCTTCCTCCTTTTCATACGAAACACAGGCGCAATGGTGTTTAACTTGGGTTGCGTCCGAGCCCGGTCCTCATTGGGGAGGCTACAAGTACCTGGGTAGGATGGGATTTTGAGCCTGAGAGATGATGATGATGACGATTACTATTTGCTGTCTATGAAAATTAAAACAGCGAGTCATTTCGGTACAGGTGGTTTCAAGTGGCATAGTCTTAGATTACTTGTTCAAGCTATGCAATCTGCAACTAGATTAAGTTTCTGTTTGCATTACCTGTATCGGTTACCGAGACCATCGAAAGACCCCCGAAAGACTATATATTACAGTCCCGTATATTTTGGACAACCCTGTAGAAAAGGAACTCGACAACCCCCAGCCAGCCCTATCAAGCAGAAATAAAATAGAAATAAAGATAAGAGGAAAAGACAAGCAAGACCCCGAACAACTCTCCTATCAGTAAAAAGAGAGACATATATATGTATACCCCCGAACCCATATACAACCCCAACCCCCAAACCCAACCAATCCCAAGAGATAACTCACATATCCCAAACGGCCATCTTAGCCTTCTCCTCCTCCTCTCTCTCCCTCTCCCTCTCCTCCTTCTCTCTATTCCTCCTCTTAATCTCCTGCTCCTTCACCGCCCGATCATACTTCCTCTGCTCTTCCGTGCGCTTCGGCGCCCGAATCCCCAACGCCCCTGCAATCATTCTCCCCGCCACAGCCGTCTGCTTCTCGGGACGTCTCGCCGGCCCCTGCGCCGGAGACCTCGCCCGCGGCGGCGCATTCCCATACGCAGGCCATGGCTGCTGCGATGCCGTCGTCTGCGGCGAGATAGGCGTGGGTGGAGGATCGAGAGGTCCTTCTGCGCATCGGACAGAAGGCGATAAGGCGGGTGAACTTGTCAGCGATTTTCCAGCCCCTGCTCCTCCTTCGAGATCGGAGGCGGAGGCGGAGGCGGTCGAGTCTACTTCATCTTCCCAGGAGTCGGCGATTGGGGCGGGATCTTTCTTTTTCTTGGGCTTTTGGTGGTGAGGGGCGGAGGTGGGGGGTGTTGGTCGCGGGATGTCTTTTATGGGACTTTTATTGGCGAGGGAGAGTTCGCGGAGGGAGGATTGGAGTTCGGAGGTAGTTGTTGGTGATGCTGATGCTGAGAGAGACATTGGGGGGTGTGGTGTTAGTTGGTTAGTTCGTCTGGATTATTGTCTTTGGGGGTGGGATGCGTATGTATGTATCATGGGTAGGTGGTAAGTAGTATTGGAATTGATCAATTGTGAATCATAAGTAGGAGTCACGGTTTGAAGACAGACAGACAGACAAGACAGAAGGTACTTATTAAATTGGGAGGAGGAGGAGGAGGAGGGGGAAAGTGCATCTACCCAAATAGAAAAAAGAACAAAGGGAAATGAGATAAATACCTAACCTACCCTTAGAACCTGGCCCGACGCGGGAAGTACTAGCCATATCGTCTATCTGATGAAATAATGGAATCTCGAATGCAACTAGTTAGGGAAAGTAGATGGTACGATCCGCGTAAAGCAAGGAAAAGGTGAAATCATGAATGGCGTCAGTTCTGGACGTGTAACCCCGCCTTTGAGGGTCGGCGGCACCTGTGATTGGCTCTGGGGAGGGCTGGGCCAGAGTTTCGACTCGGTCCAGTGCTTTTGTTCTTTCTGGGGGGATCGGCTGCATGCGATGATGAGGGGGAAAATGGGGATTGGGGATTGGGGACTGGGGAGGAGGACCGGTTCATGTTTCCACTGTTCATCAAGGTGGTGGGTTGGATCTGCATGGGAAGATTATCATTGACTGGATTTGGGGGGGGGGGGGTGCCAGGACTGGTTTTCATCAAGGTTACGAGGGGAAATTATGGGTCTTGATCTACATGATATGGTTGGGAGTGTAATGGCGAGGTGGTGATCAGAGGGTGTGTACTGTGTGTGTAGCCCATGTCTCGATATTTGATGATGTCTTGTCTAGGCTATACCTACTAAGATTTTTGAAGATTTAGCGTTGCGATTTAGGTCCTTAGTAAGCGATTGGAGTGTGGGGTAAGTCACTACTAGTATACGATTCCTACCATGGAGTTAAGATGGGTTTATGACAATGAATGGCTTGACATCATTGCCAATTATCCAGATGCAATGAATGCCCCTTCATGTGATGCCGATGAATGGGATTATCTCCCCTGTGGATGTCGCAGAATAGGATGCCGTCATACGTGGAGTAGATCCAAAACTATGTCATTGCCTCAGGCAGAAGCACATCTGCTGCAAGGATTGCTTCAGTATCAAGGCCACCCATCCGGTCCAAGATGCAGTATTGGGAGATAAGGATCTTAAGGGTACGTGAAATCATGATAATAGTAATTGTTATTAGATACTAATGAGCTGATAGCCTCCTAAGAGAGATCACACTGAGCACTTGCCGCTGTTTCGAAATGTGCCACCTGTGCCACAGCTCACAAAGCCCAGAGCAAACCATGAACATAGGAGACAGACAAACGCTGGAGACAAACGCCGCTGCAGGCCGCAACTGCCTAGTAGGCATTTTCATGACTCACCAGCGGGGCAGAATTGCATTCCATCACTTCATTCACAATGATGCGATAGACAACACAGATCGCATCGTTGACAGATTTCTTCCCCCATTCTCATGGCCTCTAGTTGTGCATTTTCTGTCTCCTCCCACCAAGTCCTATTTGCAGCAACCGCTGAGAACACCGATCAACACATGCTCTGACTATCTTAAGAACGCCTTGCAAACTGTTGATAAACTGTCTGAGATCACCAGAGGGTCCATTTTAAGGGCCTGGTTTCCTGAGGTCTACTCTGCCTCGCCAAGGTTCAGTCTGTAGATCTCAAGGGTTTGATTTGTGCTCTTATTTGCTTCGTTTGGGAGTTGGATGAGTGGTGATCGTCTTTTCTGTTGCGCTTCTTGTCACTGACAGCGGTTTATCCTCGTGATTAGTGGCTTTAACGCCTATTAATTGGATAAGCTGCACTGATCTCCCTTTTCGGATTTGAACTGAAGTTTCGAAAATGACTCGATTCTCTTCCATCCCCGCGGAGGCGCCCAGGCACCTTGTCCGTTCGTCGCTCAATAATGTCCGGAAATTCTCAACTTCGTCTCGCCTGTGTGATTATGCGGAAACACTCAAGAATCTGAAGATAGGCGCTCACACCAGGGTTTTGTTCCAGGGTTTTACCGGTGAGTTGATACCAGTTAATTGCAAAACCATGCTAACATTGTCGTAGGTAAACAGGTAGGCATGCTTCAGTCAAGGAGCCAAACAGATTGGACTAACTGCTCAGGCCACCATCGTCGCTCAAGAGTCCTTGGCATGGGGCACGAAGATTGTCGGCGGCGTCAAGCCAGGAGTTGATTCTGCGCATCTCGGTCGTCCCATCTTCCCGTCTGTTAGAGCGGTATGACTGTTTTCTGATTCGAAGACATAATGCTTACGATAATAGGCTCGAATAAGGGGGGAACCGGATGCATCTGCGATCTTTGTGCCCGGCGATCAGACTGCAAGAGCAATTGAAGAGGCGATTGAGGAAGAAATACCACTCGTCGTGGCGGTGGCGGAACATGTCCCCATACACGACATGCTGCGTGTAGGCATCCGGTCTTGAGTTTCGGAAAATGGCTAACAGGTGGTAGGTTCACTCCATGCTCAAGTCACAGTCAAAGACGAGGTTACTGGGGGCAAACTGCCCGGGAATTATTTCCCCGATTGGCAAATGCCGCGTCGGATTTCAGCCACTGCCCTGCTTCTCTCCGGGAAATATTGGCATCGTTACAAAGTCGGGAACCCTGAGTTATGAGGCTGTGGCTTCGACCACACGATCAGGACTGGGACAGAGCCTTTGTATCGGTATCGGAGGCGATCCTTTGGTGGGCACTAACTTTGTCGATGCGTTGAATATCTTTGAGGAGGACCCTGATACCCTCGGTATCATCCTGGTTGGTGAAATCGGTGGTAGAGCAGAATTAGATGCAGCCGATTGGATTAAGGATTACCACCAGAGGAACACTAATCCCAAGTATGTGATTGGGTCCAATTAGTGCGCAGTCATGCTGACAAGAGACAGACCGATAATGGGCCTTATTGGCGGTATGAATGCTATTCCTGGGCGGATCATGGGTCATGCTGGTGCTTGGGCTTCGTACGGCGAACCCAACGCCTATGCCAAGTATGAAGCACTCGAGCGTGCCGGCGTGGTGATGGTAAACCATCCTGAGAAATTCGGGGTGGGGATAAAGACCCTTCTGAAGAGTCGAACTGTAGGTTTCTACCTCGAAACACGAGAGCTTGCTGACAGGAGTAGTCCACCAACGGTGCCAACCAACGACGAGGCCTGCATACGAAGAGACGCATGACACGAAGCCTTAACGGATCACCCCAGTCCCAGCAAACCAGAAGTCTCTTTGTTAAGCGATTCCAGGCTCTTGAAATGATCAAAGAGAAATCCATCCCAGTCAATGAAGCTGCCACGTCGGAGTCAGACATCTTCCTATCCCTCACCATCGACAGAACGGCCTTGTCGCCATGCATTCTGGCTTCCCCATCCGCTGGCTTCGAACCAGATCTGACAGGCCGGTTCCCGTTCGCATACGAGGGCACGGAATTTAGCAGGGAACATCCACTGATTGAAACCGTCGCCTCCCACCTGCAGCTTCCCACGACGGCTCACGACAACTTGGCGCAGATCTTTCAGGGCTTGTGGCAAATTTTCACGGAAAAAGAGGCATACCTCCTGGAAGTGCGTGCCAACACCACCGACACATTCGAGGTCCGCGATGCCCGTTTTGGGTTCGACGACGCCGCCTTCCGGAGCTCAGGACGTCAGGCAGAAGTGCAGCAATTGAGAAACCCAGTTGAAGAAGTGGCCGAGGAAGTCGAGGCCGAAAGGAATGGCATCTTCTACATCAAGTGAGTATCCTCGCCTAACATCTGAAACATCGCTGACCACATCCAGACTCAAAGGCCATGGAAGCATCGGTATTCTAGGTAAGACACCCCCTCACCCTAGGACCTTGGTATCATCCACTGACCAGCAGTGAACGGCGCGGGCCTGGCAATGAACACGGTGGACGCACTGACGATCCGCGGCGGGCACTGTGCGAACTTCCTGGACACGGGCGGCAAAGCCACAACCGAGATGGTCAAGTCCTCACTTCGGATCATCACATCAGACCGACGTGTTAAGGCGATCTTTGTCAACATTTTTGGCGGGTTGACCAAGTGTGATATGATCGCAGAAGGGATCATCCAGGCCTTTGAAGAGATGAAGCTGAACGTGCCCGTGGTGGTGCGACTGCGAGGAACGAACGAAGCGCGCGGGCAGCTAATGGTGAGTGGTGTTTAGCTGATAGCCTGATACCGAAGTAATAGAAGCGATGCTAACAGTGTTCCGAATAGATCTCACGGAGCGGATTGCCACTGGAGGCGTTTGACGGCTTCGAGGCGGCGGCACTGCGGGTGATCGAGCTGGCTGGGGATCGAAAACACTTTTATTAAACTGCTAAACAAGGCATCATCATGTACATAGACCACGCAGGGACGTACATGCCACGCCTTGATAGCTAGCTAGCTGGTGGCCAGCCACGCAGCCCGAAGGCCCGCGGGGTGTACGTAAGGAGATGTCGCAAGTGATTCGCAACAAATGAAATAAACCCCGCGATCGGCGCCCCGCTGTTTCAATTCACCCTTTTCATCCTCATCGGCCACTTTCTCTTTTCTACCCCTCCCCCTCCTCCATCTGTCCTCCATCTTTCCTCAACCTCACCTCCCAATTAACACAATCATTCTTCAAAATGGCCACGTACGTTTCTTTACTGCCCCAGCACCCCCTCCCCCCTCCCCCTCCCCCTCCCCCTTCCTCAACCCCCCTAACTAACCCCCCCACCAGCAACATAACCTACCACGCCAGCGCCCTCACCCGCACCGAGCGCAGCTCCCTCCGCTCCCAACGCGGCCTCACAATCTGGCTGACTGGTCTCTCCGCCTCCGGCAAATCCACTCTGGCCGTTGAGCTCGAACACCAACTGCTCCGCGACCGGGGCGTTCACGCCTACCGCCTCGACGGCGACAACATCCGGTTCGGACTCAACAAGGATCTCGGATTCAGCGAAGCCGACCGCAACGAGAACATCCGTCGTATTGCCGAAGTCGCGAAGCTGTTCGCCGACAGTGCCAGTATTGCCATTACGTCGTTTATCTCCCCCTACCGGAAGGACCGTGACACGGCGAGAGCGTTGCATGAGGTGCCGACTCCCGGAGAGGAATCCGGACTGCCGTTTGTCGAGGTTTACGTGGATGTGCCGGTTGAGGTGGCGGAACAGAGAGATCCCAAGGGATTGTACAAGAAGGCTAGGGAGGGTGTGATTAAGGAGTTTACGGGGATTAGTGCCCCGTATGAGGCGCCGGTGAAGCCTGAGGTGCACATCAAGAACCATGAGGTGCCGGTGCAGGACGCCGTGAAGCAGATTATTGCTTATTTGGATGAGCAGGGATATTTGCCTCCTAAGCAGGAGTAGATCTTTGAGTGGGGTTGGGGTTTGATGATAGATAGCATGGATTTGATGTTGTATATATTGGTTGTTGCTATGATTTGTTTCAAGAGGTGGAGGAGATGAGTAACTCTATGTACGACGCTAGACAGTAGATATATCAACAGAAGAATTAACCAGCAGAAAACCGCAGGTAAAGTACCGCTAATTAAACTCGAATTCATAATACACATACGCCGTATACTCGCCGCCGCCCTCGCCGTGCAGCTCGCCCGGCTCGTCGCGCTTCACCCGGCCCTTCTTGTCCCGTCCGAACGCGTTGCCCGCCAGATACGAGTACTTGTCGTCCAGGTTGTGCTTCGCCTTGTCGGCCTGCTTTGATCCGGGAGCCTGCATCTGTTAGCCCTTATCCAATCCCCTACCAATAAGCTCGAAACATACCCGGATCAACGTGCACACAAAGTCCAGCGGCAACCCATACCGCAGCACTGTCTCGACAAACACCCGCAGCACATACACATGGATCCAGACCATCACGGCCTCACTCCACGCCGTCCGCCCCAGTCGGAGTGTCTCTCCCCAGAGCTTGCGTTCGTCGCCGCCCACCCGCTCGACCTCCTTGCGCTCTTCCTCCTTGCCGCCCTCGACATACTTGAAGTCGCGCGGAATCCACTTGTTCTCACGGCACTTGTGCACAAATTCCAGGCTATGCTTCTTGAACGTCGTGACCGCATACAGCGCGAACTCGCTGTCCGATGCCACCAGCGTTGCCGACCGTGGCACCACCATGGGGGCTACCGTCTCGTACAGCTTCAGGAATTCTTTGACCTGCTGAGCGGGGACTGCGACGAGGTGCGTCTCAATGTATTCCGAGTCTTGGACGATAGTGCGGGGGTCGACCACCGAGGCGAGGGATTTAGTAGACAGATTGCCCCTGATCAATCAGTACATACCCATGAAACGACACATAACCAAGATATCCACTCACGTCTGCTTCCGCTGCAACGTCGCCAACGTATTCTTGACCTGATTATACTGGGTATACTTCGAGCGGATGTCATTGTCGATACTCGCTGCTTCCTATTCAACTGTCAGCATCCCCTCCACAACCACCATTATCAGATAGGATCATCAAAAATCACCTTCTGCAACGAATCAATCAATTCCGCCAACGGCTTATCAGCCCGATACTTGACCTTATTCCACGAAAACGTGCGAAGGTACTGATCCACCGGCTCTAAAACCCATTAACATCCAGACACACGTTCATCCAAAACCAAAGTGTAGAGCAAACATACTATCGTTCACGGTCTTCATCTTATCGATCTGCGCTTCATCCCCCTCGAGGATATTCTTCAGCGCATCGCCCACCTTCACCACCACCCCCTGGCAAGCGGTCTCGAGCTTGGCCAGTTCGTCGGCCTGCTGCACTAGGGCATCGAGAGTGCCGATCTTAAATTCCGGGATGGGGAAGGGCGCGACGGAGCCATTCTCGGACGAGACGGTGGCGGAGATGGCGTCGAGGGCGTCGTCGCGGTGGTGGGAGGGGGTGATGGACGTGGGGAGCGAGACGAGGAGGTACTTGGTTGATTTGGACATGGTGGCGGGGTTAGTTGGTTGAGGAGAGGGGGCCACGCATGAGGTGGTCTGGCGGTGCAGACGGGGGAAAATGAGAGGTGTGGAGGTGTTGGAGTTGAGGTGGTGGAGGTGGGAGCTGTTGCGTTGCGTGCGGGTGCGGAGGAGGATCGGTCGGTCGTCACTCGGAGGCGGTCGGCGGATGTATGGACTTGGACTTGCTTCTGGTGTCATCGTGCCAGGTTGGTGGACATCCTTTACATTTACAGTGGGTTGAAAACCACCGAATCATATCTACTGGTTTGCTGAAGTTTACTCCAATGCTCGAGGCCTGCCAGGCCGTCGATGTGTTCTGATGCACCAGAAGAGGACACATACGACAGACAGACTAACTATATGCTCGGGGTAGGCCGCCCTAAACGCCTCTTGTCAAATTCTACAGTAAAACACACTATCAGTGAGTTCAAATTGTGATTGCGAGTATTAGTATCAGTATCAGTAACTGATGTGATCTAGTAAACCCCCAGACTGCAATGCTTCATCTGTTGTCGTGCTGTCCCGTCCCATAGATACCCCCCAGCCCCCTGCAGCAGCGCATCTACCCCAAGCCCGCCGCCATGCAGTCAGTCCGAACAACATATCGACAATCCTCACTCGGAGTAGCTACTAGCACAAATCAATGCTTTGCCCATATCGTAGCATTAGTAGTAGCAATGCAGCATCCCATACACCATACACCCACCAACCAATATCCACTAACCAGCAGGTCCAAGCCGCATCCACATCCAGAACCATCCTCCCAACCCATCCTCTTATCTTATCTCATCTCAGCTCATCTCATCTCTAGAAAGAATAATAAATCCCAACCAAACAAAACACCCCCTTCACTTCGAAACTGAAATCGAGGCTCTGCCCGAAAGCGACTCCCTGCGCTGCTTCCTCAACGCCTTCTCCGTATCCATGAGAAGGTTCTGGACCGATCTGCTTCCGCGCGCACTGGCCTTGACCCCATCATCATTGAGAAGCTCCATCAAAGCGGCTTTGACCATGTGATCGCTGCCGCGGGATTCGCTGGCTTTGCTGGAGGCGATGTGCTCGTCGTCTTGGGCCGGGGAGTAGGAGATGGAGCGTTTCATGGGTTGGATTGTGTGGAGACTAGGGACTTTGTTGGAGGAGGCGGCGGGTTGGTGGTGGGTTTTGGATGGGGAGGTCATTTTGGTGGTGTGGCGAGGGGGAGTGGGTGTATGTTCAATTGAGATGGGAATAGAGACACGAAGGTGAGTAGGTGAGAGATGTGTAGAGCTCGTATTCAGTCCGTTATTTTTTATACGAAGCGCAATATCGAAAACCGTTAGAATTGAAAGTCGATATTGGAGTCACTATGACGTCTAACACCCTGAACGATCTGCAAGGGGAAGAAGAAAACTAATAGTAAGTAGAGTAGGAAAGGTAGGTAGGTAGGTAAGTCAAGAATCTTATACATGATATCCCTGACTTCAACAACAAAGGAAGTTTTCAAACATGAATCTGAACTTGCCCATTATTCACAGTGTGTCAACTTCACCCATGTAGTCAATTACATCATACCCCCTTTTCCATTCCCACAGTGGATGGATGTCCTCTGATTTGGGTTTCACTGTATCAACCATTCAGTGACACTTATCTACAGGTGGTTGATTATCGAGGATCTTATTGAAGTGCAACTGTCAGTTACCTATCAACTAGGTGGCTGATGATGAGATCTGGTTGGGCGGATGCACGAATCCGTTCATCGGGGAAGATGCTGATTGGCGGGGTATGGTGCCGATGTCATTGTGGTGGAAGAGGTGCCGGTGGTTCGATTGCCAATGGTCACTAGGTCCTCCGTATGTCTTTTGCCATCGGGGAGGTTCTCCTTGTCGGATGATGTGAATTTGGTTCTTTTCGACCTGGGTTAGATATGTGGCTCTCGCTTCTGATCTGGATGGGTCAGCCTCCGACTGGGAGGTCATTCTGAGCTCGCGGACACGTCCTGGTCACGGTGAATTTAAAAGTTGCCTGTAGTGGTTGGGTTACTCTGCTTTGTTCATCATCCCTGGTGGTGACTGGTGACATGGCCTGGGGTACTGTCAGGCCACTCAGATGAATCAGCATCGCGTCGATCGTTTGCCTCGTATAGTCACGGGAAATTTATTGAGATCACCATGAGCGTGTCGCCGGGACATAGACCCAGTTGGGTGATTGCGTTGGCTAGAGTGATTGACAATCATCATCTATAGTACATATCGTTGTGTTTAGTATGGCCAGGGCTGGTACTCAAAACTGCATGGAGGGTATAGCAAGAAGCGGCGACCAAAGGATTGCAGTAAAGTATTGCAATGGTAAGAAAGCCCAGGTAGCTACAGGCCCATCTACTTCCGGCTGTAGAGATCGTTCATGTTCAAAATAGGAATAATATCCAACACCAGATCTATATGTACAAACCAAATGCAGGTTTCCAGTCCATCTATGCGCCTGTGAAATGATCTAGTCGCGACGACCGTCGAGTCCAAGTTTCATGTATATATAAGTGATTTAGATCGGATCAGTTAATTCAATCAGTTAGTTGGTGATGTTGTAAAGGGTCGACATTGCCTGCATGTCTGATTAGCCTCTCTTAGTCAACGGATCCGCTGAACCTACCGCCGCCTGCTTCGGCTCAATAAACAAGGCCTTGGCCTCTACCAGCACCACCGGCTCTTTGCCCTCCTCGGGCAGAGTCTCAATCCGACCCTCCACCCAGGCCTTGCGACCCTCGACCTTGACCGTTTCTGCCCGCAAAACGGCATAGTTCCCGGCCATCGCGGGCTTGCGATAATCCAGGCTCAAGTTGGCGGTCACGCCCACCTTATTCGGCAAGGCGGGGAAACAGCACCGACCCATGGCCTCGTCCAGTAGCGTAGCCAGCAACCCGCCGTGCACGATCCCCGGGTGACCGCAGAGACTTGGCCCGAGGTAAAAAAGCGACACCAGGCTCTTCCCGCCGTCTTCGCAGAACACCAGGGGCGGCGCCACAATCTTATCAGGACCGGAGAGCGTGCCACCTGTGAGTGTGCGCGCGCGCAGGTGCTCGGGGATCTTCATGTGTGGGCGGGATTCCGTAAACGCAGGGTTTTCGCGCAGTGACACGGCCACAGGATGGGTGCGGATATACTCGTCTACCTCCTTGGAGAAGTCGTCGTGGGGGACGAAGGCGGAGAGGGTCTCCTCGTCGGTGGTGAGATTGACTGACATCATGCGCGAGACTGTTTTGGAGGTTTGGTAGACTAAGCCGGCAGTGAATGCGACGACAGCGATGGTGGTGAAGCCGACGAAGCGGCGAAAGCGAGAACGGGGCTGAGGTGTTTGAGAGGGGGGAGAAGCTGCGTCTGCGAAATTGGAGCGATTAGTCGTCTGCGACTTTTATGTGTTTATGCAATATGAGGTCCGATTCATAGGTGTAGTGCAAGGAGGGAAGGAGTACACACCAGCAGAAGCAGTCGAGTAAGTTTTTCGAGAGAGCCTCGGGGCCAGGGAGATGCCTCGGGACAGCGTCGAGAACCGGGTCGGGGCAGTTATAGGCAGACTCGACAGAGGTCCAGCGAGAACAAGCCTTCTGGTGATGGTAGTGGAGCCCAGCATTGTTGGGACCGACGGCATGGCGAGGGTGGACTCTCTCTGGCTATGAAGTTGGGGAAGAAGGGGGAAAAAAAGGAGAGTTGGAGGCCTGGATTGGACTGGCAAGGCCGCGATGGAGGCGACCGTCGACCGATCAGATCAACCAAATCTCGATGCTGCGTTGTTGCCTTTGCGGAGCCATCCAAGACCAGCATCAATAATCTTGGGCGTGTCCCAGACTCTCTGCGAACCGACCATGGATCCCCATCGCGGTTTTCGGTCGGCGATTCACGCGATTGGCGGCGGGCGGGGCGGCGCTGCCTCGAACCTCGGCTGCCTCGCAAGGGGCGCGTGCAATTGACTTTGCGATATCCTCATGGTGGTCGAGAGAGGAAAGAGAAGACAAAAGGAAGATAGGCCTCATTCGCCTCTAGTCCTATGTGATAGGTGTAGTTGGACTGACTGGCTGGTGCTTGCTTGCTGGGAGGAGAACTGGAGAAGGCATCCTTCAGCCCCATCGATCCATCTCCGATCATTTACTCCGCCTCCGCATCTTATCGTTCTCGTCTACCTTCTCCTCCTTCTCCTCCTCCTCCTCATTAGCTAGTTTGCTCCACTCTATCTACTGCTAGCATCATATCAAGCTACAATTCAACTGGCTTGAGCCATGCCTAACGTCGTTCTTCCTAGTAAATTCAGGATTCATCCCCCTGTCACACAATGACCCCCTTCACGCCAGGGAGAGACACTAGAGGTCCTCCCCGCACGATCTTCGTCGCTCAAGGGTTACATTGCATCCATCATCCTTGTCAGTCATTTATATCAGGGGCACGCGATTGCTTCGACTGTCGGAGAGATGTCTGCACTCTGCCATGCCCCTCCCCGCGGGGATTTAGTCTCTCATTCCTTCCCCCTTGATGCCAGCCCAGCATGCCGCTGTGATCCTGCAAACCTCCAGCTCCAGCACGTTGGTCACTTACTTGCTGTCATTTTCTTGCTCCCTTTTCTATCGCCGAGATGGTTCTTTGGGGGTCTCTGGCAGTGTTCTTCGCCCTTCCTTATATCGTGGACTGTACTAACTCTTCTGGGGCGATCGACAACTATGATGTCCTCCAATATATTAATCCCCTCATCGGGAGCGCTAACGGAGGTACGCGCTAAACTACGCCCTTGCTACTTGGTCTACAATCGAGCATCTTTTAATTGTTCTGGTATCTAGGAAATGTCTTCGCGGGGGCAACAATCCCGTATGGCATGGCCAAGGCTGTCGCTGATACCGACTCGATAAACAACCAGGGAGGTTTCGCCTACGATGGCAGTAGCATCACCGGATTCTCTAGTATGCACGACTCGGGGACCGGAGGACAGCCTTCTCTAGGTGTTTTCCCTCTGTTCCCTTATGCGACCTGCACAAACGACGAGATAGATGGCTGCGCGTACCCCAAGAAGGACCGGAAGACCTCCTATGTCTCTGACTCGGTCAAGTCCAGTCCTGGTTACTTTGGACTAAACATGAGCTCGGGTATCCAGGTGGACATGACAGCTGCCCACCATACTTCTCTCTTTCGCTTTCAGTTTCCAACCGACAAGTCGTCGAGCCCATTGATCCTGTTGGACCTGTCCGACCTGTCTGATACTCGGCAGGATAATGGAACCATTTCGGTGGATCCCACAACAGGACGCATGACAGGCTATGCACGCTTTCTACCAAGCTTTGGAAGCGGTTCATATGTGCCGTACTTCTGCGCAGACTTTCACGGTTCCGGGGACATTCGAGATAACGGTATATTTGTTGATGCGCGGGCTAGTGCAGACGTCAAAAATCTCACGATATCACGCAGCATAAACGGCTATCCTCTTCCGGTCCGTACTTATCCGCCAGTACCTGTTTTTATACTAATATACGAATGTGCCTCAGGGAGGTGCTTTTATCCGATTCAATACTTCCCCGGACAACATCGTCCATGCTCGAGTGGGACTTAGTTTCATCAGCAACGAGCAAGCATGTGAAAACGCCGAAGCGGAAATACATGATTTTGACTTCAATAAGACCTATAGCGCAGCTGTGGACATGTGGACGCAGAAACTTGCCCCGATCCGTGTATCACGGAATGGGATCAACTCAAGCACACTCACGAACTTTTACAGTGGCATATACCGGACCATGGTCAATCCGCAGGACTACACAGGAGAGAATCCTCTGTGGAACAGCACAGAGCCTTACTTTGACTCATTCTACTGGTATGCGGTCGGTTCCTGGCGTGGGCTTCCTATGCTGACTCTTGAAGCCTGTGGGACTCGTTCAGGTCCCAATTCCCATTTCTAACGATCTTCGATCCAGCGGCACTGACTCGCATGCTCCGCTCATTGATCGACACCCAGAAGCATCTGGGGTGGCTCCCAGATTGTCGCATGTCGCTTTGCAAAGGTAGGCATCACTCCCGGCTAGAATAACCAAGGCTGAACATCGCAGGCTACACGCAGGGTGGCTCGAATGCCGACGTCATCTTGGCTGATGCATACGTCAAAGGCATCTCTGATGGCATCGATTGGGCGGCAGGCTATGCAGCTGTCCAGAAGGACGCGGAGGAGGAACCGTATGACTGGTCAAATGAGGGCCGTGGCGGGCTAATGAGTTGGAAAGCGTTGAACTATATCCCCGTGGAAGATTTCGACTACATCGGCTTCGGTACCTTGACCCGAAGTATCTCTCGTACCTTGGAGTACTCTTACAATGACTTTACTATTGCTCAAATGGCTCGGGGCTTGAACAAAACGAGGGACGCGGAGAAGTACGAGGGCACATCCCAGTATTGGCAGAACCTCTTCCGAGCGGATCAAACCTCATTCCTCAACGGTACTGATACGGGGTTTGAAGGCTTCTTCCAGCCCAAATATCTGAACGGTACATGGGGATATCAGGTCCGTCACCCCCGTTACTGTACCTGCCAGTGCAACCGAGCTGACTGGTGTGCAGGACCCTTTAACATGCTCCAACATTGACACGAGCGGGAGATCCTGCTCCTTGCAGAACAACGCAGCTGAGACCTTCGAGTCTAGTATCTGGGAGTACCAATTGTATGCCTCACTTGATGCCACCGTTCAGGAGCTTCAATGCTAATACAACCAGCTTTGTACCTCACGATATGGCGACTCTGGTGACCTTGCTGGGTGGTCCAACCCAATTCGTCCGCCGCCTCGACTACCTCCATGACCAAGGCATCACTTATATTGGAAACGAGCCTGCCTTCCTCACCGTCTTTCAATACCACTACGCCGGTCGCCCGGGAAAATCCACCGCCCGTGCGCACTTCTACATCCCCCGATACTTTAACCCAACACCCACCGGCCTTCCAGGCAACGACGATTCCGGTGCGATGGGTTCCTTTGTGGCCATGACCATGATGGGTCTCTTCCCAAACCCCGGTCAAAACGTGTATCTCATCACAGCACCTTTCTTCGAGTCCATCAACATCACCTCACCCCTCACCGGGAAAACAGCCACCGTAAGCACCGTCAACTTCGACCCCACCTACCAGAACATCTACATCCAGTCTGCCACGCTGAACGGGCAACCGTACACGAAAAGCTATGTTGGACACGAATTCTTCACGCAGGGACAGGAACTGGTGCTCGTGCTGGGACGGAACGAAAGTACCTGGGGCACCAAGGCCGAGGACCTGCCGCCCTCGTTGTCGACGAGTCAGGATGCGACGTCGAACTTTCGAAGGGATGATTGGTTGTAACTTACTGTCTATTGACTGCGGCCACGGTATGAATAGACCACACGGATACATTCTGCACTGGTAGATGGATACACTATAGAGTGCTAGATTCTATCAACTATGTTACTTTGCAAATCATAGATCAATCAATACATTAGAGTAGCCAACACGTAGCAAGTAACCTTCTTTTGAGTCTGAATTTTGTCTGAAGCTTGAACCATCACACGCTCGCTTTTTACACAAAAACACCAAACATAAATGCACAACATGCGAGACAGGGTTGAGCCCAACCTACAACATAACAAAAAAGAAATAAGAGCAAAAAATCAATCATAATAATCCATATACACACACATCAAACATCGTCATCAGGGGAATCTATTGTTGAAACCAAGCCAAACACCCACCCGTCCACACTCTCTTCTTCCTTTCAAACAAGACACAAGTCCCATCAAGCCTTAGGCCTGTAGAACTTGCTCTCTACCCAGGGCATACCAGTGACAGTAGCCTTCCGGATCTTGTTGCGAACCACGACACCGACCTCAGTGCCCTTCTTGTGCAGGCCATTCTTGATGTATCCCATGGCGATGTTTGTGCCACCCAGAGAAGGGCTGGGAAGACCGGAGGTAACGACGCCGATTTGGGTGCGGGACTCGTCGTTCAGATCGACGATTATGGCGCCTTCGCGAGCCGGAGAGCCCTTCTCGACGGTAAATCCGACACGGCGCTGAGAGAGGGTCTTGGGGGAGGCGACCTGGGGGAGGACGGTGGAGGCGCCGTTGAAGGTGGCGGTGGCGGGGTCGCGGCGCTCCTTGCCCACGAGCCAGGTTAGAGAGGCGCCCGGGGGTGTTTGAGAGGTGGAGATGTCGCTGCCGTAGAGACACATTCCGGCTTCGAGGCGGAGGGAGTCACGCGCGGCGAGGCCGGCGAGACGGACTTCGTCGGGGTTGGAGAGGAAGAGGTCGGTGACGCGGGCGGGCAGGGATGCGTCGCTGGCGGTGGGAATGGAGATCTCGAAGCCGTCTTCGCCAGTGTAGCCGGTTCGGGAGATGAGGAGAGGCTCTGGGGTGGTGGTACCGTCGGGGAAGGTGAGGTGCAGCTCGCGGCAGTTACCAAAGTAGAGGGTGGAGAGGTCGGAGTTGGAGCCGTCGGGGGAGACGAGGGATTGGAGGACGGAGGCAGCCTTGGGGCCCTGGAGAGCGACCAGGGCGCGGTCTTCGAGGATCTCCCACTTCAGGCTGTCCGCGCCGTGGATCTGTTTGTAGTTGTCGATTTCGGCTTCCAGGAAGGCCAGGTCCTCTGTGCGGCGGCCGGCATTGGTCACGAAGTAAAAGGTGTCGTCGGTGCGACGGGTGATGACGGTGTCATCGACGATGCCACCGGTTCCTTCTTCGAGGAGACAGGAGAGGGTGGATTGGTTGTGGTTGAGCTTGTCAAGGGAGGAGGGGGTGACCTTCATGAGGAGGTCGAGGGCGCCGGGGCCGCTGAGTTGGTGTTGGACCCTGACATTTGTTAATTGGGGAGCCTCTGGGACCAAAGATAAAAGGAAATACGAACATGTGGCTCACATCGAAGAGACTGGCCTTTTCACGGGTCCAGTGGTGGCTCTCGACATGGCTGAGGTCGGAATACTGCAAGGGCATGGAGAACCCCGCAAAGGGGACCATTTTGGCGCCCCAGGCCAGATGCAGGTCATACAGCTGGGTTTTCTTCACTGGGCCTGAAGGAGCAGCGGATGAGGCATACCGCACACCTCCCTGCGCGGCCAACGAAGCAACCCGGGGAAGGGGACGAGCAGCAGCGACGGTGACGCCCGCGGAGCGGAGAGCGCGCGGAGAAGTAGATAACGGCCGCGGGAGCAATGCGGAGCCATTGCCAGCCACTGGGGCGGCGCGGCAAAGCGAGCTCGAGCTCAGGAGGTGAAGGCCTCTTTTCATGGGGCGCACAGCAGACATGATGGACAATTGCTGCAGGATATGGAGGGAAAGGGGGATGACAAGAAGAGAAAACGAAGGAAAAGCAGGGAGTAGATGAAGGTCATTCCTCCATCGCCGCTGCGGAGACCCCCGATAAGCGGGAAAGTCACATGCTGATAGGCCATCTCCGCGGGAAGCGGGCTGACTCAGCATCTCTCCAGGTGGCCCGTGCTTATCGCCTTGCGAAGAGTAGATATACGACTTCATCATATTGGGATTGATGTATCAGTACATTTCATAGGGCCCATAGTTTGAGAAGGAATGACCCATGTGGCGTACAGGACTGAGAGGTCGGCTGTGGAATGATACCAATTGTGTACTCTAACCTTTCAGTTTCGACGGACCGATCCTTATGAACATGCCCCCACCAGCGGTTCCGGAGTGGATATGCTGATAACTGATATGGATACGAAGTAGTCCTGGCCTATACGGAATAATAGGACTCGAGGAAAACACAATGTCAGCATGAGCAGCCATCAACTGAATGTGCATAGGTTATCAAGCCTAGCTTGGGTTACGGCATTGTCCTGGAACAGCATGGACAGAATGCCAGGAACTGTCCTTTTAGAGTAAACCTCCTGCCAGCAACTAGACTGAACAATCTCGACCATCAATTGGCTCAGTACACGCGTCACCTACAAAGCTACAACAGAGCACGCAACGAATCTCTTCACTATAGAGTCATGTGACGACCAGCGCTTCAGACAGAGACAGGGATGTCTTGGACTACTCAGCCACAGCCACAGCCACAGCCACAGCCTCCACGCTACGATCAATCCCGCCTGGCGTCAGCCTTCTCTCCATCCCCAAAACACCATGGACCTCACTGGCGAAGAATGGGAGGCCCACGTTGCCAAGAAGGTAGAGGAGTACCGAAGTATCATCCAAGGCACGGACATCTACGAGCATTGCGGGAACCGAGTGGTAGAATCCCGAACAACCAACGGGAAGCTTGTCGCCGTGAAAATCAAGCCGAGGGAATGGTTCCGACGATCTGAAGCCGCAATGATGCAATACGCGTCCGATAACGGGATTCTTGCGCCACGGGTGTTGGGCTGCTATAATGTGAAACCAAACATGACCGTAACCGTAACGGACCGGGTCCCCGGCGAGTCGCTCGACAAAGTATGGCACACGCTGACCAAGCCCCAAAAAAGAATCGATTCAATCTCAGCTTCATCAACAGGTAGGTCGTCCGTTCTGCTGTCCTGCTAGCTGACCACGCTCACCCATTCCAGGTGCAAGAGTTCCGGAAGCACACGCAGCCGTATATAGGTCGAGTGGGGAATAAGACAACGTATAACTTCTTCGACCGGCTACATAATAATGACATGGGACCCTTTGCCTCAGAAGAGGAGTTCGATGAGTGGTGTTTTGCCCGTGTGAAGTTCCCTCTTCAACAAGCGTTCTGGAAACGATACTTGCCGAAGATGAGGAATAAGAAACCTTCCAAGTTTGTTTTGACGCACGGTGATCTGGCAGCGCGGAATATCATGGTTCGGGATGGTCGGATCACTGGCATCGTGGACTGGGAATATAGTGGATTCTTCCCGGAATATATGGAGTATGCGCTAGCCACGGTTATCCATGATAACATCGAAGAATGGTGGCTTCCCGTGTTGAAGAAGATTCTGGAGCCGTCGGGGTATTTACGGTCTAAATTCATCGCAACGATCAAAGACCGGGGGTGGTAGTTGGCCGATTCTTTTCATTCTTGCTTTGGGGTTTTGCTGTTTTCTTCGTATCTTCAGCGTCGTGATATTTCCAGCTTCTTATATCCCTTCATCATATCCATCGTTACTATTCAACCCAGGCATCGATAAATAAAGGCAAAGGCAATATAAAGCCCAAGCGACAGCATAAAAAGGTAGGGATAGGCAAGTCGTGGGTCCAGTAGACAAGGACTAGTAAGATTGGAAAAGGCATGGCGTTCGCGAGTTGTAAGGGGATCCGAATCCAGCGGGTCGTTTTTGAAAGTAGAAACTCCACGGAAATGGAGAAAAGGATGACCTGATACAATCCCAGAAAAGGCAAAACGACAAAAAGTTAACTATACGCAGTGGGGGTTCCAAAAACAAATTTATCAGTGTAGGTATTCCCCTGGTCCGCTTGGTGTTTGCGAAGACCATCACGATCACTGGTGGTGATGCTCAGGGCATAGAGAATCGCAACAGTGTGAGTGCTGCTGTAAATATTCCAGTCATTGTCAGGATCATCAAAATCATCACGGATATCAGAGATTCGGTTCGGCTGAGGTGCTGACAAGCTGCATCCTTGCATATTGAGTGGTGAGAACGCCTACGTCTCACGCCGAATGGGGATTCGCGAGTTCCTCGGTTGGGCCCCTATTATGTCCCTGGTCAGAATTAAAGTCACTTGAATGCATATATGCAGAAGGAATTATATCTCACCGGGTTCAACCTATTCCACAACAGCGATGAGAGGCACAACTACTAAGGCCACGGCTACGACCTGTCCGAAATTCCAGCCACTGCTGCTATTTGTGAAGCCCGTTCCTAGGAGAAGTCATGGATGGCTACAAGGTCGAGATGGTTAGGGACATGGTTAGCTCGTTAATTTTCAGTAACAATGATATAGAAAGAAGAGGAATAGTAACCGTAGGTAAACAAATCGGGGTGAGCCTCAACATACCCATCGCGTCGCACATCATACCAAGCGAAGCCCCCCTGGGTATTTCAAATCCATTCATGCTGATAGCCTCCTCCTCGAGGAAGGTTAGAGCGAGGTTATCAATCCTCCCACCAATGCAATCTATAGGGAGATCGACCGGTCAACGCCAACAATTCTTGGGGTAGGCTGTAGACAGATGTCCCGCTTCTCAAAATGTGTGGTTGTTGTACAGGCTCGCAACGCTGTCGTCGCCCCTTTTGTGAACGGATGAGTCTGGGTGGTGGTCAAAAGGCCGGTCGGGGTCCATCGGCACTTTGTGACATGAACGATTCTGTGATGAATATTTAGTTGTGGAGAATAGACTGACGTACCAATGGTCAAGGTTGACTTTCATGGGTTAAACGATGGAGGAACTATGGCTGGATTAAAATGAGTGAATTTGTTACGGAGAACATAAAGGAAGAAACGTGGCTGATCACATGGTATGAAGGCCCAATTCCATAGTGGGAAGGTGCCACCCATAAATTGGAAGGCATTTGAATTAGCAGCTCTAAATCTCAATCTCCCGTTTCCATTTCTACCTGCTGGTCTTTGTAGCGATAAAGAGCTTTCTCACATGACTAAATCAGAGAACTATGTGCAATCCAGCGAAGGACTAGATCAAGTGCTACATCCGGCTAATTTTGAGAGATCTGTTATCAATTGGCCGCTTGCAGTCGTACCATGCATTCAGGGGTTCCATGTCAAACACCGCTCAGCGAATGTCTGGCCTGATTGAGAGTGTACTCGTCCACTTTCACACACATTTCTTTCACCGTGCCTCATCCACCGGAGTAAGACTCCTCACGCAGCTTCAAAAAGAGATAGGCAATAAATACAAAACCTGAAAACTACAGCCAAGGGATAATATACTTTAGTGACATTAGCAGAGCAGAACCTCATTATCATAAAAGTGGGTGGGGGTGTTGTTTCAGCGAATCATAAGACTTGAGACAGTAGCGCGGATACAGTGTCTCCGCAGTCCTGCACAGATTATTAGCCTTAGGTATGGAGTACTTGGCGTAAGCTGCAGTTCTAGATAACTGCTAAGGAGTGAGACCCTGGCAGGAAGATAACTCACCCAAATGTTATCTGCACCGTCATACTGGGTATAGTCAGGTCAGGTGACAGCAGGGCCCCACCAGAACGGGAGGGACCGCCACTCTGGGCCAATCGGCAGCTGCAGGGCGGAATGTGCCTCGGCGCGCCTGGGGCACGGAAGCCACTGTCACGATGGTCGCGGGGAAATCACTTCCGAAGATTCTCATCTTTGCCACGCCAACATTCCTATCCAGCCAAAAGCACAAGGACGCGCTCAAGGTCTTCCGCCAGGGGGATCGGACTGGAATATGAATGACGCTCTGAGGATTACGCCTACAGATAGCGAAAATGAGGAGACAAAGAGCGTTTACACATAGGTCCAGGAACGGATGCCGCACCTGTCGGTTAGTCCTCTTCCTTCACATCCTTATAAATTTGCAACCCAAGCGACTGGGCTTCTCGTGCCAAGCGAGCTAATCCACGATGTATGTGCCTGTAGGTCCCGGCATATCAAATGCGATGAGGCCCCGGGTGCATGCCGCAATTGCACTTCCACCGGGCGCAACTGCGAGGGATATGACCAACATCGATTGCCGGTCCGCAAGACATTGGCCCCTCAAGCATCAATGAAACTCGTCACAAGTCTGCCTGGAATGAGTTCCGATGAGCGCCGGTGTTTTCGGTTCTTCGAGCATAACACCATCCCGATGCTGGTGGGGTACGCCGAGTCAGAAGTATGGCAGCGGTTGGTGTTACAGATGAGTCAAAGGGAACCCGCCATCTGCCATGCAGTGGTTGCACTGAGCGCCATTCATGAAAAATTTGAGCGGAGGGGCATGACGATGAAACCCGATCACCATCACCATCGCTTTGCGCTGGAACAATATGGTCGGGCAATGTCAATGCTCCGCAGGCGCATACAGTCCAACGATCCGCAGGTGCGGGAGATTGCGTTGATGTGCTGTGTTGTCTTTGTAGTTCTGGAGCTTCTCGAAGGCGAATATAAGAATGCTTTCGCTCATCTACAGCAAGGGCTGACTATTCTGGGCAGCCAATCAGGCCATACGTCCACGACAGAATGTGCGCTGGCGAAAGCGTTCCTGCATCTTAATGTACAACGATCCCATTTTGGCGGCCCGGACGTTCGTGTGACTCTCCACCCCCCTAAAGGGCGTGTAGCCGAAGCAACCTATGAGAGAGTTAAGATCCGCAGCGTGGCAGAGGCCAAAGAGCGCATCCGAGTCCTGATGAACAATATCTTCCATTTTCAGTCATGCTGCAACCTCTTCTTCCGGGGTGATCTAGAGTCTGACATTCTGAGCCTCTCCGCGCGGCAGTGCAAATTGCAGTGTCAACTGGGTGATTATAGGGCAGACCTCGAGGCATTCATCTTGTCCCACAGCACCCGGCACGCCTGGACTCTGAGAGATATTCGGAGCATGGATGTGATCCGAGTGCATTTGGCGACCCTGGTTAGCCTGCTGGGAGGGACACTGGACACGACGGAAATGGGCTACGATCGCTTCCTTCCCGAGTTCAAGCGAATCAACGAGTTCTGCGAGCGAATTATCAACAGCTTCAAGACCGAATATGGGGATATTAGTCGTCTGCCCGGTATGGTTATGGATTTGGGAATCCTGCCATCACTGTTCTGGTCATGTGTAAAATGTCGGGATTCCAGAACCCGGCGGCGCTCCTCCCAACTGCTGCAGGTATGGCCGCATCGGGAGGGGATTTATGACTCACGCTTGATCTCGATGATCTGCCAGGGACTTATCGCCATTGAAAGCGAAGGCCAGGAGGACGAGACGGGAATTATCCCTCAGTCAGCCCGTGTGCAAACCCAGACGGTAGAAGTAGCCGAGGACCAGAGTCACATAGTGATCAGATATACATTATCCGGCTCTGAAACTTGGGGAGAAAACGAGCGAGAGCGGGTGGTCTCATTCGAGAGCAATGAATGACGAACAGGCCTACAACGGCCCAAGCGATCTTTGATAGCTCCGACCCATCAAAATAACCTCCCCCTACTGCCAACTGCCAACTCGTCGGCACATGTCACATGAATTGTGCATCTGCATACTCCGTATGCAAAGCTAGGGACACCGATTATCTCCAACCCGCGTGTCCAATTGACCTTGTCGATGCACTGCAAGAGTCAGCATTGGAGACGTCCACTGCACACAGACCAATCCTCAGTCATCACACTCTCTTAAGCACCAAGGATAATAAATTGTCCATGCAAAGGGCGGACTGGAGTGACGAAGGCAACAAAAAACGGGATGAGACTGAACCACTAGCATCCCAACCAACTACTCGCATGGGTATCTCAACCTCAACTCGAAAAAACAGCCTCTTACTCAGTGCTACCAAGTACTTCCAGAGAATCTACCTCAGCCTACAATCTACAAAGCAAGAATTAAAAAGCCTACTATTCCCATCCCATCATGTCCATAAACAAAACAAGCTTGCATGCCACCCCCGTCATCTCAATGGCGGGCGCGCGAGCAAGTCTCATTTTATCCGATGGCCATTCAATTTTGTTATTTGCATCCATGATAGCGTAACGATGGGTATGCCAAACGATAATAACAACTAAGGTAAAGAATTGCTGTGAAGTTCCGATGGAACACACATGACGGAAAAAGAAATCGTTAAAAGTCATCATTAAGGGTTTTGTGGTTGGTGGAGGGTGCTGGTCTCGGAAGTTCAGCGCTTGTCTTGAGTGTTCTGTCCCTTTCATTTCAAAGGTGGATGGACGTGCTTAAAGCCCGGTGTTGGCGCAGGAGAAGGGGCTTCCGACGGTGCCTTGTCTGTAGCTGATGATTACACTTTCGATGGATGCCTGGGGTGGGAATGATTAGATTTGATTAGGTTGTGCAACAGGGAGGGTGTGGACTCACGTAGGTTCCGGGTCCAAGGAAAAAGAATCCCGCGATGATGAGAATGACGTTAACGATCGCGCCGACCCAGCCGCGGATGCCACGGTTACGGTAGAAATTGGGTCCATAGTCTTCCCGCCGCATGCGCAGGTAGGCGGTGCCCCAGAAGATGAAGCCGAAGAAGGAATCAAAGAGGGAACTCATGATCGATTCCAGGTCGGAAAAGAAGGGAATCACCTCCGCGATTATAAAGGCCAGGATCCACAGGACGGTGAGAATACCGGTCCAGGCGGCCCAGCCGAGCACAGTGTGGTTGCCCTTGTGGCGGGTGCCGTCGAACAAACGGAAGAAGATGAAGCGCGCCGACACGGAGGCGTACAGCACGCCCAGGAAAATCAACGTCGGGATCATGAACGAAAAGGACACCTTTTTGTATACCTCGTTGCCCAGAGAGCCGAATGCTGGTGACGTGATATACTGATTACCGGTATAGGCATAGACGATGGCACCGACCAAGCTGAACACAATGATTTCGGCGATGGTGACGGCGGTGACCGATTTCCAGAAGTCCTTGGGCTCTTTCATCTCCGCAATGAAGCTCGGAAGTGTGATCTGCCCAATGAAGGTGTAGCTGATATTCAGGAATGCACTCATCCCTGAGACAAAGGTCGTTCCCGAGACCGGGATCGCTTTCACGATGGGATCTCCCATTTCTGGGGTGTAGCCCGCCGGATGGTCCTCAATGGCGGAGAAGATAACAGCTAGCATCACAGACACAAATGTGGTAAATGCTGACAGGGTTGCAACCTTGGACAGAGCACTGAAGGTCCGAGGGAGCGAGCAGATCAGCGAGATAACCGCAGTGATAAGAGAGAACACAATGGTGCAGGTGCCGTGACCACTGATGGTGTTGAGATACTCGGCGCCGACTAAGCAGTGCAAGCCCTAAATTCCATGTTAAGTCTGTTGATCAAATAGCAGACGTAGAGGTGAATACCTGAATGAAGGTGTTGTTCAGCAAGAACATGACTGCAGTCAGGTACCACACGATTTTGGAGTCCCAAAAGATCATTTGACCAATGTCGCACACATCGCGAACATGGGGGTGTCGCAAGCAGAACTTCCTAGACGATATGAGCGATGACCTTAGTAAGTGCACGACGAGGCAAACAACATACCAAATGACCAGCGAAGTATATAGCACAATCAAGGCCATAAGCACTGTAAGGATCAAACCCGGGACCAAGCCAAGAACGGAGTAGGACCATGGGAATGACATGATAGCTAGACAGATGTACTCGGAAAACAGCAGGGCGGCAGTCTAGTGAGAAGGTCAGTGGTCAGTGGTCAGCTATCGCGCCCAGGCGCATCGCGCGTTCAATGCGTCGGAATAGTCCGGACGTACCTTCTGCCAGCTACAGGTTCTGTACTTGATCGAATTCTCGGACTCCATTTCAATCTGCCGACCAATTTCTCCTTCGGAGTCGGAGCCCGATCCAACCTGCTGCTTCTGACCTTCAAGGTCCATCTGCTTCAGCTTGTCTGCATCTCTGGGATTCTCGGAGACCGACAACCGACGGGAAATATCGCCGGGCTTGAAAGCGTTGGACTCCGCCATTTTATCGAGCGGACAAGCCGCAGGTGAAAGGAGGCGTTGAAGCTAAAGACAGAAGAAACACTGAAGGCCTTTGGATGCATGTACTGCCCCTCTTGATGCGAACAAACCGAGTGGCCTGCGATAAACCAAGGACGATGTTAAGAATGATTTCAATGCGATCGACTGTAGTGCAGCGGTCGAATGTGTGCAACGCTCGGGATTCTCTTACCAGGAACAGGCAAAAGGTGAAAGGGATTAACAATGCAAGTGACGGAAGGTGAGGAGAGAAGAACGGAGGAAGGATCTAACATCTTTGGTAGTCAGATTGGGCTAAATAGATATCACTGGCCAGGCACGTGCAGCTCACTTACTGGAGATAACCGTGAGACAGATCAACACCTTAGGCCAGGGACGACGTGCGCGACAAAGAAAAAAGGCAAAATGAGACCTGGAAGTGGCATCCAAGGCTGGGCAAAAGGAAGATTGAAAGAAATAAATGTGAGGTGCAGTGGGGAAAAAATAAATGAAAATCTGGATGCGCTTATTTCTTTAACATGCAGGGAGCTGGGGGGAGCTGGGTCATGCTCCCAGAGAAACCCGACGAGGTTAGGTTTAGTTACCTTGGCTCGCTCTTCCGCGGGAAGGCGATTTCCTTGGGATTGGTGGTAGTCCGAGAATCATTAACTGGCGACGATAAATGAATCCAGGCGAATGAGAGGCGCATCGGGGATCCAATGACCGGGGCCCAAATGCAGCCGGCCAGCCCGACTGCCCGGAATGGCCGATGACAACATCACCCCGGGGGCCTGGGGCATCCGGCGCCCATGACGTTCTCCTGCGGGATTCTCCCCCGGCGAACCCAAGTAAGCTAGAGTAAGATCCGGTACCTACCGTCCCTGGGCCGCCGCATCTCCTGTACGGGCCTGCCCAGAGATGCGGCGAGTGTTCCAGGTACCGGAGGAGGCTTGACTAGTATGAGGTGGCCCTTGGAAATGGTGGTTTCGGTGTGAAATCAGAATTCAGAAGAAGTACATGATCCCCCATAACTAAGACTATGGCTGCAGATGTATCCTGCCCCCACGTCCCTAAAGCTCGACTCGGTTAGGTGCAGCAATGCCGCGTTCAGGCCCACCCCCATTTCCCCCACCGCCCATTGGTCCGTTCTCGGTACAACCTTGCCTGGGCCCCCGCCAATCACGGGCCAGCTGAGGCCCGCCGGCGGAACTGCCCGATCCAGGCTGCCCCGCATCCGTCTGGGAGGTGGCGCTTCTGATAGACCGGGCCCCTTGGCGGCCGCCCTCCCTCCCAATGCAGCCAGTAGCCACCCTCGCACTCTCGCAGAGATTTCCGCCCCAAGAGGAACCCCCCGTGAAAGATACAAGGGAGGATGAGCTTTAAGTTGGGGCTAAGGCGAAGGTGGTATGACGTTGCTTATGCATGCACAAATAGCACACCAGCCATATGACAAGGCTTGCTTCGTGGATGGCTTCCCCCCCGGCTGGAATCCCGAACGGTTTCCTCATCAGGCAACCGCCACGGCGACTGGATCTAGTCTTTTCAGCCCGTCAGATTAAGCCTTGAGCACGCTATGCGCTAACAGATGGCGTGATCTTCACCCACGTGTCGTTCTGCCTTATGTAAGGGGCATCACGCTCACTAAATGGCGCATATTGAATGGCGACAACTAATGTAGACACTAGGGAGCGAAAGGTGATTGCTATTTTATGCTACAGTCAAGCCCTCAGTACTATACATATGCTATCCAGCACAGTATAATACATTTCAGTTGGCCAAATTCGGTTCGAAGCCGAAGCAATCCTGGTTTTTCTGAAGGCACAACCATCAGGGGCAGCACCGCCTAAGGCCCATTAAGACGCCACCGTTTCACGTCTGACTCCATGGGAACGAAAGCCCGAAGTGTGTGACAGAACCTTCTCTGATTTGGATTGTTTTCTAACGCCTTGGGTGCGATCCAGGTGCGATGATGCCATCGAGCTCAGCGCGACCCGTGTTTGAACTCGTATCTAAATCGGCTCTTCTCCCCATATAGTTTGGGAAGATTTGCATATGACAGTGACTGCTTCTCTGAGGTCTGGAAATCGTAGCGTCGATGATAACAACTCAGGCCGTGGCTCTTTGTGATAATCACTCGCTGTATATCATAGCCAATATGGCCATAGACTAGTCACCCACGATTACTCAACATAGTAAACAGCATCCAGCAGAGTATCGTACGTAACAGTGTTCCATTGAAGAGATAGACGGCGAAACTCTGCTTGTCCAACCAGAGGATTTTAGGTAGGAAAAGGCATCGCGCTGTTGGTAAGAGGTTGATGTCGATCGCGGTGTAGCGAAGAGATACCGCGTATGTGCTTCGAGATCGTGAATAGTACATCACCATGCTATTCTCGCGGTCTAGCAAAAACGCCTGTTTGAGTGTAGGTCTGTTGAACAGCGAAACGATCTGGCAGTCCTTTACCACGGTTAAATTGCTTACAAGCTTCTCAACCGCGACACGTGAATGGCCACAAAATAGCTCGGTATTTGGCTTAATTCTCAAGCCATTGCGGGGTTCCGCATGCAGGCCTTTCTCTCTGCCACTGCTTCTTAAAGGCACATGATCATTTGGCATCGACTTGCGAGTCAACTATTTCTATCGTGCGTTTCAGGTATGAGGATGAAATGTTGGTGAAGCTATGCCATTTCCCATGGGTTGGCTGTCATCTGTGGTTGATGTGAGGATGGTTGAAGCCACGGAAAGTGCTCTCCTTATCGCGGATTTTGAAATCATGGGGTCGTGATATTATGGCTTAGTATGGTCCTGCACATTATGGAAAACTTGTAATTCGCACAAGGCACACCCAGCCTGCCGGATGAATTAAAATGTGCAAGATAATGTTATTTTACTGGTTGGCTTACATGCTGGTGGTTGATGAGGAGAAAACGTAGGTGGAGGATGATGAGGGGGGCTTTCTTTATCTAGCTTGTGGTGATTTCCTGATGCGGTAATATGCAGGGTGCGTTTCGGGGAAGGATATCTCCGTAGGTGGATAATGGATTCTTCAAGACCTGGATATTGTACGGGTGCCATTCATACTAGGATGGGGACGGATTATCATTACATAGGTGCCTGGATTTCGCTTGGGACGATCTCTACCTAATCAAGATGAGACTGTCAGGAGCTTGTTCATTATGTACCATTATACTAAAGTGTGTTCGTGGGGAAAGAGTTGATTTACAGGCTGCCAGGTCATTCCAGTCTTGATTTGGTGGGCGTCTACATTAAGGGGAATGATTTCGGCCGGCTGTATAAAGCCTGAATGATATCCAGTCTTCAGTCTACGTTTATGACAGAGGATTCTCCAAACCAGAGGGTAACATGCTTTTTGTGGTATCTGCAATATAAAATAGATAAGGACAGGATCCGATTTCACATTCCCTCGTCCTCCCCGGCCAGCAGGGCCGCATAGTCGTCCGCAGAGGCAAATGTGGGCAGATGCTTGAGCTTGCGTCTCTTCTTCCGCTCAGATTGCTTGTCATCCTTCGGAGACTCGTCAGCAACTCCGAGTTCCACGTCGGATGGCAGTTCCTCGTCACTGTCAACGAAGGCTTCGGCATCCGAGACGTCCATGTCGAACGGATCTTCATCGTCAGACGGTTCCTCTTCCTTGGCTGCCTTGGCCTTCTTGGCCTTGGTCTTGGTAGGAGGTTCCTCAACATCAGAGACTCCGGCCTCTTCGACGTCCTCCATCTCGTCATCCGAGTCGAGATTGAGTTCGACTTCACTGTCACCACCCTCTTCGTCTTCTTCCTCGGACTGGTCATATGCGGACTCGAGATCATCCATGTCGAGATCATCATCGTCACTGCCGGCTTCCAGCTCGGGCCGTGAATCAACCAGCGCTTTCCAGATCTCGGACTCGGCATCACTGACTTCTTCGCCGTCATCCTCGTTTTCCTCAGCATCCTTGGTCGTCTTCTTAGCCTTCTCATTGTCTTGACCCTTTCCGATCCGGTTAAAGTACTCGTGGAAGAAGACATCCTCCGCGGCGACGTCCTCGGTCTTCTTCTTCCAGAACGCCTCCGAGTTGAGAAAGAGATGCTGGCTCTGCTTGCCCGCTGTAACCAACCGATCCTTGGCCTCGCTGCCTGCAAGAGGTTGCATGATGGAAGAGCCACGGGTAAGTGCAGAGGCCTTGGGTGTACGGTAGACGAAACGGTCAAGGAAGTGAGACAACGTGTGCAAAGTCATGTCGGGCTGTCCGGACATAGGCTTGTGGTCGAGCAGATGAGCCGCGTTTACGGACACGGACGGGTGGAAGTGAGACAGGTAAGGTAGCTAGAATTTGTATGAGTATATGTATCCAGAAAAGTTTGATGGGTAATAAACTTACCAGCTCCCACAGGCACGTCCTATCCGCATTGCTGTGCTCGGGATCTCTCTTGCGGGGGTCGTATTGAGTGGAGGGCTTCTTCTGTTTTGGGGCTTCGGGTTGCTCCTGCGGCTCGTCATCCTCATCAGGAACATCTCGGAACACCTCCTCGTCGTCGCTATCGTTCTCTTCTGGTTGGTCAAACAAAGAAGCAAGATCCGGGAACGTTTTCTCCAACTCGCGGATCAAATAGAATACACCGCAGATGAAGGCAGGTTGATGCAGTCCAAGGACCTGGATGATACGCTTCACGAATGCCTTAACACGACGAGTGTTCAAATCATTTTTCAGTGCCTTGAACAAAAGGTTGAGATACAGTGACTGCTTGGACGATGTAGCAACCCGTGGGTCGAGCAGAGACTCGTACAACGTCCGGTAGAAGCGATCAGCGCCAACTTGGTGAGAGGAAGTCAATTGCTGGATCAGCATGAGTGCCTGGATGCTAGTGTTGAAGTTTGCGGAGTGCGTGATGCGGAAAAGTGTATCAATGTGCTTGGAGAGACTGATGGACACGTTAGCTTTATCAACAATCGGGGGCATGTTATAACATACCGTTCGGTGTCCGAGCTCGTAAATGGGTACGATCGGTTGACACCAGTCAGGACCGCAGAAGTCAGTTTATCCCGCACCTCTTCCGTCTGGGCCAGACCCTTGGCAGCGTCATCCTTGCCCTTGCCCTTGTTGTGCTTGTTGCCGAACTTCCCATTCTTCCTGCCCTTTGTATCCTTGTTAGGCTTCAAAAGAGCCACGAAGATCGAAAAGTAGATGTCAAGCAACTTCAATGCAACGCTTTCCTCCTTGAGACTCAAGACCGTCTGGTTCAGGGTGATAACGGCATAGTATTTGGCGTGTTGACTTTGACCAGGGCGGAAAAGAACTTCCTCAACGGCACTGATGATGGTGGGCTTCATCAGAGGATGCGCCTGCTCAAGTTGCAGGAGCAGGTAAGACGCCCGCGAGGCGATCTTCTTGGACGTATCTCCGAGCTTGTTGACTAACAGCCGCAGAAGATTCGTTTCCTGCTCTGGCTTTTCCTTAAGGAGTTCATAGACATAACTGACAGCTCTGGAGCGAGAAAACTCAATCTCATCATTGCACCAGACTTCCAGGATCTTAAGGACCTCGAAAAACTGATCCTTCAAGAAGTGTTCATATGCCCAGAAGATCAAGTGGCTGTTCTTAAGGCCTCCGGGAAGAGCGTCTCCTTCGGACCACTTGCTACCTGCTCCTTGCAACGCAGCAACAAGAGATGGCTGGTTGGCAAAAGCCCGCAGTCTCCGGTCGCTAGGAAGCAACGTTCCTTGGGCAAACATATCCTTCAGTGATCTAAGAACTTCCACAGCCTGAGCACGACTGCGCTTCTTTCCGAGGGCAATGAGGTTCTCCAGTGCCTTGGTGTTATGGAGAGGCGATTCTTGTACAGCAAGAGTCAAGGCAGAGGTCTTATCACTGAGTGTACCGGTGGACATGATCGTGCTGTAGAACTTGTGCGACGAAGATGCAGAAGCCTGCTGCGCTTCAGCGTACATCTTGTTTTCCTTCTCAAGGAGCGACACGGCGTAGTTGTAGAAGCGATCCACCACATGGCGAGGTAACGACTTTGCTTGTGCTGTCGGGATGGAAGGCAATTCAGTCATGTACCAATCGGATCTGGGCAGGACAGCCTAAAGGATCGGATTAGAGAAGATCTGATACTTGGTTTAGCTATACTCACGAGTTTGGAGAATTCCTTGGGGAAAACAACATCGGGGGCGGTCGCTTTGGCTTTTTCTTTCTTGGCCGATTCTTTGGTGTCTTTCGGGGCTGGCGCGGGAGCTGGAGACTCTTCCTCGGAGACTTCATCATCCAAAACATCATCTACCCCCTCGTCGACGTCCTCCTCGTCTTCAACGTCATCTTCGTCGCTTGCCGCTTCTTCTTCCTCCTCCTCTTCATCCTCCTCTTCCTCCTCCTCTACTTCGTCGTCCTCCAAGTCATCTGGGACAACCTGACCTGCGGCAGCCAACATACTCGACAGCTCCTTTCTGAGAGAAGCCTCGTCAGACTTGTTCTTCGGTTTCTTCTCTGCAGCATCCTCAACCTCGGAGTCCGAACCAATCCCAGCGAGCAGATTCAAATCGTCCTCGGTGCCTCCGAGGGCCAGGATTTCTTGCCGGAGAACATCATCCTGGTTCTCCTTTTTTGATGTCGGCTGCTTGCCTTTTGAGATAGCCTTCTCTTCCCTCGAAATTACCTCGCCGTTGCGGTCGCGTTTCTTGCCTTTGTTGTTCTTGTCGTTGGTGGAACCCTGCTTTGGCCCCGGCTTCGGCGCATCGTTCTTCTTCGGTGTGTCGTCGGTAGTAGCCTTTCCCTTGTTGTTCTTCGGCTTCTGCTTGGAGGCGCTCTGGTCTTTCAGTCGCTGTTCGATCTTCTGTCGCAAGCCGGCAAATGCACTCTCCTCCAGCTGAGGGAAAGCATCGGCACCGGCGTTGGAGTCGTTCACAGAGACACCACCGTCAGGAATCGCATTATTCGCTCCCGAGGAGCGCTTCCCCTTACCTTTGGCCATGACGAAACGTGGAACGGCCAAATGCAAGTTTGATGATGGGGATTTGCTTCCACTTTTTTCTGCCGCCAAAAAATTGAGGAGACCCCGAGGCCGCCGGAGAAACGGCGGGCCGGAACCCGTTGGCCGGCGCTCGGACCATCCGAAGTCCTCGAGTTCGCATCTATTTACTTTGCAGATGTCCATCCATTGGCGTGGATGAACATTACTGTTACGTGCCAAGGTGCTGTTCCCATCATCAGACCTCATGATAACCGGGTTTCGCCCGGTTCCGGGCCGTTATTCGGGAATCGGTCGAGCATACTTTGGCATTGCTCGATTCCATAGAACATCGAAATGCGCCTTTCATGTATGACGATCCCAGTCCACCGTCAGCCCAACAATCTTGATGGCTGATCATAATAGGTGGATGGTAGAAGCCGGATCTCCAATTTCTGGATCCCGACGGGGGGCATTTCCAAAAAGCCCGTCCAGGGTGAAACAGGTACTAGCTACTGCAAAGTGCTGCATCGTTGACGGCTTCTAACAGCGACTAGAGGATGCCAACGACCTCTTGATTCGGGGCGGCTTTTTGAGACAGGTAATATGCCTCACATATTCCAAAAATTGTCTCTAATCTGGCCTTCAGGCTTACTCGGGTATATTCCATATGTTGCCTCTGGGACTGCGTGTGCAAGATAAGCTAGAGCGTCTCATTGATAAGCACATGCGATCACTTGGTACGTAGATTGCAATACTCCTTGGTGGTCCGTAGCCCTCTCTCATCTCATCGAACCACTGCAGGGGCATCTAAAGTATCATTATCGTCTATATCCGCCCAGGAACTTTGGGAGCAGTCGGGACGTCTCAAAGAGGGCTCCGAAGTAGGGATCCTGCGTCCCTCGCAACAAACTCCGCTCACAAATACCTCAGGTCTTTCGCTTTCACGATCGGAAGGAATCCCGCTTTCTCCTTGCTCCCACCCATGAGGAGGAAATCACCACGTTAGTGGGTCATCTCACCAAATCTTACCGAGACTTGCCGGTGCGAGTGTACCAAATATGTGAGTCAGTCGTCCACAGCAGGGGACAACAGCTGACATTCCAATCCAGCAAGGAAATACAGAGATGAGCAACGGCCCAGGCAGGGCCTTCTCCGTGGGCGGGAGTTCATCATGAAGGATCTCTACACCTTCGACTACAATGTCGAGAATGCCCTGAAAACATACGTGTCGGTAAAGTCTGCTTACACAGAGCTCTTCAACGAACTCAAAATACCCTACCTCGTTGCTGCCGCGGACTCGGGAAATATGGGCGGTAGTCTAAGTCACGAGTTCCATTTCGCCAGCACCAAGGGCGAGGACACCGTTATCAGCTGCTCCAGCTGCGACAGTGTCTATAACGAGGAGCTCGCAGATGGAAAGTCCCATAGCATCGATGAGCAGCAACTTCAGGCTAGCCACGCATCCGGGTTTGATACGGGAGAAGCGTCAGGTGAATCAGCGAAGGCTGTTTCCGTTGGCCTGTGGATGGCCATCTCACAAGACAAAAACACACTGTTGCGGTGCTGGTACCCACAGTATACCCTAAAAGACCCTAACAAGCCGCCAGTTGAAAGGGAAGTTAATTCCCATGCAGTCAAATCTATAGCCAAGGCAGCCGGCATAGATCTAGACATCAGCATTGAGAACCCTTTGAAGCAGTGGGCCGCTCATCTCAAGTCTAACGAGGCTTCTGGTCAGCGGCCCCGCGTGCTGGACGTGTATGACTCACATGTGCGAGCTTACAAACGGCCGCCATTGACGGACACACTAGACGGAGTCAGCCGCTCTGTGGAAGATATCGACTTTTCGAAACTTGACCGTTTCCCGGGGACCAACAACCACCTCAACCTCGTGAGAGTGCACGAGGGTGACCAGTGCTCGAAATGCGGCCAAGGCCTAACAGAAACACACAAGGCCACCGAACTTGGACACACCTTCCATCTTGGCACGCGATACAGTGAAGTTCTACAAGCTTCTGTGGTGGTCGACCAAGCCCACCTCGACAAAGCGGACCGCTCACCAGCTTCGCAAAAGGATCAAATCGTTCCAATGCAAATGGGCTGTCACGGAATCGGTGTATCGCGCATGATCAGCGCCGTCGCCGACAGCCTTGCGGATTCCAAAGGACTCAACTGGCCCCGCGCTATCGCTCCATACGAAGTGATCGTGGTTCCTGCCAAAGGATTAGAAGAAGAAGCGGAGACGATATATGACGTGCTGACCTCAGAACCCACTGCTGCCTTGGACGTGATTCTCGATGACCGTGACAAGCAAATGGGCTGGAAGCTAGGCGATGCAGACCTTATTGGATATCCCGTGATCGTTGTAGTTGGCAAGGGATGGAAGAAGCAACGGACATTGGAAGTGCAGTGTCGTCGACTCGAAGTCCGCGAGGATGTCGCAATTGAGGCTCTACCGGAGTTTGTGCGTTCCTTGCTTGCGAAGCTGTAAGCGCTCGGCTGTGTTACGGCAAGGCAGAATTTGCGCCACAGCACTGTACTATACAAAAGACTGTAAACTACTTACCTAGTACTAGGCAGTTGCAATAGTTAATATACCCCTCCATTCTGAGTCACTCGGAGTAATCGGACACACCAGCCACAGCCATAGCCTACTCGCGGGGGGGTTTAGCGCTGACGGCCTAAACTGCCTTACAGTCCCACATCAGAGTATGATGACTGTTAGTGGCCTCGGCATATTCCTTCCATTTATTCCATACGTATATATTCCGCCACAGACACACATCACAGTACTACATATATACTATTCATACAATACTACTAATATCTCAGATAGTAAACCCTCTACATCTCTAGTATTCTCTACTCCACCCCCCCCCCCCCCCGCTCCCACCAACAACTCACACCCGACGATGACCACCACCGAACCTCTCGTCCGCGTCGGCATCGCAGCCTTCGTCTTCAACGCCTCGGGCCAAATCCTCCTCGGCAAAAGAAAAGGCAGCCACGGTGCAGGCACGTTCCCCATCCAATCAAATCCCCCCCACCACCAACCCTTCAAATAGTACCAGTAAGTACTATACTACTAGTAAACATATACTAACCATAGTACTATAATAAAGGAACCTGGGCCCTCCCCGGCGGGCATCTCGAATTCAACGAAAGCTTCGAGACCTGCGCGGCGCGCGAAATCAAAGAAGAGACGGATCTCAACGTGGAAGGATTCCGCACTCTAGCTCTCACCAATGACATCATGAGACGTGAGAATAAGCACTACGTGACGGTGTTTTTGGGGTGTGTGGTTTGTGATAAGGATGTTGATGTTGTGCCGAAGGTTAGTCAGTCTAGTTTTGATTCCGCTCCTGGATGATCTGGGTACTAAAGTTGTGAGTGTGACCGTGTGTCAGATAATGGAACCGGAAAAGTGTAATGTGTGGGAATGGACAAGTTGGGAGGATGTTAGAGTGGGGTTCGAGGAGGAGGAGGAGGAGGGTGGTGATGAGGTGGATGGGTTGATGATGGATAGGGATTCGAGGAGGAGGCTGTTTACGCCGATTTTGAATTTGTTTCGTCAGTGGAGGGGGTTTGATCCGGTGGTTAGTTATGAGGGTGGTGGGGTTAGTGGGTAAGTTAAGTTGGTTTGGTTTGGTTTCTTATGGTGGTATTGATGACTTTCAGTCATATTATTATCTCTATTCCATTGGGTCAGATTGGACCTTCTCAAAGCTTTTTTCAGTCCATGTGTCTATTCGATGATTAGTAGATGCCTAGTATATATGTTATTAATGGTATACGCATCAACTCACAGTTTCGATCCGCTTATCCAATGCTGAAAGGATTTCACGGGCTCGCTTTCTGGTATCATTAAGAGTGTCGATCCCCCGCTCCAATTCCTTCAACATGTGAACAGGAGATCCTGAACCAGTCCCGAGGGATTGTTTCCAATACTCTCTTCGCAGTCCTCTGCGATCGCGACACTGTCAACAGCAACATCCAAGGCCTCTGCAATCTCCATTGCGTGATGCTTAATCTCATTTGAAGCTCTTTATGCACTTGTTGAGCCCATTGAGGCTATCTTCCTTGGTTTCTTGCCCATAATCGTCAATGGCGTAAGGGTTACGGCGTCCCTTTAGAAAGGATAGGTCAGCGAAGAAAAAAAATACCACTGAATACTCATTCGGGATGCGGGAAATCATTACATTTTCGATATGAAACATGGCGGGACAGAAGTATCTCAAATCATCATCAAACTGAACCGCAGCACTTTGGAGCGCAAACTTCATTAGAAGCAAGGGCTTGTTTTGGGGTCGGGCACATGTTGAAGCTCCCGGCTGGGTCACTGTCGTTCGACTTCAACTATAGCGAGACAAATCCCATAGGGTGGATGGTTGAGGTAGCCATGATGGTTCACCCTGCGAGATATCAATCGAGTGTAGGTTGCTAAGGGTGTAGAAGCGGTTAGTCTTGTTGAGTATATAACCTAGGTTGAGCATTTGAGCGTTACTCACCGTGGTTGCTGACTCCGGGCGGAGCTGAGATTTCAATAATGTCGCAGAAGCCGCTGGGGTATCCTTTCCTCGTAATCAAAGAAGTGGATAGGAGTGCGGAGTGTCTCGGTTAGATATTGGTAGATATCCTTGTTGGCTGTGATCTGTGACGAGGGGGGCATGAAACTATGGAAATCAGCGGGTTGTCTGAGAGGGAGGTGAAGAATTGACTTAGACTACATGAAGGCCGGGATTTGTGAGAAACTGGCCTTGTTTGTCAGTATGCTAGCTAACCTTAGTCCTTTTCTACGGAAATCTTCTCTACGGTGTTTCCATACTGCTATACTGGACCCGTCATTCAAATCACTTCCAACGACACCGCATTGTTACTGCGGTATTTGACCCTGTTTAATCGGCGTCCCCCGAGCTACTAGGTTTCTTCAATTATTAAATAACGGCAGAATGCTATACCTGGCGTTTACCACCCAACCATTGGTTTTTCTGTCATCGAGGCTATCTAGACTTCCTACCAACAGATACCAGTCCAAACTCTTCAATGCATCAAAAGCAACCCCGAAGATGAATAATCTTCATCTCTGTGAGCCCATCCCAACCAGCACACACAGGATGTACGAGTCCCTCAGCCCCTATGTCTCCGACCGAACCCCTACCCTGGTCTCAAGCCGCATTTGGCCCCGTATAATAGTCCGCGGACACCAGGACGTCCTTATATGTGGCGCCAATAACGAGGATACGTCGTTCGATAGGCAACGGACAACCGCGAAAATGATTGATAGTGAGACTCTGGAGATATGCTGCTTTCCTGGGAAGGATCATGTACACCATTATGCGCTTCTGATAGCATACCATCTTGCCCTTAACGATATACAACAATCCTCTGTGATCGAATGCAATTTACCTACCAAAGTTGATACCATGGGTGTAATCGAGCAGTCGAATCTTCGATCAATGGGAAAGGTTGATACGGTTGTGCTGGGGTGTGTTGAAGACCTGGTGGTGCCTACAGATGAACAAGATCAATGGGAAACAGGGACCAGCACTGCCAATCGACTCTTTGCCTGGAAGTTGTTTCGTCGGAGAGAAGGAGGGGTTGTGTCATTCCTTACATGTCTGTTTCGCCCTTGGGGTGATATCTTGGACACTGTGGTTCGTGCTCTACGACACCTGAACGATGTTTCCTGTGTTCTCTACACAGGCAAGGCCGGTTCTCTACGACCAGATGATATTCCAAATGACATGTTAGTGACGGGTGATATCAGCTATGTGGCTGGAAAGCGAGTAACCTGGGATAATGTCCTCGAACCTGCGATATCAGCAGCCAGAACTTCGAAGGTATGTCGTGGGATAAATGTGACGGTTATGAGTCCCCTGGTAGAGACTGACGCCTGGCTCAATGAGTGGAATGGGAGAGCGGATTGGGTTGACTGTGAGGTTGGACACGCTGCGGAGGCTTGTCATGTAAGTCAAATGAGATTCGGCTACTTGAATCTGATCTCAGATAATGTGGCATGATATTATCCCCAAAATCTTGCAACAGAACATCAGCCTGCTGAAAGGCTAGCCCGGAGGAAGGCGTTTGGCCAGATGCGGGAGATCCTAAGGTTGTATCTGAATCTGGTTGATCTGGGACTAGGTCCTGGATGAGGTTGACATGTATGTACTCGAGGCATTCACATTCATGCATCTTTCATTGTTGATTGATGGAGAACAGAGTTAATGTAGTCCTAAATACGTAACTTTAACATTGATAAATCCATCTAATGACAATAAGAGCTACTTCCATGAGCATGCCTTGTAATTAAATCCCAAGTAAGATATCGATGTGTTAATCACCAAATTTACGCCTTGACAATTCATCAGAAAGAAATGCGTTGTCCTGGTGACCTGATCTTTGTAGGAGTCCTACATGCAAAATACAGGAATTCTACGAGATATACACATATTCACTAATCCACAGACGACATTTTATACAAGCCATAATGCACCATGTCATCACAATATCAGATCAATCGAAGCGATTCTATCATCCGTAGGAAGATTCCGATATGTTGACAATGGGCAGAGGCAGTGCAAGGCTCAACTGCCTGGTTGACTGGCATTCACCAGTCTACAGGGCACCTCAAGAGGAGTTCTCCTTCACAAATCACTCGGGCTCACGACCATCCATTGCATAAATAAGTAGCCAACGCCCTTAGCGGCCCAACTCCTCTATTGATCTTGATATCCACAAACCTGCATTATCTCTCCAGACACCCTTCAAAACACTACTACAACTTGACACGCTACTCAAAATACCAGAACCATGTGGTCCAAGGACGAGTTTACAGATCCTCCCACGAAGAAAACCCTAGACAATGGTCTGATTGTCTCCACTGGATATGACAAAGATGATGGCTATGATTTCTTCCAGGCGATCGTGATGGATCACAAGGGACGCAAGATCGAAAGCTTTCACGGACATGATTATAATGTCGTTTATGAGGATTTGGTGGCTTACCTGGAAAACTATAAACGTGAGTTTCCATGACCTTTGATATATATACCATGTCGGAATCTAACAGGAAATAGCACCATCGAGTCGGAACTTTTTGGGGAAATTCTTCTGAATATGGGAACGTATCTGCGCATGGGGGTTCCTGGTAGTCGGGGGCAGGTTGGCAAGATGGAATCTCGGGTCGTCTGTGGTTGCTGAATCGTTGCTTTGAATCTTTGATGGGGTTTCTCATCATCTAATGATCTCGGGTTATTTACTGCAAATGAATGAAAATTACATACGCACTCAATCCGTACTATGATAGTGTTTTGTCCTGTATAGCTAGGATCATGTAGCTTCATCTCTTCATCCTTTCTCTGTTGATTCAGGTGTAGACTGGCTAAGTGAAAAAATAGTATAATTCAACTGGTAGATATACAAGAGAAAACCCAAATACCCAAATACCCAAAAGCCAAAAGCGCAACCCGCTAAGAGTAGCTGTAGAATATAAACAGAATAGCTTCATTTTCCCCCTATTTATCCCCCCAAGCCCCACACCACCGAACCGCCCAATAATTAATCCTAAAATTCACCCCATGTCCCCCATGGTACATCAACAGAAACGCATTCAAATCTTCCTCGGTGTCCTCCACCGAGTTCCCATCGATCCTCTGAATCAACTGTCGTCTGTGATTCCGGACCCTGGCTGTGTATCGCTCGCGGCCGTTGGGATGATGTCTATAGAACCGGATATTTAGATGGTGGGTTTGCACTTGGCGGAGGGCTTCGTCGCTGAGGTGGTATTCGACGTTTTCCCAGTCTTCTTTGGTGGAGGAGTGGGAGGGGGGGCTGGGATGGCGGAACATGGTACTGGGTGGGTGGGTGAGAATCTATGTGATGGGTGAGTTTGAGGTGGGGGTGGGTGTGGGGGTGCAGTATCCTGCTTGGAGTGGGGGAGGTTATTTATGGGTTGTGTTCTGGGGATAGATCGGTGCATTGCGTATGGGTTCGGGGTTTGTCTATGGAGATTCTGGGTAGATTGGTGTGATGGGTTGGTGTTGGTTGAAGGGGTTAGATAGGTATCTGTAATAAGGGTGGAATTTGTCTTGGGATGGAGTGGATTTGATGAAGGTATAGTTTGGTTGGAGTATATTTGTTGGAAAGTTAAGGGTTGGCTTCATGTGGATAATGAATGTTTCATTATTGGTATGGGTGTTTGCCTTGTATTCCAGCAGTACATACTCCTGGCAGAGTGAGAAGAAGAGATCCCCTTGGGAAGGCACAGCCTGGCTCAGCGAGTGGCGTGGTGAGGCATCAGTATATATTTGGTTATATGGGCCATGGGATAGGAAATCACCTAAATCGTCTCTTAAAGTTTTCATTGTTGTAGAAGCCTTGTTGTATCTTCCTCTGTTCATCCGGCATCCTCCAACACAGCCACCCTGGACTCGACCACATATACGAGATCAGATTCCAGAGAAAGGTAGTGAGACCGGCAATAATAATACTCGCTTCCATATTAATGATGATTGCTCGCAGGAAATAAAAGAGAACCCTACAAAACCATTCATAGGGATCAAGCGACAAAAGGAACCCGTAACTACAAGGCATTCTCCATGATGTCTCAAAGAAGCGAACACCTCTCTTTATCAAACCAATACAGCTTCTTTCAATCGCAAGAATTACTTTTGAAATAAATATCGGAGTCTCTAGTCAATCATGGTATCTCATTCAGAGTCACTCACTGTTACTAATATCTACAATCTCATTTCCCTACCAAAGGTACTCACCTCCTACCACTCACTGCTATCTACAACATAACCATACATCCGTAACCCAGAGCTTCCTAAACCCAAATGTCCTGCCCCAGTTGTCCCAACCTGATCACCGAATTTCGACCCCAATATACCCTGTCCTGTGAAGCGCAGATCAAAGTCGAACAACATAATCTATCGATCAGATTTTATGGCAGAGAATGGAACTCTCGGTGTGTTGGAATCGTCACTAAAGACGATGATAGTGAAGCCTTTTCCGACTGTGGGGATAATTTCCAGGTACTCATGGAAAAGCTGGACAAGCGGTTGAGTAGATATACGGGCAAGAGATAACCAACCCCCTGATATAACAAGCACGATGGGCTAACTGAAAATATGGACAGTCAACGCGTTTATGGGAAGCTGTCGGTGCTGGATAAATGAGAAAGTAAGTATCTGTCACCATGGGTGAGGAGGACAGATGTTGTTTCTGATTCGGATTCTTTTTCGGGTTGTGGTTTGTTAGTCTTGGGAGTATGGGAGTGGTAGCCTGTTATGGGGTTTGGTTGTTAGAAATGCCTGAGGTTATATATATACCATTGAGACCCTACATTTGTAGAGTGTGACTTTAATTAGAATAAGAACTAGTTGCTTAAATCCTCCAGTTTATAAGTATGCAACCCTACAAATATTTATGCACACATCTTAGTCACCCATCCATCCACCTCAACACGTAGTTAACATGCACAACACAAATACAAGCACAACGCGCTGACTAACCCCTACACAAAATTATGCCCCTCTAGCACCACCACCCCACCGTCCCAGGGCGGCCTCAAAGCTCAAAGCCGCATCTCCATCTCCATCTCCATCCCCAACCAACAACAACAAGGTAAATCCCAAACCACCCACCACCCACCACTCCACTCATTCCCCCTCCCCTTCACACCACAATCCCAATCCCAACGCCCCCAATCCACTAATCCAAACCAACCTAGAACCCCCCCAAAAACCAAAATGCCACCCCCGAATACCCCCGCATCCGACCCCCCTCCGGGCTCAGGTACGTTAAACCCCCAGCCAGCCCTGATCCCCGACATTATACACCCCTCTTATTCAAAACACCCAACTAACCTCACCCACCCAGTAAACATCAACTCGCTCTCCGTGCCGCAACTCCGCGCCCTGCAAACCCGTCTTTCGTCCGAACTCGAACACCTGACGACCTCCCACGCCAAACTGCGCGCCGCGCAGCTCAAATTCAAAGATTGCGTGCGGTCCATCAATGAGGGTGTGATTGGGTCCGCTAAGAAGGGCACAGATGGGAAAGAGGATATTCTGGTTCCGTTAACGAGCTCCCTGTATGTTCGGGGAAAGTTGGCGGATCGGGAGAAGGTGCTTGTTGATGTGGGAACGGGGTTCTATGTTGAGAAGGTGAGGATTGTTCTGCTCTTTGATATTGTGGGCTGTGGATGAGGGAAGGGATGGATGGATGGATGGATGGATGGATGGATGGATGAATGAATGCTAATGGGGGATTTTGACGACGAGCAGACTGCGCCCAAGGCTATCGAGTTCTACGAGGATAAGGTGAAGAGTCTGGAGACCAATCTCACCGAGTTGGAGAAGATCGTACAGACCAAGAGTGGCCAGCAGAGGCTCTTTGAAGATGGTATGTACTTGGAATGATTTTGCTTGCTATTCGATTCTGCGGTCACTAACTATCACTAGCTCTAAGACAGAAATTGCTGGCGGAAGGCGCCGCGTCTTCTGCTACGGCTTCCGCGGGTGCTGGTTGAGCGGTTTCGAGACGCATACTGGGAGATCGCGTGGTTGTATGCAATGGAAGCATAGTCGAATTGAGATACGACGGGAAGCTGTTGCATACCCATTGTGAAGAAACATTGGAACCGACTTGTCTAATCTAGGGCTAGCCGCAGGTCGCAAGGACAGGCCCGATCAAAGCACGCCCAGGTTTCATTCTAGAAATCTACTCTGCATCTGGCGCTTTCAGATACACATGAACTTGCCTGGACAGTGTGGAAACGGTAATTAAGCTGGCAATTTGCGGCAATCTGAAACTGAAAAAAAAAGACTACAAAGAAAAAGAACCCCGTAGACTTCGGGCGTTGCTTAGAACAGAGTCCCAAGGTCTGCGTTGAGCAGCCCGCCGAGATCGGTTGTGCCGATCACCGGCGACGATTCGCTCGATGAGCCCTGGCCGGTCGTCGGCTTCTTGCCTCCAGACACCCGGCCAGGGCCCATCAGCTCCGCAACTTGCTTCACCTTGCGGACAAGCCCCCAGAACCCTTTGCACTTCTCTCCGCCACCCGCCGGTCTCCCGGATGGGAAGAATGTGTTCGTTTTTGGGTGATACTTCACCGTCTGCCCAATGGGCAGGTTGGCGTGCTCACCCAAAAGGTTATCCCAACGAGGGTCGAACAACGATGCTCCCCAAGATGTATTAGGAACCGGAGCAAATGGGCCCATGTAGGTTGAAAGCACGCCCGGGGCTGCCGGCAAGTTGGCGCGGCAGTATTCATCGTAGCGAGCAATCTCCAGGATACAATTTGTACCTTTGAGCTGATAGCGAATGGCGGTTTTCTCGATGAATCGGGCCACTGGCGCGGAGGCAGAAAATAATACCTTCCTCTCCGGTGTGGCCGAAATATCGTCCATGTTAGCCGTTCGTTGGAACTTGATGGTATGGGAAAAGTCCCTCAAGGCAGCATCAATGGAGGAAGCTTCGTAGAACTCGAGGGACTTTAGCTCGAGCTGCCAGTCAGACCTATCCAAGTTGGTCAGAGACATACAGTAGTACGTGGCTGAGAGCAGACTTACCTTTCGAAGTCAATAACACCTATCTGCAGCGGTGGACGCTTGTCGCTGGATTGGCCTCCTTGACGGGCCTTGAGCCATCGTCGTTGTGTGATTTCGTAGTCAGTCGCGCCAGCACTTCTAGTAAACTCTGCCTCCAGTCGAAGCATAGAATTATTGATGCCCATGAACTCGAAGTTCACCGAAAATGCAGGCTCAGGGGACTCCAGCGACATAGATGGGTTATTGTACGGCTGAAGGAGTGTGATGGCCTTATAACATCTCGCAAGGAGCTCGTCCTTATGAATCTTTAGACTGTAGGTTTGATAGAACATTAGCAAAATTGCCACAAGGAAAACGAGATGAACTTACCCTGGCACCAGGCGCCCCTTTGTCTGCTCATGCAATAGCATCTCTCGAAACTCCTCGAAGCCATAGGCCCGTTTATCGTCTGCTGGAACGCGGTACTCATCAAGCACGAACGAACCGAGATTGACGCGCATACGCAGATGGCCACGTATGGCGACCACGCTCTTAAGACATCTCTCAACCGCGCTCAGGATTCGGGCATCATTCTTCGACTCAATCAAATTCGCGAGATTGTGCCACTTCTCCGCCTCGGATCCAATGAGTGAAGTTCCACAAAGCAGCGCCTTCGCGAAGAGTGTATCTTTCTTGACGACGATCTTACTCTTCATAGCAGTCGGCGGCTCGACAATGTAGAGCTTCGCTTTCACATTAGAGTTTGCAACAACCTCGGTCCACTTCGTTCTAAGACAACGGACGATCTGTTTCATGGTCTCCAGATCATGCCCTAAAGCACAAATGTGATCTGGCAGATCCTTGGGAACGAACACATAGCAGTTGAACTTGGCTCGTATGTAGTCAAGGGCCTCGAGTTCCGGACCAAGAGAATCATTGATCGAAGGACCATCTTTGGGCCACAGGAAGAGCATCTATCGATAAAACCCTGTTAGAAATTCTCATAAGATGTGAAAGGGCAAGCATTGTGTTGTTACTCACCTGCTCCGGGAATACTGAGAAGGAATCGGGTGCCTTTCGTAATGCCTGACAGACGGCATCGTGTCTTTCCATGAGCTCAATCCCTACCTCCTTATTGACCATATGTGCCCTGATCTTGCTCCACTCCAGCTTCTTCTTGTGATAGTAATTGCATTTTGTAATTATGCTTTGAATGATGTCCTTTGCTGCCAAAACCTGTGACGACTCGCCCCATAGGTGGATGACCTATCCCAATTAGTACGACCTTTAGTATGGAATAGAGAGCTTACACTATCGGTGTACAAAGGCGGCTTGATGAAAGCCCCAGTTCGCCGGCAGATCTCTTTGAAGACTTCGTGGCGGCCTTGTAGCGCCGGAGGTTTTCTGATAGAATCGGTAGACCTTGCCACGCCGAAAAACCTGTTGTAGCGTTAGTGTATTGTCCGATTATTAGCGGTTGGGATCATGCATACTCATTCTTGAACGTTCCAAAAGGCGCGGGTAGCTTGATAAGATCTGCGTCGTTTCAGACCGTGAGCCTTGGAAAAGAGGCGTGTGTTTTGATCTTACCTGTAGGTTCAAATCCACCTCTCCATTTGGACTTGGAAGGGGAGTCCTTGAAAAGGTTCGGCTGGGGAGAGGCTGTGTGCGAGTAACCGATTTTACCACGGAAGCTCCCGCGTGCTCTTAGCAGCCTTGTTGTGCCCCTAAAGCGACCTGGGGTGCTGGGGCTGGTTCCTCTAGTCGCTGGGGCAGTAGGGATTGGTTGTCTCAAAGGCTGGTTCTGGGAAAGATGCTTGGGAGCCGACTCATGGTTTTGAGAAGCTCCGGTCTCAAACTTTCCTCGGGGGGATGTCGAACCACGTTTTCCATATCCGGGTAGCTTCCATTCTAGAAAACCCCAGGAGTTAGCTATTTAACTGGAACACACCTTGATACGTAGACGAATGTGCTGAAGAAGGAGACTTACCTTGAGCTCCAGAGGACTCAAAGCTATCAGATGTCAGTGGCATGTATCAACGGGGGCTTGCAGACCTACTCCATCCGCCTGTTTGTGACCATCATGATCACAGTCTGATGATGATAAACCAGTTCTCTGGAATAAATTGATTGGAAGGGGTTCGTCAAAGGACGAGGACTGATGATTAAATGAGAGCAAGATGAGAAAGGAGTCAGATGAGAAAGGAGTCAGATGAGAAAGAAGTTAGAGGAGAAAGAAGTTAGAGGAGAAATGAGTCAGATGAGAAAGAAGTCAGATGAGAAAGAAGTCAGAGGACAAAAAAGTCAGAGAAGAAGGAAGCTAGGATGAAAAGAAAAGAAGAGGGCAGGGATGGGGTCTGGGGTAAATAAATGAGGGGAAGGTTCAAAGGTGAAGAGTGTTGGACTGCGGCCATTGCCTAAGAAACTACCAACTTCACTGACCACTGACCAGGTGAAAACCACCCAGCAATCGGTTTGTTCCTATTGAATACCAGTTTGCATCTGAGTTAATCACCATCCGTGTCAGCGGTTAATGCCAGTATCTGCCCACATAAATGCATTCACAGCTGGGACCTGTCAAATAGGAGCAGAGTACTTGAGGAGATAGAGGTAATTAACTCTCTGTTTTTATTCAAAAAACCCGGGTGCAGTAGTCTACCAGTGAACGACATGAGGGATTACCGGTGTATTCTGTATCAGTCAGTGAACAACATGGGTGGACAGGTACCAGAGTCTTTTAGAATATTGATAAGACGCCATAGCTCCGGCTTCTAGCAGTGAATGGACAACAATTCTACAATCAAAGGTGAACCCGAGCTACATGAATTTGGAGCCAGTGACTGCGTGACAGCAAAGGGGGCATGACTTTTGGCAGGTTTCACCACGAAACCTAATCCGTTGGTCAGTTGGGGGGTGGTAAAGTCTGTATAGTCCGTCATATAGTACCTTACGGAGTAGCACCACCGAAAGGTCCCCGTTTGCCATACGGCAGCTACTGGACCAGGTCCGCTGTGATTGGCCAAGGGGGCACCCGGTTACCCAAAGCGGACAACGCGCGAGCGGGCGCGCCTTTCCCTCTTTCGTCTTTTCCGTCGCCGGTCCAACAACTATTATTGATGTTCCCATAATCAAGCAAGCAAGCACTGCCGTCGCTGCCAACTTTCACTCTTAGTCATTGGGCTCTGCAGGACAATGGCTTCGGACTCTGCCGACGAGACAGACAGATCGCGATCCCGCAAGTCAAGTGTCCGCAAGCGTGCTCAGCTATGGATGACCAAGGGCGGGCTTGTTCGTGACGACTCCGACGACGAACTCGGCGAGGAAGATCATCCGTGGGAATGGATCTATGACCTAGACGATGAGAATGAAGAGCAGGCGACTGCCGATGGCCTTGAAGACACCCCGAAATCGAGCCGGAGACGCTCTTCCCGCCCCAATACCAAACGCCGCCGGACGATCATCGGAGCTCGCATGGGCTCGTTCGAATGCGCCTTGGGCCAGGTTGTACTTCTGAAATCCCCAGAGTCTGGGAAGGACTGGATTGGGATCATCACGGAATTCGTCGAAGAGGAGGATGAGGATGCTGAAGGCGAAGTTCTCAAGTTGGCAAACATCATGTGGTTTGCTTCTCCGGATGAGTTTATGTCGACAAGGAACAAAAGACGAGCTGACGCCTTGCCCAACGAGCAATACCTGACGGCAGATTTCAACGTCAATCCCCTTACGTCGATCAATGGCAAAGCTACGGTAATGTCCAAGGACGCATTCTACGCCAAGTATCCCGGCGGTAATCCTCCGAAGGGAAAGGACGCTCTAGCCGAATTCAACAAGTGTATTGTTTGTCGAAGAGGTGTGAACCAGGTGCAGGGCCGATACACAGACGAGTTTGTCTGGGAGGATGTATATCATGAAGATAGGATATTTGAACTTATCACTATGATCAAGGAGGGCTTGAAAGTAGCCAAGAAGCGCAAGCAAGTCGACAACGACGTGCGTCACGTTCTCGGCCATTTTGGGACTCACAATGCTGACATATAATCTAGTATGTTGACACGAAGGAGGAAGATGACTTTGTCCCCACCACTCCTAGAAAGAGGCAAAAAGTGGCTACAAATGCCACTCCTCAATCTCGGCGTCAAAAGAGCTTTACCACCCCAGCTCATAAGAGGTAGGCAAAACAAACCTGGCTAACGACGAATGGACTAACATATCCCAACAGAATTGTTGTCAAGAAGCCACTCGAATTTACCCCCCTTGGCACTCGTGTTCTTTCACCATCGCATTTCGCCTCTCCATATCGTCAGGCGCGCACCCTTCTGCACGTTTCCACCGTGCCTACATCGCTTCCATGCCGGAAGACAGAGTTCGAGACGGTCTACAGCCACCTCAGCGCCGCTATCATGGAAGGAACGGGGGCCTGTATCTATATATCAGGAACGCCGGGCACGGGAAAGACGGCCACGGTCCGCGAGGTCGTCGCACAGTTGAACTCGGCTGTGCTGGCGGAGGAGATGGATGACTTCATATTCGTCGAGATCAACGGCATGAAGGTCACTGATCCCCACCAATCTTACTCATTGCTTTGGGAAGCACTCAAGGGAGACCGGGTATCGCCCTCGCATGCTCTAGACCTCCTTGAACGGGAGTTCTCACATCCGTCCCCACGACGAGTGTCCTGTGTTGTCCTGATGGACGAGCTCGATCAGCTAGTCACGAAGAACCAGTCGGTGATGTACAACTTCTTCAACTGGCCTGCCCTCCGTCACTCGCGTCTTATCGTCTTGGCTGTCGCAAACACCATGGATCTCCCAGAACGTACGCTCAGCAACAAAATCTCCAGTCGTCTGGGTCTCACCCGTATCACCTTCCCCGGATACAAACACACCGATTTGATGGAAATCATCAGCACTCGCTTAGCGAATGTACCGGGGAACATCGTTGACGCGGACGCCATTCAATTCGCCAGTCGTAAGGTAGCTGCCGTGAGTGGTGACGCCCGACGTGCCTTGGACATCTGCCGGCGTGCCGTCGAAATTGCCGAACAAGACAGCGAGGCAGCAGTCAAGGACCTGGATGCCGATAGAATTGATGCAGATGACACCGAATCCCTACCTCCCACCCCGAGTAAAACGCCTGCCCGCAGGGAACGGGCCCTCAAGCAATCATCCCAACTATCTCCTCAAAAGAAACCGCCCACGAAACCGCATAGCGTTGGCCGAGTTACCATCGCTACCATCAAGCAGGCCATTCACGAAGCAACATCTACTCCGCTACAACAATCTCTCCGTTGCCTACCCCTTGCGGCCAAGCTCTTCCTCGCCGCCATGCTAGCCCGCGTTCGACGCACCGGTATATCCGAATCGACATTCGGCGACGTCATCGACGAAGCCAAGCGAATTGCAGACGCCGCCGTAGCCGTCGCCGGAGCAGCAGGAGCTGGCATTAGAGAGTTCCTGCTAGGCGGAGGCAACAGTGCTCGCGTGCGAGCCCTAGGATACGCTGCCATGGAACTGACGAGCTCGGGCGTCCTCGCCCTAGAATACGGAGCCGGCGCCAAGGGCCCGCTCGGGAGCGCCGCGATTCCGCACCGAGGCGAGCGCAGCGGTAAAGTGCGACTGCGCATCGCAGCAGAAGACGTCAAGATCGCCTTCCGCGAAGACGAGGAAGCAAAGGGTCTAGGACTGGGCATGGACCAATGATCTAAACTGACCGCCACTTATACCCAACTAAATAGAATCTGTACAACAACAATAATGATACCCAAGGGAATGTATTGAAGCCACAATCCCACACCAACCGATCGTCACACCTACAAGCAACTAACCAAGTGCCATGAGAACAGACACAAGTCTAAGCCCTAGCAAGAATTATGATACATTGATTCCTTTTATGAGCCCAAACAACCCCCCAATAACTAAACTAAACTAGTATACCATGATAATTCACTAACGCTGAACTCCAATGTGCATTGCATAGCATAAAAGAAAATAAAAGTCGGGGTATTTCAAAGTTACTTAAGAAGTATGATGGATAGACAACAGTAGCAGTAGCAGTGGTAAAACAAAACTACCTAATACCTCTGTCTCCCCAAGGTCGGGGCCCAAGTAACAGGGTGGGATTCCTCCGTTGCTTCGTCATCCGGTTTCCAGATCTTGATGGTCTTGTCTGCTTCACCGGTGATGAGACGTAGGCCGGTCCGATCGAATGTCGATGCCATGATACCTGCTTCGGCTTCCAGGGAGCCGGGCTGAGCGGTGGATTCGATGCTTTGGAATTGGTAGCCCGTTTTCCAGTCCCAGAAGCACATAGAGCCGTTGTCGCCGCCGGAGAAGAGGACGTTGTCTTCGTTGGCGGACAGGGTGTTGATGATGGCGTTTTGGCCATCGAAGTTCTGCATAAAGTCGCCCTCGGGGCATTTCCATTGCTTGATTGACCCTGTGCTGGCGGATGCAAAGGTGAATTCGCGCGGGTGGGTGGCGAGGGCCCGCACGCCCTTCTTGTGGTGGGTGAGCACGCCCATGGATTTTCCTGCAGCCAGATCCCATAGTCGGACAGTGGCGTCGAGGGATCCGGTAATGATCTGGGGGTCGGCTTCCTGGCATTTCACGTCGGCTACGGTGCCCTTGTGGCCGCTGAGAACGTGGACGTTGCTGCGGGTCCGCATGTCCCAGACGCGGGCTACTCCGTCGCGACCGCCGGTGACAAGAAGGTCGAGACGGGGGTGCAGATCGAGAGTGTACACGCCGCTGAGGTGGCCGTGGTAGTGACGGATGACCTTGTTGGTTTCCAGATCCCAGCACTTGACCATTTTGTCCTCGCCGCAGGAGAAGAGGTAGGGATGTCGGGGAGATACGGCCAGGCCGCGGACGGTCGAAATGTGACCCGTAAGAGTGAGACGAAGGGCACCCGTGGCGAGATTCCAGATCTTGATGGTTCGATCGCCCGCACCACTGGCAAACCACTCGTTGTTCGGCTCGACGGCCAAACTGCGCACCCAACCCAGGTGGCCGGAGATGACCCGCATGAGCTTCCATGGTGGGTGCCAGTCGGGTCTCTGCTGTTTTGTCGCCGAGGGACGTTGGATCAGACTCTTCGGCGCATTCTCACCGCCGACACCGCCGGCTGCCAGGCCGGGGGCTTTCTTGACCAGGGCCATAGACGCGCCGCTGCTGTCCGCGGCGGCGGTTTGGGGCTGCGGTTGGATCTTCGGGCGTTTGGCGCGTCCAGCGGCCACTGCTTTGGCTTGCTTTTCGGCGAGCGCTGGGGGGAGTTCCTTCACGTCGGCGTATTCTGCTTTGCGCCGGTAGGAGAGGCCGATGGAGCCATTGCCGGCAGAGGGGGTGACCATCAGGTAGTCGGGGCCAAAGATTTCGGTCGTCCGCTTTGCGGACAGGCGCACCGCTTCATCTGGGGTTGTAGAGGGGATGTCGTCCATGGTGGTGGGCGGGGGGGTTATTCCGACACTCGGTAGGTAGGTTGAGGTGCTTGGTGCGGAGACGTGTCGATGGCGCGTCCTGAGCCCCAGGCGCAGGGTGCAATGGTTCTTTAGTCGAGAATGGAGGTGCGACTCATGCGGGTTAATTAATGCACCAGAATGACGCGGAATGGGCGTCGTGGGTGTGGAATTGGAGATAATTGGAAGTGAGGGCGAAGATGGATGCAGCGCAAGGAAGCTCGACTTGATTTTCGGCGGGCGGCGAGCTCGCTGCTGCCTGAGGCTACAGGGCCGCAATCAGGTGTCGAGGCCAGGTCTCGACCCCTCCGCCAATCAACCCCGATTAGATGCGCAGTCGATAACAGGCAATTCTTCCACAGTCACCATGGATCCCACACACGAAGCCAAATTTCCTCTTCATGAGGCTGCCCGGGAAGGCAAAAGTGCGTATGCTCTTTCTAATACTTCTCGACTTTCTCTGACAGAAGGTATACAGCTCAAATCGCCGAATCTCTCCTCAGCGTGCGTGCTCCCGAGCTGCCCCGCATCATCATCAGAGCTCTATACAACCTCACTAGTAGCTCGATCTAGCTTGCTGATGAGACCTAGGCAAACCCCAAGCTCGCAAACATCAAGGATGATGATGAGCGTCTCCCCATTCATTGGGCGGTAGCATACAACCGCCTCCCGATCGTGGAGCTGCTGATATCCAACAAGTACTTTGATCCCGATGTCGAGGTTCGTCATTAGCATCAAACACCTTAACCTCCATGACCATCTCTGATTCCTCGTCAACCCTGTATAGGACGGCTCCGGCTGGACCCCACTTATGATCGCAGCCAGTTTGAAGAATGCCGAGGGTGATCCCATCATCGATCTACTTCTCAAGAAAGGCGCAGACGTAGGCACGAAGAGTGTCTCCGGTCAGGTATATAAACCCCTCCCAACCCTCGCCCTATTATCTAATCCATGTATGGCAGAATGCCCTCCACTTTGCAACCTCCAAAGCCAACCTCTCCACCGTCCGCACCCTCATCGCCAACAAGTGCAGCGCCAGAGTGAAGGATAAGCGCGGGCAGCTGCCTCTGCACCGGGCGGCGGCGATTGGATCTACGCCCATCATCAAAATCCTTCTGGAGGATGGGAAAAGCCCGGTGAATGCGACGGACATGGACGGGTTGACGGCTTTACATCATGCGGTGTCAGAGGGCCACGGTGATGCGGCGATTACATTGCTCAAGGCTGGTGCGGAGGCGGATAAGCGGGACTCGAATGGTGCCCTGGCTATTGATATGGCGCCGGATAATAAGGTCAGTCTTTATTGTCTTCAGTTGGGGTGCACGTGCTGACTGTGGTAGGTGCGGAGCTATATTCTGCAAACGGCCGAGAGGGAGGGAATTGAACTATAGAACTCTACGGCAGACGCAGTGGGGTTGGGGTTAAACAGCAAGGAATGGAGAATGTACAGGATACCCGGAGTCACCCAGGCTCGATGAATGACTGTTTCAATATCTGTTCTAGTAATTAACGGATTCATGACATCACTCTTGAAAGGCATGTCTCACATCACATCGTCTAAATCGGAGTCTAGCCCGATCAAATCTATTTACAAGCAATAACAAGTCTACCGTGCATAGGCAACTCATTTCATGGTGCTATCAACCAATTCCCGATAGATCTTCTTGAGGTCGGCAATATCCGCCTGAAGCTCTTCCACCTGTTCGCTCTTCTCGCCGAGCATTTCAAGCGTCGTTTGATACCTCTGGTCGAGCTCCTCGAGCCGCTTTTCAAGGCCCTGGACACGAGCATCAGAGGACCGCTTCTCTTCCGTCTCCCGCATCAAATCGACGACTTGCTGGCGAGCTTCATCGCGTTGCGTGGTGATCCTTGCGAGCTCGTCCTTCGAGGCTGCACGTTCGCTCTCGAGGCGGCGGACCGTAGCGCTCATGCGCTCAACCAGCTGCACGGACGGTCCCGCACCGACAGTCGACTCGGAGATGATGTCGTTAATGCCGCGAGAATGCTGCGTCGGCGCTCCGCCATAAGCAGAGGGGGTGCCTGAGCGGCTGAAGTACTCGTCCGGCTCAAAGGTGATCGACGGAGTTTCCGGGACCGTTGGATGGGGGAAACCATTGGTTGGCGGTGGCGAGAGCATCGAATGCGTTGAAATAGGGAATGAGTTCTGGCGAGGGGGAGTGCCAATGTCTGGCGAAGTTGGTAACGTCGAGGGACGACGGCTTGCGGGCCGGTAGTCGGATAAAGACACTGGCTCCAAAGCACTCGGTCTCCGGCTGTATGCAACGGGCGACTGAGTACGAGGCTGCTGGAGGAAGGCCGCTGGAGAGATAACCTGCTCGCGCCATTTCGTTCGCTCGTCTTCGAGTTTCTGTGACCAGGTCGTATCGAGCACTTTCTTCTGTTCGACGAGATCCTTCTGGGCCAGGACCAGGTCATCCGCCGCTTTCTTGAGCTTCTGCTCTGTCTTCTGCAACTCCTGCATGCGTTCTTCGAGTTTGTCTTCGAGGTCATGCTCGGCTTCCTTGGCACTCTCCAGCTCTTCTTCCAGTTTTTTCGCTTTGAGGTTCTGTGAAGTAGTCAGCCCACCGGGTCCCAATTCATTAGAGAATGAGCATGTCTTACCACTTCACGAATCTTCCGGCGCATCTCGCCTTCTCGTCGTGCGACCTCATCCCGCTCCTTCTCAACGTTCGCCAACCGTGCAAGCAGTGAGCCCTCCAAGGTTTGCCAATTCTCGCTGGCGACAGCATACTGTGTCTGAAGTGTCTCGATCTGGCGTAGGAGTTTCGCCTGCGCATCGCCCGTAACCCCGGAAGACGCCTCTTCTGCCCTGGACCGCAGAGATTCCATCTTGCTTTCCAGCGCCGATTGCTCCCCCTTCAGCTCGACCTCCAGCATGCGTGCCCTCTCCTTCTCTTGCTCGACCGCCCCCGTCAGATCACTGATCTCTCGCCTCAGCTTCTCTTCACTAATTTCACGCTCGATCTTGGCGCTAGTAAGATCTTCCTCCAACTGGGTGGCGCGGCGCTTCTCCTGCTCTAATGCCTCAGACTGAGCCTTAGCCTCCGCAGCTTCGGCTCTCGAGACAGCTCTAGCGAGTTGTCCTTTCACTTCTTCAACGGTCTGGCTAAGGGCGTTGCGCTCCGCCGAGACAGCTTCCAGGTCCCGGGACACTTTCGTCTGGGCAGACAACGATTCATTCGCTCTCTTCTCAGCCGTCTCTGCTCGTTTGGCTCGGACTTCCGCGTTGGCCAGATCCCGTTCCAGTTTATCAGTCTTCTTCTTTGTGTCTGTCTGGATCTTTGAATTCTCCATCAACTGCTGCCTGAGCTTCTTGATCGCTGTTCTGTGGTCCATTTCAGACTTGGACAGCTTCTGTCCTTCCTCGAGCAACAGGGCGATCTTCTCGTCCTTTTCTCGGAGTTGCTTCTCGGTACTCCCTGGGTCGGCTGTGGTTGCAGCCTTTTTAGCAGACTCCGCAGCTTCCTTGGCTAAGTATTTCAATTTAGATTGCAGAGCATCGATCCGTTCGATATATCCGTACATTTCCTCTTGCCATTGCGACTCCGCAGCTCTGTGCTCTGCCTGCAGCTGCGCAATTGTATTTTCTTGATCGCTGGAAGTTCTCGGTGTGTCCGTAGGGGTATCCGTAGCCGGTAGGGAATTTGTCGGCGCAGACGGTTGCTCCGGTTCGGTGGTTGTTGGCTCAATATCTAGTGTAGTATCCTGGGGGGCATCGGAGGTGTCTGTAGAAGCGGTCTCCTGCACAGTAGCATCTTCGGTCTGTGATACAACGCCGTCCTTGGAATTTCGCGATGAGACGCCCGAGTCATGGCTCATCCGGGGGGCTGCAGTAGCTGAGACTCCCTCGATTTGGCTAGAGTTCCGAGAATGCCTCCCTGTATTCCCATTATGAGAATCAAGACTAGCGTCGATATCCATACTCGAACGTCCGCCAATGCTGGGCACCGGACTGCTGACGGGGGAGGCATGGCTGGGAGGTTGGGAGCCATTTCCGGCGGTGTTTGACTTGACCATGGCACGAGCCAGGCGTTCCTGGAGGCGATCATTCTTCCGCGCATTCGACGAGCTGCGTGATATATCTGGTATGTATTAGCGATGTGACACGGTACAAGTGCCCGAATTGATCAAGATTCTCCTCACTGCCTGTTTGTTCGGTTTGCCTAGGCTTAGTAGCCACACTCTTTGCTTGCTGCTGTTTCTGGCCCTCCTCTTCCGCCAATATCAAGTCGAGTTTGGACTCGACGCCGGCGACAGCCTGCTGCAAGAAAGAGCCCACTTTCCATTTGGACTTGGAGCCTTGGGGGTTCTGCGACATGATGGTGGCTGAAAGTCTCGTCTCTCCTGCCAACTAGTCCGCCTAGCAGCACGAATGCGCCAAGTCAGTCATGGAAAGCGAGGAGTTGTGAGGATGATGAGATCTGGTGCTTGCTCGTCGTCACTAGGAGGGAGACGAGACCGAAGTAGACGAGCGCGGGGGGAGGGCTGAAACGAAGAACAAATTAATTCAGAGGAATCAGAATTCCGTGAGACCCAAAGGGAGAGCTGTCCGACCGTGGACGGGGCCGTCAGTCACCACGTTGCAGCTTGCGTGGACAGAGAGAAAGCGATGAAGCGCAACCGGCTTGGCGGCCGGGGAGTAACTACTAGTCGTAGATACAGTAGTGATGTGACGGGGAACGTGATTCGTATCATCATCGGCTCCGACCTGGCCTTCCCCAACCTCCTCCTCCTCCCTCACCACCTCCCCACCCTCCCGTTCCCCCTCTCCCCTCAATTCCCCTGCTCTTTGTTCCGGTTGGCTCCTGGTCTTCCCCCTCACCGGAGTCACAATGTCGTCGTTACCCCTGGAGCCACCCACCTACCTCAGTTCGCTACAGAACAACATCCGAGCCCGCCCCATCCCGTGGGAGGGAGCCGTCCGCGCTGGGAACATCACCGATGACCACCTGAAGAAGATCAAGGCGGTCGACAAGGTTCGCAAGGAGCAACGGCGCCAGACCGTCGAGGGGGATCTGGCCGGTTATGTCAGTCTGCTCGCGGGCGGCGCTGAAGGCAAGAGCGTGCTGGACTCCGCCTCCAGGAGAACTGATATTGTGCAATACATCCTTGTGCTGGCTGCGGATTTGATCAACGGTATGGACATCTTCTTTCCGGTCGGGCTACCCGAGTGAAATGGTATGCTGATCAGTATTACACTGCAGATGTCCCCTCCCTCTCGACCGCCCTGGTCGCGCATCCCGATCCCTACAAGCCATTCCTCCCCCTCTTGCGTCACTCCACCAATGCCGAAGACCCGATCCCTCTGCTCACCTCCACCTTCCTGACCAACCTTGTCTCCGTCAGCCTGAGCTCGTCGTCCAAGCCAGCTGCGCGGGATGATGAAGCGCTTCCACAGCTGTACACCTATCTCTCTACCCTGACCCAGAACCAAGACAGCGGGCTGCAGGATATCGGGGTCCAGGAGTTGTCGGCATTGCTACGAACCTCGAGATCCAGGGAGATCTTCTGGAAGCAGAAGAAAGAAACTGTCGACCCCCTCATCGAGATCCTGCGTGCGGCCGCGGGCGCCAAAGATAGCAGCTCCAGCACCCTGGCTGGTAGTTCGCGCGCGATCGAGCCTGGTCTTGCCGGTGGAGTCGGACTCCAGCTTTTGTACCGGGTTCTGCTTATTCTCTGGCAGCTCAGTTTCGAGGGCCGTTTGATTGGTGATGATCTGCAAGCGTATGTGACGTGATGTTGGAGTGCGTAATGGAGCGAAACTGACAATGGTGAATGTAGGGACCATGAGTTTATCCAGCTGTACACACACCTCCTCCGCCTTTCGCCGAAGGAGAAGACGACGCGACTCCTTCTTGCTACGCTCAACAACCTCCTGTCCACCAACCGCACCAGCCTGCTCCCGGTCGCCGTCTTTGTCCGCCTCCCTGCCCTTCTCACGAACCTCTCCGGTCGCCACCTGACCGATCCTGACCTCCTGGAGGACCTCAAATCCCTGTCAGACATGCTCGACGAGTACACCAAGACGCAAACGACGTTCGATCAGTATGCGGCTGAGTTGCAGTCAGGCCACCTTCGGTGGTCTCCGCCCCACCGCAACCCTACTTTCTGGAAGGACAATGCTCGGCGGATCCTCGACGAGAACAACGGCGCGCTGCCGAAGAAACTCGCCGAGATCATCTCCAAGAGCTGGGACAACGACAAGCAGGTGCTGGCAATTGCCTGTAACGATGTGGGCCACCTGGTGAAGGAGCTGCCGGAACGGCGGGGACAGTTGGAAAAGCTGGGTCTGAAGACCCGTGTCATGGAACTGATGGCAGACAAGGATGAGTCGGTGCGGTGGGAGAGCTTGCGGGCCGTTGGCGAGTGGCTGCGCTATACGTTCGACGACTAGTAATCTGCGGAGGGGTGTGATTTGTTTGATCTGCGTCTTTCTAGCCGAGCAGAAACACCCTTGGCTGTATTGTATGGATTCTCAGCGTAAATCAGTTGAATGTCATTGTCCTGTGCACATAGCAAACAATCGGGCCCGATAAGGTTTCGGTTCGGAAACACCACCATCACCAAAAGCCAAACCCCTCGTGGCGACCATGAGTCCACACGGATAGGTTTGGGGACGATGGCAGGCATGTTCGGGGCGCATTGGAAGCAATGCACGATTTGATCTGAGACATCAGACCCCGATCTACAGGACCCCCAACGGCGCTTCTGGTCGCGACGATTGGTAGAGCCGGTGGATCGATGATCGGCCGCTATCCTGAACGCCGCGGGTCCGGCCGGATTCGCCTTATCTCTCGGATTCCCTCTTGGTTTCGCACTGACCGTTAGGCTTCAACGGTTTGTGGCGCACCTGCGACACAACTGCTCTTCTCTGCCCCGGACGTTGCAGCTTCCATCGACCCGAGGGCTCCTACTATACCTCCCGTACTCCTCTTCTCGGCCGCGGAGAGACGACCGGACGAACGCCCCTGAACCGGGGAGCGAAAAACCGCGGAGAAAAAGAAAAAGAACCGAAACGAAAAAGCAACCACCGCAATCCCCTCGATTCCTCGTCACCACCAACCCCATGTCTCGATCCTTTACCGGGTGCAAGCGATGTAAAGCCCGGCGGCAGAAATGCGACGAGCAGCGCCCTAGTTGTGGCCGATGCATGACGGCGGGCACGCAATGTCGATATGCCATGCAGCTACAGTGGGGAGGCCGGGCCTTTTCGCGCTCGAGATTCGGGGCCTGCGTGGGAACTGGAGGCATGCAAAAACTGGGTCGGTATTCCTCCATCGTGTATGCCGGTTACCGGTGTACATTTTTGTCTGACTCTACTCTCGTCCAGAATACTCCCCCGGCGAATTCATCTACACCACCAAATCTTCTGCCGCTCTTCCCCCAGGCACAGAGACGCCTACCCAGTCCACCACCACCTTAGTCCGCCATATTGACCCCTTTGCCTCCCTGACCACCGACCAAAAGACCCTCCTCCACCATTTCCTCAACGATGCCTCTCAGATCACAGCTTGCCATTCGGGTATGCAGCGCGATATCTGCAGGATGCTCGTGCCCATGGCCCTCCAGACCCCGTCCCTTCTTTACGCAACCATGGCCCTCTCCGCAGTCCACCTACAAGCTCTGCACAACCAGTCCGAGAACGTCAAGTCCGCACCTGAAATCGCACGTTTCATGGCCCTCAGCTTAGAACATTTCAGGAAGGAACTACAGAATCCCGCGAGCAAGTGCTCTGATGCGCTGCTCGCGACCGCGCGAACCCTCTGTCTAGCAGAGATACATTCTGGCGCTATTCACCCCAATTCCTGGCGCGCTCACATTGAGGGAGCCAGAGCCCTCATGGAGGCCTCGGATCAGAGCGGGGCACTGTCGCCTAAGTCACCTGAAGGGTTCCGAAGATACCTTGATCGGTGGTATCGGTCAATTGTGTCGCTTACAGCATTGACGGGGAACGGGCCGCCCATTGGTGAACCACCAGATCAATTGTGCGCGATTGGGTCAAGCCAGTCGGCGTCACCGGACTATTTGGATGATTACTGGGGTTTCACAGTCAACCTGGCGACGATTTTTCGGAGGATCGGGGCTGTCGCGTGGCGAGAGCATCAGAGTCAGAGCCAGAACCAGGAGGGGGGTGAGAGTCCCGTCCAGGGAAACACGCTCAGCATGCACAATGAAGCTGCGGCGTTGGAGTCCTCCCTTCGCCATCTCATGGAGCAAGAGGTGGCTTCGCACCCCGCATTCTACCCGGGTGTCGTGGAGGGACTCTCCGCGGAGTGTATACGACAATTGATGCTATGTAACGAGGCATTCCAGCTCAGTGCATTGATCCAGATTCATCGTCGCCTGCGAAAGACGCCCGTATCCGCACCGGTGGTTCAGGACTCCGTCAAGCGAATCCTCGAATGCACAGCCCAGATCGGGCCATCGCCAGGACTAAGTCCGTGGGTAATGCTCACAACACCATTATTCATTGCCGGATGTGAGGCGCGGGGCGAGGACCGCGAACATGTGCGACAATTACTATCGTCACTACACGACACGATTCGGGTGCCCAATGTATTGCAGTCGTTGAAATTCCTAGAGCAGTATTGGGGGAATCAGCTGGATGAAAACGAGGGATGGAGTCAATATCTCGGTATGTATGCCAACATTTTTTTGAACCTGGTTGTAAGCTGACAACATGTCTAGATCGGATGCGGTTTGATTTCATCCCGTATTAGGAGTATATTCTGGACGAGGATATGTTTTATGTGCGTTATGAAGCAGAGCGTTGGCTGTTATTCATTCTATCTTTCTCTTTTTTTTGGTTACGACGGCAGCAGAGTAGGCGTTAAGAACCCTTCACGGAGCAATAAGCGTCTATATACACACGGCGTTGGATGTTGAAGTTTGTTCAAGTTTAGCGATGAGTTGATCCTATCTAAATCCTACAGCAGTTACACTATATTCTCAATTAGTACATCGCCATAAAAAGTCAACCTAGGACCATACAAACCCTTTCTAGAGAGTCCTAGTAATCAACCCGAGCCCACCAACCAGACCCGGAAACGAAGATGAAACCCAACCGACAGAATCCAGCACTTATATCTATATAAAGCACACCCCAATCCTGCCACTTTAACTAGCTACTCACCTAGGTGCATTTGACACACACACTAACAAACCTACCAATGCATCAACCCTCAAAGGCCTTTGATTATTTAGAAAGGAAAAAAAGGGTCCGGTTGTGTCAGCAAGGGGCCAGGGGGAGGAGGGGCCAAAACCACACCACACCATATCCCTGCAACCCTGTTTTTCATCTAAGACATACGTTATGTATTCTCCCAGTGTACAAAATTAGCAGCGTTTGGGATTCTTTGATAATTGATTATTGTAGATAGGGGATAATTTTGATACGTGCTGAGAAGCGTGGGGTGGGAATTCATGTGAAAGAAAGATAGATAAGAGATGAAAGAAAGAAAGAAAGATGAGGGAAGTCAAAAGTTGTCAATGAAGGTTAGGTTTTGGTGGAGAGTGTGGTTGTTGCCCCTTGCTCTAAACTCGGTTCTCATTGGAGTTAGATGGTTATACTTTCTCATTCTTGGGGGATGGAACCGGATTTACTTCTCAAAGAAAGGGAAAGGCAAAAGGAAAAGGAAAAGGAAGGGGGATTATATTTGAGAGAAGAAGAAATGGGATTTTGTTTTCATAGGAATATATATATATATATTTAAGAAAAAAAGAAGAGGAGGAGGAAAGGGAGTGTGTGAAAATAATTAATCAATAATTCTGGAGGAATATAGATTGAATGTCTTGCTACGTAGATGAGGTCTCGGATGAAAGTACCTAGGAGAGATGGGATAGACGATGGATGCGGAGGACGTAGAGACCTACGTGTGTGTGTGTGTATGCCATATGGGCCTAGTGGTCTGTTCATTATTTATTGTTTCTATCTATTCATATGTCTTTCATGGAGCACTAAGTATGTACTAAGCTTAGTATTAATTAATGTGGACGGTCTATGTACCGCACTCACTACCCGACCGAGTTAGGGTGATAATCATCCAGATAGACACATAGTAACCGTGGTCAGACCATAGTCATATTATTAGTAGTCCACAATAGAAGAATGCCACTATTGCAGCCAACCGTCGATGATCGAGGTCTAGAATAAGCATCTGTCGGCTGCCGTTTCATGTCGAGATATATTTAGCATCGCGTGCGTGGTTGCTTTTTTGATGTGTCAGTCTCTAACTCGATACTAGCGACCTGATGCAGTAGTAGGGAGCAGGAATGTTGGTTCGGGACGGAGAACCGCAGGAGGAGGAGGCAGGAGACGGGCGCTTAGCTAGTCTTGCAGTTGCAGGCGGGAGTCTCAGTCCCTACCACGGTTCCGCCAGTCATCACAGGCTGTGATCCGCAAGTGGAGTTGAGCACTATAGTAAGGTAAGGTAGATGTCGGTCTGCAATCTACACTAAATCCTGAATGCAGTTGCAAAAGTTGGGTCATAACTGCTCGGATGCATGCGCACCGGCCACTAGCCTGGCGTCGGCATCGGCTTCGCGCTGGAGGGAATCATTATTTGGGGGAGAGGTTGGGGGCCATGATGGTGCTGACTCGGCACTAGTATTCTATTTTCAGGCGATAGCCTTGTGGATGAGACAGCGTTGGTATTGGGGGTTGGTTCTGGATCCTGCAGGGCAACACTGGGCTGGGTTCTTTGTCCGTCTGGATTGTGGTTGTGGTGGTGGTGTGCATCAATGGGTGGACTATGGAAGTCAGTATCATCGGGCTGGGTTGTACCGACGGTTCTACCCCTGACTACTGCGACTACCGCCGATGTCGAGTGGGGCTGTCTCCGATCGGCCAGCCGGCCTGGACGCGAGCTCGACTCGGGACGGCGGATACGATGGATTGAGGCCGTTGAAGGTGCGGATGGGGGTGGGATGGAGGTGAGATGGCGAGGCAGATAGTAGGTAGAAGAAGAGGAAAGGCTGAGATCAGCTGGCAGTCTGACAGAGAGCGAATTGGCCCTCTGGGGAGAATAGCAGAGACAGGACGAGGTCGATGCTGGCGAGAGATCCCCACCAATCCGGGAATTAGTTTTGTCGGGGCCAATCAGGCTGGGGGAATCTCCGTCTCCTCCGCCGCCGCCCCTTTCACCAAGCCTTGTTACTGCTACGGTTGGCACGGCGGCTGCTGCTACTGCTGCTCCTTTTCTCGCCCTCGCCCGATTTTTCCTACTAACCAACTGTTGACTGCTTCCGGACCGGGTCTGTCGCTCATTGATTGATTGATTGATTGCTTGATTGACTGATCCATCTTGATTGGGATTGTCTGAAAGCCAACCCAAGAAAATTACAACCCCCCCCCTCTTCCCTCCCTCGCTCAATCACTCAATGGGTCTCCGTCCCCTGAGTTTGCAGCGGCGCGTGTCATCCTCCCTCACCTCAGAGCCCCGTGCCACTGCTGCTCTTGTCGCCATGAGGGTGCGTCGATCCTGAGCCCAATGACCAACGATTGTTTCTGATCTTCCCTCTGCCCCCTTCCCGTCTTTGCCTGTTCTTGTCATCTATCCCGAGTTGGCGTTCACCTTGCCAATTAGAGTGCCGCCTCCCTCATGGCCCCCGGCTGGACTTCTCCGCCTGCGTCGGGCGCTTTATCGTCAAGCCCAAACCATAATCACACCCAGTCCCAAACTTATCATTCTACATTTCCAGGGACTGATGACCCCGGCGCTTGGCCAAGTCCTCCTCCTCTTCCTCCTTCGTCCGCCGCCTCTCCTTCTTCCCCTCGGCCGCTCTCTGCCGATATCTCCTCCCCTCCTCCCTCTGCTTCCCTCGTGCGCAGGAAACCACTGCCCCAGGATGCTGTGATCCAGTCGCGCCATTCCAGGCCTCCCTCCTCGCCCCTGCTATCCCCCCGGGGCGACTCATCTGCAGATCCGCCGTTACTCCCTGTCTCTCCCCCTCCGGTTGTCCATAACTTGGCCTTCTCCCCTGCTTCGACCTTGTCATTCCCCGGCTCCGTGTATGAGGTTGACGACGAGGACGAGGACTCTTTCCACTCTGATCCAGGGGACTTGGATAGGTATGACAGCCGTCAACCCTGCTCGTGCCCTTCCCCCCACATCCCCTGCTTCTCCCCTCGCTTGGCTGCAGTCCCTTAGGCTCATGCATGCTACTTCTGCAGCCTTGGGGAGGGCGTTTCATGTCCACTTTCCTTTTCAGACGTGGCAAAACTAATACCGGCCTCTTTCTTCTCTTCTCCAGATCTCCCCGTGGTGGTCCGTCCGCGTCCCATCTACGTATAGATACCTCCGCAGCCTTCGCCGACGAGGACGACGACGAAAACAATAAACGCCACAGCCCTCTTGCCTACTCCGCCCAGTTCTCGAATGGGACTCCCGTGCACAGTCGTCTTGTCAGCGAGCCGTTCGTTCCCATCCTCAGATCACCTGCTTTCATCCCGAAGCGGGCCACAACCATGGCCTTGCATTTGCCCTCCAACCGCCCTCCGCCGCTACATATAGATTCCCCAAGCCGGTCATCGTCCGGAGACTCCAAGCAGCCCAAAACTCCCGCAAACAAAATCAGCTCCTTTTTCGGCTGGCGCGCTACAACTTCATCTCCTGGCGCAGAATCCTCCAGCACCGAGATCTCCGAGACCGGTCGTTCTCCGGTTCCGTCCCCGATGCCTCCTTCTCTACACAGTGCTCACTTCTCCATCACCCCGTCTACTACTGTGCCATTCGATCCCACCAGGCCTCAGGTGCCTCTTCCACAACGGAACCCATCTCTGAGCAGTGGGAGTATCCTGGACTCGAAGTCAACGGCTTTGGTGACAGAGCTCGAGAATGAGTTGCGGGAGATCAGCTCAGAGCTGGCGGGGTCCATCCGGCGGGAGATGGAGTTGGAGGATCTGGTGGAAAGGCTGCAGTCGGATGTTCCCTTAGATACGCCCAACCGCCGTACCAGCGATTACTTTTCCGACTCGGGCTCCAGCTCCATCCGCTATGCATATGAGTCGGGCGGTCGAGTCGAAGACATTGAAAAATATAAACGCACAGCCGAGCAGGAAAGGGCCCAGATCAAGGTCGACTTGTCTCAGAAGCTGCAAGAAGAGCGAAGCCGTCGAGCAGCGTCTGAGGCACACGTCCAGATCTTAGAATCGCAGGTCCACCAGGTATGACTCCATCTGAGCCAACGGAATACCTCCAGACTAACATGTACTAGTTGCGACGCGAGAGAGTAGATCTCTCAGACTTGTCCTCTAGGACGAAAGAGCTCGAAGCAACGCTGGATAGTACCCGTAGAAAGCTGGCCGAAGAGCGGCAGATCAAAGACAATTTTGAAGACCTGTTGACAGCAATGAGAGTAGAACTCGAGCAGCTGCGAAACGAACGGGACCATCTTCGTGACGCCGTCATCCCCCAATTACAACAAGGTAACCAACCGACTGTCCCTCCGTCCGATCCCTCGGAAGTCGAGCGGCTGCTGGAAGAAATTGAGGCGTTGAAAATCGAAAATGCCTCACTTGCCCAGTTGCAAGGTAGCCGGTTCGCATCGATTGCCGAAGAGGATGGCATGCCGACTTCGAGAAACGTCGGGTTGGGACTGTCGCGATCGAACTCGCTGGCTCGCGTGCGTACCAAGCCTGGTACGCCTGGTCTGTCCCGATCCAGCTCCTTGTCCCGGTCTAATTCGGTATCTGCCAAGGAGCGCAATGAGTCCCCTAGGGAAAATCTGGCGGACCGCGTCGAGGATGTGGAAGCGCAGCGCGATGCTCTTCATCAGTCTCTTCGGCGCCTGCTCGATCGTCAGGCCCACGATGCCCGGGAGTACGAGAAGCGGCTTCAGCTCATGGAGCTGGAGATCGTTCGCGCACAGCAAATGGCTTCCCCGCGCAAGGTGGGCTATGAACGCGAAGTCCGCAATTTGCGCGAAGAGGTGAATGATCTTCGTCAGCGTGCCGAGGACGCCTTGGAGCAAAAGTGGCAGTGCGAAAAAGGGTTGGCAGGTCTAAAGATGGACCTGGACCGGGCCGAACAGGAGACCACTTCCCTGCGTGTCCTGCTGCAAGAGCATGACATCACTGTCCCAGAAGACCTCGAATGCGACCGGGACGGATTTGCAGAGGTTCTCGCAACATCCTCATCCCTGGAGTCGGCTTACAGACAACTCCAGGCGGACCGGGAGATCGCCGAAGCCAGCGCGGCTCAGTCGCCCATCGCAGAACAAGGCTCGCTCGCTGAGTCAGTCAGCCGGACGGACATGCTTGCACAGCATGTGCAACGGCAATTGGCGAGCAACCACGCTCTACGAAGCCGTCTGGCCGAGGCCATTGGCAAGGGTGAGAAGGAACAGCAGCTGTCGGCTGCTCGCATCAACGAAATGCAAGCTCGGCTCAAGGAGATGGAGGACATTCTGGTGATGGCACAGCAATACTCCGAGGATGAAATGGCCCGTCACGAAGAGGAAGTGCGCGCTCTCGAGGAGAGCCACAACGCGCAGTTGAAGCGCATGAAGAACGGTGCCCGCAGCCCCGCAGCCTTGTCGCCCATGCCTCCGACTACGCCCTTTGGCGCGCGGTCACCCCGGCTCGAGATCACCACGAGCGGCAAGGGCATGGCTCTGGATGAGGCCGTCCAATCGGAAACGTTAGAACGGCGCGTGAAGGAGTTGGAGAAGCTCCTTCGCGACGCAGATTCGGAGATGGAGGAAGTTGTGAGCCGGATGAACCGGGCACAAATTGAAGTTGGCGATCTTCAGTCTGATCGGTAAGTAGTCACTGTTCTTGTGAACAATCTGGCCATGGTCATTGCTAACATACCATGAACAGGGACGAGGCACTCCGCCTGACTCGCAAGCTCCAGGCCGAAATCATGGCCGAACGCGAGACGTTCAAAACCCTGATGGGTTGAATGTCGACTTGTGATAACTCCTTGCTTTTGAGCTGTATAAAATAATCTCATGGGGCGGTGTTTGGGCGTCGACTAGCGTGAGGAATGTTTTAGATGCGCATGTTTGTTTTGGACGAGGTGCTGCGCATACTCCGATGCTTGTATATGGTGGCTTGGGTCCATGGCAAGATGGACTTGTATATATCTCACGATCACGATGTGATCATGCGTTTTCCGCTTTAGATGTACAGTTGTATACTACCACACCGATTGACACGCGAACGAGAATGACGAGGTCGAGCCCCTTCCCAGTCTAGTAGTCATCACGAGATCCACACGCGGCCGCCGCTGTTTGTCTGGTTTGGCGCTGCGCTCGGCCGCTAATTGGCCCGCGCATCGCCGCATTGTCCCTCAGCATCTCGCCGTGGAAAGTCCCGAGGAAGGTCCCGACTCCTTCATCGTCATCTCTGTCCTTTGTTTGGCTCCATACAATCATGGAATACCCCGTTCTATAGGGCCTATATAGCATTAGAACCCTCGCTTTTTGCCTTATCTATCTCAGCTGTATCCTGGAGATCTTTCCCACTTACCCACCATTCAAACTCAACGGTAGTATAAAAAAACTACGACCTACCTACCTACCTACCTCCTCCCTATCGGTCTCCACCATGGATTTCCTGCCGGGTAAGAATACCTTCCACCCTCGCCCTCACCTGTTTCAGTACTAACAATCACTTTCTTCCCATAGAGTCTCTTCTCTCCCTCGTTCAACAACATCCAACGCTCCAAACCCTGACCTCCACCCCCATCACCTCCCACCTCGCCACCCTCCACTCTACCTATTTCACCCCCTACATCTCCAACCTGCGCACCACGTACCTGGACCCCTACCTCATTCACCCGCTCGCCACGCTCCTCACCTCCTCCATGCCCGACCTCGTCTCCGTCATCATCCTCGCTCTCGTCCTCCTCATCTCCCTCAAGATCCTCGATTATGCTCGCCGTCTCGTCATGTTTTGGGTGAATCTGGCCATGCGCTTGCTTTGGTGGGCGCTTGTGCTGGCTGTCATGTGGTACGTCTATTCCGTTGGGATTGAGAAAACGGGTCGTGATGTAGGTTGGTTTGTTGGGGTTGCTGGGGGTTTCGTTGATGGGTTCAGGGATGGGGTTGAGGGGGGACGCGCGGTGACCGGCACAGCCATGGCGGGGGGGTATGTTACAGGTTTGGGGGGGCAGAGGTAGGTAGGTTGATAGGCATTATATTGGGTTGCGTTGGAGGGTGTTGGGGAAAGGGATGGGTTGGAATGGGGGGCTCATGATAATGACTGCATGGATAAATGGTTGATTTGGGCGGTGTGTTATGTACACTGCAAGGATTTGGGACATGATAAGAGAATAGCTCATTTCTATGGTTGGGAGGCTCGTTGCTACACAGTCCTATCTATGTAGGAGAGAAAAGTGCATGATTGGTTGTTTTGCATTGCTATTGGGTTGTCTTAGGTATGGTGTAGGTGTCATGCTTGGCAATTACATGATCTTCGGCTCACATTCCTGTTTGTTGGAATGGTTGATCGCTCGATTCCTTCGGTGTCATTGTTCGTATATGATACGAATATCTGCCCTCTTTTTGGCCCCAACGCAGGGTGGGATGCTTATGGCAGACTGTGACGGCAGTTCGACAGTGTGGAGTTGCTGTTACTCAGCAGCGGGTTCATCCCGCTGCAACTTAATATACCTCGACGGAGTATGCGCTAGCCAGGCCCGGATCCTGACGTGATGGCGTAATCGCCGCGGCGCTCAGCCCCTGCTGCTTACAGCTCAATCCTCGTAATCCACCTCTTGGGCGTCCGACGGCTCGCGTGGTTCCTGCGCTTCATGGTACTGGATCGCATCATCGATGTGACTCAAAACAGCTGCGACACTGTCCTCATCCTGCACATCCAGCTTAAGGAAGGAAACCATGCTGAAGTCATCAATGAGCTGGCCGACCGCGCGATTCAACTGCTGGAACGAGCCTCCACTCAACATCGTATCTTTCGACGATGGATCGCCCCCAACGGTCTCATCCTCCGCAGTACTGCCCAGCAGATTGTTGATATCCACATTGGTGAACTGCTTGAGCTCCTTGCGCGAGATCATATCCCGCACCTGGTCCATCTTACTCAGAATGTTAACGTGGGGCATCTCCAGCATCAGCATGGCGGACATGGCACTCAACGTGCCGGCAAAGAACTTGGCCTTGTCCACGACGAACGTGCTCTCGAGCAGATACGCCGCACAGAGACTGATATTCAATGGACCCTGGCGCGACAGAAACTGCACCAGCGACGGCAACAGTGGAATGTGCGTGTACAGCTCGATCTGACCGGGCATGTCGAAGATAATCAGGTACTCTTCGCTGAGCGGATCGAGCGCCTCCGATAGGAATTCCAGATTTTGCAGCAGGAACTCAAAGCAGTAGATGAGACCGCCATTGGGACCCAGTCCCAGCTCTTCCATGACATCCTCCAGGGTGATGAGTTCGCGGATGTCCAGATCGGGCTCATAGTTGAAGGTCTCGGCTGCGGGGTCAAGGTTCACGTAGAAGCAGCTGCGCCGGGTGTTCTGGAGGTGCTGGATGATGGAGCTGCAAAATGTGGTTTTGCCCGCGCCCGCGGGGCCCATCACTAGGACGCCGTACTTGGACATGCTGACGGAGGAGGAGGTGGAGGTGGTGGAGGAGGTGGTGGTAGTAGTGGTAAAGGCGCGGGGTCGATGGCTGCTGACAAGGAGGGGGAAAGTGAAGCTAGTCGGATCCGCCTCGAGTTCGGAGTTTCAAGCTCCAGAAAAAAAGACTGAAGCTAGAGAAAATACAGTGTAATCACGTCGTAAGCGACCCGTAATATGCAGGACTGGAGGCAGGCTGAAAGAGAGAAGTTGAGGTTGAGAAAGCCCGGGGACCGTCCAGCATCGCCGATTGGATCAGCCGCGCATTCGAGGGGTTCCGGTTGGCAAATAGAAACGCGCCGCCGGTGCATGAACCGCTTCGTGCCCTTCTTTTCCTTGCCTTTTTATTCTTTGGCCCTTACTTTTTTTTTTCTGCCTCCGCCGACCGCCGGAAGGGATGGCGCCATCGGAGACACATTAATACGGCCCCCTCTCCTCCCTCCTTCTTTTCTCTTCTTCCCCTCCTCCCTTTTTCCGTCCTCGTTTTCTACTCTTTATTTCTCCCCGTTTTTCTTCTCCCTATTTTCTACTTCTCCCCGTCATCCTCTCCTCCCCCCTCACTTCTTTTTTCCCATCTACATCCCCCCCTCCACTCTTCACAATGGGCAGCGTTTCCAACGGATCGACTTTCCTCTTCACCTCCGAGTCTGTCGGAGAGGGTCACCCCGATAAGATCGCGTATGTACCCCTCGGTCAATTCTACTCGACCTGGTGGATCTGTGCCTAACTAACCCTGCCTTTACAGTGACCAGGTCTCCGATGCCGTTCTCGATGCCTGCCTTGCTGAGGACCCTCTCTCTAAGGTACGGGCCCCTCGTCGGATTTTATCGGATTTTTGCGCGTCCCGCTCCTTGATTGGTCGGCGCTTTTCCGATATCGCTTGTCCCTCGTGCATGTGAATGTCTGATTAACATAATGTCCCTAGGTCGCCTGTGAGACCGCCACCAAGACCGGTATGCATTTCCCCACCCTCATCTAATCTTATCTAGAACTATGCACTGACCAACCTGCAGGTATGGTGATGGTCTTCGGTGAGATCACTACCAACGCCAAGCTGGACTACCAGAAGGTCATCCGTGGTGCCATCAAGGACATCGGCTATGACGCCTCCGAGAAGGGCTTCGACTACAAGACCTGCAACGTCTTGGTCGCCATTGAGCAGCAGTCCCCCGATATCGCCCAGGGTCTGCACTACGAGGAGGCCCTCGAGAAGCTCGGTGCTGGTGACCAGGGTATCATGTTTGGCTATGCCACCGATGAGACCCCTGAGCTCCTCCCCCTCACCGTCGTCTTCTCCCACAAGCTCAACAAGGCCATGACTGATGCCCGCAAGAGCGGTGCCATCCCTTGGCTCCGTCCCGACACCAAGACCCAGGTCACCATTGAGTACGCCCACGACAACGGTGCCGTCAAGCCCCTCCGTGTCGACACCATTGTCATCTCCGCCCAGCACAGCGACGAGGTCTCCACTGAGGAGCTCCGCACTGTCCTGAAGGAGAAGATCATCAAGTCGGTAATCCCTGCTGAGCTCTTGGACGACCGCACCGTCTACCACCTCCAGCCCTCCGGCCGCTTCGTCATCGGTGGTCCCCAGGGTGACGCCGGTCTCACCGGCCGTAAGATCATCGTCGACACCTACGGTGGTTGGGGTGCTCACGGTGGTGGTGCCTTCTCCGGTAAGGACTACTCCAAGGTCGACCGCTCGGCTGCCTACGTTGGCCGTTGGATCGCCAAGTCCCTCATTGCTGCTGGCCTTGCCCGCCGTGCCCTGGTCCAGCTCTCCTACGCCATTGGTGTTGCTGAGCCCCTGTCCATCTTCGTCGAGACCTACGGCACCTCCTCCAAGACCTCCGATGAGCTCGTCGAGATCATCCGCAACAACTTCGACCTCCGTCCCGGTGTCATTGTTAAGGAGCTGGATCTGGCCAAGCCCATCTACTTCCAGACCGCCAAGAACGGTCACTTCACCAACCAGAGCTTCTCCTGGGAGAAGCCTAAGGCCCTTAAGTTCTAAGCGCGTCGCTGTCTGTGACCGTGGACCTGCTTCTCTTCTGAGTCAGTTTACGTTACGAATGTGATGATTTTGCTTTGTTTTCAACAACTCAAAGCACGAGCATAGACATGTCAAAAAAGCACCTTTGATGTTTGGATGTTTGTTCAACTTTTTGCATGGTCTCTCTGCAAGAGACGGGTTCGGCGAGGATAAATTCAACATGATACCACTTTTCATATACCTTGGGAGGGTTGTTTCGGCGTTTTCGGGAGCGAAAGTCTTCAACACTGTCTCCAGGCTTGGGACCGATAGGAACTGAGAGTACTATCTGCGAGGGATGTGGCCACCCGGCGTGGTGGTCGGTCCCTACGCACTGGGGTTCGGACGTGGCTCCGACAGGAGTGACATAGATGGTCGAGGTTATACCTCACCATTGCGCTAATCTAAACATTAGCACATAGATTAATGAATGCATAATGCATAACATGAGTCCATAGTAGATGAACTGTAGATTGTACTCCTAGGCTCTACTAGTTCCAACCTTTGCAGACTACTTGGTCCGTGGCCCACTTAGGGTTAAGCCGATGAGTCGCAAATTGAACAGTTATTGAAGATGGTGAGATTGAGAACACTACACCTTAGATAGAAATCATCATCAAATTGACATATCATTGCGACACGTTCATTCTCTGCACTTAATAATTTCCGGGTAATTTTCCCATGTTCATTACTCCGTATAAAGGCGGTTGCAAATCGCAATTTGCTCTACTCCACCCCTCCGCCGCGACGCGTGACCCTCAGCTCCGCGGACGCGTCGACCGCCCGAAGAGAGGGGGTCTCGACTTTCATCCACCACCAACTTATCTCCAAGACCCATTGCCCATCTAAGACTAGATCAGATCGTCTCCTCTTTTTTCCATCTTCCTTGGAAACCCAATAATGAACGCATAATCACCAACCTACACACCTATACACACATACATACACCCATGGCCACCCGCGGATCACTCACAACAGCAACAGCCCTCACCCCCATTCCTCTCAACCTCGTCCCAAACCACTTATCGTCGACTCCTCATTCACACAAGAAGCGCAAGACCTCGCATTCAGATAATGATGTTTTCTCAATCTCTACTTCAACTGCCCCGTCTAAGTCTTCGCCCGCGATAGCCGTGTCGTCTCCGCAGACGATAAGTGTACGCGTATGTATACCCATTGCCACTTACTATTCGAATCGTATATATGGAGGGCAGGTATAGAACTAATACTGGATGGAATGTTAGGCCCATTCCGCAACATTATCAGATAAGCCTTTTCTTCTCTCCCCGATAACCGTCCTCTCGCGCGACAATATCCCGTTTGCTTGGATCGATTATCAGGATCATCATAGCCAGCAACAGCAACTGCTCCCAGGGTGGTTGTTCGAAGGTGATATACCGGTTCTGGAGAATGGGGTGGATGTTGTTCTCGCTGTGCGGGTTGTTGGGGAGACGGGCGTGTGGGTGGTTGAGCGTGTTAAGAGAGGGGTTTATGCCTTGTTGAAGTTGAGGGGGGTTGGGGAGGGGGACGTCGTTGTTGCGGCTAAGGGTGGTGGTTGTGTTTTGGCTGAAAGGCCGAGGGAGAAACGTGCTGGGGAGTGGTGGGAGGTGGCGCGGATTGAGGATCCGGGGGATGGGAGGGTTGCGTTGGGGAAGAGGGGACGGGGGATGGATGTGGAGGTTGTGTTTGGGGGGCTTGTTGAGGACAGGGTTCAGGAGGTGCAGGAGATGGCGCGCAGTTCGAGTTCGGAGAGTCCGGTTTTGCTGGGCGTTGGTGAGCAAAGTGCTGCTGATGCTGCTGGGTTGGATGATACCAGGGTGGATGGGCTGCAGTCGCCGCAGGAGCTGCTGGATGGTCTAAGAGAGCAGTATTTGCAGGCTTTGTATGTTTCGAAGGTGAGTTTGCTTCATTGTGGGATTTGGGATGTGAGGGTTGGGATGCTGATGGTGGTAGACTTCCGTGGCGTATTTCGCCAAAGGTCCTCTTGCGCGATGTCGTGCAGCGTTCCAGTCGGGGAATGAGTCGGCGAAACCGGTGCAGCTCGTCGAATTCTACAGGGAGGCTGTTCTCACGGCAAAGAGGATGGATCACAAGTATCGCGAAACTCTGCCATCTACGATTCAGGATATCCTGCTCAGCGTGTCGGATGACGAGGCTGCGCAACCAAAGCGCAAGCGCAAGGACTCTAAGAAGAAACTCGGCAAGAACGGCCTGTATCCAGAGGAAGGCGACTTGATTCGCAAGTGGTGGCGGGATCGTGCGCTCAATGATCAGGGTCTTCCGTCGGAGATGTCTAGGGAGGCAGAGTCTAAGAAGCATGTTGCAGATCTGCGATTACGCGAAACGCAGCTCCAGATTCTCTTGATTCTGGAGACCATGGCTCTGGAAGTCATTGTTGCCGACGAGGAGAAGAAACATGAGGGCAAGGGAGAAGGCACGGAAAAGCCTACGAAGAGTGCCAAAGGCAAGAAACCGCAAGACCTGAATGTCATGCTTGAGCTTAACCTCGACCGACTGTGCATCTGGCATGCTGTCAGCTTCGAGGAGACGGTTGTGTCCGACTCGGCCAAGGCATACGGTAGCAACCATCTATCGGGGAAGAAGGTCGAGAGCGATGCCGTCCGTGATTTCTGTACCGAGGTCATCGTTCCGTTCTACGCATCTCGTCTGCCGGACAAGTGCAAGCTGATTACCCGGAAGCTGGGCGTCTCGACTGCGATATCGCCCTTCACGAAGCAGCCTCAGGCGAAGAAGGCTCCACAAGAACCGGGGACCCCTGTTGAGCGACAACACGCTCAGAAGCAGTCTCGTCGTCGTGCGTTCCAGCGCGTGTTGACGGACCAAGCGTCGTCCCAAACACGCCATCCCCCTTCCCTCAGTCGCTCCAACACTACGCCAGCAGCGACAGACGCGAAACGTGACTCTCTGGATCCTCTGCTCCCTACAGTCAGCGCCAATGTGCGCGGCGGTATACAGAAAGCCAAACGGGTTGAGAATCGCGAGGTGGATCTCAATGCCGTTGCGCGCCAGCACGAGTCCAAGCTGATGAAGATGCAGATGCTGGTGGAGCAGAAGAAAGAGCTCGACGCCGCCATTCACGCACTTCGGAAACCGAACCGCGAGCTCGTGGCCAAGGACATTGCCGAAGATGCAACCAAGCGACAGACCACCAGCGGCAGCTCTAGAAAGCCAAAGAACCCCGTCCGAAACCCTCTGGGTCAAGGCGTGCAGGTCGCAGCCACGCCCAAAGGAAGTCGCAAGAAAGAGACCATTGCCATGCCTCTCCCCAAGAGTCTTTCCCAACCGTCCATATCCAAGGGATCTCCGTCGTCCCCATTCACCAGCGAGCCGCAGATCGTACCCGGCTCTAATATCCGCCCCGGCTCAATTTCAGGGCTCTTCCGATCCGCCGACCTCGGTGCGATCCAAGAAACTCCCACGCGGCGACCATCGCAGCCATTATCAGGTGGTATTGGTGCATCGCCGAGTATTTCGAGGCCCCTTTTCCGCGTGCCCAGCAAGCCAGCCGCCGCCGCAGCCTCAGCCTCAGGCCCGATCCCTCGGGCCATGGAAATGGGCCCATCGACGCCGATCGCAGCCCGACACGTGGACGCATACATGCCCCGAGTCAAATCCATCGGCCAAAGCAGACCGTCCATGATCATGGACACACCACCGAAACAGGGCATGGCCCCTATTCCGATCCCTGTGCCTGTCCCTGTGATCACCGAGAACACGGTCCCCGAGCCCATTGGGTCAGGGGCAGTAACAGAGACACCTGTGAAAGCCACCACCACCGCCGCCGCCACCACCACTACCACTACCACCCCGGCAACGGTTTTCGCTACGCCTCTGAAAAGCAGCGCGGCCCGGTTAGCCGTGCCGACTACAACATCCGCGATGGTGCCCGTGACTCCGGAGAAATCGATCTATGCGCAATTGGGATGGGACGACGATGATGATTTTGCCTAGTAGACTTAAGACTTTACCTCATCTTGTAGGCGTTTCTACTCTTGTTTCGGTTTAGCGGGCGTTGTTTGCATTAGAATACCCGGATGGGTTGATGTCATGATATGACTCTTTTACAGTTTACATAGTAACAATCAACAACCATAGATGAGATACGATGCGATATGATATTAATACTACATTAATTAAATCATCCATCGTACTTTAGTACTTACATTCCGATCGATCGATCAGTTACAGTCCCCAGTGGATGTGGATGTAGATGTGGATGTGGTGACGCTTGTCACCATGCCATGCCATTGCGAATCGCAGATCTCTGTCCGGTTCCAGTCCCGTCCGTCTGGTGGCAACAGCATCATCATCACCCGTTCGCCTCATCATCGTCATCGGAGTTGTGTTGGTGACGATGTTACCCCTACGAATTCATATTACATACGACTGATTACCTTGTATAGGTATTGAACTCGCCTTACTTACCTCTCGCCTTACCTACCCGATTCAGTAATATTGTGGTTGTTGTACAGAGTGAGTGGTGGTGCAGCGTGCATCGCATCACGCCACGCCGCCATGCCACGCCACACGTACCTTGCTCGCCCCCCTATTTAGCTGGTTAATGTTGTTGTGTTGTTGTAGGTAGGTACTAGGTGGTTGTTTGGACACGTTACTTGCTTACCTTACATTGTTTGTTGGATAGGTGGGTATTATGTGTGTGTGTCTGTAGTAAGATTGGATAATATGGTCAGGGGTTAGGGAGGTAGTGTGCAGGGATGTTTCTGCAGGTGGGAGGGGAAGGGAGGTATGGTATGGGGGTATTGATTGGATCCTTGCATTTAGGTACGGTAGGTATTACTATGTACGTGGATATTACTGGGTGTTTATTGTTCAATGTATGTAGTAGGTGCATGGATGGGTGGATGCATGGTGGAAGTGGCTGTTTATTTATGTAGTATGTACTTTGGTTTTGGGTTGGTGTTTGTTCGTGTAGGACGGGGTAGAGATAAGGAGTGTACGGTACTTCGTAGTATGGTAGTTATTATTGGGAGGTAATGTATAGAGGTATTGTGATATGTTGATATATTTGACTTTTGGCTAGATACATGTGGTCCGTTCCAAGGTTCCTTTCCTTTCCAGTCCTTCCTTTCCTTTTCCAATCTAAGTGGTGAACTCCTATGATGTTATGATGTTGTTATGATGATGATGATGATGATGATAATGGTTAACCTTCGCACCAACTCCTAGCTCGTATGTGGTGACCAATCAATGAGTCGCTTGTTGACTCCGCCAAATATGTATTGTGAATGAAATTGAAATAGGAAAATCGTTGCTTCGTGATGTCGTAAGAGAGGATATTAGAATTATGTTGTGTGGTGGTTGAGATTGAGGTTGTGAGGTGAGAAGTGGTGGTAATGAGATGAGATGAGTTGTGTCGATAGGAAAAGAAAATTCAGCTAGCCGGCAATGCGCACGGGCAGACACTGGCCAGGTGAAGGCCAGAAGTTTTTCCGCTGCACTGTCTTCTCGAGACAGCTGCGGCCCTTCTCGAGTAGGCCTTCCTCCTTCTTCTCTTCCTTCTTATCGGTAGAGACGGGTGCGGGAGCAGACACATGGAAGCTGACGTGGACGGTGGTCTTCTCGGGCTCCGACGTCTTCTCAGTAGGCTCGTTGTCCTTGGATGAGGTCTGGCGGTCCTGATCCTCATCCTTGCGGTCCTCGGGACCTTTCCTCTCTTCGTCTTCACGGTCCTCCTCCTCACTCTCGGACTCGTCGTCCTCGAGGTCGAACGAGTTGATGCGCGTCGTCATGTCCTTCTGAGCCCACTCCATCGACATGCAGTGTAGGCGGAAGTGGCCGAGACAGCGACGGATGTCCGGGTCCGGGGCGGTGGCCTCCCGGGCAAGTTTCTGGCGCGACAGGGTGGTGAGTTTGTAAGGGAGGGAGGTCTTGTCGGCGAGGGGAGGCCAGCGCTTATTCATGGAGGGGTTGTTGGAGGAGAGAGGAGAAGAAGAGGGCTTCTTAGGCATGATATCGATTGCAGTGACGGCCATTGTGATTGTGACCAGTCTAGTAGACTAACTACTTGGATGGGTGGTAGTGGTGATGAGTCAATCGGGGCACTTGGTGGTGGGGGTGTAGACCAGTATAAGAATGCGGAGGGAGATATGTCTGGAGCCGACTGGCGAGGGGGAGGGGTTATAATTTGTTGCAAATTGGGGGGAAGAGATCTGGAGGGGAAGAAGGGGGAGAAGATGAGGGAGAAAAATACTTAAGGGGACGAAGGCGGCGGTTGGGTTTGGCTGGACTCTGACCGACGGAACGCCCAAAGGAGGAATCCGTGGTGGTGACCATCTGATCTGGCAGATTCTGCAAGCGGTTGATCCCCGGGTCTAGACTTGCTTCTCCGTATCCGACTGTATGCTGTACCACTAGTTGTATGGCCCGTATCGCTCGGTCAGTCAGTCAGTCCACCACTACCACTACCACCACCACTTCTTCCCACCACCTGGCTGCCAGGTTACCCCATGCTAGTTCTGTCTCGTGATTTCCATTATGGGGTGATTTTTTTACGTGTCGCACACTTGGCCGCATAGTTTGTACGATGGATTAAACTTCCGGGGAGAGATGGGGTGGGATGGTGTTGGATAACCACAGGTGGTGACCGAATAGGTATGTAGGAAGGCCGCGTTACCAGGGCACAGGCACTGAACAGGAAAGGAAAAAAAAAGAAAAGGGCCTCGACTCGACTCCACCCGCAAAACTGGTCGGGCAGCTGACCTCGCAGTGGGGCCGGGTCTGACGGCAATCCGTGGAATGTTCGACGCCGGGGGTCGCCCGCCCAGTCTGGCTCCCTCACTATTTGGCGACTATTAAGCCGAGTAGGTAACCTGGGAAGTGCCCTCCGGACTCCTTCCATTCGTGGCCCTCACGGCCTCCAAGGACACTACTCCAGCTCCACGACAACCAGGTTTCCCCCCCGGGTGACTCCCATCCATACTCCGAATCGACCTGGATCTGATTCTGACAGATGGCGCAATATGGTTATTTCCAACGCGACCAGCCATGTGCAGCTCCAGAGATCCGGAGACGAACACCCTCCAGTAGGAACGGTAAGGGATGGACAGGGCCGCGCTGGTGATTGGCTGTGTGTTGCGGGGTCACCAACCAGCTGGGATTAGGGGGGTTGCTAAACACAGTAACGCTAGACCCGAACCGGGGCTAGTGCAGCCCTGGGCAGTTAGGGTTGCAGGGGAAACGCTGACTGAGCGTGGATTGTGGGCCGTGGAGTTGGAACGCACATGATAAATTTACGGGGGAATTCGTCCGTAATCCTTTTAATCAATAGTCCTTCAATTAAGGCGTGATCAGCTGGACACGCGTTGGTTTCAGATTCATCTGGCATCCTTCTAGCCCTCTGCTCACCGACGGCCCCCCTTTTCCTGAGCAACCGATGGGTGGAAAAGTCTTTTCCGTTAATAATTAGTCACCGACTAATCGCCCGTGACTCAGCCGGTCTCTGCCAAGGAACCGACCAGTCTTTTCCGGCCAGGCCAGTCCAGTCCATGATGTCAAGACTTTCTCTCTCCGCGATACTTTCCCTGGCAACTTCCCCCCCCCCGCCATACTAGTTACATTACTTCATTCATTCATCATTGTTCATTGTGGAGGATCCTCCATTGACACCACATTACCCTCTGGTACAGCTTAAGCTTATCTTTGCCTACTGCCCTTGCGGTATCCCCGTGGGTCTCCCATCAGCGGACGCGATAGCCATCGCCCGTGCGTGCTGCCCAGCCATCTTTGGGTTGACCGGTCACAAATCGGGATTACAGGATTGATTCCTAATGGTTAGCCGTTTACCTCGGTAGCCGCGGAGAAGGCTCGGGACTGGGACGGGGATCATATCCAACCCTCGTCTGGGGTAAACCTCTGCGGAACCGAATCTCCCGAAGACAATGTCATTGACTCACGATCCAAATTATGGGCCTCACATCACCCGAGTCAAGGGATCATGATAACCGAAGCCGGCCATGCAGCGATAGGAACTCCGTTTTTCCCCGCCACCCTGAACCCGGAAAATCCTCGTGGTGACAGATGTCGTTCGTTTAAGCTCTCCTGATGTCGGGCTTGTTCTTCGTGGTCATTCCATTGGTCTGAAACACACTAGCGTGGATCAACTCACTGATCAAGAGATCATCGTATTGTCTAGTTGTTGCTTTATTATTTGCCTCCAAATGGTTACATCGTCATGTGCTTGTCAATAAGGCTGCTAACATCATAGTGGACGATATCATCTTCCTATCTAAATGTGGAGCTGACCTGGAGTCGCCCCATGGAGAATCGTTGATCGATCACCCCAACATCCTAGTCATACCATAAGGCATTGACGTGCGTCGTTTTGCGGACCGATCATGATGTCAATGCTTGCCGCCACTCAATGGTACTCCCGGTAACGTTGAGGCTAAGAGTATCTGTGGCACGCAGGTAGCAAGCTGTCTAGCCCTACGAGGACGTCGAGCTTGGTCTAGGCTGTCTTCTCAGACGCCATTTTTATCAATTGATGGCCTTTCAGAAGCACCTGGCATGTGCATGGAGCAGTAACTAACAATTCGCTTCTGACATACATGTTAACTAAAACCATGCGTATGAAAGACTCGCTGTACTTTCATCGTCTTAAGCCTGGAGCTATAGGTTTCCTACATTCAAGAGATTATGTTACAGCCATCTATTACATGACACTAACACAATTGTCATAAATGAATGACGCTAGAAGCAACAGGATTGTGACATGATGCTTGCTAGCACGGGTTCTGACCAAAGATACTGACGGAGCCTACGCCTACGTACATTGGTCAGGGATTGGGGATGCCCCAGGAGGCTACGTACGAGGTCTAGGCTAGCGTCTACGTACATCGTATTGTGTGGCCGAGTGGCCAGAAATACCATCAACTGGGGATCACTTCATCCAATAGGGAACGTTCCCGTGGTCCACATCATGAAACATCAATGGCTATTCCAGTGTATTAGCTCTGCGACATGACACGGTCCATACCAATTCGCAATCACAGACGGGATGTGGTCAACATGTCTGATGTGATTGTGTGAGTTGGAATGCAGAGAAAGCTGCCTGTCCTTGAGGCTTACGCATGGGTCTAACTACATTCACCCTTTGTTCCTTGAACATCACAGCATATGGCGTCATAGAGATCTAGAACCGAATCAGCCAGTCGATCACCCTTCGTATAACATGGTCCTGACGTGCAAACTTTCGAGCATATCGATCTTACTGGCTGACGATAAAGTACAATCGCCTAGCACCCACAAATGAAATAGCACGAACATTATCTTTCAACTCAACAGGTTGGGGATCGCCCGGGGGCGAGGAGTGAAAAGCTCATGCTCAGTAGGGGAGATCATACGATGCCCATGTTCATCCTTGCATCACATCGAGTCTGTTCTTTCTGCTGTGGCAACATCGTCAATCTGACAGATCCCACTGAAAAGCAGATTATATTTGAGATCCTTGTCGTGACAGGTTCAAGAATACAGTTGCAGCGAAGCTCAAATGCAAGTACTAACGACCCTTCATGACTGCACTGCGGGCGCAGATTTCACTCATCAACGAGCTGGTCTCTATCAAAGAAGCATTGGTGCAAAGCTTCCTCATATTTTAGCTCTCCAGCAGCAGTATATTGGACTAAGGCTACCAGCGCAGTTTGCTCTCACTCGTCACATTCACTTTACATATTCCTAAAATCATAAAACCTGTCTTCACTATTTGAGAATTCTCCGACTTTTTCGAGACAACTGGCATCCGATCTAACTGATCTAAGTGTTCGATGTTGACACCTGCGACATGGCCAGGCTTTTCCGTGCTATACCTAACGTTACAGGCATTCCGGCGAAGTCCTTGGATCGTAGCATCGCTGTCTGATTGCTGCAACTCGCTGCACAGCCTCATCAAAAGAGCTCGTTGTCGCCTTACAGGGCTGTCTGCGGTTCCGTCGAATGGCAAAAGAGCCAGTAGATATATCCACCCCAAAGTTTACAAGGCAATGATGAGACACGATATATTGGGATTCATTCACCTTTCCAGTCACTCCTCGGGTCGGGAGATATCCCTTCTGGTCTAGTTGGGAGTTCTGACAAGATGTGCCGTAGAAGCTAGAGGCTTGCGGCACAGGTGTTCGTGAACTAAAACAGCATACATGAAGCTTTATATGATGGAGTATAGACCCAATGGGAAATCATCGACTTTGAAATGATGCTATCTGCTGCCACCCTAAAACCGAATCAACCCCACAAATGCTGACTCCTGAAGCTCATCTTTTCTCATCTATTCACACCCACAACCTGTTTGCAGTTTATTGAGTATATATGCGGACAACAACATCCACAAGAGCAACTAAGATAAATACAGTCTACAGTCTACTTTCCCTAAGACATTGCAAGCCCAAATCCAATTGCATTCAATAATATTACACGATTGTGGCAAACCTCATGCTGCTGTCCATGGTTCCCGCTCAAGAACCACTGGGCCACATTAAACCACCTACCTACCTACCTACCTATGTCCATCCTCACCCATCCTCAACCCACTTTCCTTTCATCCACATATACCTGCCTAGACACATGCACATACACTATATACACAAAATGAATCCTTCATCACAACCAAAGCAAACACACCAAGTTACAAGACTCCCCCAACTCACTAGCCACTGGTACCCTCACCCAACAAGCCCCCCTTCCAGTCTCCTTCTTCACCGAAAAGACACCCACATCGGCACCATCCAAATCACCCTCGAAACCAACGACAAGGTGAGACGTACCTGGCGTCGATGGTATATCTCTGATCCACCTATGTAGGATCGTGGGCAAGGGGAAATGGGTTTCTTTTGTATATGGAAGGAGTTATACTTGTTACTTGGCACAGCAGGAAAGGTAGACAATACTTGTTAATTTAAAGAAAAAGACATATACCCATTGATCAACACACGGAAAGCCACCACCCATCAATCACCATAGCTACATAACTAATCTCTATCAATTATACCCTATAGAAACCACTAATACTAATATTCTACCCAGCATAGAAACCAAACTTCTTCCCAAACTGCCTACCTTCTATCACAACTACTAGTACCCAAGAAAATACATTCTAAGCCAAATGGTACATACAACGCTCCTGCTCCTGCTCCTGCTCCTGCTCCTGCTCCTGCTCCTGCTCCTGCTCCTGCTCCTGCTTCTGCTTCTGTACTAGTTGTAGCTTGGTCCTGTGTAAGGTCGTACATGCAGTACATGCCGAATATGACCTGATCCATCTATATATGTGGGGGTTCCGATTCTCGCCGAATGGAAGAATATCTCGGGGGTCAGTTACTTGGTTACTATCTACCTATCTACCTATCTACCTAGTTTGTGGCGATATGTGATGTGTGATAGATGTGTAACTTGGATAGCTTGGGGGGTTACAGGGCCGGTCAGGTCAGGTCACCGGATATATCACTATTGTCTGAATCTTCTCCTTTCTTGTCATATATAGGGGGAAAATATACCATCTTAATCACAATATCTATCTCCCTAGCTAATAGTATGTCTACAGTAACCTACACACATACGACAGCTAGAGGCTACACTACCCACTCCTCCCGATACCCCCCGTCAAACTCTCTCTCTCTCTCTCCAAGCAAACAATCCGCATTAGTCCCTGCAGCCAAATGAAGAAAAACCACTGTCCTGCTGATGACTTGCAGACGACACTTCCTTGCTGCCCACAGTCTTGGCTTGGCTTGGCGGGTCCCGATTTCTCGCCCGTCATGTTGCCTGGACACCCGGTTTAGTGCCCGGTCGAGGGTTACGCTGCATGAAAACCGGAAAGCTTGATTGAGCCGAACCGTGCCTTGGTTTTGGGGGAAAGGGGAGATGAAGGAGTAGATGATTAGTTAGATAGGGGAGTTGGAGGTTTGAGTGGTGGTGGTGCTGGTGGGGAGAGGGGCGTTGTGTAGGACGAGATTTGCTGCATAGTAGGTAGGTAGTTGGTTGGGGTTGAAGCCGTTTCGGGGAGGGATTGGAGATGGGACTGGACTGGATGGATTTGGGGTACATATTGTGTCCGGACAGCCAGTTGGTCGGTAGGCGAGCGCGTCACGTGCCTTGTCATGTTAGCCATCATGTTGTTATTCTTTTCATCCCGCGTAGGCAGAAGCCTTCTAGCTAGTCATACTAATATCACTTATTTTCTTCAGCTTTATATTCTAACAGATTATGAGCCCGGCTCTTTACTGTAAAGTACTGTTATATTTATTATTAAATATTATTTAAAGTATCAATATAAATTTTTATACTGATATTATAATTTAATATTAAAATAGTCCTGTTATCACGTATCTTATTTAAATATTGATAAATAGATTACAATATTTTATAATTAATTATGATTAATAAGATTAGATATCTCTATAATCTAAATATAGAATATTATATATCAGGCCTTATCTTTATAATAAGTTAATTAAGATATTTTATTAGGCTCTAATATTTTCTAATATTAGTCTTTTTAGTTATTATTTTTTAGCGATCAGTCTTAATATAGAATATTTTTATTAAATAGATAATAACTAATAAGTTTTATAAGCTTATAATGATTAAGAATTCTTTTATATATATAAACTAAAATAATAATATTGTTACAGACCCCTGCTAGTTGAACTACTAGTAAGGCGGACTCGCCAGGCAGAAAGCACTGATAAGGGCAGCGCTCGGGTAAGACCGAACTATTGTTTAGTACAATTGCGAATTACTATCACGACGCCCGGAACGGTTACACATCATGTGACCACGATAGCATGTCACCGACAAGCTACGACATGGCAACGCTACGACCAGGACATGGCGGTGACATGGGATAACATACCAATGGTATAAGATATCATGACGACGACATAGGGAGAAAGGATATATAAGGACACTCTCTCATGTACTTAGCTGGTTCTGTTCTTCGTGCTCAATACTACTGTCTTTAAGTAACCATATGTTTGGCAGCTTAGCAACAATACTCATCCGTACTTACTTACAAATAGCTGCACGGCACTATTCGGCCTTACTTCTCTTCTCTTGTTCAAGACCAGTTGTTCCTAGATAGTCATCAGCCTGATACCTCCTCGACCCAGTTACACGGTACGTATACCAGTGAAGCTAAGCTAACCGGGACAGGGAAGCGATCCTAGGGTTTGACACTATACTTTTATAATTATATTGATTAAGTATTTATATATATTGTTCAAAGTTAAAATATTGCTTTCTTTCATATAAACAGATGCTGTAAAAATTAGTTACTCGGGGAGCCTGATAATTACTACTGTTAGATCTAGGGACTCTATTAATACTTATTCTATCTTAATTTCTTTATTTATCTAGAGCATGCTTTGAATTACCTACCTGCCTTTCCTCTAGATAGAGAAAACCATCTTTATCTATTTATAATATCTTATCAGAATGATCAAGAGCCGGCCCTGAATCCTCTGCGCTTGGGGTTCCTGAATCACTAATATTACCGCGTTTTGAGTCTCTTTATCATTTATTAAGCTCTTGTACACTGCATCCTGTTTTCTCATATTTAGTTAAATAACTTGAAGAGTCTTATTTATGATGCGAAGGGTAGAGCTTCTGATAGTTTTTACTGTATGATTTGTGGAGGCCTCTGCATAGAATATACTTTAAAATTATTTAATTATAGCTACTATGATGATAGCCCTCTGCGGCATATTTTACATATTTCTACGCATTCTTACACTGGAACGCCTTATATTCAATCTCTTGGTAATTGTAGCATTGCATTAGTTGGGATTGGTATTCAAAGGTGCTGTGTTACAGACCCCTGCTAGCCAGGTTACTAGCAGAAGCGGACTCGTCAGGCAGAAAGCGATGACCAGGCAGGACTCGGGCAACCAGCAACTCTTATTGAGTAGAATCCCGGTCGGAGTAACGTCCGAGGCAGCGCTGTGTCACGTGACTATCTACCATCAGATCTACCATCGAGGGTATACGACATGGTATACGGAATCCAGGAACGTGATTGGATCGACCCTCGATCTACCCTGAATGGTATACGAAATGGTATACGAAGGATAGGATATAAGGACACTCCTTCATGTACTTAGCTAGTTCTGTTCTTCGTGCTCAATAACACTGTCTTTAAGTAACCATACGTTTTGGTAAAGCTTAGTGACAACACTCGTCCGCACTTACTTACGGATAGCTACACGGCACTATCTGGCCTTACTTCTCTTCTTCTGTTCAGGACCAGTTCTCTTTGGATAGTCATCGACCTGACTTACCTTGATCCAGTTCAAAGGTACGACTCGGAACAGAAGCTAAGCTAACAGGAACAGGGAGAAGCGATCCTAGGGTTTGACACAACCCTCTTGTTGTTTTATATTATATTTATATAACTTATTATCAATCTTTACTGCTGCTTCGATCATCTTTAATAATGTGTTCGGTTGTTCTTGCTAGATAAGTTTCTCTTAAATCTCTATCTTGAGTCCTTCTTTGAATCGTGTAATGTAGGCATCATTATCCTAATCTAAGTGATTAGTGACTTGCAAAAACTCTGAAGTATACTTAAATATTAATCTAGTCTGCTTGAGTTACCATAACTTTTGCTCAGCATTCTGTGCTATATTAATATCTTTAAATATCTGTTTAAGATACTGCTTAAATCTGGTGTAACTGGCGAAGATTTACTTCATATTTGTCAAACCCTAGGATCGCTTCTCCCTGTTCCTGTTAGCTTAGCTCCCGTTCCGATACATACCTTGTGAACTGAATCAAAGGTAGTCAGGTTGTTGACTATCTAAAGATGACTTGATCTGAACAGAAGAAGAGAAGTAAGGCCAGATAGTACCGCGCAGCTATCCGTAAGTGAGTGCGGACAAGTGTTGTCGCTAAGCTTTACCAAAACATAGATTACTTAAAGATAATGTTAATTGAGCACGAAGAACAGAACTAGCTAAGTACATGAAAGAATGTCCTTATATCCTATCCTTTGTTATGGCGTCGCCATGCTATGTCATGTCGCCAATATGTTATGTCATAGTGCTGCCATGTCCTGTCGTAGCACTGCCATGTCTTGTCATAGTACTGCCATGTCCTGTCGTAGCGCTGCTATATTATAGCATGTCGGTGACATGTCCGTCGTGGTCATGTGTTGTGTAACTGTCCCGGTTTGTAGGTTGCTCTGATCAGGATTTTACTTGATAAGAGTCCTTGTCTTCCGGACGTGGCCTTCTGCCTAACGTATCCACCTTACTAGTTTGTTTAGCTAGCAGGGGTCTGTAACACCACTCCCCTTCTTTCAAGGTTTCTTATCTCTAAGAAACATAAATCTGCAGTGCCTCCTTCCTGAGATAAGTATCTGGTGTTATTTCCCAAAACTTTGTTTAGTTTATTAACCATATCATCTAGTTCTTCTGTTCGTAAGAAGAGCCTTTACTGGTGGATTAAGGATGAAGGTTTCCTTGCGGTTTTCCCTTATAAGTGCTGTATTTATCTTCACAAGATTTATATCAAATCTGAAAATTCTGATTACTATAGTAAGTATGTTAAAACGAACGGTGTTCATTATAAAATACCTGATCCTTTCTTCTCTAATATCAAGTAGAAGTGTTTGGTCAAGGCTTAAAATTTTATTGAAAAAGAGAAAGAAGTCATCCTGGCGAAACTTCTTCGGTTGCGGAAACAGAAACAGTTATTATAAAAACAAGCTGGTGATTTTATAGCTCGTGATATAAAGGAAATCAAAAAGCTGGAAGAGCTTGAAAAGCAAGAGTAAAGAAAATGTGAGGCGCAAGTAAGGCTACATGATTAATGAGCTGCGATATCTGAGGCTAAGGCTAGTACTGTCACAGATGGTGTTAAATTAGCTGCTATATCTGAACTTAATCTTAGTTTATCCTAACTTATTAGCTCTCCTTCTTTCTAGACGAACTTTGACTTGCCTGTTAGTAGTATTGTTTTATAAGTTAGTAACAACCTGTTAAGTTCTTGATAGGTTCCCACATGTTTTCTGAGATATCATATTTTACTTATTTTACTAAATATTTTAACCTGCCGCTAATCTTCTTGTGGTCTAGAATCTTTTTAACTTTATATTCTTGTTCTGTATTATCATTAATCTCCATATTTTCTATGATTCTAGTATTCTTTAGTACGGGTTCCAACAATGAGATATAAAATACTGGATAAATTCTGTTCATTGATTTTGGTAACCTCAACTTGTAGTTAACCAGTCTCTTCTTGTCTTTAATGATAAATGG